TCGTAGCCGACGTCTTTAATGCGGTGTCTCGACATGGAGGTGGGGGTGGTATTAAGTTGGAAGGGGGAGGAAGGAGACGCCCGAGGACGAAATAGTCAATTGAAAGAACGAAAAGGTCAAAAAGAATGACAGAGTCGACAGAATATAAAGTAGCTGAAAGGAGCTGGAAGTTGAGAGAAGTGGGATGTTTCTGTTGCGGCAGAAACCAGACCGACACGTCATACCCCACTCTCTGTTCTGCTTTACTATACATGCTCTACAACTTACTCTACTAACCTGCTCTACTATACACTATTACTGTAATTAAATTATCCCATCATAGCTTTCCACGTCTAGGTTTCTGTTTATCATAGTGTATTCCAAAAAAACAACAACCAACTAATGTATATTTATCGTAATGGACTACCGCCGAAGAAATCACCGGCACCAGGCCCAGAGAAGCTTCCATTACTGGGAGTCAATGCGATAGATCGTCTGAAAGCCTGGCGAGGAGTGGTGGGGGCGCTGGTTGGCACGGGTGTGGGAGCAGTGGTTGCCGCAATCGCTGCAGAACGGGTTTCAGGGGTGCTAGGAGTGTTACGTCCGCTGTCATTTTGCATGGTGACGGCTGTGCCAGGTCTCGAGAGAACAGCAACAGTGCCACCGTTCTTAGGAGGTGGGCGGAAGCCCAGTTTAGAGCCTTCGCGGAAGATTTCTTCGAGCATTTGTCCGACAATGCCTGCGTCTTCGTATTCCTGGAACTTCTTCCACAGCCGCAAAGCCATGCGAGCATCTTCAATGGAGTCGTGACCTTGAACGGTGTCGGGTGTGGGCTCCTCCTGGATATATTCTTTGAAAACAGCCCAAGCTAGGTACCTGAGACTGAGACGACGATTCTTTCCAGGGTGGAAGAACAGATATTGAGTGTCAACTGTCTGAGACTTTGGCACTTGGATGTTGATCTTTCGGAAATCAGAGGCCAGGCCATGACCGACAAACACACAGCCCAAGTTCAAAAGCAGCCATAGCTTCTTGTATGCTGCTTTGAGTGTCACGAGATTATGCTCACTGGTTCGGGAATCCAGATCACCGGGTTTGATACCAGAATACTGAGTGACATAATCCACAATCTGGTCTCGAATGATAATATAGTCGTCAATGAAGGGGACCCCTTCTTGGATACCTTGACCACGTAACACGGATACACGAGCCAATCCACTCTTGTTGGGGCGAACCATTTCTTGGGATCCATCTGCTTTGACATCAATCTCAGCCTTTTCGAGATCAACGAACTCAGTATCCAATGCGACAGGAATCCCGGAATTTGGCATCTCGTCCTCGTTGAGAGTGCGGCATGACTCCACTTGACGGCCACCACTGATAATTGTTAGCATATTCTCTTGAACAAAGAGGGCAGAAACTCACTTCAGAGACCACTCGCGGAATAATAAAGTCTTATCAAGCTGATTTTTCCAGGAGTCATCGACGACATGGCGTGGGTCTCGAACTTGGTAAGCCAGGACACAGGGTTGTTTCCAGGGTTGTGTGAATCGCAAGGCTTCATCCTTGTCGACCTCGGTGACTAAAAAGTCATTGAACAGATGCCACTTGCTTTGATCTTGGTTTTCACGGTCAGAGATGGAGACGTTCACGAAAGACACCAAATGCGGCTTTTGGTGCTCAGGTATGTCAATTTCCGCCACTAGGCCAACTAGATCGTATACCACAAGCCCGGCTGTCTGACTTTGAAGCCGGTGTTGGAGCTCTTCACCCTCGAAACACATGACCTGACCACTGGGGTCAACAAGGATGCCGACAGCGTCAGGTAACCAGCCTGGCATTGACCAAAGTCGACGACAGAGAGGATTGGTCAAGGCCGCATTTAAAACCAAAATCAAAGGCATGCGATGAATGGACTTGCGGATGGTCACCTGCTGGTAGCGGCGGCAATAATTGCACCAGCCACGATTTTGTGTCTCTCTTTCTATGCTCGCGCGAAGGATGTTGGAAAATCGGAATACCGGATTCCGTCGTGCCTGTTTCACGTCGATATTCGGGTATACAAGTTCGTTGGCAAGTGAATTCCCTGGACGAACAATTTCGTTTTGACAAAACATGCACCGAATGGACTCGGATGCCACCGTGGCGAGGCGCTGATCGAGATCTTCAGAACTTGGTTGGATCATGCGGAAGTCGTGGGCTATTTGTGTTAGGAAGAATCGATTGACTGCCTGAATGGCTGTTGAGAGAGACTTGTTGGTAAGATTCTCTTCCAGGAGGCCTAGATTAGAGGCTTCTCGGAAGCTGCTGAATGTCTTCAGAAGGTTGGTAGCTTGACAATTTTGGCCATTGGCCTTCTCCAGCATATCAAACAAGTAGCCCAGCTCACACAGCAGACAATGTTCAATTAGACACGACCCAGCCGCGTGATTCAGTGCGAGATTTCGGAAAAGGGGAATGAATTTGAACAATTGAAGAAGCGAATTGGTGAATGAATTGGCGATATGAGTCTCCAGTCCTGAGAATGTAGTCTTGTTGTAGAACCTATCAAACGGTGAGTGAAGGACAAATTATCACAAGAAAGGGACCTACCGGAAATCGAAATCATCCACACCAAATCGACTATATTTGATTTCGACATTGCTATACTTGAGTAATGGATCATCATCGCTTTCTCCGTTAATATTTGCTCCTGCCAGAGCTTCAGCTGCATCACCGATTGCGCCCTCGAATTTGCTGATATCTCGAGCTTTTTCACTCAAGAATTTCGGTGCAATGAGAGCTGGCTCCGCGAGGGTGAGAGCGCGAGTATTCTCTACCTGATTCCGACGAGTCTTTCTCGGGTTTGGAGCATGATGCCCCATCTCTGCAGGGCGTAAATACGGCAGTAGTGACTGATCTAATGGAGCAGGCGGACTGCCAACTTCGAAAAGCAAATGACTCGGCCACGCCGAGTGGAGACGTTCATGGTAGTAAGGCATCCCAACCATGCTCAATGGGGTATCAGGAGACCAGTCTAATGGAGGTGGCCGCGTCGAAACATCTGCAAATTCTGTCTCTTTACTCATCTCATTGAAATGAACCTTGGTCGGCGAGCCCCACAGATGAATCGAGCATTCAGCATCATTGATAGCCAACGCCTCGCCCGATGGTGAGAGGTCAATTCCAAGCATGAGAGACACGTTGGCCTGTCGCAAATTTACTGCATTTGGGTTCATAAGATCTACCACCTGGAGTTGACCTGTCTGTGAGGCCACAAAGCTGGTAGTGTGAAGCTTGGGATGCATGCGGACATATGCTGCGCCTGCATGGAAAGGAATTGGAGGCAATGGAGTCAGCGTTTTCAAGTCATATACGTTGGCCAGGGGGTCCACAATGGGAGCTCCAAGCTGGCGGACGGAGAAGCCACAGGTAACCAATAAGTCATTTCGCGCATCCATGTCGTTGACAGCTGTCCCATGCGCCTTCCATGATTTGACAACACTGAAGTCCGAGAGACTGAGAGCATTGATTGATCCGGTGTCTGTAGCCGCGCAGAGATAACGGCTCTTCTTCATGAGGGTGTAGCCGAACTCTGTGGGAAGTTTGTCAACAATGATACCCTTATCAATATCCACGGTAAACATGACTTTCTGACAGCCCGCGACGAGAATTCGATTCGTTTGGGCTGTGAAACTCATGCAGCGCAGATCGACCATTTCATCGTGGGTAAGATGCCATTGCGTCAGGCCTCGCCGCGTGATCATATGTACACTTTTCGAAGATAGCGAAATCACACCTCTTTCATGGAAGACAATCTGTCGTACCATGCCCTCGGATACTGGATGGGCCCGAACGGACGTATATCGTTGCAGCTCTGGTCCATAGAATGAAGTGATCCTGCCCTGGGAGAAAGGAAAACCCCGGTCAGAATCGTGTTCCTTCCAAACGCAATGAGAGAAAACTTACATATTCATTGCCTGTCCACAGAAGCTCCATGACATCGTCAAATGCCGTGGCAGTCGCGATAGTTGGCATAGCATGCGGACTCGGCGGGGGCATAGGGATGCGCGACAGCTCATCCCAGTCGGCCTCCATAACTGCGGCTGTGGCAGAGCACAAATGCTCCGGTATTTCGGGATCGGTCCGATATCAATTTGTCGAAAATAGCTGGTTCTACCCGCGCGGGAAACCAGCGAGGGTTGGCATTGTCCGGGGCGAGAGACGCGAGTGCGGGGAAGCTACAGGGCGATTTGAGGCCCTGTCAAAAGCGAGGCGAGGGAGGGATCAAAAGTATAGCCAAAAGTGAAGAGGGGTGTCGGCTTGCCCTGCTCGACGCGACGAAAGAAGACACGGTCGGAGGCCGACTGCATATCGCAGGCTGAGGGACCGCTCTTTCGACGACGCATCACGTGATGGGCTTGAATCGTGGTAATCGGTGGGAAACATTACCATACCGAGAGATCAAGCACACACAATGGACATCAGTTTGGACAGGGAATAATATTGTTATATATAGAGCGAGAGGTAGATGGAAGAAGTATCCTGGCTCAAATCTATGGAAACAAGAAGCTTCAAAGTTGACAAGTTAAGTTAATGTTTGCTTTTCGAGCGTAAAGTCCGAAATCGAGCAAAGATAGTCTGATGGCTAACCTTCGAAGACATCGTACTAAGTTTTGTCTGAATTGATCAAAGTAATTGAAATATAGTTTAATCTATAGTCCAGCATCATTTCACTTCTTATTCAAGTTTTGACTATCACTGTATATTTTCTCTATTGCGCTTTCTATTGGCCTTCTTACCACTTAGTTCGTTTTTTTGCGCGTTTCCATCCTTGTTTTCTTGATACTTCTCCAATAAGGCTTCTTCTCTGTAGTAGTACGATATTATTTCCACTCAAAAGTACATGAACTAGACCGTGTCAACAAAGTGACCAATATTAACGGTCTACGCATCACAAGTACGGCAAGGGAATAAATAGGGCACGCAGCTGCGCAGCCTTTGAGCCTGGTTATATTATTATTCTCAAAATCCCCCCTACTTCATGGACCACTAAACACCTTCTCAATCTCCAACCAGTCAATATAGTCAACACCCGTTAGAGGCAAGGTGGGATTGTGGAAGCTTGAATATATCCCTTCTGCCTCCCCAGAAAGATCCATGTCCCAATCCACGTCCATGTCAAACATGGATTCTGCGAAATCAATGTGTGGCCATGGCTCAAGTAGTCTGGATTCATCTGAATGGTAATTTCGATCGCGGGAGCCAAAGTCATTGGATGGATAGCCTGAAGAACTCGCCAATGGGGATTGTCTCGAATCTGATCCAAATCGATTCTTCTGCCGACGTAGTGGTGCACTGTCTCGATCATGTGTGTTAAAGACATAGTCTGGCCAAACGCGGGAACAGGAGTGGGCAATGTCTTGGAGGCGTCGCTCGGCTGCTGAGTTCCCTGCTTGAGACAAAAACTGGAGTACGTCGAATGCTTCATCGAGTGACTTAGGTGGTTTTTTTTGAGACGGATCAAGGAATCCAACCATTACTAGTACAAAGGCAGCGGAGAAGGTGGCATCTAGGTCGAAAAAGCCATACCGGGCTGAGAAACAGTCAACTTGAAGTCCATAAAAATCGAATACGACAGTATAATAAAGCATTGACAGAAAGACGACTTACGGATCGTTTGTTGCTGTCGAAGACACTCAAGGATGGCAAGACTTCTTGTGGCTGCTTCATTGCAAGTCTCGCAAAGACGAAGGAGGATGTTGGGTATCGAGTCGGATCCCTGTAAACGGTGTTCTGTCTGTGCCTTTAACCGAGCTCTTTGCAAGAGTATGGGCCGGGTACATAGGATTATTGCCTTAGTCAAAGTTAGTACATAATGGGCACCGGGTGTCAATGTATCTCACTTGAAATAGCATCAAATATAAAGACGCCCCTGTACGAGTGACTGAATACAGAGGGCGATTGAAGTCGAGGACTAACGTCTTGGGGAACGAGCGACCCGTGTCATGCAGTTCTTGGAGAATGTCTTGGATATTACGGACCAATTCGAGCTGGGTGATGGATTTGTTACCATAGAGAGCTGTTTCACGTATCAGGCAATGATCATGGACGAAAAAGACGGCGGTTACTCACTGGACATGATTTCGTCTGTTACCCGTGCGATGCGCACGTTAATAGCGAGGGCGATTGGAGATTGGAATCCGACTGCGTGACGAGGCAGCTCGGTGCGTAATTGTCGTTCATCGGCCCCAGCCGCCAGTCCGAGACCAGAAGAGAGGCGCCTGAGCATGTTGATTAGACGATGGAATCAACAGGCTAGCGAAAATACACACCTGTCCAACATGTACACCGTCCACCAAAGTCGTAGCCTGTGGGCACTTTCAGAAGGAAGACATCTTTGTTCATTTTCCTGTATATTGCAGCCGAGGGCTATGGCCAGTCGTAATGCGAGCCCAATCTAATCCATGTCGATTAGCTTCTGTAGTAGCCCCCAAAAATAAAGTTGGCCTACATGTAAATAAGCGTCGTGCTTGCGGTCACACCATTGCAGGTAAGTTGCAATGAGGGTCAATATCTCAACTGCCATCACTCCCTCTCCACCCATCTGATGCAATGGAGGAAGCAGCTTCAGTGCCTCTGCAAACAGATCTGCCCCGGGTGTCTGGGACGTGGGATTTTTGACATCCATGAGTTTTGCCATGGCCATAACTAAAAGATATTCCGCAAACCAAGTAGTGTTCATCTGTCTGTGTTTTGTTTCCGGGGACTGAAAGAGTAGTCCCAGGTTATCGGAAAATGATCGTGGGTCGAAGAAGTGTTGACTGACACCAAGATAGAAGAGAAATTGATCAAGTAGGTATTGTGACTCCTCCAATGACGGAATAGACAGATCTGGTGCATCACTGACGAGCTCTTTGACCGATGACCATTGAGATCCTGGCGTACTTGATGCATGAGGGGATGAGTGTGCTCCACGAAATGCGGCTTCACTTGCACGGGAATTGTCAAGAAGAGATCTGACTTGAGATTCGAAGGCAGGCCCGGAAGCCAAGTCCGTTGCTTTGTGGAAAGTCAGCCGTCACCAAGAAACGAGCAGAGATATGGGAGTACCTGGGCTTATAGCAGATTTATCATCGGCATACAATAAATCTTCCTCTGCCGGATTGACAGGTGTGTTAGCAGTGGCTGGAGAACCACCTTGAAAGGACCGCAGACTAGTTGTCGCTTGTCCTTCACCAGGAGAAGGAACAGAAGATGCTGTGTCCCCGGTGGACTTGGATTGAAGTTGTTCCTCATAGGCTCGGATTTTATCCAAGAGGTGCTTCACTTGACTAGATGGAGGTTAGTCATACACAAAGCCCTGCAAACTCGAGGGACTCACGCCTCAGAGAAACGCCTGCGCCCGGAATGACCAAATACACATTCCCAGTTATGCTTGATACAAGCGCGACAGGGCTTTTCGCCGGAGCACTTGACCTTGCGTCTCCGGCACGTCTCACATCTGCAGAATTGTTATCATACATGTTCTGGAATCAAGCAGGGCCCCAACATACGCATTAGTAGATCGAGGATTAGGATTGACCATATTGTTTGGCGATCATTTGTATCTCATTGATTCGAGTTCTCACGATATCTAATACACAGAGCGAAAGAGTAGAAGTTGATAACTCTCGGGCTGCCAACCGAGCCTGCGGGGACTTCGGCTTCGACATCCGAAGTCTCCGCTGGTCTGATTCCAATAAGAACCAATTCGTATTGGATAGTGAAAAAGACATGACCGATAGAAAATTAGAACCCCAGCCTTATGACTGGTCCGATCCGGCAAAGAACAAAAGGACTGCTTCCGCGGCTGCTTTAGAATCATCATCGTCGTCCTTTCCCGGGACTATAGAGCGCTCGATATTTGCCAAATGAGAAGCGAGCACGACCGGAGACCAGTGAAACGAATCAGCAAATTTGCGACATAGCTCAGCCGTGGCAAAGGCGTCAAATTCGAAATGCCCTTGGAATGTGAGAACGCGACCAGGCTGGTAGAGACCTTGTATCGGGCAGATTTGACTGCTTCCCATATTGAGCCACGGCTCGGGTAGAAGGGCTTCCGAATCAGTAGAAGACTCCGGTGAAGATAGTACTGCATCGCCATGAATGAGTTGCATGCGAAATGGTTGTTGCGAAAACCGCGCCAGGGGTGGGAAGTTGCAAACAAATGCCGGATTCAAGGCGATAGGATGAATGCCGATTTCGTGACCATGTGAAGACAATCCAACGGAGACCTTGAAAGAAGATCCTTGAGATGTATAGATATTGTCACTTGCGAGTAGTGCTTGACCTATCAGTTGATGGCCGAAACATGACCCGAATATTTTGACTAGTGGATAGCCCGAATACACTTTTTGCAGGTAGCTTTTCAGACCAGGAATCCAATGCAAGTCATCATATACTGCCGCTGCAGCGCCAGTGACCAGAATCGCGTCAATGGGTCCTGGAAATCCAGGAGATTGTTTCTCCGCGGAAGACCAGGCGTTGACTCGCAAGCCCTCGTAGGGTGGCAGCGAGTCGCCAACTATGTCAAACGCAGTGACATGGACGCCGAGATATTCTGACGCTGGCTTGTATTCGCTTGCATTGATTCGCTTTGCGGCGGCAGACAGGAGGGATCTGAACTGCGAGCTGTACAGGCCTCGCTTGGCGTAGACACGCTGACAGGGAATATCCGTGTCAAGGACAGCGATGTGTAGTTGACGGGAATCCATGCTTCTGCGCAAACAAGTGACATTCACCGAAAAGGAAAAAAAAATAGAGAGTGTCAGTATAGATTAAAATAGAATCATATCGTGTTCCCCGCGCTAATTTCTCCGACTTCGCGATTCTTCCATATCGGAGCACTACCGAAAGGACCGGAGGCAGTGCCCGAAGTAAATCGGTTCATTTCTTCAAACTGCACATGAGACTGTCGGACCTCTATTAGCATAAAACTCATTAAGAGTTAATCTCGTCCAAGGACTAGAAAATGCCAAGCAAATCGAAATATTCAATTACATCTCTGTGTAGTTCTTGTTTTAAATGTCAAATAGCGTAGCTGCGATGGCGATGAAAAAGATAAACTGGAGTGGAGAAACCAAAGCACCGAGATTGAGTGCTTGAATGACTATCTGACCTGCTGAAAGACATGATGATTCGTTCAATGTTTGCAAGGGTGAAAAATAACGTTAGAGAACAAAGAAGAGCAGACTGCTTCCGTAAACTTCAAGTCCACAGAGTGTGAATTCTGCGCGACGACAAGGTCTCTTGAGGAACTTGAGAATTATTAAATGGGAGGAAACAGAAGCTCTACAGTCTATCGAGGGGCCTAAGGCAAGGTACTACTGTAGAACCCAGCAAACTAGACCCTGCGCTAGTGTAAGCCGCCATACAGATTTGCCAAAGGTAAACACAGCGTCGACATTGCTGTATCCTCGGTAGATTTCAGAGCTTATGCGTTACCTTTTCCAGACATGGTGTCTTAAAATACAGCCAGGTGCCCAGATTTGGTAGCAAGTGGAAGTTGAAATTATGGTTACATCAATACAACAAGAATACTCCGACCTCACTCTTCTTTCAGTATACAATCTCACACTTGGATTTGGCCTGGCCTTTAGCCATATTGGTCCTACCAAATGGAATAAAACAAGACATTCAAGAATTTCTGGGACATATATAGGCAAACATTGCTTTCTGCATCCTCTATCCCATCTTGAGATAGGAACAATCTGCACCTGATGAAAATGCAACGCTACTTATTGGTCTCATGCTTAGATCTCAGCGCGCTTCTTCATACCGCATAGGGGACAATTGTTCTAGTCTAGGCCCTCATGGTCTAACTTTGGGTTCTTGCTGATGTGAGAGTTTGCTTGACCGACACCAATTCCCATGTGGCCCACTAGGCCCACCTCGTACGTGGATAAGTCCCAGACGTGATCTGAAGTAGATTTGCCTTGGATAACTTGGTCAATTGAACGTTATATTTCTAGGTGTATATCCTATCACTTAGGTTGGTGTTTAACCAGGGGAAATGAGAACAAGTCAAGGCATAATTATCAAGTCGTGTGAACATAGATCTGATGAGATCGCGGAGATCGCGGAGATCGTCGAGATTGTCGGTGAGGCGATTGCTGATCCTGAAGACCTTTCCAGGTGGATCTAGGTGGGGATCAGGCATAGCTGTGTGTGAATATTCCCACAACTGTGTGGAATGAGTGGGGAGGAAGAACTTTGTCAATGCCCACTGGAGTAGCGAGGCGCTCCCACACCCCGAGAATAACATTTTGATTACTGTGGGGGAGGGTGGTGTTTGTGTATTCAGGTAGAGCTGGATGAGTTTTGGCAGCGATAACATTCATTCGGCGAAAGTTTCAGTATTTGCTCTTGCAGCTGACAGGCGTGTGAAGAATTAGCTGATAATCCGGATGCACCGATCTTTTCGCTCCCAAAGAGGCTTAGGCTGAGGCAAGGGACAACGCACATCTGGCCCTAATGTGTGTCCAACACTCGATATGCACTAGTCTTGCATGATATTCTGCGATCCATTCGCTTGTTTTTTCTCCCAGCAATTCGTTCATTGCTAGTTTGTAATTGGAGTATATGCCCCAAGGTGGGAGAGCACACCGTCGGTGGCACCGATATATAGTGGATGTAATATGCTGATAGACTTTTGTATCTCTGGCAGTGATAGATCCAGTAGCAAGAGCGGCATAGATTCTACACTGTAAAAGTAACGCCACCCATCAGGTGGATCAAGTGGAGTGTACTGGATCTGAGATCAATATAAAGCCTTGCGGTGAGTTGCACCACAATGAAGTGTATTTTTCTTCACAGATTCTTCGGTCCCTAGTTCTTTGTCGACAAAATGAGCGATATCCTGAAGCCTGCAGTGCACGTGAACTTCAGAAAAAGCCTCCAAGGCCAGAAGGTCACAATTCCTAGCATATATGAGACCTTTCCTGAATGGAAACCTCAAGTGCACCCAGAATACAAAAGAGCCAGAGCTGAGGTTCTTGACCCATGGATTCAAAAGTCAGTCAGATAATTCAGCAAGAATCACCGGTTTGCTTATGGGACTAACCGGTACTTTTCTCAAGATGGGTACCCAACAAGCGTACAGTCAAAGGACTCCAAGCCGCTGACTTTGGGGTTTTTGCCGCAGTATGGGCACCAAAGGCGTCCTTTGATGTCCTTTGTACAGCGGCTAAATACTTTGCTTGGGTTTGTTTTACTAGAGTTATATGCGAAGAGCCTGGCTAACTTTACTAAATTTACCTTGCAGTATTTTGTGTATGACGACAGTATGTTTCTTCTATTGATCCCTGCCAGAATTCTGTTATCCGGGACTCGGCTTACTGACCTTTTAACCCTTGAACAGTTTTTGATTGTGGCGCCTTGAAATACGACGAGCCTTTAGCAAACACCTATCGGGAGGCAAGCCTTCAATACTTTAGGTTTACACTGCTAGGAGAAGGCGCTGCACCTGATCTCTCAGTCTTCCACATTGAACTTCAAAATGCCCTGTATTGCTGGGATGAGGTTGGCCACCACATTGGTCAAGTGTGCTCTAGAGGTAATTTTCCACGTCTGATAAGATAGCAAGATGAGCACCTGGGATGAAAGCGCTAATAATTTTGAAGGGACGAGACAGGTTCTGTGTGGCGAAATGCTGCGATATGTCGATAGTCTCAACAACGTGGATAGCCTTTTTGCTGTCAAGGAGATTCCTTCAATCGATGAGTATTGGGAACGGCGCGAGGCGACTGCTGCCGCCCATTGTGTCACCGCTACAATTCCGTATGAGCACAATGATCCCGTTTTATTCATGATTGCTAATTGATAAAGGTTCATCTACGGAATAGATATCGATGAAGCAGACGTGCAAAATCAACCTATGAAGGATCTATGGAAACATACTTCCTATTTTGTCCACATGTCAGCGATCCATTCGAATACTCTCATTACCATGTACTTGGATTTACTGACTTGATTGCAGAACTAATGACATGCTCTCATTCCGGAAAGAGGTGGTATGTATTCAAAGGTTTACTATTGCAGCTCATATGCTAAGCATACATAGGATGACGACCAAATCGAAAACTTGATCCCCGTTTTGATGCTCAATTCCCAAATCGATTGCAATACGGCAATGGATCAAAGCTATCAGCTACTTCATAACGAAGCAAAGGGCTTCAACAGTGCAAAAGAACGCCTTCTTGAAGCTACGGACCCGAAAGTAATAGTCATTGCAGAGGCTTTCATTGAAGGATGCCTCAATGTTGCAGTTGGCCTTGCTCACTGGAGGTATGAGAAGCCCTATCAGAACAAAACTTCATTTTTTAACTTCTTGTTTAGCTACTGCGGAGACCGGTACTTCAGACCTTCAGATCGACAGGAGAACAATGTGATAAGTTTCACCATTGGAGCATCTCACACTCAGCAACACTATCATGAAGAGTCCGAGACGCTGAAGGCCTCCTCGAAACAAAGTCATCTGCCTCCCACTCCACTTCAGAGCATGATCTATAGTGTAGTACCATTTGCGCCGTTGATCATGTTGAGTATAGTGAGCATACCAAGTGTGATCCAACAATTTGGGGGTCCGAGTAGTTGGGGTGTTTGAATGTGCTAGTCTGTCTTGGACAGGTGAATGGGACTCATTTCAATGGTAGTTTACGATCACGACGAGGTTTTTCTTAGCATATCCAATCCATACCAAATGAGATGAGAATTACAGATTTTTACACTCTTTCAGAGAGAATTGGAATTCAATGAAATATGAAAGATTTCATATGGGTGTCGAGGTTGCTGGCTTGAGCCTATCTACTTTTCAGGCGTCTATTGAACTAAGCTACTTAGATAAGACTAACCAATACTAAGAAATATTTTGAACAGAAACAAATAAAAGAAAAGTGTTACTGCAGAATAAATCAAACAACATCACAGGGGATTCATGTAATTGTTCATGGAGTTCTGGATCTTCCTCCCCTTTTCCTGGCCTAGTAGTCATACTGCTTCCAATGTTAAAACTACCATGCACATAAAATCTTGGTGAATTGATCAGTCTAAATCAACAAAAAATAATTGAAGAGGAATTAGTTCAATGTGAAAGATATATTGCTGAAAGCCCAGAACGTGAAGGGTATATAGCATTCCTCAATATACTGATACCAACGCCCTGCTCTACTTGAGTACCAAGAAATGTGCATAGTTGAGTAGACCTTCAGTTTCCTATTGTGAAGTGTAGAAGAGTTGGAACTCTGTGACTCGAGCGTGCAGGATCGGCATACTTGCCGAACCCCTCAGCCCGAAGGCCGACGTCTCCGCACGGCGGACTTCATACTTCATCAAAAATGACAGTTGTCGCCCTGAATGTCACCCAAAAGAGCCTGTGATACTTGCATTTCCCGAAAAGTGAAATGTAGTGGTTCCTGGCCCTGCGATACCTGTGGCACTGCCGTGAAGCGGGTTCAGTGTACCTATCTTCGGCCCGCTGGCCGCAGAGGCCCGAAGGCTAAGAGGCGAGCGATTCCAAATGAGGAAATTCAAGATGCTTTCCTAGAGCTGCCAGAGCTTCACACAAACCCCGTGATGGAAACTCAGACTGAACAGCTTGACTTTGCCAGCGATGCGCCTCTGCTTCACCGCATCTCGAAGACCACTCTGGCTACAATCATTCAGGTTTACCGGCAACACTCTTATAGTGTCTGGCCTGTCATTCATACCCAAAGGCTTCTTCAAAAACTTGAGACTATACAGCCGAAAGAGCTATGTAAACAAGACGAAAGCTATATGTCTCTAATGACAGCACTGTGCGCTGCAACAATGGCACAGCTGCAGTTGCCACCGATGATGGATCAAAATAAAAACGGAATGCATTATAGTGATGCCACAACAATGGCACATGTATGCATGCAGATACGAGGGAAATGCTGGACTCATGGCGAAAGCCTAGACCTTCGCAGCATATTGACATCTTTCTTCTTGCATGTATACCATGCAAAGGTCAACCAGCGAACCTCAGCAATGATGTTCATAGAGGAGGCTATATCGGGTTCTCGAATTCTCCGCTTGAACGAAGGATTGCCACAACCGCCAGAAGATGTCATTTCACATCCAGAGTTGGTGTTTCCCTTACTTTGGGTTTCAGAAAGGTATGCCAAATTCGCTTCGAGTTGCAGAGCTACATGCTAATGCGCACAAAGGGGCTACTCGCTGCACCTTGGACTATTGCCTTCTTATATGGAGCCTCCCATACTCACAGGCTTTGAGAATAGCATGCAACCTGACATTCACACTCAGGGCCTGCTGGAGTTAGTCCGATTGTTCATTGCATTCGATCAGATATCTGTGCGCCGCAAGTCTCATACGACTAGAATTGTGGCGACAGACCTGACAAATACAGAGATGCAATTGTCTGCATTGTGTTTTGGTATGATCGGCCATGTCTCTACCCGAACAGCTGATTACCATATCACAAGAGAGTGGATGAGAATGATAATCTGGCAGGAAGCTCTAGCATTAGGACTATTGTCATCTACAGCGAATGCAGGTGTTATGACTTTTGGATTTCCTTCAAAAGTCGGACGTGATCTGCTGCAAGCTTTGAGTGGCTTTTGTGAGGCGGATTTACTACCTTTAGGTAGAGACCAGGTGCGCTGAGATCATTTTGAAGTGCACTGAATATGAGCTGATCTTGAAACTAGTTGCTCAAATGCTTTGAAGTTGCCAATTCACTGGCAGACACTGTGCTCTTGAAATCGGTTTCGATGAGCAGCAGATGCGAGTTAGGACCGCATGATTTTCTTCACGCGTTGTATCAGAAAATTGTTCCGTTCCTTGAACGTGATCGTGTGTTGCTTAGTATTCTTCGAGCAAAGACCGCCGAAGCCTTGGTCACGGCCCCAGCCCGATTATTGACTATGGACCACAGAATCTCAGATCTGCATGCGGTTGAAAGAGAGATCACTCAAAGTACGGATGCTGGGAGATTTCCATCATCTCAGGAGAGGGAACAGCAAATGTACCCGGAGACGAATGTGTAAACATATGATTCTTATGCCAAAGGCTGCGGTGGTACCTGACTGGCGGTGAAAGTGCCCTTTGGATGGTATTTGGGAAAAAATTACTCAGACTCAGTAACTTGCAAAACAATCCGGCCAGAAATATCTCCTCTCTCCATCTCTTCGTAAACCTGCGGCAACTCCTTGAATTGCCGTACCTTAACAACAGGCTTCACGACTCCCCTTCGGACAAGATCAACAGCCTCCATACACTCCTTCAGAGAGCCAACCAAGTTACCAGTTATTCTAAGACCCTTAATCACAATAGTGCATATGGGGGTCTCCAAACATGGTCGGCCAGGTGGAATACCAACACAGCTCAATGTGCCTCCCACACGAAGCATATCACATGCGTGTGCAAAAGCTTTCGAATTCCCTGCAGTAACTACCGCAGCATGCGCGCCAAGTCCAGTGATCTCTTGAACCTTCTTGACTGGATCATCAGTTGTGAAGTCGATGAAATGCTGAGCTCCGATTGACTTGACGAATTCTCCTTTTCCTGGGCCGGTATCGACACCAATGACTAAGACTCCTTGTGCTCTTGCATATTGAACTGTAATCAATCAGCGCCGTCTTCAAACCGGATCCCAACAGCAAAAGTCTCACCAGCCAAGTGTCCCAGCCCACCACCAGCTCCGACAACAACAACCCAATTTCCAGGCCGAACATTCGTATTCAAAACAGCCTATGCTATTTAGCACCTTATTCCAGTCTGCAGAAATCGAGCATGAATGCGCATACCTTATAAGCCGTCAGACCAGCACAAAGAACCGGCCCCATAACCTTCGGATCCACATCATCAGGAAGCAAAGTCAGATAATCCGCATCGAGGGCAATATACTGCTGGAAACTGCCATCTTCATGATGCAAATGGTTTGTACTATCAACGCAATACTGCTCCGTGCCAGCAAGACAAAACTCGCAGCGTCGACATATACGACTTGCGAACCGGATGCCGACGAGACTGCCTAGCTTGAGATCCTTGGCGTGTGATATATCCGGTCCAAGGGCTATCACCCGACCGATTCCTTCGTGGCCGCCAACGTGTGGCAGTTTGATCTTTGTGATTGGGGTTCCGTCGGCACCGGCTGCTGTTCCCTGCTTCGTGTGAAGGTCTGTGGAAATTATTGTCAGTCTGAGTTAGGGACTTGTTCTTTTTGATAATGTGCGGAATATGTAGTAGAAAATGAGATTTTATCCAAAGATACCACTCTGGCACACTCCGGTGTACAGTACTTTTGCCAGGACTTCATTACGCCCTGGTGTTGGCACGGGGTAATCTGTCTTGAATTCAACCTTTCCACCAAGATCCCTAACTAGGGCAACAGTTTGGGTCTGTGGGATATCGATGGAGCCCATTGTCTTTGTATTTGATATTGTTTGTTAAATGGAATTGATGAGAAAGGATAGAAAGTCGATGTAGAATCCAGATGGGCTGCAAACACTGTCTATATATATACAGCCAGATATCCTCACTTTTTTCCACCACGTCATTTCTCCGAACACAAGTACAATATCAGTGGCAATGAGAATATTCGAGCGGGGAACGCATCATGTCGACGCATGTCGACGCTGTCGCATACAAAATGCAAACACAACCAGCCAGCTGCCACGATGAGAGTTACACCTGACCCGTGGGGGTATACTTCCAACCCTATGCAGATTATATTGAGGAGAGATGTGGACACAGAGCCTGAACCGACTCGGGGAAATAGAGTCAGCTTGAAGCTGATCATTGGCTGTAGTTTAAGGTCAGGGATCTGCATAGCCGTCACAGTGCAGCTGACAGAGCTATTTCGCCGAGCCAATTCTCCGAGTGGGGGTGGATCTATACTTTAGCACCGACAGACAGATCACATTTATATTCCGTCCGCATCAATCGATTTCTAGCGTAAAATCAATGGTTGGATTAACCTAGGCTACTTACAAAGCCTAGACTTTGAGCGGGCCCCATGCTGGGCAAAGTAAGTTTAAGCAGCCGAACCATTTAGCCTCTTCTAGCATCCAAATCATGCTCAGTTTTAGGTACTGTCGAGTGATCCTCATAGCTATACAGTCCACCAAGTCGGTATAGACATACATCTGACTTCTGATTGGCTGTGAGGGTTAGTCAGCACCTATGACCGAGGTCCCGGCAGGACGCGGGGCAAGAATCCTTCCAAGTACCGAACAGTATAGATTGGACGCAGTCTCTCTCGAAGTTATCATCTCACCAAATACAAATATGGGTCTTTCTGGTATTTCAATCACTGATTTGAAATCGAAAACATTCTAACAAATTGCGTACCACAGCTTTTCTGAAAGGTGGCGAATACGAAGCTGCCGCGTCGGAAATAATGAACTCCGATATAAGCACTGAGCTCTCTGCCCCATTGGTCGCTAAGCATCTTGTATACCAAGTGGCGCAGGGATACGACAAAGTCTGTGCGGCACGAGGTATTTTCTGGAACTTTTGATGGGGGCTGTAATATGAACAACAGCGCTAACGCATTCCGAACCAGGCAAGCCTGAATCAATCGAAAAGGCACAGGAATTAATGTCTCTGTTTTGGAAGGCTCTTCTCGAAGACTTGACTGCCAAAGGTGTCAAGATCGATAATAAAGAAGAGGCAATGAGTGAGGCTGAGAGAATGTCAACGCAGGTACTCGTTGATTCGGGGGAGTATCAAGCTTGAGTGCAGATGGGAGACTCCTAATGGGCTTTTCCTATGATCCCTGTACCAGGTCTGTATTTACTGCCAAACATTGATAAAAGAAATGTCCATTGGCCTTGTATTGGCGTTTCAAGATTGATATTAACGACCGTTCATACATCGTAACTCCTGAAACATCAAATCCCAATAATTTACATGGGGGAACATATGAACACACCCGAATTAATATCCCATAATCATAACGCCATCACGAAAATCAAGAATTGAACACATGGAATTCATTTCCAGAAAACAGAAAGCCTGAACACCAGTGCTGAATGCCGAGCCGATGAGCAGAGGACGTAGTTCAAAGACTACACGCCGCGCAAAGGGATATCTTCCATATGGACCGTGCGAGTGAAGGTGACCTTGATCGCGTTGTCGGTCGGGGTAGGCATGGCCTCGACGTCAGTCGGGATTCTGCGAACGCGTGGACTAGTGACGGATGTTGGCGTCGAGAGGAGCTCGGTATTAGCGGTCTTCTTCATCCAGTGAGCGCGCATGTGATCCAGGGCTGTTTTGAAGTCGTCGAGGATGACTGTGTCGCAGAGACATTTGAAAACGAATGATAACTAGGATGGACTTGGTTAGTTTGCTGAATTTGGGTGGATAGATGAATGTTCAGTGCTACTGGAACTTCACTTACCTTCCAGAATGGCTCGACGCCTACCGGGAGAAGACTTGAAAAGGCGTTGGTTACGCTGCAGGTGTCGACGATCATGAACGCAATGGATAGACACATTGCTAGAAGCATGACGCCGAATCGGGGGCTGACTTTGACCAGTTCGAAGAGACTGAAGTTGTATTGGCGTTTGATGGTCCAGAACAGGTTGACAGTTGTGAAAATCCACCATGGATCACTACATTCCCCCCATGTTAGCAAGGAAAACGAACCACGTAGGCGCTCAGAAACCAACCGGAACAATGGCTCCAAAGGCCTCGTCTTCAAGAATATCTTGTTGATATTGTTGAAGTAAGTAAAGTTGGCATAGATCTCCAGACCCCAGTATGGGAAGCAAAGAATCACAGTCACAATGTAGAAGATCGACACCTTTCGCGAGAGAAACGGCTTGCACTTCATCCACGCGATGACATTGTGCAGCGCCCAAGAGACATTGAGCCCGATGGCCGTGATAGACAGGTACCATCCATAGACCGGTTCGTGTGGAAAAATAAAAGTGCCGTTGGGCATGGCCAAGATGAGCTATATCAGACAGACAGATCAGCACCCAAGCTTTGGGCCGCGGGTAGATGCGCATACCTCGGCAAAGATCAACTTGTGGAGCATGCTGTGCTTCTTCATGTTGGCGACAGTGACGGCCGCCATGATCAGCAAGCTTCCCAGCATCAAGCCTTGGCCCCATGCCTCTAGGATGAGGGCATCGGCGTCAGTGGGCTTTACAATGCGATCTTCGGTCATGGTGGGGAATATCGAGTTCAAGATTGCCGAGTGACAGATTCGCCAACCGCTTGGCGACGATTGGTGTCAAGGAGAGGTGGAGAAGAGGAAATGTATGAGGCGAGTAGCTTATGATCTGAGAATTGTTCAACGCGCCGCAGCATGGCAAACATAGCACATTGTGCGCGCGACTTGAAAAGTGCCGAGAATCGTAAGTTCCAAGGTTCCCAGGTTGGGGGGGGGGGGGGGGATTAGTGATTTTTATGTGGCTTTACCTAAGAAACTCTCTAGGGTCGCCTAAGACTGCCGTTCTACAGGGATTGAAGTGGGGATTTAGCGCGTATGGAAGTTGTTCAAAGGTGGCTTGAGAGTTCTCCTTTTGGGTCTTTCGTATTGCGTTATGGGAGTTACTGTTGCTAGTAGGAACATCCATGGATGTTGGGCCCTAAGTCGAGCAAAGTGAGGAGCCGCATTCTGGCGCACTTTGTTTCATGGGGTGGAACTGACAAAGAAGGTGTTTCTAATTTCGCACACAAAGGAGTTCACAGATTTTATGGGGGCCCAGAATGGCGGCGAAATGCCCCCCTCATTTGAGGCTTTTATTGTGTCCGGGGGTCTCCACCCCGTCCACGAGGCCATGTCGGGGTCAGGGGTAAAGTCCGGGTCCAGATTGGGCTAAGTCGGTTTCACCCGGGGGGTGGCGTTGGCTGCTCGCGTGCTTCCCCTCCATTTCCCACGTTGATGTGCCTGGAGCCTGAGCCCTACTGTGCACGAGCCGTGATATAGGGCCTACTGACTGGAATTTCGATTTCTACCCCTAGCTGCGAATCACTATCCATGAGACATTCTCAAGGCATACGGAGAGGGACATTCTTCTCGTTCCGGAGAAGGACAAAAGTCTGCACCTTTGCTTTGAAAGAACTCGTGGGCTTTCATTGTCAATCGCAGCGCCTTCTCGATACCAGGAGATACGCTGGACCCGTGTATATTCATCCATCGTTGTAGAAGCTGCTCTAGATGAGGCCCCAGCTCCAACAAGGTGATATGCCGAAGCTGCATTGTCAACTGTGGGTGACAAAATCCACCCATAAGAGTCAACATCGCCGTGGCAAGTGAAAGGGAACAGGGCCATGTATCAACCATAACAGTATAAGGCACTTGCTTTAAGTCTCTCAATTTGAAAAGACATGTATCGAGCGCAACCCGACAGCCATCCAACACACGTGGGTTGCGATGGAGGTTCCATGATGGATTGGCAAGCGCCCATTCCAGGAAGGGTCTATATATGACACTCCGACAGCTGAGATACCACTGTCGTAGGTACTCGCTGTGGGGGTCAATGGCAGGCTTTCCATCGTCGGGAAACTGCAGACTGGAAGGTAAAGTTTGATACCAGTCTTGAAGTTGTCGTGCCAGCTCTTGATTCACAGAAGAGAACGTGTTGGAATCGATTTGGAGGCCAATATCGCGGTCATAAAGCATGTAGTGGGCTCTATTGAGGAGACGACGTAGTGCTATGGATGCAAGGAAGTAGAAAGTGGACTTTTCCTCATCTTCGATTGTTTCATGAGAGTGAAATTTCCCTGGGAGGGATATGATTGATTCGATTTCGGCGTTGCAGTTCTGTGGAAGGGTCGGTAACTCGGAGATGTAGTTGCTTTCCAGTACAAAGCACGACCAGAATATTCTAGTAATGTGTTCCCTGTCATCGTGTTCGGGATTGTCGAAAGGGCAAGAGAGTAAGAACCGACACCGAGTTGCTGCGCTGTTCACATAAGACCATGTTTGTAGTGGTCTTTGTAAAAAGGAGAAGTAGAGTCTAGCCATTGATTAGCTATAGTTGCCCCGTACGCTAGATGAGACATCATAATACCCTGTCAGTAAAAGGCATTGGCAGGCTTCTACACTCATTTCAATGTGTGCCAAATGGAGCATCTTCATTGCTGCAGTAAACCACGATGCACCTTGTAGCCTCAACTGTTGAGACTCGTGTTCGGGAGTGTTCTCTCCATGTATCACAGAAGCCCCAACGCACCCTAAAGCCATGACCAATAGAGCCAGACATGAATGGCAGTTGGGCTCTAGGTTCTCTTGATATATCCTCATTTTCAAAGACTTCAAATCGTTGAAGCTCATCGTCGGAAACCAGAAATTATACGTTTGTTGGAAGATACCGACAGTCTTTTTGATCTGAGACAAACCCAGCGTCGGAAATATCCCATAGACCTTGCTTTGAAAGGATTCTCGTCCATATTCGAGTGACAAGAACGAAGTTTCTGTCTCTCTCAGTATCAAAGGGTGATCAAGGAAAACTGACCACTTGAGAAGAGACTCTGCGGAGGAAAGATGCCCTGACGACAGAACGGCACTTTCGGTTGGGTCCCTGATTGTGCACCCGCTTGCATGATGGCGCGCATCTTGAGACCTCGGGGTGATCGTCGAAACTGGGGACGTTGTATTTGCCTGGATGCTATCTTTAACATTGGAACCAGATCCCATAGCCTGGTACACAATATAAGCTCAAAACAACATGTATTTAGTAAAATGTTACGTACGACCATGCTCCTGAGCTCTGCAATGGAAGCTTCCATCCGCAAAACCGTATCCAAGATCAGTTCACTTTTCCCTCTTCTGAAATCACGTTAAATACTGGGTCTCGGAATGTAGAAATGACACTTACGAGATGGCATCTGTCCCGTACAGGCATGTTTGATTCATACTTGTACAGGGCCCGCAGGGATCCCGAGCGTCACATCTAGTGTGTTTGTAAGTCACGAGTCATCCTGAAGAAGCGCATAGACCATGCATACCTTGTCTTGCGCTGGCGGCATGAGTCACACTGGGGTTATGTCAGTCGGAATTAGCAATCCACTTACTAGGTCTTCGCTAGAAGGAAAGATGGGAGACAAACCGCTCGGGCCGCCCTGAATCTCTTCATGTCGGGCCGAAATGTGCTCTCCTGAGGCTTTGGATTCTGTAAGGGGTCTATGGTAGTAAATTAATTACTTCCACACACACAATGCTGGCTTGTCGTATGTTACTTTCCGCAGAGGTCGTCAACATAGCAGCCAAAGCTGCTCAAATGTGTCCATGGGTGTCCAGGTCCCAGGGTGGAGACATGGATGACTAATCTGGCTTAACGTTAACTTAGGTATGAGCGATTGAGCATACATTCTTCCGACATGTTTCTAAATTTACGAGGACTAGGCGTGTGGGAGACTAAGACGGGAAGGCTTTTGAAAAATCAAGGTTGATATGGAAGACTGAGTTGCACAAACTCGAAACCGATATAGATTTCAAGAGTGATATTATCATGACCATCAGAGCAAGTCATAATTCTTACAGTAGACCTGACCCGGTGATGATAACTAGAGATATATTGTATTTATCTTGATATATGTAAGGTAGTCTAAGCTGATGCAATGAATGCTCTTGTATCATGCTTTGCGAATTGTCGCGCCGGAACCTTTTGCTCAAACATATGATCCAGCTCCTCAAAGGTTCTACCTTTGGTCTCCGGGAGACAGAAGTAAGTCCAGATGGAAGCAATCACCGAGAAGCCAAAGAATGTAAAGCCTGTTTTGCCGCGAAGATCACCTTCATCGGGATTGATCATGTAAGGGACGGTGATAGTCATGATCAGGGTCCAGAAGTTTTGCGTAAAGAAGCCAATGCTCACGCCATATGATCGTAGTCTCGTAGAAGACATCTCTCCGCAGATCACATATCCAAGAGGACCCAGAGTCAGATCGTAAAAGAAGTTCCAGATGACGATTAAAACACACTGTCCCCATGCAACCGACGAGTTGTAGTTCGGTACAACGTCGAGGATGCCAATTATAAATACAATCACAGTGAGAATCACCATGCCTGGGAAGAGGGATCTGCGGCCGATGGTGTTGATGACGAACCATGAGCAGATGTTTCCGACAACACCAACTGCAGTCACACCAACGCCCATGTCGAAGGATCGCGATGTAGGGAGACCGGCGACTAAAGTTGAAAATAGTGATCAGTAGATGAAAGGGATGAATGATATCGAGGAGCTTACTTTGGAAGAAGTAGGTAGAGTAGCTAAGCACAAAGTTGACACCGCTGAAGGAGTTGATAGTCCAAACGGCGATGACAATCATAGTTCGACGGAGATCAGTTCCACGGAAACAATCCAGATAGCCGGCAGACTTTGCGAATTCTTCCTCCATCCGGACTGTTTCTTGGATCTCAACGAGCCAGGAATCAACGCTTCCGCTAGCTTGGAATCGCTCGAGAGACCGTTTGGCTTCAGAATGTCTACCCCTCTGAACATACCAATAAGGAGACTCGGGGCAGAACCATACTCCACAGAGAAGAATGGCAGGGAAAAACCACTGAAAAGCAAAGGGGATTCTGTAGGCATAATTGTCTGTTCGTGCACCGAATGCTTTGATGAGACAGTTTCCAAGGAGCTGACCGATAACCACGAACAGATTTACCATGGCAATGGTGATTCCACGCAGCACAACAGGGCTAGCTTCTGAACAGTAGGCACAAGCTGTGACAAGGAAAATACCGAGCGAGATACCGTTGAGCAGCTTTCCAGCAAGAAGTACCCCCCGAGTAAATGCAAAGAACTGCAAGAAGATGGAGCCGCTGGAGATGACGCAGGCGATGCTCAAACTCATCTTTCGGCCTGCATACGGCGAGATTGGACCGCAAATCAAACTTCCAATCATCCCACCGACTGTGGCAATCATGTTGAAAGCTGCTTGCCATCTTGCAGGCAAGATTGTGGTGCCATCCGGCTGGGTGTATCCAAACACAGCGCGAAACTCGGGAGCAGCAAGAAGGCCTCCACTGACTTGCATGTCGTAACCCCACAAAATTGCAGAGAAGCAGAAGAACAAACAGTAGAACATGGCCGCTCGATAGTTTGTCAGAGCTTCCTTCAGACTCATGTCATATGCCATGACTTGATCCGGGTACTCGGTCTTCTTGACATCGGTGGTGTTGATGGTGTCCAAAGTAGCCTCGACATGAACACTGTCGACAGATTTGTCTTTATCGGCATCCATGATGACAGACAACAATGAACAAGAATGTTCTAAGTAAATATGAAGAAAAAAAAGAATGATCTGATGAGACCTGCTTCTCAGATGGGGAATCTCGTAGTTTTAATACTCCTCGAAACTCGTGTCTTTGCTACCTCCGCATAATTCCCCGGCTTCGGGTATGAATTCTCGCCCCTGGTCATGCTATAGTCTTACCCTGGGGAAGCTAAGCGATCCGAAGCGGGGCTCGCTGGTGTTGGTAGGTGCTGGCAAGTTGGAAGATGGCAGACGGAAGTATAAAATTGGACGAGGCGTCAATGCAAAGACACCAATGAGCCCGATACACCCGATTAGCTCCACACAGTAGGCATTGGAGGAAATGGGAGAGGTTGGCAACCGAAAAGAAAACGCCAAACCTCTCCGGCTCCAGGATCCCCGGTGCCGATAGCCCCGGAGGCTGTTTATTGGGTCACCGGCTTCCCGAGGGCTCCATTTTCACCTCCGCAGCACAACCCCCACAACCACCGGCTCCGACAGACGCTACGATCCTGGAGCAATTGGATACCTCGAGACAGGAACGATAGCTGGAACCCCGCAAGATGATGCAAACAAGTCACGAAAGAATTTTGGAGGGGACCGGGGGTCATGAACCCCACGTCCCCTCCACTATAAAGGATATGAGAGAGAACATCCCACAGACAATACTCCAAATTTATTTCCTGCAGTGCAAGTATCATGGATTCTATCAAGATCCAAGAGATGTCACTACAGGCTGATCCCCAGCGGCCTGATTTCATGAACCCTGCAGTCTTTCGCAGAAACACACTACCCGCACGTTCCTACCATATCCCCTCTACATCTCTGCTTCTCAATGGGTCTTGGGAGTTCAATATGACCCGGTCGCCCGGGGAAGCGCCAGAGCCTACCGAAGAATCATCTGACAAGGATTGGTCCAGCATCAATGTCCCGGGTCATTGGCAGCTCCAGGGCTGGGGAAAGCCGAACTACACCAATACCCAGCTCCCCATTCCGGTGTGTCCTCCATACGTACCCACCGAAAATCCGACAGGGACCTACCGTCGGAAGTTCCAAGTCCCTGCCGAGTGGAGGGCCGAAAACACGGATATTCGGTTGCGCTTCGATGGTGTCGATAGTGCGTACCACGTTTGGGTGAACAAGTGTTTGGTCGGATATGCGCAGGGTAGCAGAAATTCATCGGAGTTCGATGTTACACCCTATATACAGACAGATGGCGACAATGAAGTGTTTGTCAGAGTGTATCAGTGGTCTGATGCCACGTATATTGAAGATCAGGATCAGTGGTGGCTATCTGGTAATATGTAATCCACGATACATGAAACTCGTTTGGCTAACTGCGTGAGTATAGGCATTTTCCGAGATGTGACATTGATTGCGTTCCCGGCAAAAGACCGGTTGCAAGATTGGTTCATACGAACGGACCTCGATTCACAATACACAGATGCGACGCTTCAGACAACGATCGAATTTGAAGTCTCGAAACGAAGCAGCATTACAGTCAGTTTAATTGACTCGGTGGATGGAAATGGGCATGTAATTTCCTCTACGGAAAGCATTGTGGAGCCAGCAACATCGAAGCTTGAACTGAGCCTGCCGGTGGTCAACCCAAAGAAATGGACTGCCGAGCAGCCGTATCTCTATGAGGTAGAGATGATTCTGCAAACTCCTGGCTCGGACAGTAGTTTCAAGATAACGCAGCGCATTGGATTCCGAAAGGTTGAGCGCAAGGGTGGCTTGATCACCGTGAACGGAAAAGCCATTCGTCTTCGTGGAGTCAACCGACATGACCACCATCCGCGTTTCGGTCGTGCAGTGCCACTGGAGTTCATGAAGCAAGACCTTCTTCTAATGAAGGCTCACAACGTCAATGCCCTTCGCTGCAGTCACTACCCTCCCGACCCTCGGCTCCTTGACATAGCCGATGAGCTTGGCTTCTGGGTTATCGACGAAGCGGACCTCGAATGCCATGGGTTTTATGATGCCGTCGCCCGACCAATGGATATGGACGAGACACTCGGCTATGAGGAGCGCAAGGCCATGACCTTTCCCTTGTGCGGTGTTCATACATCTGACAACCCAGTCTGGAGAGAAGCATACATTGATCGAGTCCATTCCCTCTTGCAGCGAGACAAGAACCATGCCAGTGTCATCATCTGGTCCATGGGTAATGAGGCGTTCTTTGGCACATGTCACCGCTCCATGGTGGAGTACGCTCGTGCCTTCGATCCCTCCCGTTTGGTTCACTACGAGGGTGACATTCATGCGGAAACTACAGACATGTACAGCTACATGTATCCAGAGATTGATCGGCTACGATCTCTGGCAAGCAAAGAGGGGGTGACGAGCAGTGGGAAATTCGACAAGCCCATTATTCTCTGCGAATACGCCCATGCAATGGGCAATGGACCCGGTCTGCTCACGGAATATGAAAAATGCTTCGACGAGATCCCGCGCCTGCAGGGTGGCTTTATCTGGGAATGGGCTAATCATGGGCTTTGGGTTGAAGGAATCAGCAAGAAGGATGGCTTCTATGCATATGGTGGTGACTTTGATGACTATCCAAATGATGGGACCTTCGTTATGGATGGTCTTCTGAACAGTGCACACGAGCCTTTGCCTGGACTGTTGGAGTTGAAGAAAGCCTTTGAACCTGTCAAATTGGAAGTTCGTGGCCAAGCGTTGCTTCTGAAAAGCCGGTTTGACTTCCTGGACCTAAGCAATATCAAAGCCTCTTACAAGCTTGAGGCCTTCGACAAACAGTGGGTGTATAATTGGTCTTCCAGTTGATTGAACATAAAAGCTGACTTCCCAACCCTAGGACGAGAACCCTGGCAACTGGAACACTGGAACTTCCGCATTTACCCGCTGGGCAATCTGCCGAAATTACACTCCCATCAGATCTATTCCAACACGACTTCCATCCAGCTTACTTGACCATTACGCTAGAGCAACGGGAAAAAGTTCCATGGGACAAAGAAAACTACGTTCTCGCCTGGAAGCAAGCCTTGGTATCAAACGCAAGCCGGAATACGCTAGCCAATGGCGTAAGCTTCAAGACCAGTATCAAGAATGACATTTCAACAAATTCAACCAAGACAACCGTGTGCATCGACGGAAGTAACTGGTCCTTCGAATTCGATCGCATCCGAGGCCACCTGAGAAAATGGACACACAACTCTGTTTCCATTCTCACCCCAGACCCCGACACAGGACTCGCCATAGTGCCTGGTTTCTGGCGTCCTCCAACAGACAACGACGTACCCTCCGCAGCACCATATTGGAAGCGATTCGGCATTAACAGCCTCACGAACCAGATTCGCTCCTTCGAAATCTCGTCATCGGAGGGTGGAAGTATCTGCATCGAAAGCAAGACATTCCTGTCCCCTCCCGTCTTATCCTGGGGCTGGAGATGCATCACACGGTACATAATCCAAGCCGATGGATCTTTGGCTATTACTATGAAGTTGAGACCTACCGGAACTGCACCGAAGACAGTTCCCAGAATCGGTCTCAACCTTCGCGCAAACTCTGCTTTGCAATCTGCCCGCTGGCTGGGACTTGGACCCGGCGAGTCCTATCCCGACAAGAAGGCTGCTCAGAGGCTTGGTTTGTGGGATGTTGAGGACATTGCGTCACTGCAGACTGTTTATGATATTCCTCAGGAGAATGGAAACCGCGCAGAAACGGCTTGGGTGGAGCTTGTTACGGCCGATGGGACTGGTTTCCGCGCTGCCCCGTTGGAAAGGACGGTGGTTAGTGGGGGAGCGGCAAGCTTGAATTGGACGGCTAGTCGGTACTCCGATCAGACTGTTGAGATAGCGCGGCATCCGTGTGATCTTGTCGAAGATGACGCCGTGTTGATCAGACTTGATAATTTGGTTGCTGGTGTTGGAAGCGCAGCTTGTGGTCCTGGTCCAATGGATGAGCATTTGGTCAAGGTGAAGGATATTGACTTTGGTATGCTATTAGAGCCTGTGTCTTGTGGATATTAGCGCTGTGTTAGACTTTATAAGGTATTACGGGGGCCACATTGATCTCAGTGGATCTCAGTTGGCATGCGGAATTGATCTATATGTCATGAAGGCTAGACTTGCAACACTTGCATAGAATGATAATGCTAATGCAAATACAGAAACAAAATACTCGATTTCCTTGAAAGAAGTCTAAAGATTGATCAGGTATATTCTACTCTTAGTAACAAAAGAAAAGCCAAAATGAGAGAAACCGCTGCATGAAATCATATACTCACATGCTGTGTCAATTAGAACATATCCGTAATACAAGAAACAAAAACGAAGACCAGTATCAATCTTGGTCATTAGCCGCCCTAGACCCAAGCCGTCAGCATCATCCATCATCCATCAAAGAGGTGAACAGAAAGAACCAACCCACCAAGAAACCAACCCCAAAACCAGAAACCCTAATCATCCCAACGCTGACTCCGCCGAATAGCCTCTATCGCAAACGCCGTACTAACACCACGATTGCCAACAGACAACTGCTTCGACGCAAAGCGATACAACGTCCCAAAAGCCCACCCCCCATCTTCATTCTGCGCCTTGCGCAACTCCACCAACCCCCGCCGATCAAACACGCCAACCTCATCACCGGCAATCAACCGCATCGCCAGACTAGCAACGTCAACCGGCACCCCCAATCGCTCCCTCAGCCGCTCCGCGAGCACGACCCGCAGTTTCCCATAGAGCACACTGTTATGCGGCTTCAGATACGACAGGAACCGAGAGAAGAAGTAGAGAAACGACTCTGGCATCGGGTAGTACGACGTGCCGTTGATATATGCCCGTCGCTGCAGCACCTGCACCACCCACTCTAGCGTCTCGGCTAGCTCTGTGCCCCGGCCGTATTTGTAGAACACGCTCAGGACGTTACAGCAGACTACCGGGTCGACTCGGTTCTTCAGGTCTGTCATGAAACTCTGTTCGGTGGTATTAGTGTTAGTGTGTATTTCTGTTTTTCTGTTGTTGTTGTTGTTGTTGTTGGCTCGGGGCTCAACTTGGTTCTTACCTGTACTAGACCGTCGGGCGTCCGGTATTTCAGCACAATGTCCATTACTTGGTGGGCTATGTGGGAGGGTCGGTCTAGGACTGTTGTTGCGAGTGATGTTGTGTCAAAGTCATCTGGTGAGTATGTTGGGGAGATGACGGGCGGGCCTGTGCATTGATCAGTCCTACTCGAAATGGATATTGGATGAGGTGGTAGGTATATGTCTTACCAATGAAATAGTTCCAGGTCGTCTCGTGGGGATCGATTTCTACCAAGGATCTTGAAAAATATCAGTCCGATTGCATGTCCTACTCGGAAGGGAACCATACTCATCGCCCGTAACTTCGAGAATCAACAACTGGGCAAAGTTTTCCCGGATGGTAATGCCAGTCTGCGTGATGGAGTTAAAGTTCTTCGAGTTCCGTTTCAGGAAACTCAATGCCCGTCCTATCGAATCCCCCTCGAGTAAGTTGACGATGGCCTGGTTGACCGAGACGTCTGGGTAGAGAAGACCCTCCATGCCGAGGGACATGGCGGCGAGTAAATTGTCCGTGTCGTCGTCGATGAGCACGGCATCTTCGGCGCGGAGGTGCAATTGATCGAGAATGGCGTTGTAGAACCGCAGCTCCGGTTTCCGCATGCCTATCTCGCTGGAGACAAAGATGCGGTCAAAACACGACCAGTCAATGCCTAGTCGCTTGGCTGCGGCGAAGTCCTCGCGCGAGAGATTCGTCAAGGCGTACAGCTTTAGACGGCCGTCGTAGCGGGCCTTGACAGCGGCGAGGGAGTTCATCACGGCTTGGTTGGGGCTGAGGCTGTCACGGATGGCATTGAAGGAGGCTTCCATTTCTTCGGCGGGTTGGCCAAAGTCCAATGCTAGTCGCGCATAGTATTCTTGTTCGGTGGTCAGACCACACTGATGCTCAGCCGTGGCGGCGCTGCAGACGATCGACTTGAAGGTGTTGGCTGGCAGGGAAATGCCCTTCCATGATGAGGTCAGGACCAGATTCTTCAGTTCCACAAACACGGCTTTGCAGCGGGATTCTTGCAGGCGTCCGACCATGTTGCTGGTTGCAGCAGACCCCTGGGCACTCCGGGGCGGGGTTGAAGATATATGGCCTGGATTCTGGGACTCTTCGGACTAAGATATCGAATTGGGGATTATTTTTGGATTATTAACGTGGACCAAGAGAGTTTAGCGTCCGAGATTTCAGGTTTGGTAATGTGTGGAATAGTGCAGCAGACACACTACCATGGGGATAGATATACAATAGTCAGGATAGACAGATGCGGATGCATTGGTTTCTGCCAACCAGAGGAGTGTCTGTTGTCTGTTCTGTTCTGTTCTTTGTTGGAGTTTTCCGTTTTCTGTTTCACTTTTCACTTTCACTTTTCAGTTTTATGTCCGGCGGCCCGAGCCCCATTCAGTTCCACGGGTTTGGACCGTTTGCCACCATGATATCAGGCACAGGGGGCCGAGATACACCTGTACGGGGCTATACAGGTACAGTATACAGTATATCAGTTACATGACATCAGTGGGCTTCAGCACTTCCATAGTCCATTCCTTCAAGTACAACAGAGCCCCACAGTTGACAGTCTGCAGGAAAAGTGGAGTTTTATGCATGCAGGAGTCGGTGGTGAATGCACGATTTAGACTATAATCCACTGCCATATCCCTTATCCCATCCCCTACCAAGTCTACTACATGTGAGTCCAGTCCACCGTTGAAGACGGATTTAATCGGACCTTCGTCTGCTCCACTTCCCCCTTTTTTAACTTTGGTGTCAAGGCCACTTAACCGAGTCGGACACGTGTACGATGGCCATTCACCGTGCTGACCCTAGGGCAACAGTCTATGTCCACTGAAAGAAAGTCGAACCCTCCACTCAAAGCAACCCAAGTCCATCCCTCTTGGAGCCCTCGTGCTTGACCGGGCCCACGTCCGACATGATTGGTCGGAACCAGCCCACGCCAAGACACCGTTGAAAACCCGACTGTACTGTACAGGTAAACTGCCCATCTGGGTTCCCAATCCGAGCGCAACCTGGTCCCCGCAGAGTGGTCTCAGGGAGGTCTTAGAAGGGGCTGTTGGTGCACCGCGACCCGCCGTCCTGGGCCGGCCAGCATCCGAGCTGGGTGCCGTGTTTCGCGAGTCATGACTGGCTAATACCGCCCTATCCGCCTTGGTGCGCAAGCTCAAAGAACAGCCCGGGCTGGCGGTGTATGCCGTGTCGAATGTTCTAACAGTGGACTGGGTAGAGTGACACGCGCCCTTTTCGTCGCTGATGGAGCTGTTCGACCGTGTCTTTATCTCGGGTCGGACGGGATTGAGGAGACCCGACCCCGACTTCTTTCGCTGGTCATGGATCAAATCCCGCAGAGGCCCGAGGAGCTGGTTGTGGCGGATGATCAGTTGGGGAATGCGGAGCTGGCGGGGAGTGTGAATTGGCCTGCTATTCTGTTTCAAAGGACTGGGTCTGTGTGCGGGCAGTTGGTCCTTAGTTTCTAGGTTTGACTATCTATATGCCCTTTTCCCTGTGATATGGAGTGGATAGAGGACCGGGTCCCCGCTACGAGTTTCATTCAATGATACGGATTTAACTCGCCTAATTACCTGAAGCCCGTCTGTATCGCCCTCTTATCGCGAAATGTTTGAATCCAGCGAGGAATTATACATCTTCGCTCTCCAATGAGAGAAGCCGTATACTGTGGTATTTCAAGCTGGCTCGCTTTTCCCCTTCTTGGGTGCACGATCCCCTCTTTCAGCTCAATGGCTGAAGTATTTTGTTTATGGCCTGAAGGCTTGATGGCTTTGGATATAGATCTATCTCCATACTGACTATGTAGTCCCAGATATCATTGGTGGCGTGGACCTTCCCATTGAAATCACATATAGTTTAAAGTTCCTCATAACTTATCAGTCCGCAGCTACTACATTTGAATCAGAGGAGAACCAACACTCGACGTATCCAATCTTCTACTAGAATAATCTGCGCATACTGAGAGTACAATCCCAAAGAAAATATTCATTTGATCAATGTACAAAGTACACTCTCATTCAAAATTACAAAAGAACAAGCTAATAATCCAAAGACTCCTCAAGCAACGTCCTCAACTCACTCTTCTCAGCCTGCAACTCCTCACTCAAATTCGGCGCCAACATCAAGACCCGCTTTTGAGGTAAAGTGCCTTCGACAAGACCATCAATATCAGACGCCTTATATCCCAGATCCTTCAGACCACGAGGCTGATCCCCAAGCTTGAGCAGGAACTCTGCAATCGCATTGCCGAGAACCTCGCCTGCACTCTCCCGCTTGACATTCGAGATATCAACGCCAAAGGCCTCCGCCGCTGCAAGATGGCGGTCCGGATTGGACGCGGCTGTGAAGCGGAAGACAGCGGGCGCGGTCACGGCGACGGAGACGCCGTGCGGGATGATGGGGTGGTCGACATCGTAGCCGGCGTGCTTGTAGCCCGGGTTTTGGGAGCTGATGCCGTATGAGAGGCCGTGGCAGAGGTGCACTCCTGCGTTGCCGAATCCCACGCCGGCGAGTGTCGCTGCTAGAAGCATGTTGGACTGGGCTTCGTGGTCGTCTGGATCGCGCACGGCGCGGGGGAGGAACTGCGCCGTACTGCGGAGGGCTTGGAGGGAGAAGATATCGGAGATGGGGTTTGCGCCTTGATAGGCGGGGCGGTTGATGGGGTTTGTAGGACGCGGTGTGCGCTCGTTGTAGGGGATGGCAGTCCATGACTCGAGTGAGTGGCAGAGGACGTCGAGGCCGGAGGAGGCATGCACGGCTGGGGGCATGGTGCGTGTGTTGATGGGATCGCAGATTCCCAGTGTGGGCTTCAGGTTGCGGTGGGCGATTCCTGTCTTGGCTTTCTTGGACACCAGGTCGAAGATGGCTGTTCCGGTTGTCTCTGAGCCTGTTCCAGCTGTGGTGGGCACGGCGACGAGTGGGAGCAGCGGCTTGTCAACGGGGAGACCCTTGCCCAAGGGTGCATTGACAAAGTCCAGGAAATCAGCTTCCGGATAGGCGTTATACAAGTTCATCAATTTGGCCGTGTCAATGACAGATCCGCCGCCTAATTCATTCTGTTAGACTCGAGCGTGGAGGTGGTAGGAAAACATACCAACAGCCAAAAATGCATCGGGCTTATACGGCTTGACGAAATCAATAGCCTCTCTCACACTGCACCAGTCAGCTTGTATTCATTCACACAACAGGACCGACAAACTTACGAACTATCCTTTGGCTCAATGCGGACCTTGTCATACACTGTGAACTCGATACCCTCTTTCGTCAATCCCTCTACAGCCTGCTTCATAGCATCCAGTTTGACCACATTCGAATCGGTGACAATGCAAACACGCTTGGCGCCCATGTTGGCAAAGTCCATACCAACCTCCTTGGTTGCGCCGGGCCCGAAGCGAATACTCGATGCAGCCATTTCAAAGGCATACTCTTTCTCGCGTGAGCGGTCAATTGGCGTGGCTAGGTGGCGCTTGACATTGTTGAGGAGGGCGGGGGTTTTGTGGTGGTGATGGTGGGCGGGATTGCCATGACAGGGACAGTTTGGAGGATGCGTATATTGTACTGTCCGGAGAAGATTGAGAGCACGGTTTGCTGCGCTAGGCGCGACTCGAATTGCTGGGGATACCATAGTGAATTGTGAAAGATTCAGAATCGGATAGCTTTGAAGCTACGCTTTGAAGTAGGAAGTGGTGGGGGAAGTTGGGGAATGCGGAGAAACGGAGATCGGACTTCTGGCCGAAGTATGTAAGCGGCTCGTGATTAGTTAAAAGGCCTGGAATTTCGGTTTAGAATTCACTTGATGACATTTCTCGTTGCTTTTAGACTAGATTTCTCCAAATACTCTCCAACTACTCTCTCCAAAATGGAGAGCCTGCCCAAGCTGGAGGGAATCCGACAGCCGAGGTCCATTGAATCATCTATGATGACATCAACCAGTTCTCCCCTCTAACACAGCGACAGAACCAAATCTGTATCAATGTCCGTAACCCGAACCTGACTTCCAGCAGGAGGAACGCCATTGGTCCAATTAATCTGCGGCTCGGCAGGTGTCAGACTAACAGGATATCCCTCAAAGGGATCCCCAAAGACATCACTTAGATCATACCAGACCTTGCCCTGGGCGACATTGGACAGGTTGTAGGCAAAGATCATCTGTGGAGCACTGGTATACAGTCCATCGACATCGGTGCTGATCTTGATTGCTATTCCGCCGGTGCTCCTTTCTTCGCGGAACATCTCACTATACGTATCGTTTGGTAGGACGGTCTTCTCTGGTTGGGCGGCAGTTCCAACGGACCAGAGGTAGATTGGGACGTTGCAGTTGTTGCTTACGATTGCGTGGCCACGGGGGCGACGGCTAGGTGTTGGTCTGGGGGTTGACACGGGGACGGTTGGTGTTATGAAGCTGCCATCTGGGATTGGAGCACGGTGGACCAGGTTGGTCGAGGTTTTTGTTGGACGGGCGAGAGTCAGGGTTGCTAGAAGGAGGAGGCTTGAGATATACATCATGTGGTATGGTAGATATTATTGCTTCAAGCGTGGTTTTGTTGACTGGTCCTGAATGTAGGTGCTGCGTGTGGCTTTTATAGATCTCCTCGTTTTATTTGTAGTGCCCCGACTGCATTCCTAGTGTGTCCAGTCTGGATCATGAGAATGTCACGTCCTCACGGGGGCCTGCAGATTCATCAACTAACACTAACATCCTTTGATGAAAGCCAAGCCATACTACATACAGGGCGAAGAAATCAAGGGAGATCAAAGTATCACTGTCACCATACAATTGAACTGATGTTTGACAAATAGACCTTAAAAGACCGGGAGAATGTGACATTTTCCTTTTTGGTGTATACATCCTTAGAACTCCCTTCACTCGTGATTTTCCGAGGAATGTTCCTTGATCTAAGATCGATTTCGGAAGCGGGGGCAAGGCCATGGTCTATTTTGACACGAATATCCAAAGAATGTGAATGTTGAATATAGTTCACCATAGAATCCATGAAGTAGCCAATTGAAGTGGCAATCTTAAACTAACGAAAAGGCTCTGTAAGAGATGAACAGTAGTCTTGAGACCATTCCACCGTGCCCGTAAAAATTACTATTTCCACTGCAATCCCCAGTAAAGTCAAGGGGCTGTAGCAACTGTGGCGCCCAGGAATGCAAACTCTTGACGAGGATCTAGTCCAGGCCTCCCCACAGAATCAAATTCCGCGGAGAATTCCTCGATTTCAAACTGATCAAGAATGTAATTGAACTAAACAGCTCATCCGTCGGCTATGAAAGACAGTTTTGGGCTTTTGTTTAATTTGCAGTATTCCACCAATAGCCTGGCTGTTCTGAGTACATGCATGGATATACTGCAGGATGAGCTAAGAAGGATTTCCAATCTCAAAATCGTCGATGTAGCTTGCACAGAAGATAATTTAATCGTGATGCAAGACCCAAAAAGTCAGTTGCTGAGGAATATTGGATTGATATTGCTTACCGTAGTACAAATCAACGGTCAGCGGTGCCACGATGTTGGAGTCGTGTGAAATAACAAGTTTGATGTGATACTGTACTTGTCACACTATGAGACGGCAAAGCCAGAAGATCGTCGCGTTTCAGGGGTTAAGCCGGATTCACCGAAAATAGTAGCGATTGACCACGCTTTGGTCTCAATTCATCTGGTCTAAGCGAGTTGTGTTGATTAGATTGAACTGTACGGCATGGATCGAGACCATTTCAACACGGACATATCGATATTCTTTCTACAATTACTCTGTCTGTTAAAATATAGCATCTGACAGCCCTTCAAATGATATATAGACGATGCCTGCGAAAGCAAGATAAGCAATGCTAAGCCTTGCCGGGTTTCTGGAGATCAGTAGCCTACGACGAGTCCTGACTTACTGACTCTACGACTCAACATTGGTTTGTGTTATGAACTTTTCCCATTTCTAAAAGAGCAAAGGGTGAAAATAATTTCGATCCATGCTGTAATCCATGCTGTATCTGAATACTGTGCGTATATAAACTGATTCTATCATAAATATGTACAAGTGAAATAAAGAAAAAAGGAAATAAATATATCCATCGAAGGAGACGATTTGACCCGCTTAGAAAGTCACAAACTCGGAAGTACCGAGGACATTATCACCCTGCTGAGCGACAACCTGGATGTACTGGTCAGAGGGAATATCGACAGTGAGAGCAGTCTCAAAGCCAGTGCGGTCACCAGAACCAATCTTGGTGTTTGTGCTGGTGGTAGTGTTATCAGAGGCAGAATAGACAACCCAGTTGTCATACTCCGTAGCACCATTCCAGCTCATGTAGACTGTGACATTAGAGTCGGTCTTGGAGGCGATAACAGAGGGGTTCCAGAAAGGAGTGGCAGCCCACTGGCAGCGGTAACCACGGTAGGAAGCGACAGCGTTGTCCTCACCGAACTGAGCGCTGAAGACAACGTTGCCGTCACCGTCGAATTCTTTCACCTTGGAGATGGAACCGTAGTCCATGAAGACGTGGCTGTCCACCTCGCTGAGAAGTTGGTAGCTACCCTGGCTGACGGAGTGGATGGGGTCGTTGGGGTCGGTGAGGGAGCGAAGACCAGTGACGGTCTTCTTGACCAGGTCGATGGCCATGCTCACACCGGTGGTTTCGGATTCTTGGTCGGTGGGGGTGTTGGCGTTGTTGAACAGACTCACCACAAGGCTGGAATCGGTCTCGTTATACACGCGAATGTCATGCTGCCAAGAGAAGCCGGGGTTGTTGATTTGCTCGAAATCTCCGCCATCCTCACCATCGACGGTCCACAAAATGGTGCCGTTCTGGGCAAGATAGTAGCCGGACCACATGTGGCGCAAGGAAATGATGTATCCGTGGTTTGTAGCTTCGATGGCGTTGATGTGGTAAGCGTCGTAGGGGTCGGACTGCTCGGTGCCAACGTCCTTGCCGAGACCCTGATGGGAGGTAGTCAGAGGAATCTGATCCTCGTGGTCGAGGGCACTCCACGAATTGATGACCTGGTTGGTTTTGATGTCAATCTCGTGGAATTGGCTGTCCAACATCCACGAAGAGGAAGTGCCGTTGATCGAGGTCAGGTCGTGCTGAGTAACATTATAGGCGGTGCAAATAATGGTGCCACTAGGAGTAATTTCACTCTCGTGGAGGTCACAGTAACTATCCTTGACAGAGTTGTCAGGAGTCACAAATGCGCCAGTGAGAGTGACGGTGTAGATCTCCTTGTAAGTGTTGTCAAGGATGTGGATTGTGCCGTAACCGTAGCCAATGGACATCATGTCACCAGCCCAGAAGGTGATAACATCCTGGCCATCGAGCTGCTGGGTTCGGAAGTTGGCAGTGACCTCTTCAGGTCCTTCATAGACCAAGTTGCCGGCATCATCGTAGATAAGCGCCGCGGAGCCAGCCGCCTGAACGCCACCACGAGGTCCGAGGAAGATATACCCGGGATCGGTAGTTCCAGTTTTGTTGACCTCCAACTTAGGAGGCTGGAAATCCATAGACGAATAGGTAGAGTAGTCCCATGCCGCTGCCTGAAGAGACAGAAGCAGAGTGCTTCCTGCGGTGTACCACTTCATATTAAAGAGAGTATGATCTAAAGAATGACGAAAGTGAGTGTGTGAATTCGTGATAAGATCTGGACGAACAGGATCTTAAATAGGGGACAAGCATTGGAAAAGCCGGCCCTGAAGATCACTTCCTCATAGTGAGTGGACACTACCATTGCCTAGTATGGTTGGCCACCGCCGCCCGCAAAGCCGTGGGACTGTAATAATGGCATTGGCATCGTCATTGGCCCACCCGAACCTTTAATCAATCTGTGATAATACGGAGAGCAGATGCATCTGCACATCACTGTACCGTAGGTGTTCGACCAGTGTTTGGACCAGTTTGATAGGCACGGGTATCCCCCTGGAGGGGATTATCCCAGTCTGGTACCTAAGTGGAAGTGATATATTCCGGCCCAGTGACCATTGAGAAAGTCGACTGAGCAAAATTTGAAGATCAGCGTGACGATCAGTTGCAGGTTGGTGCTGAAGTGGCATTCTATTCCGCGCTTTGCCGTTTGCATTATGGAGAAAAGCCCTTGTTGGTTCCGTGGAATTGTTCCAAGGCGAAACGGCCCTGACGCGTGGTAGCGACCGGAGCCGACAATTTCCCATTTAGCAGGTCAATTCCCGGGGAGGCGAGATGCGAGATGGGCTGAGGCGGTCGGGATGATCCAGGGTTCAGCAGAGAGGCAGTGATTGAGGCGAAAGCGGGAATCTCGGCAGCCACCGCAAAATCAGTGCATAGAGATACATGATCCGTACAACAGTTTATGCGAGATGAAGATGAAGATAAGATGAGAACCGTTGAGACAAGGGGCCTATGATGTCATGTTGATGCCTGATAAGCCAGGTGTAAAAAACCCTACTATACAGACAACAAACAATGGTCAATGTACGATGGACTGCATGATACAAGCTAAAACATATACACAAAACACAAAATTATCCTGATATTTACATACACACGTTATTCAGATTGATCTTTCTCGTCAAAAACAACCCTCGCACCCAGTACACCCATCGACGAGGCCACACGATCCAGGAACATGGTTCCACGAGGGTCATGGCCGCCGGGCTTGGGACCATTTCCAAGCTCCGAATGAATGCGAAAGGGAAGAGAGAAGCTTTGAGAGCTGGCAGTAGAAGGTGAGGTGGAGTATGTGCTGCCCTCGCTGGGTGGGGAATTGACGGACTCGGGGGAAAGTGTTTCTTCAATCACATGGACCCGAAGTCTATCCTCGAGCCGATTGGCCAATCCTTGGATCGTTTGCAGCATGTTCTTTGCTCCGGTAAGAAGGAGTGATGGTCCAGTGTCGGGAAAGACCTCTGGGACAGGTCCGATGAAGGGTTTGTTAGGACCTTGAATGATTCCTTGTTGGCGCTCATTGTGTGCGCTGATACAAGACTTGAGGTCGGATATTAGAGATTCAAGTTGCTGGGACGTATGCTGTATACGGCTAATTAGACCATGCACTGTGGCATGGTCTAGATCGCTTCCCGCGAGAATATCTCGAGTCTCACTGATATATCGCGGACACTTGGCGGTCTCCATGTGAACCAGATCAACAAGGTCGGTATATGCACTCCATTCCCCAGGCTTGGTACGATCCTCGGTCATCATCTTGATCGTATAGTTTTGCCATTCCTCTTCATCCAGAAAACATGGCTTTCCTTCATAGAGAGCTAAGAGGATGAGGAAGCCTCTAAATGCGATGAAGCAGAAACGTCCAAAACCAGACTCGAAAGCGGCCGCAGTCCTTTTGATCATGAGCTGCCTTACAGCATCACTGTGCACCACCCATGCGTCTGGTGTGGTTTGAGCGTACATTTCAAAAACGCTCAGAATGATGGTAGTGCAAAGCATGTTATCGGACATCACATGCTCCGGCTTGGAGAGAGCTTTGATGACTGATTTGAGTGAGTTGGAGTACAGCTGTCGACTGGTTTTGAGAAGGGTCTGGTCATTGGTCAATCGAGAAAGATAAATCGAGCTCAAACAACAGATGGAGTTGTCGAGGTATGCATCGGTGCCATAGTTGAGCACTACATGTTCCGCAAAGCCGAGTCCATCTCCAGATCTGAAGCGGTTGTGATAGTAAAGCTACCAAAATTAGTGTTTGTAATATAATATGGTATGGATACGCGACCCACCGTGGGAAATGAATGTGAAATGAAGCTCAGAAATAATTGAGGCTGAGCGCCGCGGAACTGTTGCCGAACTAGCGAAAAAGAGAGTTGTTCGTCAAAACCACCGGCCGAATGCTGTCGCATTAGTGCAACAGCATTGCCACGCACTATGTCAGCTGTTGCTTGGTCCCTCTCCTCGATTCGAGTGGCAGGCTGCTTGGGTGGTCTTCCTCTTCGTCGTGAGCCCGACTGATGTCTTCGGGCAAGATTAGGCCCCTCATCTTGGAACCGAAAGGCGCGCCGATAACCGGGGCAGGGTTTGCCGTAACGCTGACAATTGCTGCACCCCGGAACACCCTCATCACACTGCAAATGTTAGAAACGTAGAATTATGAGTGTGAGAAACCAACCTTAATACGTCGCTCGCGACACAGAGCACAGCCGTTTGAATGCGGAACGCCAACCATCGGGGGAAGTCTGAGACGCTGACTGTCTCAGATCATAGCGGTCGCGGAAGAGAGGAAGTCAATCGGACCAACACTGAGTGGGATGGATCCATGCAGTCGTCGGAGGGAGACAGTAGGAGACGTTGAATATCGAAGAGTCAAGAGCCACAAGACAAGGTCAAAGAGCACGCAGCATAACAAGGATGAAGTCTTACATGACTCAAGAAACTCGCCAAGCCAAGCCAAAGGACCCCGCCCAGGGGGTAAACCCGCACTGTCTTTAAACGTCCAAGGTGGTTTGGGGGATCCACGATCTGCTGGGAGAATAAATTGCGATCGGAGATTGAGGCTTAGAATTAAGCTTGGGCTTTGGACTTTCGGTGGATTTGGAGATTGTCAATACGAGCACATCGTGATTGTGGGCCTCGAGGGCGCCCTAAACAACGCCCAGTGTGCTGTTTCAGCCTTGCTAATGCAATGAGTGTGCATCTACCCAAGTGAGGCCTGTCGAACCTGCAGTATCCGAGTGCCTCTACTGTCTGTCAGAACTCCAATGAAACCATAACTTCCCCGCGTTTGGAGCCAGTTGAGGTAAAAGTACATGCGCTGCTGCCGCGGATGGCCAGGTCACGTTTGGTCACGTTCCATCACCTGTCCCCTTCTCTTTCTGCTCCGGGGGAATTGTTCTCTCTTCATCGATCGCAATGCCGGAGTTTCAAAGTCGTCCAAAGGTCCTCATTCCTGAAAAGCTATCTCAAGATGGTTTGGCATTGATGCGCAGTTCTCTCGATGTCCATGAACGGAAAGATCTGAGCGCTGATGAGCTGTTGGAAATAATCCCCGAGTACGATGCTCTGCTGGTACGCTCCGAGACGAAAGTCAACGCGGTTCTGCTGCGAGCTGCCCGGCGTTTGAAGGTAGTTGCTCGTGCTGGTGTCGGAGTGGACAATGTTGGTATGCTGCAATAGCCATGTCTCCGCGGCTCCTATTGACCCAAAATAGATGTGCAAGAAGCGACAAAATTAGGGATTGTGGTTGTCAATTCGCCGTCGGGAAACATCAACTCGGCAGCAGAACATACAATTGCCCTGATGATGTCCATAGCGCGAAACATTCCAGCTAGCTGTGCCAGTCTCAAAGATGGAAGGTGGGAGCGAAGCAAGTATGTTGGCGTGGAAGTCAAAGGCAAGACGTTGTCGATAATTGGACTGGGAAAGGGTAACGTATTCGATGAATTTCCCTGATACCGATCTAATCCATCACAGTTGGGTTAACTGTCGCACGACTGGCCAAAGGATTGGGAATGAACGTCAATGCCCTGGATCCCTATGCCTCAGCAGCCCTGGCAGCATCCGCCAGTGTTACGCTTGTATCCTCTTTGACCGAACTGCTTCCATCCTGCGACTTCTTGACCATTCATACACCGCTCATTGCTTCTACTCGAGGGATGATTGCAGAGGCTGAATTGGCTCAAATGAAAAAAGGATGTCGCGTGCTCAATGTAGCTCGAGGTGGCACATTTGATGAAGAAGCTCTGGTTGCGGCGCTGGACTCGGGCCATATCGCGGGGGCAGCAGTCGATGTGTTTACATCGGAGCCGCCAGCCCCGAATTCACCTGCAGCTCGACTCATCGCGCATCCACGGGCGGTTGTCACACCGCATCTTGGTGCCTCCACGGTCGAAGCACAGGAGAATGTTTCGGTTGATGTCTGCCAGCAAGTACTTGAGATTTTACAAGGGTCGCTGCCTCGCTCGGCTGTCAATGTTCCAATCATCCTCCCCGAAGAATATAAGAAGCTGCAACCTTTTGTTCGTCTGGTTGAGAAGCTCGGTAGCTTATACACTCAGCATTATGCCACTACCTCTGGGGGATCCATGACACAAAACACGTTCGACCTGATTTATCAAGGAGAGCTGGCTAGCATCAACAACACGAAGCCGTTGTTTGCAGCTCTTATAAAGGGGCTACTGTCTCCTATCAGTAGCACCGAGGGATTGAACGTGAATATCGTCAATGCCGAGCTTGTGGCTCGTGAGCGTGGAATTTTTGTATCGGAGCAGCATTCGCGCGACCCATCAGAGCACTCGTCATATTCATCACTGGTAACTCTTGTTGCCCGTCCACCATCTCGCTCATCCTCACGGGACCCTACTACTGACACCTCTGGACCTATTCCACCCCAACAGCAACGCATTATCTCTGGCACATGCTCTGGTGACCAGCTGCTGATCACCCGTTTGGGTCGGTTCGAGGCATCGTTCGAGCCAGAGGGAACGTTGCTGATATGCGAAAATTATGATTCGCCAGGGAAGATCGGAGTTGTGGGTAGCATTCTTGGCCGAGAGGGAATCAACATCAACTTCATGACGGTGGGACCACTTTCACCCAAGCATACAACTACTCGTATTACCAGCAAGGAAGATAATGAAGAGCCCACGAAAGAAGTATTCTTGAAGGAGTCCTTGATGATCCTGGGAATTGATCGAAATGTTCCCCCTCATGTTACGACTGACCTCGCGAAAGAAGGTGGGATTTTAAGTGCTTACGCTGTGACTCTCTAGGGATATATTCGTGTCAGATGATTTTTTATCTCTGGCTGACAGGAGGTATGGTTATCTATCTCAATTACTCAACATTAGTCTATCATTCAATCAATCAAGGTTCAATTAACCTGTTGCAACCTGACTAGTATCGTAATGGCTACGTAGGCGCTTCATCCAATTAAAGCGAAGCGCTCAGTCGATTAGCTAGAGCTAGTGCCTAGTCTCTCTTAAGGACCAGCTTATATTCTGTATGGGTATTATCAGGCGTACGGCGAAGTTCTTGCTTCAACTGGATGGAGCGCCTGCATAACTATCACGATACTAGTTAGGCTGCAACAGGTTAATTGAACTTTGATTGATTGACATGGATAAGTACGCGGCAGCAACTAGTGAATTTGTGATGTTTGCTCAGATTCAGGACTGCCTAATCGGGAAGTCGAGAAGTCCTCAGATGCCTTAGGCCACGGGGACTTGTCTAGGTTGAGTGGAGTGTTGAACAAAAATAAAGAACATAATGCTTAGACTACATAGAAATGCCAACAGTAACTAGAGCTTGCACGCGTGCCAACATCCGCAATCCCTCTCCACAAGACAATTCATCCACAGCCGTCAGTTTGCTCTTTTCTCGCACTACCAATACAATTAACATGATGCACAGGATCTCAAAGCATTGGAAATAGTCAGGACTTACAAAGTGCCGCACGTGCTCACACGACATTTCTCAACAGATGACCGTATGGCAGCTGGTGTAGTCGACGACATTCACAGTAAGCTCACCCTCACTAACATCATTGTTATAGAATGGAGCACTGCCGCAAAGACCGCAGTTGTGATCAACCAGCTGCTGAATGGCGGCCTTGACCGAGTGGCCTGGAGCGCCATCTTTTGTGTTCTGCACAAATGCGCAGACGGAGTACTGCTCGGTGTTATCCTCGTCGCACTGGACGCAACAGATTTGTTGGCCGTTGTAGTATTGCGTGTTGTCCGGGACGCTCTCGCAGGCCTCTTTTAGCTCTTTCAGATTGGTCTGGGCGTGGCAGAAAGGGCACTCTCCACTACCCTGGCAATTGATTCCCTTGCCGGCAGCGGTGGTGATCATGGCCGAAGCCATGAAAAGAAGGATGGTGAAACGCATCTTCGCGGAAATGCGGGTGGCAGGAAGTGTGAAGGACTGTGAGGTGTAGAAGTTGAAACAGATGAGCACTCAGTTCTGTGAGCGGTTTTATATGTCGCTGGATGAACCTAGGCTGGAAGAAGCAACTGCTAGAAACCAGCTGGACCCTGGCGATTGCATCGAGATGTATACCGTATTCAGTCTAGTTGCTGACAATGGTGTCTCATCAAGGTTACCTCTATGGAATCCACCTGTATGGTTGCCTAAACTATCTATCACATAAATGCGACTAGAACGCATGATCGCATCGAAACATATCCATTGACTGTATCAAGTCTAATCTCTGGCAGGAATGCCTCAGTACGCTACTCTATGAGCTCCACAATTATGTCGCTGAGGATTGATCAAAACGCACCCCCTGATTGTTATCTGCACACTTCTCTTACTGCATGACGCGAAATGCAGGGTAAATACACTCCGCCCTATGACATTCCATCACCGAGTATCCCACTTTGAGGGGAGGGAATTGAGGCCAGGCCGGTACATACTCAATAATCCTGATTCTGCAGTGTTTACTTCTTCCTGCCTAGATTAATGCCTGAATAGTATTGCTACCGTTAAACTTATGTCACCTGATTACCTTGGTGTATTATGATCTCCATTCCTCCATCCTCGATCCATCTTCCTTTCTTATGCCTAGTTGCCTCGTTCAATGCTACCTTGTTAATTGATCCTCTACGTGCCTAAGCTATGTAACAAAAAGTACTGTCAGTACACTTTTTCTCATCCTCTGTATGATCCTTTGGTGTTACCAAGCTCTTAATTGGTTAATTGATTTCGTCGTTATGTTTTCGCAAATTCCCGCATATTGCTATGTGGGCTCAGGCCCCCTGTACTATAGCCAGTACGGTATACAGCTCGATACTAAGCTTTTTACTCAATATATGACTCAGCTAGGACTCATAATCACAGGTAGATATGTTTTGATTGGTTCTTAAACTACTTGTAAGCAGTAAAAGTGGCTGAAATACGCCGATCATCACTAGTTGAAAGTCAGGGTCTGCTAACATAAAATATTATATACAAGATGCCGGCACAAAGGAATAATGTAGGCAGCAAAACGAAGGATATTAGAGGTACGCCTTTATAGATAGTGCGTTTACTAGCTCACCATAGCTAGATCCATTAGATATGAAAGGGGAAAGAGATCTGAGTAAACAAAACCCTAACAGTGAAGCAAAGACAGGCTATCCACCTCTGCTCTTCACCGTATTTGAATAACTTCATTTTAAGGAGTACGGACCGCTCGTTTTTATTGAAGCGCCAGCACGAAGAATGCTGGCACAACAACATTTACAGTGGAAATTGCAATTCCTGCCGCGCACAGCAGGAAGCGTACGAGAACGACTGCTAGTTGCTGCTCACCGCTATAGAGCGCTCTCACACGACAATCACCTTCGCGCCCGAGCAGAGCAGAGACTTCTTCATCAGTCACCGTTTATGCAAGCTCACCATCCGTGGCTAGCGAAGGCTACTTGCAGTGTCAAGACACAAAGCGTGAATCGCGCCTTGATGGGCAAGGCCCTGGGAGAGACACTTAACACATACCCTTCACTAGGTCGAAATAGCGACTGGGGGGATTTCACGAGAAAACCAAATCTGGTTGATTGAAGCTGGAGCGCGGATATTGCGTATCGCGTTGGAAGAGGTTATATGAGGCTTGTTAACTTTGATTCTAACTTTCTCTATATTCCCTACGACTTGATGATACATATACTAAGTCGGTTTACTCTTATCCAATTTACTCAGATTGTTGTGGGTGTTTGAAGATTTATGTCCTGGGGTGTCATGCTCCGAAATTCCCAAAAGGGAAACTGGACCAAAATGCAGTTCTTAGCCATACCTGCGGCACTGACCACCCCACCACTGCCTGCAAAGGCTTGGTTCCGATATCTATAAGGTGATAATTATTAGTGAATAATACTTTAGTTAGTTTAGGGCTAGCGATCTAGTAAGTCGTGGGGGGTTAAAGGCGATGACAAAAGAAGTTAATCTCTATACCGTCAAAATCCCGTGCCGATCGTTTTTCCCGAGTAGTGAGAGGATTAGCGTTAGATGGGAATTAGAATAAGAAAAAGAATGACACTGCAAGGAAGTAAATTGGTCAGGGGAGTTGGCATTCATACAGATACAGTTGCTTGGCTTTGGTTACAATACAGTATTTTGCATAGTAATGATATTTGTTACAATCCATATCAATTGAATAGATAGAGCATGCAACAAGCTTATGACCAGAAACACACTCTCTCAAAATGAACATGCCCAGACGCCCAGTATATGAGCACAAATGCAAGGTATCAACCGCAATAGAAACCGAAAAAGAAAGAGAGAAAAAAGGCAACGCCCGGGTATCGCAATCAAAACATAGAACTCCGCTTTTTCTCCAACTTGGTAGTAGCAGTTTCCTCCTTGCGCTTAAAGCCGAAGAAACTACTCTTTTTCTGCTGAATTTTCGGTGCCGGTCTGGAGACGGGAAGGGCACCACTGCTAGTAGGCTGGGCATAGAAACCAACCGTCGACACGGGGCGCGGCTGGGGGCCGGGTGGTGGGCGTGACTGCATCAGGTGTGTGGACGATTGAGCGCGGGGGTCCATGCGACCTGGTGCGTGGAGGTAAGGCTTGTTGGAATGTGAGGGGACGGGTGCGCCTTGGGGTGGGTAGTGGGAATGAGGGCGGGGGTTACGGGGTGGATGGGGTGGATGGGAGAGTTGAACGGAGGATTGGGAGTATTGGTGGGCATAGGGTTGGTTGGGAGTGGTGTGTCGGGGTGGGAAGTGAGGTCGGGCTGAGGGTGCGGGTGTCCGTTGTCTGCGGGCTGCTTCTTCTTCTCTGCCGTAGATCTGTTGAAGGCGCTTGGTCTCTTTATCGACCTCTGCGTCCCGACGTCGTTGGGCTACGGCGACTTCCTGCGCTCGTCGCTGTTCTTCCTGTCGCGCGAGGTCGTCTTGTCGGCGCCGATCCTGCGGCGCTGGAGATTTCGAGTTTGGAATGCTGAGACGAGGAGGAGATGGTCTGCTCCCTCCAGAAGGACCGGGCGTGGCCGCTTGACTCCTTTGTACCGGCTGCGTGTTGCTGACTGGGATCGCCGCAGCGGCTGGCTTGCGGGCGATTTGGTTTGGTTCAGCAGGGGTGATGTGGAAAGCTTCCTTTGCAGGACCAAAGAAGATGTCTTTTATAGCAACAGTCGCTAAGAGGAGCACGACCTCTAATCCTTTGAAGTCCTCCATCTCCACTCGATATAGGTTCGGTTCGTATAAAGTCAGTTCTTTAAGACCCTGGAACAGGGCAACTGTGATATCCGGTTCGCGGCTCTTTGTACGTGAATCGGGAATGGTCGAAGTCTTTCCATGCAGCAGGCAGGTCAGGTCCTTGGAGAGCTTGCCATCCTTACGCCAGCTGAACCGCAGCTTCTCAGTCACGTCCGCTGTTGCGGGATCACTCTGCATCTGATCCAGCGACGAACCAGATGGGACCCGGAATGTGTTTTGGGGCATTTCGAATTCCCATCGTGCGGGGCGGTTCCACGTTTTCGCCTGGTATTTCACTGTGATTTCCTGGTCTGGGTTGTAGAGCTGAATCGTGAAAGTGGTCGGGAGTATGGGTTCTGGAGGAGGAGGTACGCCGCCGTTTGCACGAATCGTATCTGCCGAGAGACTGGGTTGTGTCCATTCGGGAATTACGGCGACCTCGCCGTAGACAACATCGGTGACGTAGGGATCGTATAAAGCGACACCGTAGCGGTTCTTGGATGTCGGCAGAGCAGGATCAAGGGCTCGTAGGGAGTATGCAGGCTCTGGGTCGTTGCCATGCTGGCGATGGTATACCGTGCTAATCTGAGACTGCTTGGAGTTATTCTTCACGAAGAACGCTGAGGAGGTCAGTGCCCGAGCATGACGTAGGTTATGGGGATGTCTTACCGGGCAAGTTTTCATCGATCATTCTGTCGACTGATGCTCCCAGAACGACTGGCTCTGAGAGTTATAAGTGAGAGAGTCCGGCAAGTCTGCAGTCTGCGCCACGGGACGCGGCGATCGGCGCCTAAAAATAGAGCCCGTTTGCGCACGCTGATTGGCGCTCCGTCAGGCACCGGAGTTTAACGTTGAATCTGGGGGTTAAGCAACGCGTCAAGGCTATGCAGGTCATCAATCTAGTTGCCTATGGAAAATGCTTTCTATCCCCGACGCAAGGGAGTTTAAAAAGGTAGTATTTGCGACGCCAAGGGATCTGGCATTGGAACAATCCAACATGGGTTAGATACACAGAACGGTCAAAGTGTTCGAGTTGTTCATTTTCTGCCTCGTTTGTCTGAAACGCTGACATAGATCATATACAGCCCCATTTTCAAGCATTCCCAGCCGTGTCAGGATCTTTGGTGGAGATTTGACCCCATAAAAAAGGGTGGCTTAGATATTGAAGATGAAAGTGCAGATCAGGCAATTAAATCGTGACCTCCACAGGTCCACTCAAGTATGGTAGGGGGTTCAAAGGCAGTGAAGTCCATAGAGAGGAAAGTTTTAAGGGGACCACCACATTACATAGTTGACTATCCCGCTGTTCATGAACCAATTCCGATCTGTTGAAATAGGATTGTATGTAGTTGATGGCTTTTGCTAACACAATGCAGAAACACCAGATTCAATGCTTTTATAACTCATAATTATCAAATATATTACATAGCCTTTCACAATTGACAAATCTATCTCCGTCATTCTATCTTCTAATCTTCGCCATAAAGCTCAACGCCTATGGTCCACCAAGTCTGCATTCGTACAAATTGCTTTTCAGTCACCATCCTTAGTGGGTGTAGGACTTCTTGATCATATCGGAAGCCTTCTCAGCAATAGCGTAGAGAGTGCTAGTCAAATGACCAGAGACCTGGTACGGTACAATGGAAGCATCAACGACACGAACATTCTTAGTACCGTAGACCTTGAGCTCAGCGCTGACAGCGCCGCCCTTCTCCCTGGGGAGCATGCTAACGGAACCGACAGGGTGGTAGTTAGGACGGACTAGGGAGGGTTAGTATCTGGGACTGCTTTTGGTAAGTTAATTAGGGCTGGCTTACACTTCTCCTTGATCCAGCTATCCCATGCGGAGCCGGTAGCATTTGCGGCCACAACGTCGTATCCAGGAGTCATCTCGTCTCCGACGATGCTCTTCAGGGGTGCAGTGTCGAAGATCTTGCGGATGAAGTGGGCGACATCGGCTTGCGCGTCGATGTCCTGGGCGAACATGAAGTAGTTCGGGTCGATGTTGGCGATTTGGGAGGCGTTGGCGGATTGGATGTGAACGCTTCCGCGGGAGAAGGGTTGGAGGGGCCAGTATTCACTTGCGAAGTCTGTGCCGCTGGGGGCGAAGACGACTTCGACGTAAGGGACGAGGGACTTGAAGATCAAGTCACGTTGGATCTGCAGAGCTTCCAGGAGGTTGGACTCCTTCACCGCACCATTTGACTTCTTGGACAGAGCTTTGGCGTAGCTAGCCAATGCGTTGTCGATTTGGGACTCGACGGCCGACACATTCTTACCGTAGAGCTGGTTAACAGAGATCAAAGCGGAGAAAGTGGCAAGGCCGGACACTGTGTCAACTGACTCCCAGGCGAGAGCGTTATTGGTTTGATCCTGGAGGTTCTCACCGACAGCGGGGAGGGCAACCTTGGTGGAGATGTTGAACTGGCTGAGGATGTCTGGGTTTCCAACACCGGAAAGCTCAAGAAGCTGTGGGGATCGGAGTGCACCGGCAGACAGAATGACCTCCTTGGAGGCATAAATTCGCTCCACACCGTACGGAGTGGTGCATTCAACTCCAATAGCAACTGCCTCACCAGTGGTGTTGGCCCAGATGATCTTGTTCGCACGGGTGTTGGAAATTATCTTGAGGTTGGCACGGCTCTCGTAGGGCCAGAAGTAGGCCCTGGCAGCGTCTTCACGGACATTGCGCTCTCGGTCAATGGTCTCGGGGTGAGTGGTGAAACCAATCATGTGGCCACTGTTCACATCAGCGTTGTATTCGACACCAAGGTTGGTCATCGTCTCGTTCATGGCAAGGAAGACGCTGCTGTTGGTCATTGAGGTAGGCCATCCGACCTTGAGAGGGCCGTTGCGGCCGTGAACGTTGGCAGTATAGGTAGCTCCGTGAGCAACCTGGTCCTTGGTGGGAATCTGGAAGTCCTCCGACTTCTTGTAGTAGGGCAAAAGGTCATTCCAGCTCCATCCCTCATTTCCAACCTTTCCCCAGTTGTCAATCTGCGCGTCTTGGGCTCGGGTATAGGACATTCCTTGAAGCCAGTTAGAAGAGGAAGCCACTATTTTGTCCGAGCAACATACCATTGATTGTGCTTGTACCACCGATGGCCTTTCCGGCACGAATGGTCTGCTTCAGTCCACCAGCATATGTCTGGTTGGCCGTCTGATAGGCATAATCGATTTCGGTGCCGAAAGCCAGACTGTAGCCCATCACATTGGTCACATTGGCGTTGTTGAGTACTGATTCTCCGGCTTCGATGACTGCCACTGTGACATTGTGCATTTCCGAGAGTCTGTTGGCCACGACCAATCCACTGGTGCCACCGCCGACAATTACAAAGTCATAGTGAGGCGATGAACGGTGAGTACTGGCTGCGGCGCCCAGCACGAGCGTAGCGAGAGAAAGAGTGGGTGCCAGCATTTTGAACTCACAGAAGATGAACTTGGATAATATGAAGACCAAGGGCCGATCTTATTTTATAGATGAGCGTGTGCCTCACGGGCCTCACCGGCGGCTTCTCCTAAATTTTGCTATACTTCCCAGTCGTTTCCGCTGACTCAATGGTTGATAATTTGGGCCCAGTGTTAATCATCTTCATTTCATTCTACGAGAGTGGATAGACATCCTTTTGGCAGCTTTTACAGCCAACCAAGCCCGAGTGGATAATGAGCCTGACCCACCGTTCAATATTGTCAGCATTTGGAGGTGCAGAAATCCCGTGTGAGAACATTCTCGGCCCGAGTCTCGGGACTAATTCCGCTCGGCTTCCCTTTTTTTGTCTCGGAGATGGCTTGACATCCCGATCTTATCTAACGGTCTGAGTGGCCGACTTTTTCTACTTGCTGCCGAGCTGGGGCGTTGATTAGCTGAACATGAATAAGCCATGACCGTCATACTATTTCAGCATAGTGCCATTCCGCTGGTTTCAGATCCTTCGTCTATAGAAATAGATTGATCGAGGCTAAGAATATGCCACACTCAGTATTGATCACGACAAACAAAGTTGTCCATATTGGTTTTTTGATCAGACCTATGAGGTAGTGGAAGCTTGAGCTGGAATTTTTATTCCTGATCGTCAGGGATTGATGTATTCCGCGATGTAATGCACCAAGCCCTAAAATGGATAAATGTTAGTGCAACCCTTTGAGTGATTAACTTACGCCCAACTGATTGGCCGCTCAAATAGCACTACGGTACGGCACTATGCCCTTCTTTGTCCTTCACAGTCACAGTTGGCTACCAAGGGTTGCGGTAGTCACTGATAGGAATTCAAAAAATCGCCTTTATTCAATAACGGTGAGAGCCCTGAATTCTCTTATTGCTGTACATAATTATAAAGGATACGGCCCCGGGGGCATTAGGAAGAGTCTGGCTATAAGTCAATTAAACATAGCTTTGCGATACCTGAGTGGACCTGCAGGATTCATCAGCAATAGGGTCGCGGGTGTGACTTTCCGCATCGGATTTCTAATATGCAGTTGATTGCTAATCATAATCTAGGCAGGGGGACTTGTAAATTCCCAACTCCATGGATCTGGCATTATCACTGGAGGCAAGGAGCGGTAGGGTACCTGAATCGTGTTAGCAATCAAAAGATGTCGGGAATTACCATACCTGTACATTATCTGGTCACCATCCGGGCGTAAAGTATCTATACATTCCATGTCGGTGGGTTGAAAGGAATCAGGGCTGAACTCATCTAATCAGAATATACAGCTGGGTATGGTGTCTCGCACTTTGGAATCGACGGGTTCTATACACGGAATTAGCTGAAACGGGGGATGAAAGATTGAATTACCTATTACGACCATGGGGACAATGAATTTGAAGCGTACCTAACAAGTAGATGTTAGTAACGATAGGCGCAGGGGTCTACTTACCTCGTGATGATCTAAAAATAGGAATTTCTGTGAACAAAGAATCTAAAAAACCCTGGCAACCGTTAGTACTAAACAAACAACGATGAAAATGAAGCTATCCACTTATCTGTAGGTTTGTGGCGAAAGTCCATCGCGATATAATGCCAAATAGGAGGTGGCCTGTAATACACATTAGCGAAACGAAGGAGGACAGGAATATCTTAGCTTTTCGGAGCTACGTATGTAGAGGATTGGTCAGAGATAAAGCGTCTCGTTGGATCTGTATTCGGTTAGTATTCATCCATCACTATGATCGGGAGATGAACAACTTAGTCATTGATATGAATCGAATTTGACAATGGGATCGGTGGTCGGTCTGCGGAGAACGGTTCCTATATTCCTTGCTGTGAGTTTCAGATGCATGCGTTTATTTGGAGGGGGATTATATTGTTAGGCTTAACCCTGGAGGACTGTTTTGCTCGGTCCGCGATTCGTCGGTCCGGGAACTGAGGTGTTCTATCTAAGCAGACATTAGCAAGGATCGAAAGTTAGACAGTCACTTACATCATGAGTGGGGGATGCGAGATGGGGGATGAGGTCTCCGAAGATTGTGTTTCTGTGTCATCTTAGCATCTCTCAAATATAATGATCTAGGAATATACTCAGCCGGATAGAACACAGTCGCTTTTATATGGCAATGGTCCTAAGCGGGTGTTAGCATCTGCACATATTATCAGACAGAAAAACTACTCAGTGAGATGTTAATTCCGTCATGTGGTAGCGTGGGAATATTCCTAAACAGCGTGTTAGCATCGGCAAAGCAGCAAAGGAAGGGATATACTGGGTTTGGTATGCACTTAGGCCTTTCAAGGGTATTTTCGAGGCGGAAGGTAAACGATCCTAGGTTGATGTGAGTAGTGATACATAATGATGTGGGAAAAGAATGTATACTCAGGCTTGTGTGAGATTATGAGTCTGGATACCGAAAGGTCATAGACGGTTCTTAGTATTTGATACCGCAATATGAACAGGAATACTCAGGTTTACATCAGGTAATATATCTGGTCTGTGTGTATCTCTATATTATTGTTAGTGAACACACGTCAAACAGGAGGGATTGTACTTAGGCTCGTATGAGATAATTGGGATTGGGTTGTTAAACTCCTATACTAGTTGTTAGCATCTTTTGGGTGATTTGGAAGGAAATACTCAATCTGGGTCAAAGATAGTATGGCATGCGAATGATCCTAGATAGTATGTTAGCCCTGTATATCAGCAATAGAATGATACTCAGCTGATAATATAGATCACTTGGGGCTGTGAGTGCTGCAAAGCACATAGATTCAAACTATTACCGTGGATGTGCTGATGAATATTGATCAAGGGGAAACAAGTCCTTATATAGACAATCCAACTAAGACAAAGGTCAATTCAGCCATGGTCTTGTATACACGCGACCTTTGTCGAATCCCTGTCAAATCTGTCGCAGAATCGACTCCGAGACAGAAGAAGGCCATTAATGGTACACGACAGAACATAAAGGTTCAAAGGGAAGTATAAAGAAGAAGACAACGTGGAGCCCTTGTTCAGTTGACCTATATCATTGTTCTATTGTCGATGAAACACCCGAAGGCTATTTTAGCCCCAGGGGCTCAGTACCATTATGTTCGAAGCAAGAAAGAGAGCAAATGAAAGAGAATAAATGAGTATAGCCCACCAATGAATGTATTAGTTTCGTCTATCTACAATGCGAACCACTCTATCGGCTCTATATATGTAGCCTGACAATGGCAATGTCATATCAAAATCAACGGTCACCTTTTCACTTTCTCATACCCGAACTCCATTGACCTCCTTACCCCCGCCAACCTTGGCTGCCTCACGCTCAGCCGTGCTCATCTGCAATCCCTGGTCATCCCAGCCCTGTGTACCAAGCTTATACAAGTTCCTCTGCTCTTCCCGGCTGGCCATGGGACCCTTCTTACCGCGGCGTTCCCGGGAATCAACAGTCTCCTCTATAGAAGCATTATCGCCGTCCAGCGGGTTTCCGTCGAGGTCATCGGTGTGCACTTCCTCGGTGAAAGCAAAGGTTCGATATTCGGTGTTGGTCCACCCGGTTCCTGTGAAAAGTTAGTGTAATCCTCCGCGCCTTATGTTGTGTCACATACCCTGGAACTGGCTGCTGTCTTCCCAGTCTTCGGTGAAGTAGTGCAGGAATCCGCCGTGCGTGACCAACACAATCTCCTTCTCTGGGCGGGCTTTCAACCAGCGGCGAGCTGCGCGGGCGCGCTCCTTCAGTGCTCTGTTGGTTGGCTCGTAGCGACCGGATTGCTGGGTGCGTCAGTATCACCCGTACAATGGGGGCTCCTGTCCATACCTTGTTGTTCCACCCCTTCTGCACAAGAGTCAGGTCCACGCCATTCTTGAACTCGGACGCTAAGGCCTCGGGCTCGCTGCCAGTGTCGCAGGGAACGTCTGATGTCTCCTGAGTATCGGGAAGCGCAATGATCTTGAGGTCTGGCTTGGCCTGGAACACTGGCGCAAAACTCTCCAGCGCAGTGTAGATGGTGCGACGAAGTGGCGAGGCGGTCACTAGGTCGATATTTGCGTGGCGCGGGAAGCTTTCACGCAGCTTGCTGCATTGTTCATGACCAAGATCTGTGAGGAGAGGATCGGGGATAACGTGGTTCTCGGTGCAGAGGTTGTGCAAACCCTGTGATTGTTAGACCATCCTGACTTGCATGGACCTGGAGGGGCAGATCCAATGGCGGGGAGTCACGGCCGGGAGTCTCCGGGGGTCGCGAAGAATGCATGTAGATCATGGGCACATACCTGGGCGTGGCGAACACAGTGGATGATTGGGGCCATGGTGATGGTTGTAGAAGTCAAGTATTGCAGACCCTGAATGAATCTTATCGAACGTGGGGTGGCGGGGACCGAGGGGGCGTGCGAGTGGATGAACCGTCGACGGAGCTGCCAATGGATTTATATTCAGTACGCAGGGGCTCTTCGGCTTGGGATTACAATTATGTTGAGTCAACGGAGGTCAGGAGTCCGATCATATTGTGTTAGGCGAACCACAGCTTAGCTCTGGGGCTGATGGTGATCTATAGCGCCTGATTTGTCCGTTCTCCCAATCTCTTGTGTTTGGGCTGAGAAATGCTTTATTGGGCTAAAATAATATGCAGGGCTTCAATATGTCACAAAATGGGTATGTATCGATTCTCAGGCCACTCAGGCCACTCCGAATCCTTGGGCGTTGTCAAGAGCTTTGTCAAGCTTCTCGGCCAATGCCTCTCTCGATGAATACTCCGGCAGAAGCAAGCGCCCGAAGCACGTCAAGCTAGTGGGAAGACGCTATAAAAATCAGTACGAGTTGCCTAAATAGGAAAAAGGTGACACTTACCACATTGCCGACACCATTTTTCTGGATGACAAACATAATGCTGGAGATTCCATTGACAGGAACTCGATCACTGGCAGTGACAAATTCGAGCAACTGTGCCCTTTTCTCATTGGGATATTCCTGAACGACACTCCAGAAGTCACGAATCACACGATGATCGGGGCTAAATCCACCCTCATAACGAGCATGAGTCTCGAGCTCCTTCACGTCAATTGACTGGATGCCTTCTACCACGGTCTTGAGGGCTTCGGGGGTGAAGATAGACAAAGCCGATCGATCAAGGCATGTGTTGAAGCCTCTTTGGAACGCCTCGAACTGTGGTCGGATCGATTTGTCCGTGAGCCAGAAGATATAGTCCTTCACGAATTGGTGTCGGTTTTGATTGGTGACAAGACCGGCCTCTTCTGGAGGTGAATGCGATAAAGACTCAGCCAATGACTGGGTATCTGAGCCATGCTTTGATGAGGCGCCGGTTTCGACGGCCATGGACTGTGGACTGGTCGCTGTCGGCTGAGAATAGCTTGGGATGTCCATCCAGGCACTGGACCCTGGAGTAGAGCCGCGTTCGGCAATTTTGCTAGAGAGAGGCCAAGAAGCGTCACGATCAACTTGTTGCATGTCGATTGTCTCAATTCGACCGAAGACGTCGCAGCTAAATTCGTATGTGCGTGTGAAAATGTCCCCAACGTCGCCATCTTTCCATGACAGCAATGTATCAAGACCCTGTGATAGCTCTGGCCATCCATCACGGATATGTTCCAAATGCTTCACCTTGAGTCCTAAGAGCTTGCGGTAAAAAGCGATTGGGAAATTGACAGGCAACGTAAGACCATTGTAGATGGCAATGGACATCAACAAGCCGATCAGTTCAAATTTGTACAAAGGTTCCAACGCACAAGGCTGGAACCAGGACACACGATGACGGGTATCAACTGTGAACATGCCGTGCGATGGATCCAAAGCTTGGCTCATCAATACACGGAAGAATTCCTGCTGGACACCACCATGATCAAGGCCTTCTTCGCCTTCATCCATGCCCATTTGCACCTTCAGCGGTCGCATCAGTTCTCGCTTTTCCCGGCGCCATAGCTGGCTTAAGGCATCTGACAGAATGTTGTCTCGTCGAACAACAAGAACAAGGTACGTTGACATGGATGTTTTCATGCGAGTGAGAAGGCCAAGATCCTCAGTTATCTGGATCGCGCCAAAGGCAGTCTGTGTGACATGCCTCGTTGTGGTCATGGCAGCTTCGTAACTTTTGGCCATAGCAGAATAGTTCAAAGAACGGAAGTAAATGACAAGCGAAGACGGAGGGAAGAGGAAGGAATATGAGAGTAGATGCATTGTTCGGTTGTTCGAAAGGCCTCCGACCCACGCCACAGGCATCTCCAAGGGGTCCAGCCGCTCGGCGAGAAGTGGTGTATGGAAGTCTTCAGCAGACAAACCGAGTCGATTTCGTTGCTTGTACATTGAGGCTAGGATTTGTACAGCGCCACCAGCCGGACTACTACGAGCCATATCTGGGTTGCCATCCCACTCGCGTAAAAAGAGCGTCCGAAGCCATTCAACGATGAGGGAGGAGGGGTTGATTGAGCCTGTCTCATCCTGAGAACGGTGGTATTCGCTGAGATAGTCCATCACGCGGTCCAACACGCTAATCTTTCGTTGTTTGGGAAAGTCCAAGCTGTAGACTTGTCGCGCTTTGGATATTTCATGGTAGGCTATGCGCGCTGTGAGAGCACGCACCAGACGGTTGATCAAGCGAAGGCCTAGCTCATGTTCGAATCTATCTGTCACCTCAACCGCTTGCTGGGCAGACTCGACAGGCAGCTTGCGCATGTCTGATAAGGAAGCAACAAAGCCAGAGGCACGCATCTGAACAACTGCCTGCCAAGCTCCTTGGTCAATCTTTGGAACGGAGCTTACCAAGGCGAATAGCACAATAGTAGCAATGTAGGCAGCATCAGGATCAGACAAATGCTCTTCCACAGATTCAGTCAGCCGCCGTGGAACAACTGGGGTTGGCCCAGTCATTGTCGAGCTCCGAGATGACCGGCGCGAGGGCCGACCGGAAGTGAATCCATCCGGTGGGATGAACATCCTATCCAAACTGCTCCATAGACTATGCAATGCAATATCCCATGGACAAAGAGAAAATAGGCGCTGTAGAGATGTGCGCAAACATGTTACATCCAAACGATTTGCCTCGAGAATGTCTGTCTGTTCTTTTCCAAACGAACGCAAAATTTGACGCGGGCTACTTAGTACAAAAAATGTACTTTGAGCAACGAATGGAAAGGCTTCACGTTGCCTAAGAGTCGCAAATTGCCAATCAGGTTGCTCGAAGCTGCCCGCTGCCTGCATGCGATCAAGTTCTTCCTTCCAACTCTCAGCGTCCTCGTCGGATTCAATCATGACTTTTGACAGGCCATCAATGATCTCCGGGTTCAAATGAGTAACCGATTGGGCCAGTGGTGCTTGATCTTGTGAGTGCTCAACCTGTTCATGCTTTGCTTCACGCTCACTGGGTGATTGGGTATCAGCCGGCATCAGAGGAAGAAGCTCAGTGTTCACGGTGGCCTTCTCAGAGACGTGATGCAAAAGTTTCTCACTATCCCAAGAAACGCGTCGTTGGGCCTTGCGACGTTCTTGGGGAACCGAATCTAGTTCTCCAATCCGCCCCCGATGTTTTTGAGGTCTATGTTTTAGTGCTGGAGGAGAGGGTAGGCTAGGGTATTCATTCGTAGACGGTGGTGGAAGTTTGAGATTGAACTCCGGCTTCCGTTTGTCCTCAAGACTTGACCGAGGGCTTTGGCGCCAGTGGTCAACTTCAGGGACAGATCGTCGTTTGACATGATGATTCGGAAACTTGAGCTCCACCGCAGGTTGTGTTCGTGATGATGGAGTACGAGGCTGCGTGTGCTTCGCAGTGACAGATCGTCCATGAGATTTTCGCCGTCCGTTTGAGACTTTCTCCTGGCTCGATTTCTTGCTAGATTCGTTTGTTATTTGTGGCGTTGGTATCGGCTTGGCTTCAACGTGGTCCGGCGTGCGACGCAGAGGAAGCCATTCAACCATGCGCAATGAGATTGTGTCGAAGAGGTTTTGGGTAAATGATTTCGGGTCTTTAAGTTGTTGTTCTGCCGCATGATCGAGGTCTTGGATGTAACTTGTGCCCTGTACCCCAGGCGTATCTTCATTTGTGCCCTCAACAGTTGTCTTGCCACTACCAAGTACCTCCTCCTTCTCCGGTTTGGGGGATTTGCGGGCCGCAGCTTTCTGTGCTTCGAGAGTACGTGATCTTCGTAAGGAGATTCGGTGGTAGTCTTCGACTTTCAATTCGGGTGGAAGTTTAGGTGTGTTCCGGCATAAGCCACTCTCCGCATCATCCAAACTGGCGAGGTAGCAGGCCAAAGTGCGTGCGCTTAGTTCCGTGTAGCGGCGATACGGTCCGTCGCTAATTCTTCGGCAGCGACTTGCGCAAGTGGGGGTTTGACATCCGGGGTCCTCACAACCGTATAGGAGTTGTGCTTTGTATCTATTTGGAGAATGGTAAGCGGCGAAGTGGAAGCGAGTGTTTCAAGCCCACCTTCTAACCAACCCATTAAAACCTCGCCTTCGCTCATCGCGATACCTCGGTAATACCCTTGACGAGTCCGAAACTTCAATGGTATTCTGTATAATGGTCTCGGGCGCGTTTGGTGGCAGCTTTGACCGATAGATGTGAGCGCGTCCGTTACCGCCGGCCGATCGTGCAAGATCAGGGTCGTCGATAGAAGCTCCTCGGAGCCTGGTCATTTTCAACGGGAAAATGGCATGTCTGAGAGACCAAAAGAGGGTAAGAGGAATGGCGGTTAGGCTGCCAACAATACTGTCAATGAGAAGACCGCTCACCTGATATCATCGTAGTAAGACTCCGTAGCCTCAGGCAGAAGTCCGGGGCCCGGAGATCGGAACACCGGATAGTCCGGTGGACTGCTGACTAACGAGATATGATGCCAGACTTACTAAGAAAAGTCTAGTTGGATCCCAAATAGGCTTAGCGTCTCGATAAGAAGATTATTCGCATTGATCAACCATGAACCAGTCTGACTCGACTACAAGGTCTGACTCACTGGAGTTTCTGCTGTCCAGAATCTCTCTCCTACATCCATCTCAAACCCACCATTTTTGGCGACATCCATCATTAGACGCATCGCGGATCGATCGAAAATAACTAAACCACGGCCTAATCAGAGCCTTCGCATGTACCCCGCCTGCGATAAATATTCATCCCACAACCAAGGAAAACCCACCATTTCCAACAACCTCGATCAAACATCCAAAATGTCCACCACCCAGGATACCGCGGCGTCGTCGCTGCAATACACTTGCAACACCTGTCTCGTCGCCTTCCACCGCAGCGATGCGCAGAGAGATCACATGCGGAAAGATTGGCAGTGAGTTTTTTTTTTTTTTTTTGCGGGGTCTTCTCCATATAGATCACTAACCGTCACAGTCTTTACAACATGAAGCGCCGTATTGCTTCCTTGCCACCTGTCTCTCTTGAGACGTTCAACGAAAAAGTTTTGGCCGCCAAAGCTACATCCACGGAGGCCGCCGCGAAGGCATCGTACGAAAAGTCCTGCCACACTTGCAGCAAAGCCTTCTACAGCGAGAACTCTTATCAAAACCACATCAAGAGCGCGAAGCACAAGCAACGCGAAGCTCAACTGAGCAAGGACGGTGACTCCGGTTCCGTCATGAGTTCTGCGTTCTCCCTTGGAGAGCCCGTCAAAACCGACGTTAACAACATCACCGACAATCTCAAGTCTACCACCATCGAAGAACAAGCCGAGGAAGACGAGGATACAACTATGGAGGAATACTCCGCAGCTCGCTGCCTTTTCTGCAAAGACAAGTCTGAAGACATCCACGCCAATGTCGACCACATGCTCAAGGCTCACGGCATGTTCATCCCAGAGAGACAGTATCTGGCAGATATCGATGGTCTGGTGCACTATCTCTACCGCAAGATCACCGAGAACTCTGAATGTATCTACTGCCACACCATCAAAGACAGCCCCCACGCTATCCAAGCCCACATGCGCGATAAGAGCCACTGCATGATTGCCTTTGAAACCGAAGACGAACAAATTGAAATCGGACAATACTACGACTTCCGGAGCACCTACGACGATGATGACGATGAGTCCATGCCCGAGGAGGGTGGCGTCAAAGTCAACCGCTCCGATGCTGATGACCAAGGATGGGAAACCGAGAGCTCCGCATCTTCAGTCGACGAGGACGATTACTACCACCGAAAGGCACCCAACGCTATTGAAGATGAATTTGAGCTTCACCTTCCGTCTGGAAAGACCGTCGGTCACCGCTCACTTAACGTCTACTACCGCCAGAACCTGCACAACTACCCCACTGCCGCTGAACGAGCTGAGCGCCAGCTCGCTATTGAGAACGGAGAGATTGAAGAAGAGCCCCGCAGTCGTCCCACTCACCACCGTGCCCTCACTACCCGTGCTAATGGTGGTCTGGGTATGATCCGAGCCACCGAGGAACAGAAGAAGGCCGCTCATGTCGCAGAGCGTCGCGAAAGACAACGTGGCATGCGCCAGGAGAACCGTCATCTTGCCCGCGTGCAGAAGGGCGGCAACCACCAGAAGCACTTCCGCGTATGTATTCCGTTTCACTGTTTTTACTGTCAGACGATCAGTAAAGCTAACATTCTATCAGGATCCCCTCCTCCAATGATCGCATCAACTTCTTCACACCGACGAGAGCTATTACCTGGTTCCCACTTTTCGGTATCATTCGCGACAAATACCCGCCAACATCTTCACGTCAACAACCATCGCAGATCTACGGCTTGCACACTCATCTGGCCCTCAAGACTGCTTGACCTTTGGCAACCCTTGGGCTATCAGCCTAGCAATCATCCGTCATGGGGTACTCTTTCCGTGTCGAGTCATTTTCTCAAATGAGTTTTTACGCTCTTCACGGTTTTAACGAGGCCCCATCGTCCATTCATCTCATCTACATGACGGACATCTTTATGAACAGCGATCACATGTTGCATCCATTGTCTTGTTCCGGTGCTATCATTGTGCCATCATTTTAGTTAGCATATCGAGGACCTTCTTTTTGTATGGGGAAGTTTGGCATAGCATGTATCTGGTCCCGAGAATCAAACATATTCAATTATCAATTGCTTGGACAGTAACCATAGCTCATTCAATGTAGATTAAGTTGAAACAAAGCCTGACTTAGACCTTTGGCTAGTACATGTAGCTGATGATGCTGTATACACATATCGAAGCATGTTCATTCCAGTTGCCATGTGTGATAATTATTACGGACCGATTAAACCTCTAGAAAAGTTGCTTTTGTTGTTAAGCGCCGGGGTCGAACTGAAAATGAGTACAACCAGTGGTATTGAGCATTTTCAAGAATGACGACACAAAAAGAGGATCGGCGTATGGCCTGGTTGAGCTCAGTGCACACATACAGTACAGTGTTCTTTGGAGTATGAGACTGTTCCTCCCTATCAACCATTGATAGCCCTTGCTTCCACACAAGGGGCGAGATATCATGATGTTACAGTACAGGTGGCGATGTAAAGATTAGCTTGGACGTTAGGGGCACGAGCTACTGCAACAAATAGAATGGTATGCTGAACCTAGAACATGGTGACTGCGATCAGCGGGATAAACAACAGAATTAGCTTGCTTGAGCTAACCGTCTCCGGATCGGATGCAACACGCTAGCAAGGTGACGACGATACAGTAATGAACAGGCCAAGGTATATCAGTTAAAAGCAAAAATACGGGGGGCTACTAGGATCTACAGTGAGGGAAGAGAAATATGAGCGGATCGAACAGAAGAATGTATTCATAACAAAGTTAACGATCCAACATGCGCCCAAATTGTCCCAGTGAAAATGTGCTTCATTTATAAAGACTACCGCAACGGAGTCGGTAGTGTCATGACCTTCTATTTCAACCTTGAAGTAATGGTTGGTCTTCAGAAGGACCGGTATCGGTATTTGTGTTGTTGCCGCGCTTCTTGCGACGGCGCTTCTTCTTTGATTTTGTGGCAGCGGAATCGGTAAGGTCAGATTCCGGTAAGGGGCGAGTTTCACCGTCTGAAGAACTCGTGCCATTTGCGTGGAGGACAACTTTTCGAATACCGTTGACGTCCACAATCTGCTCGGTGATACTGCCACTGCGAGCTGGACCGCGGTGATGATAGGGGAAACCAGTGGGAGAATCGGTTGAGCGAATGCTGCCCGCACCACTGCTGCCATTTCGCGTCGAAGCAGAAGGAGGTTGATCTTCGTGGTCTTCGTTGACTGCCTCGGGTATAGAGACATGGGGGAGGTCTTTGTATTGTTGTGCGTTTGTGCCTTTACTCATACCATCATTTGAGGTCATTGTGCCGTAGCCAAGCTTGAGTGCATGCGCACCATCCTTCGCGTCTGGTCCAGCAGAGTTAAGGATACCTGCACCAATGCCACCTTGGTAAGCGGTGGATGTATTTTGGACTTTGGTAGAGTCAGATGCGCTGTGTGCAGATTCAAAATCCGCCTGCGAGGAGCGGGATGGTGATGTATTTGCACGTTTGATTTTGACCGCGGAGTATCGGGTTGAACGCGGACGACTGGCTAGATTAGACGGACCGAGATGCTTCAGGTGTTCTCGAATTTCATCTGTGGTGCCCATTTGGGTCACCCATCCATCTACCGCATTGGAATTGTGGTCGCCGTTTGTCTTGCGTAACTGGAAGCGAGGGAGAGGTGCTTCCACGGAGCTTCGACGTCTGATGAGCTCGGAATGTTTGGGTGTGGATTCGGGGTTTGCAGGGTCGGCATCAATCAAATCACCATCTGTGACAATGGTTGCATTGAGCGGGGGCTCTTCTATAATTTTGCCCTTGGGGACACGAGATTTCGGGGCAGGAGCCATTCTTCGGATAGCCTTGTGGACATCAATGAAGACATCGGATTCATCAATGATCTCTTCGCCAATCAACTCCTCAATAACATCTTCCAGGGTGACAACTCCAAGAGCGCCACGATCCTCACTGGGGTATTCAGAGACAAGGACCATGTGGGATTTTCCTTCTTGGAAGAAATTGACAATATCGAGACAGCTTGTTTCGGGTCGTGTTTCAGGAAGAGTGGCCAGAGCAAAGTCGCGAACTCGTTTGCAGTCTTCGGGGTCATATGTGATCAACATTTTAACGAGAAGCATCCCGACAAAATTCATAGGGTTATCAGGGGCGTGAATGGGTATACGAGAGTATCCCTGAGAGAGGATCACATCCATGGTGCGCTCATCGAGCACGGTGTCTGCAGACATGGTGAAGACATCTTCCATCGGGGTCATGATTGTGCCGACTGACTTTTCTTTCAAATCGAGGACGGCACTGATGATGGTGACCTCGTCGGAATTCAGTTGTTCGCCTGCCTCACCCAGTGTTTTATGGAGAGTGACAAGGGTCTTCAATCCGGCCTTTTTATAGATGGTACCATGGTCCTCGCCCAGCAGTCGGTCCAACAGTTTCGCGATAGGCCAGGCCACTGGTGACATGATGTACATCAAGACTAGAACACAAGGAGCCATCCAGGCACCAATAGGAAGACCATAACGTACACATATTGACTGGGGAACAATCTCGCCGAAGATGACGATCAATGCTGTACTTCCTAAAACAGCAGGCCAGCCACCACCCAGTGTTCGGTCGAGGACGATAGGCAATGTTTCGTTTGTGATCACATTGCTGAGTAAAAGAGTGACGAGGACCCAGTGCTTTCCATGATTCAGGAGTTTGAGAACACTAGTGGCATGTTTCCTTTCGGGACCTTCGCCAGAGGTTTTGATGACTTGGAGATAAACTTCATCCTGTCCCATCAAAGCAATTGTCAACCCCGCAAACGCACCGCCGCTGAGAACAAGGGCGGCTGACACTCCCAGATAGAGCCATAGACTCGGGTCGCTAGGTTCCTTTGGTGGTTCGGCCTCGGAGGAGATGCGGAGGAAGGGGGAAAGAGCAGGCGCTGCGGTCGCAAACGGAAGTTGTGAGATGGCGAGGAAAATGAGTTTTGCCAGACCCAGCATCACAGGCCGAGCGGCGAGAGAACGGTATGACGAGGAATGCATGGGCGCAAGATCAGTTGAGCATGCTGCAGAAAAGGAACAGAAAGCGTGGCCCAAGAGAAAAACGACACCGGACGAGAGAACCGGAACAGAGAGTAGGTGTAGGTACAAGTGCTGAGGACAGGTACCACGAGCAGAAAAAAACAGGGCACACTGAGCAAAGTGAGAGAAGCGGGAATGACGATCCGCATGAGCAGGAAGTTGGAATTGAGTTGGCTGAGTCATCCGGGGGCTATCAGGCCTAGAGTCCCTGGTGGGCGATGCCGAAGCATATAGCTTCACGTCCCTTGGGCGGAGGACTGTTATTTCAAGTCCTCACATCTCATGAGTGGAGGAGAATAATTTCAAGTCCTCACGACTCGTTGCCAGTTTTTCCATATCACTTCGATATGTGATGGTCGGAAGGACGAGTGATGAGAGCGGAGATGACGGTCTCATGAAGAAAACGTCGAACCAGAGATGGCTTGCTCAGTTGAAGACTATCCATGAGTCTTCATGGGCGAAGCAATGCTTAACAACCCTTGAGCGGGGACTACAATTTGGGACATGTTGTAATGTTAAAACACCCCCCAAATGGTTATAGATACACCCCTCTCCATACAATTGTGCATGTATAACATGAGCGTTAGGATTGCCGCATTTCCAGTATGATATTTGACCTCAAACTTCACCTCATATTTAGTTGACAGGTGCATTTTAATGAACGTGTCAGGGTTCATTTACTTTAACATGTTCACAATCTTTGGGCTTAGGGGGCAAGCTGTACACAGTTTTCCTATATGGCAGCACAGAATCGAGGTATTCCATGCCCCTAGGCTCTGTAAGTTAGAATCAAAGCATTCTAGTTTTATCACTTTTATCTGATGGAGCAGCGGAGTTAAGAGACTTGAATACTTGTCTGAGGAATTACTAGCAAACCCAGGGTTTTATAGGCTGCTACTGTATGCAAGATTTGATCATAAATCTGGTTCATTCAGATACCGTGAAGCTGGTGCATTCTCACGGTAACACATCATGTAAATTACAATAATCAAACAAGCGCTATAAATCTAGCGCTATTAACATGTGGGGGTCGGTAGTTTCTTCGCAATTTAGGGTGGCTTTTTAGCACTGCCCTATATGTATGGTGCGGAAAATTAACGACACATTTGAATGTAAAAAAAAAAGAAGAAGAAGAAGAAGAACAGAACGCAGAGAGCAGAGAAAGAGAGCGGAAGGGGGACCGCGGAACAGTTGGTGGAGGATTCGAGATACTCCTTGTAATGGAGCAGAGCCTCAACACGCTAGCGTGAGAACTATAATTTCAAGTTCTCACAGCACTTGGCAAGTCTGTCCGCATCCAACGAAGACTTCCGCTTCTCTTTCATTGCCTCCAGGTTCCGGTGGAAGCTCTCGGCCACCGCACGGCCAGCACGGGAATCGAAGCGCGATCCCTCCCTAGGCTTGGCCTTGGTGATTCCTCCAGGTCCGGACTTGGCAATGCCTTGTCCCTTCTGCGCAGCCTTGAGTTTGTCGTTCAACTCGGCCACTTCCGCCTTCAGCATGTCCATCTCCGCCATTTCGTCAACTGTGCCCATCTCGACTTGGTCACGAAGGTTTGCGTTCTCGGCTCGTAGCTTCTTGATCAGTTCCTCCTGGTTGGAGGACTGCTTGGAGGAAGAAACCATGTCATCAGCCATCGCTTCACTCATCGAGTCCATCTGTAGACGAAGACGGGCAATCTCCTTGCCCTGCTTGCGGGCTTCCCGGACGTGGCTCTCCAGTTGCTCATTGTGGTGACGGGTCAGCATTTGGATTTGTTCGGCAGTCTTGTCGCCCGTGCCATTCTCCCGGAGTTCTTGGTTCTCGGCCTGCACTTGCTTGAGGAGGCTCTCGTGCTGTGTGCAAAGAAGCTTGGTGGAATCTGCAGCTTCCACCAGTTCTGCCACCTTGGCACGAAGAGTGATGTTCTCCATTTCATGCTTGCGGGCTTCGATTGCCAGGTCGTTGTTCGATTCAAGGGTCTGTGATTGGTACTTGCGGGTCATTTCCTCCAATTCCGACTGGACATCAGAACCCTGGGCCTGCTTTTCGCCAAGCTTGGCCTGCATAAGCTGGTTCTGAGCCTCGAAGTTTCGGGTGACCGCTGCAATTTCCGCCTCGAATTTCCGAATTATTTCCTTCTCCTTCTGCTCATGTTCACATGCTTGGCTTGCCAGTGCCGATTTGTGTGCCTTCTCCAAAGCAAGACGAGTGCCATCAATCTCATTCTGGTGAGCGTGAGTGATGGCGGCTGCCTCAGTCTCGCGGTGGAGCTCTCGGCCACCGACTTGGTTGGTCAAACCCATGTTTTGCTGACGAGCAGCACGCATCTGTTGAATCAGGCGGTCCTTCTCTCGGTTACCGGCCTGTGCCTTCTGAAGTACCCCTTCCTGGTACCAGCGGAGAGAGACGTTTTCATCGACTTCGCTCTTGAGAGCGGCGTTGGTGTTGCGCAGGCCCTTGTTGACGGCCTCCAACTCCTGAACACGTTCCTCCACGAGGTTGAGATCCTTCAGGCCCTTCTCCCGGATTGCGGAATACTTGCCGCTCCACATGCTGTCAACCATGGCGACTTTGTTGTTGTGGGACAATGTCCCCTTGGTTGAGTGGCGACCTCCCTGCTTGGAGACGCCCGACTTGACAGGATGCTCCCATCGAGCACGTGCATTAGGGATCCGGGCCTTCAGGACCTCGCCCTCCTTCTCAAGTGACTTCACTTGTTCCTCCAACACGTCCACCTTGTATGCCAGGTGGCGTGCTTTTCTTTCTGCAGCCTGCTTCTGATCCTCGAGATCACGCAGCTGTCCAGGCCCCGACAAAACCCCCTTCTGGTAGAGGCGAATTGTCTCGTTGAGCTGGCTGATCTTCGTGTCCCGGTCTTTCTGCAAGCGAGCAATTTCTTGGTCCCTCGCCAGCAGCTGTACCTCCAACGCCTTGAAATCCTCGAGCGGGACCAAATCAGCGCTGGTTGCTGGAGGAGGCACAGCTACGGGCGTGGGCAGCGCTGCCCACCACCCACTGTAAATGTTTGTCAGTATGGAACTAGGACCAAATGCTTGAGTGGAAGTGGGATGAGTAGAAGCAAGGTGAGTGGAAGGAGGGTGAGTGGAAGAACATGGATGAGAAGGAGAATGAGTGGAAGAACATGGACGAGAAGGAGGACATGGATGAGTGGAAGCAAGGTGAGTGGAAGGAGGGTGAGTGGAAGAACATGGATGAGAAGGGGGATGAGTGGAAGGAGGATGAGGAGGATGGAGATGAGGGGCATGACGGGATACCGAGGAGATCCCAACGACAGAGGGGGCCTTGGGGGGAATTAGGATGTTTGACTTACCTGACGAGAGACCAAATGCCCCAGATTGCGAATCCGTAGCCACCGCAGGCTACCAGTTTGTGGATGTTGGCCCACACGGCAGAGCCAACGAACAGTGTCACCGCAGCGACGGCGACGACAGTTGCCATAACACGGAGCCACTTGCGTGGCCCCCACATCACCCACAGCACGATGAGGATGCACATCCCCAGGCCGGGGAGCGAAAAGATGTCCATTGTGGACGAGAGATGAGAGAAAGGATAAAGAGCCTTGGTGGTAGGCTCGACTGGTGTCGAGATTGTCAAGGTTCTTTGTTGGGAGAGAAGAAGAGGAAGAAGAAGAAGAGAGGAAAGGAGAAAGATATCATTAAATAGGCTGTTGCGTTCCTTCCCTGTTGAGAAACCTCTGGTACTGCGCTCTCCCCACCAAAATCAATCATCCTACAATCAAGTCTTATGGCCCATTCATCTATTCTATTCGTATTGACTTCGATCTGACAGTAGAAGTAAGCTCTATCAGCTGCGATGTAGATAGAAATAAATGATGCTATACCGATATTAAGCTTTCGGCCCCACACGGGTACTCCCGTGCATATGTATGTGCGGCTGTGAAACAACCAACCACTCGCCTCCGATGTTGACAATAGCATACCAGTTGAAATAGAGCTTCTACTTATCCCAAAATAAGACGAATTCAAGTAATATGTGAGGTTCAATTAACTATGAAGTGAGATGCAGATCAAAAGAGACAGAGGGCGAGGGGGAGCCCCGGAGAGCAGTGGGCTTTTGTGTCGCCATTACTCAGCCGAACAGCCCCCACCAACAGTACACAAAACAGGTAAATCAGCAACACTATTCCCAACCCAAAGCTTTATTCCCTGTCCATTGACCGGAGCCATCCAATCTTGCGCATTGACATCCCAAACACTAACATCCTTCCGAGTAACGTGAAGCGTCAAAGTCTCGTGATCGCCAGATGCAAGTTCCCGAGTCTTCTCGAATTGTCGAAGCTGGAGCTCAGGCGTATCGAGACCAATCGAAGATGGGAGCTCAACGTAGAGTTGGGCAACAGCCTTGCCGGTTCTCTTTCCTGTATTCTGGACTTGGACCTGGACCGAGAAGACTGTTTCGAAGAGAGCCGGGTTTCCACCTTGGCCGCCGCCGGCGCGCGGAACGGGATGTGGCTCTGTGCTGTAGCCATCTGGGTAGGGGTATTCCTTTGTGGCGGTGATGGACTGGGGGTTGTCAAGGTATGGGTAGAGGTAGCGCCAGATGCGAGTGAACGTAGTCGATGACCAGGCTACTTCTGATGCGGCTGGAATGTTGGTGTTGTATTGTGGAGTGGATGGTTTCGTTGGACGAGCTGCTGGATAGGCTGCATCGATGGGAATGACGACTGATAAGGAGGGTTGGGAGAAGTTGAAGGTTGTGTAGGAGAGCCCGTGGCCGAAGGGGTATCGGGGTGTCACGTTCGCTTTCATGAAGTGGCGGTAATCGACGTAGAGACCCTCGGTGAAGGTGTCTTGGATTTGGCCAAATGGCTGGTCGATCAAGCTGACACTGTCTGGATAGTCATCCTCGCTCTTTGGGATCGTGTAAGGCATGTGTCCACTGGGACTGTAGTCTCCAAATAAGACGTCGGTAAGAGAGTTACCTGCTTCTTGGCCTGGTAAATGGGCCACGACAACCGCTTTCACAGAGTCCAGTTCAATCCACTCCTCCATGAGAATCGGCCCGACAGTGTGGATGATTACCACAACATTCGAGAATTTCTTAGCTGCGTCTTTAACGAGGTCATCTCCATTGTGCCAAGCGTTAAGGCCGGCATTAGTGCGATCCCCAGGATTTCCGTCGACAGTAATATAGTTCTCACCAGAATCAGCATTGATAAAGACGAGAGCAATGTCACTGGAATTGGCTGTCACATCTGAAGGAAACGAGTCGGTGATATAAAACTCCACATTGTCAGTCAAATTGGCAATCGCCTCTTGTGGAGTAATGAGGTAGGGAAATCTGGCCGTTCCACTGCCCCATCCCATTGTAAGAACGCCCTTGTTGCATCCCATATCAGTGCACGAGTTGAGACCGTCAGGGTTCCCTCCAGCATCGGTACCGAAGACTTTCAGGTTGTCATTGCGAGTCAGTGGAAGTATATCCATGTCGTTCTTTAACAGTGTAATGGCCTCGCGAGCCACGGCTCGAACTGTGGCATTGTGGTTTGCTGTGACATCGACAAATTGGTTGACGACTCCAGAGGGAGAGAAGAGAGCACCTGGATAAAGAAGGCCTTCTTTGTCTTGAGTATTGGTCGAGAAATTAGGCAATGGATAGTCCTTGTCCTGGCCAAACTTGTACCAAGTTGCAACAATTCGAGTGACCTATACCATGCGCATTAGACATGATATATATTCGACCAGAAAACTGCACATACCATATCGTTCAAACGGTCCACAGGCAGGCTTCCATTTAACACCGAGCGGGACATTTCGGGTCCCCAATAACTGTCACCAAAGAGAGGAACAGCACCGTCACCAGGCATGGCCATATCCAACCCAGCAAGCGCGGAGCCCACACCGGTGTAATGGCCCAGCCAGTCTGTCATGACAAATCCTTGGAAGCCGAGCTCATCCTTGAGGATTCCGTTTAGCAGCTTGCTGTTCTGGCTACATGCCGAGCTGTTCACCTACTCCAAGTCAGTAACGGAACACGAAAGGAGGATTTAATTGATCTAACATCATTATAAGCAGTCATGAGCGAGCCCACGCCAGCACGAACACCCTCCGCAAAAGGCCAAAGATAAAGCTCATGCAATGTGCGGTCATCAATATTGGACGAATATCCCTTGGTCACAATACTGCTCATACGGTGCATCTCCTGCTCATTACCAATGAAATGCTTGATAGCAGCAATAGCACCAGTACTCTGCATGCCCTTGATCGTCTCAGCTCCTGCAAAAGCCTGCAGAGAAGGATCGGCACCAAATGCCTCCCAAATCCGTCCACCACGCGGCTTGCGGCCAAGAGGACCAACAGCAGGCCCAAGAAGAACATTCACGCCCTTCCCTCGAGCCTCTTCGCCCAATCCGACACCACGTTCATACATGAGGTCCTTGTTAAAGGTCGCACCCACTGTAATACCTGGCGGGAAGGCAGTGTTATGGTCCGAGTTCCGAATTCCCACGGGAGAGTCTTGCAGGCAGATATTCGGGATACCAAATCGGGGCGCGCTACCCGTTTGACCGACACAAGGGCCCATGAAGAAGCCTGTTCCGGTAGTCATGTTGACTTTCTCGGCCAGGGTCATGTTGCTCACGACCTTGTAAGCCTTTTCATAGGCTTCGCTCCAGTCGGAGATCCATCCCCCCGGAGGAGTGGGATAGTACGGAGGTGATTCATATCCTTCTGCTGCGCGTTTCTGGTTGTTTATAGACTCGGACTCGCTAACTGGGGAAGCTAGCAGCGGGGTGAAAAGAGTGACTAGAGCTAGATGCGCCCAAGGAGCCATGGTATGCAGGGGGCTTCCGAGCACGTATGGATAGAGAAACAATTTATGAACGAATGTATTAGGCCAGTATCAAGGTGAAAAAAGAGGGCCTTTCCCCGGATTTAAGAACATGCAGAACTTTCGAGCGATTCCGCCGTTTATATAAATGGAGTGTGACTACGGACAATATCCCAGAAACAGGAAATGAGTAACGCCTGTGTGGGCATTTCGGAGGAATCCTTCTGCACACCATGGGGAGCAGGCGATCCTTGCTCTATAGCAGTATAGATCGTCATGGGGTTGAGCTAGCATTGCTCTTGGCGGTGCTTGGAGAGCTTGCGAGAGTGATGTTTGTTCAGGGATCGACGGTTCGCTTGCGTGCCGAGGTTGATTAGCGTGGTCTTCGCAGTATTAACCTGACGATTTGACTGTGGAGATCGTTCCCGCATGGATTAGGGATGAACAGCATTGAACGGCTCCCCCGGATAATCCTTGCCCTAAACAGACATAGTGTCAGGGGTGAGAAGATTTGAACCGTGACTTCCACTCTATTTCCACTGGACGATGCATTAATCCGAGATTCCTCCGGTGCTAGTTGCGATTTACCACGGAGTATTTACTGTAAATAGCCCATGCCATTGGGAACACGATCGACATTGTCAATTTTTTCTATGGATCCAAGTGTTGTACATGTTGTACACGGAACGGAAAGTTTGTCTTTAAATCTTGGTGAAACGCAGATAAGGCTTGACCTCGCGAACCTCGCCGAACTTCTTCTTTGCGTCGGGGGTCGACACGGAGGGAGGCACGATGACGTCGTCGCCGACCTGCCAGTCGATGGGAGTGGTCACACCCTTCTTGTCACCGGTCTGGAGGGAGTCAATGACTCGGAGGACCTCAGCGGAGTTCCGGCCCGTTGAGGCGGGGTACATCATGGTAAGACGGATTTTCTTGCTCGGGTCGATGATGAAGACCGAGCGGATAGTGAACGCAATGCCCTTCTGGTCAATGTTATCCAAGTCCTGCTGGTCGATCATATCGTAGAGGAAGGCAACTTTGCGGTCGGCATCGGCGATAATGGGGAATTGGACCTGGGTCGAGCCAACTTCGTTGATGTCCTTGATCCATTCGTCGTGGGAGCCAAGATCATTGGCGCTCTATTGAAAGGTTGCATTAGCCAAGTGTCAGGTGGACTATCAATGTCCGAAACTCACCAATCCAATCATTTTAACCCCGCGCTTCTCGAATTCACCCTTCATCTTGGCAAAAGCACCAAGCTCGGTAGTGCATACCGGGGTGAAATCGGCCGGGTGAGAGAAGAGGATGGTCCAGCTGTTGCCAATGTACTCGTGGAAGTCGATCTCGCCCTTGGTGGTCAGGGCCTTGAAGTTAGGAGCTATCTCATGTCAGCATTGGCCGTCATATCCGCCGTGCTGGAAGTTCTATACCAGTTGAACCCAGGCGAAGGCGCGGCTGTTCCTGCGCCGGGGCCGCGAAAAAGCGACGGAAAGCGGGCGTGCGAGGCACAGCCCACGGTGTGGCACGAGGTGCAGCACGGAATGCGCGGAACATCTGGGGAGCAATCTTGGAAGCCATTGTGAGATGCAGAGGTTTCAACTGAGCTCGAAGCTCCGACTCGAAAGCTTGTCTCCCACGTCATCGCGGGCCGAGTGCTGACTAACGAGCTGGTCCAGGGGCTCGCGGGCGCAATGCCGAACTCCGAGTGTACATTACATGACTTGTAAACGAATGTATGAGTTAGTGTACTGTTATAGGGATAAGCTACATGTTATCTTTCTATGCCACAGCTGGCGCGATATGTTGATTCTCAACGTCGCAGGTCATGATTCCGATACTAGAGACTTCGTGAATAATATCTCGAGGAACCGAACACGATCAGGCGAGTAAATCTACAGACTGCTTCATCAGTTGGGCAGAACCCTTGTCTATCTCTCTCTCTCTTCAATTGTCATCATTGGTCTTATCTGGCCTCTGATCTCACGATGGGGGTTTGATATTGCTTCTTCCCGTCCACGTCGCTAAAGAGGCTGAGCTCCGGCACAGGCCGAACAAAAAAGAAATATCGCGTTATCATTGGCTTGCTGCAGGGACACATCACATTGATAATAGGGGCACTATCAAAGATGAAGCAGATCATCACTAGTATTCAGTTTCCTTGGATATGAACCCAATACTCTACTATACAGCATGTCGAGTATGTTGCCAGATATGCTGCAACTACCGGCTCTATCGGACCAAAATACGAACAGTCCCGGCCCAGATCTCTCCACAAACAGAATTTGCCTTCGATGGGTTAAAAATACCCAATTGAAGCTGACTTGCGCGTGGGTTTGGTAAACTCGCTGATTGGATGAATTGCATATAATTGGACCCTGCGGCACAAATCCAACAACGTGAGTGGCCCAATGTGAGACCCTTAATATCGTCGACATAAGCCCTTCCGAACTAGACCGTTCTAATCACGGTTTCTCTGGACCATTTAGCCACTTCTCGTGTCTCCAACGGGATTATCTGTAGTCATTCGTGGTATAAGTTATAGGGATCCAGTAGCATCCAACGGGGGAGGACCTTGTACTTCTAAAAGTCGGGTCAAAGCAAAGATCGGATCTTCACGAACTAGCGATACACTGCCGAGAGGGAAAGCCAAGTTTCTGATAAATCTGACATGGTGGATCTCACCTCAAATCACCGCTAAAGACCTACATTAAAAAATGGCCAGTCTCCTTGATTATCTCTTTTAACGTCCGTTTCAATCTCTTTCGAAAGCCATATCGCTACCAGGATGGGACGCTTTCACTACCTCCTGGGGTTGCTGCTCCTATTCATCACATCCTCTCTTTGGATAGCTCTCAAACTGCGCCATGACTCGGCAGGTTTTGCACTTGGGTTCGACTCATGCATATGCTCCGAGGATGTCAAAGTGAGCAACAAATCTCCTGCAGCTACGCCAATCATTTTGCTTTCGCCTCAATCAACAGCCACAAGCACCCAGTCAACACCAACATCACTCCCTGGAAAACCCAGCTATCTCCCTGTGAAGAACTATCATGGACATCAAAAACACTCGGCATTCCCGGCCAAATTATGGCAAAAGTCCGGACCTATGGGGATAAACCCAGATCGACAAGGCGAAATAAACAGCTGGTTGCAAAAGAATCCAACCCTTCGACATGAAATTCTCACCGATGGGAGTGCAGAACGGTACGTCCGCGAACAATATGCAGACTACCCGCAAGTTCTCGATCTCTATACATCCCTCCAAGTGCCGATCCTCAAGGCCGATCTACTCCGCCAGCTGATTCTTTATGCCGATGGAGGAATCTGGAGCGACCTCGACGTGACGTGCCATGAACCAATCGACACTTGGATTCCAAATGAATTCATTGGCAAGGCAACGGTGGTTGTTGGGTTGGAATTTGATGGAATCCAATTTTCAAGTTGGACTGTCATGGCCAAACCCAGGACAAGTCACATCGTCGCCGTGATCCAGTATGTCACCAAGATGCTGGAGGATTCTGCAACACAGCACAACGTCACCATGGCTAATCTGTCCATGGAAATGATCAGCGACGTCGTTGATGTGACGGGACCCCAGGCCATGACCCGCGCGCTCTTCCAAAATTTGGAGTTGGAGATGGGCGTTCCTATGGGACGTGACAATATCACAAATATCACTCAGCCGACACTCTTCCAGGATGTTCTGGTTCTTCCTGATGCGGCATTTGCCGCTGGACAAGGCGGTTGGCCAAAGGATCGTGGCCCCTATCTCGTGGAACACCACTATGCTGGTTCTTGGAAGAACAAAGAAGGTGGCGAGCAAGCAGATGGCAGCAAACAGAGTGATTCATAGAGTACATGTCACACAACATTTTTCTTTTTTTCTTTGATACACTATGGACATGAATCTATTTAATCTTCTACTTTGAACGTCTCCCTGAGATATCTTCCAACATAATTTATATTGATATATATTGATGATATACTAAAAGGAAAAGCTGCATTATCGTCTTCCCATGTCATCAGCAGGAGGATGCCCTTTATTCCCTCTGCTTTCTCCAGAGAAAATGCCATCCGCCTCCCTGTTTGCTTTTGTTATCCCCAATACTTTCTTCGGGTTCAACGTTACGATCAGCACTCCAACTGAAAACTGGGAGTACGATACCAACAACCCAGTATGTATATCAGGCGCTTCACTTGTTTCAGGCCTTTACAAGACCCAGTCCTATATCCCTTTGACCTCGCTAATCAGGAAGTCTCAATAGTCGTATCACCCCACGCGTCAGTTTCATCGGCTCGAGGCGACTATTGCGAACACCTTTTCTGGTTATTCCCTTATCATTTGAGATCGATTTCTCTTTCAGGTCTTTATATACATATCGATGCATCAGTCTCCCCAAGCCGTTCAATCTTACCACCCCACCAAATGATCCCCGGCCAAACCTCCACAGTCTCCTACAAATGACGGCTTGAAAACCACAATGACGTGAAATCCTTTTGGCAGCAATGCATCATGTAATCGCGAGATCCGTCACGGATTGTGTGATGCGTGCCGGGGCCTTGGGGGGGACAACCAGCCCGCATATCGCGTTGAGAAATACACTATTTGACTCAAGCCGTTCGGTATCCAAGAATGGAAGTCGAAGTGCAGTTGCTCAATCCTTATAACCCGACACTGAACCGCGAAACATTGCATACGATCGCACTACCCTATATGAAAATCTCTGTCTTCTTTGGATATCTTCACATGTGCCATTTCGGGAACCAGGCAGACAGGGAAAGGTGGCGCAACTTTCTTTCCTGCGCTGCTATCACCTTTTATTCATGGATGCAACGCAACCGTCAGCTATTCGCAATAACCCCACTTACAACTATTGAAATGGAGATCCTGCTTCATTGACTACTCATACATTTCTTGGTTGGAAACCCCTTAGAGCCTCTAAAGATCTTCTACTGACATACGCATGACAGCCATTATTTGTCAACTTTAACAAATACGCTTCTTGGCTTTCTTTTGAAAGCCTCTATCGACGAACTCAACCAGTCCGAATACAGACGCACCTTATCCCGCCGAACTTTTCAATCACATAAGACAACGAGGCACTTGTTATCCATTCCACAACTATTCAGGTGGCTACGCTCGAAGTGATGCAGTATTCTTCAGTAGCTGATGAGATAAGACCTAGTCCAGCTAAGACCCTGGCCTCGCTCTCCATAACTTCTTTGAAAACCCGGAATCCTAACGACATTGGAGCTTCCATAGTATTCGGACAGATCCCGGTTCTGGTTCTTCGTCAAGGGGTTGATACCTGGACAGCGGAATTCGAGCGTTAATATGGCGATGCACTGCAACTCATCATCATAATCTGTTCCAGGCCAGCCTCCTCACGTCGAACCCTCGGTCTGGCTACCACAACTGAGAGGAAAGGAATCCCACTGACGATGCCTCTCCGTGGATATGAGTATGTCTACAAGGGGAACCTCCCTTCGATTACCCCAGATCTGCCAATATCAATAGCCCGATCAAGATGGTCCAAGAAAAGGAACATCGCTAGTACGCCAAAAAATGCTAGTGTTTAGCGGATTCTCAGTGGTTGCGCAGTGGTATGGCTTAAGCTTAGGGCAGACTTCCCGCTCATCCGAAGCTTACCACAACATTTACCGCTCGGCGCGATGAGTATATCTATGGGTTGAATAATCAGGCCGGCCACGCTTACCATGGGCCAATCCGTACCATAGCTACGTAGCCCTGTCAGCACTGTCAGCGCCCAGGTACAAAATGGTCGTGGATTTGCACATATACGAAGGCACGCCTTTATCCATGGAGTCCGCCCTATTGCAGTGCACCGAGGACAAGTCTGTCAGCCGTATTCATTGGATGGTCAGAAGTACCGGCAATAGTCACTTGATTAGACAGTAGAACTACTATCGTACTGTCATTATACTTGACGCAGACTCAAAGCGAACAGAGAATAGGAATCAAGAATAGAGATAACGAAATCTCGTCCTAGCAGCCATTCAAAAATGAAAACCCATACAGAACATATAAATTCAACTGAGCCTCACCTAGTCTAAGCAAATAAGTAAAACAAACCACCCATCCCACAGAACCCATTCTCCAAGCTCATACAAAACCCAGTTTTAAACCCCTAAAAAACAATCATCAATCACACCTCCTACCAACAATAACACCAAAATTAACAAGCACCCGAGCCCCAACACAATGATCATCAAACTCCTCAACCAATCTTTCCACAACCTCCCGAGCCTGACCCTCATCTGTCGCCTCCCCCGTCACAACCATCGAAGCAGGCACAAGCGCCCGAATCACACCAGCAACCCACTTCTGCGAAACGCCCCTCATCCCCTCATTCCCTACGGTGGTGTACGTCACACGTCGTATATCCCGGAATCCGCCCGCGGACACTTGATGATGGACGCGCTGCGGCGCGAAAGGCCAAAGACCTAGTTTCAGCATGGCGCCGATGACGGACTGGCGGAGTTGTGTTATGGCTGGGATTTCGGGCACGCTGTCTGTGCAGAAGGCTGTATGGTCTACTTCTTCCCATTGGAGGTAGCCGTTTGGTTCTGCGATGGTTGAGCTGGTGTTTGTGTTTGTGTTTGTATGTGAATCTGCCGAGGGGGACCCGGCTATTGCAGTGGGATGGATGAATGGATGGATATACTTACTCAGTAATTCCCTTGCATTCTGGAGCACGATGGCATAGCTGCTGTACTGTAGCCCGGCTGTTAACAGTCGGATATGGACTAGGTCGTAGCGGCCGTGATGCTCGACTGGGAATGGATATAGGGCGTCGTGTACGCTTAGCGGGATGGGACTTCTTCCTGGCCGGTGGATTTCATTTCCAGGTGGATATTGTGCAGATGAGATGTCGAAGCCGTGGAGGTAGACGGATTTGTTGGGGAGGGAGTTGGCGACGTCTTCGAGCCAGATTCTGGGATGTGTCAGCTTGGTTTGGGTGGTACAAACAGCTTAAAGTCGGGAGTTTTTGGGGTGTGGAAATTATGTTTCCGGTCTTTGTGTGCGTTGGGGGCTCTTTGGATATGTTCTCGGAGGAAGTCTGCATGGCAACCTTGGAAGGAATGCATTTTGACATACCCTGTTCCGGTGCCCAGATCGGCGACGGCGGTGATATCCTCTGTGGGGATTGAAGGGTGCAGGATATTTCCTGCAACTTTCACCAGGAATCGGTGTTGATTATTGAGACTATCGAGTCATGAATTAGTGAAAAAGGAAGGAATGTGGTAGCGTGTTGTAGTCTACAGAGCCAATCCAACAGACACATACCGTTCAGTTTCAGCCTCATCCCGTTTCAGAAGATAGATACTCTCATCACTCCCCATATCGATAGATACTGGAAACATCAGGAGTGGACCACCAAAGAAGAAAGCAGTTCAAGCGCAACATAGACCGGAATCAAGAATTCCAACCCTAGAAAACATCCAAGATCTTAAAGTATCCCCCAGAGCAAGGGCCCTATAGGAAGTGGCACAGGAATCCGTCTCACGGCAATGACAACCGTGAAATGTATCGACAGTTCAGGCGCAGGTCAAGGCCAGCGCACAAAGAACTACAAAGCCAGATCCCATCTAATGACATGAGGTAAACTAAAATCTCTGCCTTTGCCTTCTCCATTCGGTTGGATAGCAGTAAATAGACCTGTCTACTGTGTTCAGCATCGAGCACTACCCCGAGAAGTGAACCCTACGTGTCCATGATGCAGTATAAAGTTATGGCGGAATTGAAGTTCCACCAGACAAAGAAACATCCATGCATGGCTCTCCCGTTTCGGAATCGAGCCGCCACGATCGATTGCGCCAAGCTGGTAGATCGCGGCTGTGCACTGGGATTATGGACCTGTTCGCGGTTCTATGCTTGTAGGCGCTGGGGCTAACTACCACATGATCACGTGAAGCTACCAGAGATTGACGGGAACATTCGATATATCAGAGGCGGTATAATTTATGGTTTGTACTTTACACAAGATAAGGATGCAAAAGGAAAGAAAGAGAAACAAAAAGAAAGCCTAGACCTGAAAAAATCTCACAGACATGGCGATGCTGACTCCACTCCCATCACACCTATCCATGGGGGACTCATGATTTGTCCACCAAATGTTCAAATACATACCGGAAGATTTCACGGCTCTTGTAAAGATTCTCCACACGCATGCGCTCATTATCCAAGTGGGCATTGTCACTGGCTTGGCCACAAGGGAGGTTAGCAGCAGGTGCTGAGAACTCCTTCTCCAAGAACCGGATAGTTGGGATTGAACCACCCTCGCGGATGAACATGGGTTTCACGGTGCGAGGCGATGATGGCTGTTCGGTAGTAGAGTCGTTTTTGGGTTTGGTGAGAATTGGTAGGGCGACTGATTCTTCTGAAGATGTGGGAGTGCCTTGTGTGAGGGTGGACGAGGTTGGGACGGTAGAGGATGTTTGGGCGGCGCGTTTGGCCGCTTCTTTGCCGACAGAAGAGGTGGTTGTTGAGGTGATTACCCGCTCGACATGCGAGGCGAGACTATCGGAGGAATCTTTGCGAATGAGAGTCGGAATGGGCCCTCTGGTTGGGACGGACTTGGCTTCTGGTTGGTTGCTTGAGCCTAGGACGGGAGGGTACTGATGTTTCACATTGTCTTGGCTTTGGCTCCAAGCAGCGGTGATGGCCTCTGACAAAGTGGCGAAGATTTCGTTGTCCGGGTCGCCCAACCAGGCGTCTGACTTGCCAGTGATTTCCACGGTGAGGTCGTTTTGCGAGTCAAGAAGAGCGAATTGCTCCTGTGCGTAAGCTGTGAGGTTCGCAGCTACCTCGTCTGCTTGTTGATCGGGCACGATGCGAACAGACAAGGTCGCTTTGGCCCGTCGGGCGATTGTCGTATGACTCTTGCTCCCAGGAACCTCCACAGAGTGAACAGTGAGCGAGGGTTCCCGCCAACGGTGCATGAGCGACTTGATAAGCGCTTGGCTGTTGGGGATTTCCGGGTGCTGAAGAAGAAGGACATCTGCAATAGCCTCAAAGCGTTTCTGCTCGGCATCCGTAAGAGGGCGAACAGCGTCACGGAAGCCGGGTAGGTTGATTTGACCTTTGCGACCAACGATTGTGGATAAAAGCATAGTGATATCCTTGACTGGCTCATCTAGCAAGGTACTACCGTCAATACCACTGTGTAGATCGGGGTGGTCGCTTGTGACGACCAAGTTAGCATGAACAACACCGCGAAGACCGTAAGTCAAGCATGGGTTGTAATCATCAAGCCAGTAACTATTGGCTAGTAAGACCCAATCAACGGATCCAATCTGGTCGTGGTGTCGATGCACGGTCTCGTGGAAGCCCTGAGATCCAGACTCTTCCTCGCCCTCGATGAGGAACACAACGTTGCACCGCAAGGTCTTGGTTCTAGCAAGATCCGCTGCAGCGTAAAGAGACGCCAGAATAGGTCCCTTATTGTCAGAGACACCACGGCCGTACAGGAAGCCGTTAATAGAAGTCAGCTGATAAGGATCGGTTCTCCACTTGGGTCGGTTCGTCTCAGCTCCAACAACGTCGTAGTGGCCGTAGAAAAGGATTGTCTTGTCAACCTTGTTGGGTGAGGTGGCATTGAATCTGGCAAAGACGATTGGATTTGTCTCCTCTCCAGTAGTTAATAGTTTCGTTTTGGCACCGAGATAGTTGCAGTGTCGACGAAGGAACGCAGCTCCTTGGTTGCATTCGCCAGCAAATTTGGGACTTGCTGAAATGGTCTTATAAGAGACGAATTTTGCAAGACTATTAACCATTTCATCTACAAAGGGTTAGAGAGGTTCAACAAGCGCATTCTTGAGACATACCGTTACTGATTGGGGGTAAATCTTCTTGACTCATAAAGAATTCGGTCAAGTCCCAAATGCCAACTGAGTTGTCGTTTCCACCGGTGGCATAGATTTGGCGGTCTTTAAAGCGACCAGTGGCTGAGGCGAGCATAGTACCCTCATGTGCAACCCAGCCACCAACTTCCTCGAAACGCGAATTGAATTTCTGGTTGATATCAGCAATCATTCTCAAAGCGCGCCCGATCTTTCATACCTTAACTGTTCCACTGGAATCACCACAGATGGCAACACCTTGGATGACGTGCACAGCCCACAGATCCCCAATATGCCGGGTGATGCGCTTAACAAGCTGTTGAGAATCCAAGTTCCATATATTCAAAGCACCGCCTGCCAAACCACAATAGAGTAAAGATCCCTCAACCGCCACAGAAAGAACAGGGTCACTGTTTTGCAGCTTGGCAATCTGAGACGGAGAAGATCCAGGCTGTTGACCCAGACGCCACAGCTTGACCGCACCATCACCTGCACCAGTCAACAGAACTTCCTCGGAAGGAGCTGATTCAACCAAGCCCTTGACAAGCAACATGGAGTAGACGTAGCCATGGTGGGCAAAGAGCTTATGGTGATCCCGCTTGAAGCTCAACATGCGACCACCATCGGAGACAGAATGAGAACCATCCGATGATCCTGGGGCACGCGTACCATCCGGCCCACGGGAATCAAAGAAGCGATGTGTCCGCTTTGTGAGGTGGGCAGACGATGCCTGGTTGAGCGTTGACCCTTCTTCAGAGAGATCACACCACTGTCCACGTTAGAAGCTTGACTGGGGGAGAGCTGAGAGTGTCGTGTACCTGAATACTTGTGTTCTGGGCTCCACAGTAGATAGTTTGATTATTTGAGGAATAGACCACCGTGAAAATATCGCCCACGTCATGGTGGGAATGGATAGAATACAGGCGCTCAAAAGTCCTTGTGGACCATACCTGGCGGAATAAGTATCATTTCACCTGCTTTCTATGAATCACTTACATTGACAACTGAGTCACCACCACTTGAAAATAGAAGGTTGCCATCATTGGACAAATAGAGACCAAGTACACTCTCTTTGTGTGCGTGTACGGAGAGCACGAGGTCATATGTTTCTAGCGACCAGGCCTGGCGGAACAATTAGATCAAAGTTTTCGATAATCCATTGGAGATGTTGAGGGGAATTATCTCCAGATTTCAGACACCAACTTACCACAATGTCTCCTCCCTGGAGACCCGCAAACACACAATGCTCGTCGACAACCAGAGCGAGGACGGAGCGGCTCGCCAGGACGCGATGGCCGATACCGCAGTCGCTGGTTGAATGCGCACTGCTTGCATCGTCGACCATTTGAGTCACAGGCGATCGAGCATCCGAACCCCAAGTTCTGCCTTCCTCGACATCGGAGGCGGGGGGGCTCGCGGATTCTAGATCCATTGAGTCAGTGTTGGAATTGATGTTCTTAGTTCTCCACACGACAAAAGACAATTCCCCAAACGCAACAAAGAGAACACGCTTTCGATTCCAGAGGATGAAGTTGGAAATAGTGAAGTTCCCCAGAAAAGATGAATCATCGAGGCGGTGCGGAACAACAAAAAACATCCAATTGCGACATCGAATATTCTCAACTTACCCCTGGCTTCCCTTTGATTCCTGCGACTGGTTAGTTTGGATCTTTATACACAGTGTCTCTATCCGTGGATTTGCATGCATGTTGGCGCCGGTCGCGCATCGCCGTTTCTCTAAGAAAAGTCATACACACCTGGGTTCCCACGATAGTCGAGCCAACGGGGTACTAGGTCGACGAACGACCATATTGTTTCTATCGGGGATGTGCAGTCCACGGGTGGGAAAAGAGGGTGTCAAATCGCAAGGATATACGCGTACTTGTACACCGACGATTGGGCTTAAAATGTTGGGGGAGATAAGGCATATGACTCTCGGATACGGTGTAAGTTCAGTCAAGTAAATTCATACTTGTCTACCCCTGGATCTCGTCATTGGAACTTGAATTTGGAACTAGGCCTGCAGGTGCCCATGGGTGATCAGTGTTCTCTATAGAAAATGGACTGTCCGGTATAGTTTCAAAGGGGGGGATTGCGTCATTGACAGTCCGATAGAGTCATGGAATGCTAGGTTCTACAGGTCACAACAAGGGATAGGTGATCAGATAACTTATATGACCGTGATATCAACCGAAACCGCAGCCTGCAGCTGCGCAGGAGAAATCGAGAGACTTAGTCAGCATCACATGTGCTGCGCCACGTGTGGCTGGTGTGCAGCCACAGTGGCGGTGGCCCCGGCAGCCAATCAGAGCGCAGGAGTCACCGCTCTTTGCGGTCTTTTGTATACTTTGCAAGCTCGATTAGAAGCCTTGTCGTCCTTTGATTTGTCCGGGAACTGAGGCTAAGAATATCGTCCTCATTTGACCCGATTATGTTCCGGAATCCCTGCGAAATCTCTTCTTCCGTACGGTACTGCACCGTCACAGGTCACCTGTCTTCGCGCCCAACTTGTGATATGTGATGTGAGCTCATCGAACCTTTGATACGTGTCTGCCTTCGGTGGCACCCAACCACACTCTGCCCTACGACCTGCAGGTTCTCTCGTTCGCTGCTCTGCCCAACTTATGCGCCTTGATGCCATACCCAGCCTCCCACTCCACTCCACCAGTCCAAACTCCACCATAAGACGTCGCTGGACGCCTCCGATCGGACTTTCGCGTTGATCTCTGGGGTTGCAAACTCAACTGCCTTATTAAGCTTGAAATTCCTGTACCTTGCTTCTTTTTTTCCCTCCTACCCTGGACTCTTTGACTTGGAAGTATATCCGGGTCTTCAACCCTTACACCGCTCCCCGGCGATCTCCCATGAGTGATATTCTCCGATAGTCGTCACTACGACTCATTATTCGCCATGCCGTTCGGTCAAACGATTGCCGTCATTGACAAGTCCGGCAAAATGGTGAGCACGGTAAGTTCGATTTCCGCCGGACCAAAGCTTCCCCCGCATTCTGACAGGTCTCAGAGTAAGCAATTATTCGGAGTTTTCAACCATGCCAAGGATGCCTATCGCGAGCGAAAGTCTGCATATCAATCAGAAAGAAATGCAAAAATCGCCGAGCAGCAGATCCTGGAGCAGCTGGAGCGCTATCAGATTGAAGAGGCACCATCTGCGGCGGGTTCGCGCCGGAGCAGATCAAGACATCACAGCGGACGTAGCCGCGCTCCGTCCCAATATGGCGATGGGCGGACGGTCGTCTCTCGCCGGGACTCTCAATATGATCCCCCACAGACTATTGCCCGTCGTCATACCCATCATGAGGTCACAGTGCGAGACCAGTCTCGCCCGTCAACAGCTCGATCTAAATCTGATGCGCACATCGACATGGATCTTGCATACGGGGACGCATCCCCTGCCGCATTATCTCGATACAGCCCCCCAGAACCAAAGAATAATCAGAATGAGCTAGATGGACTTGTTCATCGTGCTCAGTGGCTTTTAGAGGAGGCACACTGTATGCAACATGGTGCCACCGCTACCATTGCCCACCTCCAGAAGAACCCAGATGCCATGGCTGCCGTCGCTCTAACACTAGCGGAAATCAGCAACGTCGCCCGCAAGATGGCTCCCACCGCACTGACTGCCCTCAAGTCAGCCTCTCCCGCGGTTTTCGCTCTCCTTTCCAGTCCACAGTTCCTCATCGCCGCCGGTGTAGGTCTGGGTGTCACCGTCGTCATGTTTGGCGGTTACAAAATCATCAAGAGGATCTCCGGCAACGACACCGAGGCACCAAACCCGCAACAACCTCACCCAGAACCGGAGATAGAAATGGAGGATATGATGGAGCTCAACACGGAAGCCCTCAGCTCCGTTGACATGTGGAGACGTGGTGTTGCAGACGTGCAAGCCGAGAGCATGGGAACCTCCGTCGACGGCGAATTCATCACACCAACCGCCGCAGTCATGTCCGGCATCGATGTAACCACCGCACGAGCCCGTCGCGACCCACGCTTCAAGTTCGACGACGACGGCTCAGTCGCCTCATCTCGTCGGTCTCGCCGTTCCCGAACCTCTCGGGCTCCAACCGCTGCCCCTTCAGAGCATCGCAGTGAACGCCGCTCCAGAGCTCCTCCCTCCGAGGCTCCATCGGGCTTCTTTTCTAGACCCTCCAGATCTAAGGCTCCCTCCAAGGCACCATCCAAGGCCCCAACCAAAGCTCCCAGTCGTGCACCCAGCCGTGCCCCCAGTCGCGCACCATCAAAGGCCGGCACCTACATCTCCGAAAGCGAGAAACTTCCCAAACCAAAGGAGAAGAAGAAGGGACCTAGCCGCTTACGACTTATGTTTACATCATAACACACATTTGAGTTACCCTCGACAGATCTTCTACTTGTACATATATCCGATCTTTTGTCAACGTCTTTCTACCGGATATACGAGCACATACGTGAGCCGCATCTCCGATGCTTATGCGACCTTTCATGACAATGTCCCTTACGATGACCAAGTCTATACGCTTCTTCTATACTTTTATTTCTGTTCTCTCTTTTCTCTTCTCTTCTTTTATTTTTCATATTCTCAACCCTCACGTTTCCATGTCTACGTCTCTTACGAATACACATAGGACTCTTGTTGTTTTCCAAGCATATTTGGCGATTAGCGGGTTCTTCATTTTATCTTCTTGAACATCATACATCATACATGTGTTCCGCAAGGATGTTTCTTCTACTTATTTCTTATCAGAAAAATAGAACATAACTTCTTTCCTGAATCATAATCTGACCTATGAGCGCTATAGTCAATACGAGTCTATTTTCCTGCTGTCAGGATCAACAGAAGACGTCATTCCGATAAAGAAATTAGCAAGTAAAGAATTGGATGATGATTTGCTGGATTTCTTCTCCAGCAATGTACATCTGCATCGCCTAGCCTCTGGGTCTGGGGCCTTGCAAATGGTCCCTTGACGTGTACATGCATGCGCCTCGTTCTATGGCCAGCTCAGCGATGACAATGGAATCCTGTTTGTCGATACTATCAACACTGGTGATATCACTATGCACTATTCTCTAGATAAGAAGAGCTGGTCATGGAATCCAGGCAGGTTCTGAATTGGGTCGCTTCTTGTCGACTTCTCCGCCTTAGACTGTCGATTGAGCATAACGATAATTGCAAATCATATGTCATCGATCGAATAATTCAAATGATGGATTTAATTCTCTGATAATGGGAGCGTAATTTCATGAAGAATGGTATACAGTAGCCTGAGAATATTGGCTAGTAGGCTGTTTAGTCCATATCCTTAACCCCAATTCAAGCAGTCATAACTTACTACTATGGCTCTGCCCAAAACATCGAACCACCCCGGCTTCAAACCATAAAGACCAACTTAATTCTTCAACAGGAAACACTTTACCAAATAATTTAACAAACCTCCCGCGCTTGCCGATCCAAAGCCGATTATTATAAGGTGAACGGCTAAGCAATGCCCAACCATCCCGTGTGCCTGTATTCAGTTTAGTTTTGTAGCTTGAAGTGGGACTGATGCAACTGATAAGATTGATCTAGGGACCATCAAGAAAGGCGGCTTTTGCTGAAGGGTATTTTGTGTGAATCTTGCCAGGATAGGGGTTCATCTGATCTAATTCAGGATGGTTCGGGACAGTACCCGGTTTTTGATTTTGTTATGCTCGGATTCCTGGTGGGACGTAAGATTTTTATTGTATATTGTAAGTTGTCCTCCGGTGAACTGTATGTTGTAGTTGTTGATTCGGCAGAGAAAAGATGATCACGAATATCCCGTGTCGTTAACCTTATACTCCACGTTAGATATGACAGGGCGGTACATATCATATCTCGCGGTGGATATCCGTTGTTCCATCATGTTTCAGGATTGACCGTGATACTCAGTTCAGTGTCAATTCCGGTGGTCTGACGGCCGGGGAGGTGACCCGTGCTCCGCTCACAGCCTCATTGCATATACGATTTGGCCTGTTCGAGTGTTTTGTCTGATCTGTGGTCGGGAATCGACTGTTTGGGAAAGAGAGTGATAATTCTGCTTTTTTATTGCAGATTATTGTTCCATGTTTATCGGACATATGTTGCCCCTTTCGCATTGATATGGGTGCACGCGACGGAAATGAACCAGTTGACGCTCATTGTGGCGGGGGTGGTGGTTGGGTGGCGAGAAAATAAGGGTGATTTGGAAAATGGTAAGGAGTCATTGTATTGATCGCTAAATATGCGAATAGTATTACTAGACAACCGAAAAGTCTTGTCGAGTCGGTAGAGACCAGAGTCCGCAGTAGCCGATGATCAGCCTGTGGGGTAAGAGCACAGGCATAACGGTCTCCAAACCCCCGTAGACCTGCATGTTCCAGTGATAATCCGATATTCAGGTGTTCAGAAGAATCTCCAAGTCTCGATATACCGGTGAAAACGAACCAATAATTCACGTCCAGACATGTCAGGGTTGTCCAGACAAAGCCGGAAAAGGAAAGTGGTCCGGGGATAACATATCGCCCCCCGAATGCTGAATGCAGAATGCTGATAGCTAGACACCACCATCCGCGCTGGAGAATTAGTTGCAATTGGACTTGCGGAAGTAGCGGATTGCAATTGAGAGCCTGGATTTCCCCATTGAATGACATCGGGACGACTTGAATGTCGAGCCAGTCACATCGCCACAATATTGAGTCTAGTGATCAGACATCACGTCGTCGGCAGTGGTCTGAGCAGGAATCTACCGTGATGCGCCAGGTATCATTAGACGCGAGCCTCGCCGTCTTGGGGAGAAGCATCAAAGAAGACCCAAAGTAGATGGGGGTCCGACGCGTGGAAATCGGAGGCTCGGCAGATGAAGAGTCTGCAAAGAGCCGGGCTTTAACTGGGTCAGGGCTTCCCTCGGATTTCTCAGACTTGCTTTTTTGGCTTGGGGTTCGAGTGGTGGTCGATGGCTGTTTGTTTGCTTAGAGAGCTATTGGTCATGCAAGTTCATCCTACATGAACAGGTCTTGTCGTCTGCATTTTGCATGGTGATCGTCTCTCCTGTAACAGTTGGACCCGCACCAACCCTGGAAGTGCCGCCTCTGACTTAGCCGAGACAAGATGGGGGATTTTCCCCCCGGTCTGCGGAGAGAATGCAAGGGGGAACAGATGAACTGAAGTTAGATTGAGTCAATTATTTTGGGGGCTTTTTTTTTTTCACGGTGTTCTGGAACGGGTGGGACGGAATAGAAATAGCGGGCATACTTCGTTTGGGGTTTGCCGCTATAAAATTGAAAATCATTTTTGACCCTTCTCCCTCTTCAAATACCTTCGTGGCCTTTGTCTATACTATATTTTTCTTTTGTGGTCTTGATTTCTCGGTTCGATCCTTCGTGATGGATATTTCACAGGCTCATCTACCTCTAGAGGTGATTGTCGTCGGGTATGTATTGATTTCTGCGGCCTTCCAACACGTAGAACAAATGACTGATACTGTGCAGTGCCGGTATGACCCGGAGATCAATTGTAGCGAGTCTGGAGAAACTGACAATATCAAGGTATTGGCGGCATGGCAGCAGCTCTGACATTAGGACTTCGAGGACACCATGTCGTGATTCTGGAAGCTGCCCCCAAGGTAAACTCACCTGCCCTAGTCCCCAAGAGAGCATTATTAACATTTTGCAGCTCATGGAAGTGGGAGCAGGCATCCAAGTCTCTCCAAATATGCTCCGTCTCTTTGACCGTGAGTCACTCCCCAGCACCATGATTGCCAGGGAAACGATCAAAAGAAAGCAAGACTGACCAGACCAAGGATGGGGCGTCTCGGACCTAATCCACGCCCAAGATGTAGCTCTAGAGCACATCCACGTCCGCAGATGGGAAGATGGCTCCCTGCTCGGCACAATGCCTGTGAACAAAACCTACGGGCAGCAAGTAGTAATTCACCGGGCCGATCTGCACAATGCCATCATCGAGAAAGCACTGGCTCTGCCAAATGTGGAACTACGGGTGAACTCACCAGTATCGGAGGTATCCTTTGACCCAGCAAGCGTGACACTGTCAAACGGTACGGTTATCAGAGGTGATATCGTGATCGGAGCAGATGGGATCAAATCCACCATCCGGGCTCATCTTCTCGACGATTCTTCCTTAAAGGCTGTTGCAACCGGTGATGCGGCGTACCGGATCATGTTGCCCAGAGAGATCATGGTCAAGGACCCTGAGCTCAAGAGTCTTATTGAACAGCCCGAGGCGACACGTTGGCTTGGTCCGAATAGGCATATTATTGCCTATCCGGTGCGAAATCATCAACTGTACAATGTTGTTCTTCTTCATCCTGATGTGCTGGGCTCAGAGGAGTCGTGGACCACAAAGGGTTCGAAGCAGGCCATGGTTGACAACTATGATGGATGGGATAGCAAGGTACGGAAACTTATTGATCTCGTCGATGACGATGAGGTTTTGGAGTGGAAGTTGTGTTTGCATCGGCCTTTGAAGACTTGGATTCGGGGGTCTGTTGCTTTGATTGGTGATGCTTGTCATCCGATGCTGTAGGTCAATCTTTGTTTTTTTTCTCCCTTTGTCTTTTTCTCTGTTGATCTGGGATGTTGATCTTGATGTCATTTCCAGTCCATACGTCGCTCAAGGCGCCGCCCAAGCTGTCGAAGATGCTGCTGCTCTGGGAATTCTGCTCTCGAGCATAACATCACGAGCGGAGATCCCATTGGCACTGAGTGCATATGAACAGTCTCGCAAAGAGCGCGCCGAGACAGTTCAGCAGTCCGGTTCAGAGAACCGGATCACGTTGCACCTCCCAGATGGCCCTGAACAGGTTGCCCGCGACGCGCAGTTCCTTGCCTCAGCGAGCGGCGAGAATCCTGATAAATGGTCTGATCGCAGGACACAGGAGTTCCTGTGGGGCTGGGATGCTGAAAAGGAGGCTTTGACGACTTGGGCTGGTATGTTGCGTCCCTCTCCTTAGGGATACGTGCTAATCCGTGGGCAGAAATGGAGCAGGGAAAGGCTCGGCCTAACCTTTGATTTTTGAGATTCTGATTACATACATTCAACATTTGTTTTCTGGCCAACTAGCGACTTAACTTTCGGCATATACCTCGCGCATATCTTGTTATTTTTTTTTTACATTTGCACATACTGCATTGATTGGATTGATCCTTTGTATATTGTTTGACTCTTATAGAGAGCAGGGAAATGAGATGATTCACTCGCAATTTTGATTCCTAGTTTCATCCGAACTGGTGCTATTTTTCTCTAGTTCATTATACAGTCATTCAAGCCACCATCCCATGAACGCATGGAAGTTGAACCAGCGAGACTCGACATGGCGGTGCCAGGGACGGTCAACATATGGCAATCCAATCATTCCAGTCGAAGAGAGGGCGTATGTAATATTTTCGCAACGTCGTTTACAGACGCTCGCCAGCGGCAGCCTTCATCTGGCCGTACTTCTTGAGACGGATGGCGGAGACGTTGATGAATCCGGTGGTCTCGGCGGGGGAGAAGTCACCGATCTCGTCCATGGAGGACTCGCTCATGTCGTAGAGCTTCTCGGTCTCGGAGGAGCGGCCGAGGACGGACATGTTGCCCTTGTAGGCGCGGCAGCGGACCTGACCGTTCACAGACTTCTGGGAAGCAGTGATGGAGGACTCAAGGAACTCACGCTCGGGGGAGAAGTACATGCCGTTGTACAGGAGCTACAATTGTTAGATCGGATCAGTCCATGGGTTGGAAATGGCTTACCTTGGAGTAGTTGTAGGTGATGAAAGAGTCACGCAGAGCACGAACCTCACGGTCCATGGTCAGACCCTCGAGATCACTGGATATGTCAGTTAAGTGGATAACGTAGAGGGTCACTTAGTCACTTACATGTGAGCGGAGCGCAGGCAGGTGAGACCGGGGGTCTCGTAGCAGCCACGGGACTTGATACCGATGAAACGGTTCTCGACCTATTTTATATTAGCGAGGTCGCTCCTTGGGGCTGTATTGAGTTCAGCTGACTTACAATGTCGATACGGCCAACACCGTGACGGCGGGCAATTGTGTTGGCAGTCAGGAACAGCTCAACGGAGTCGGTGACGGTCTTCTTCTTGCCATCCTGAGTGAACTCAAGCTTGACGGGAACACCCTTCTCGAAGGTCAGGGTGAAGTCCTCGGGCTGGTCAGGAGCGGACAGAGGGTCCTGGGTGAGCTTCCACATGTCGGCGGGAGGGGTGGTGTCGGGATCCTCCAGGATACCGGCCTCGTAAGAGCAGTGGGCCAGGTTCTCATCCATAGACCAGGGCTTGGACTTGGTGGAGGTGACGGGGATGCCCTTCTGCTCAGCGTAGTCGAGAAGGTCCTGGCGACCCTTGAAGCGCTCGTAGAAGACAGGTTCGCGCCATGGGGCAATGACCTTGATGTCGGGCTGGAGAGCGTAGAAGGCAAGCTCGAAGCGGACCTGGTCGTTACCCTTACCAGTGCAGCCGTGGGAGACGGCGAAGCAGCCCTCGCGCTGGGCAACCTCGATCTGGGCACGGGCAATGACGGGACGGGCCAGGGAGGTACCGAGAAGGTAAACGTTCTCGTAGACGGCATTGCAAGCAATGGCGGGGAAGCAAAGCTCCTCAATGAACTCACGGCGGATGTCGACAATCTCGCACTTGAGGGCACCGATCTTCAGGGCCTTCTCGCGGGCAGCCTCGAAGTCCTCTGAAATAATTATAAATTAGATCGTTGTCGAATTGATGTCGCATTGATTGTTATTTACCTTCCTGGCCAACATCGGCCACTGTGTTGAGGTTAGCGATTGAGTCATTGGATAGATCACATTTGCGACTTACTGAAACAGACGACCTCATAGCCCTCCTCGATGAGGTACTTCACTGTAGTTTCGCATCAGTAACCGCAATTGACCAATTGAGAAGCTCATAAATTCCATACAGATACAGCTGGTGTCGAGACCGCCGGAGTAGGCAAGGCAAACCTGCGCAACGAAGTGTCAATAATCGGGAAACATGGCGGGCCATTGAAAGTGGCGGGGGAGGGGTAGCGGTGTGAGATGGAATTGAAAAGGAGCGCGCAATGCTTTATAGTGAAGCAGCGGAAGATCATACCTTTCCCTGAGCCATTGTGAGTGATTGATGGGATGTAATGGGAATGAAAGTTGAACGTGGAGTAACAGGAAGAAGGTTGAGTCATTCGAAAAAATGCGGTTTTGGTGCGGGCCGGGGAAAGTCACGCGGTCCGACACCGGCTGATAAGAGATAAGGTTGATTCCCCTCCAGTTTCGCTATTCAAACTAATTTATACAGCTAGATACATGATCAATTGGGCCAATTTTACAGGAAAATTTGGTTTGGGCTCAGAGACAGATTGGAATATGTATATCTATCTGCTTTAGCTGCAATCCAATGTAAGATAATGCACGTTACTGCAAAACTCGTCCACAATCAGGGAATCATTTCCCAAAGCTCTCAATGGGGCCACATTCCGGCATCCAAATGACCTCAGGCAGGAAAATTTACTGTGTTCTCTCATGCAAGTTGGTATTGTCCGGCAGATCATTCTTCATGTATACTTGAAGGTCACGGGAACATCGTCATAGGGTGTTGTTACTGTTTGTCCCGTTTGCATTCAGCTCGGCTACCCGCGGCGACTTCCCCGCGCTCTGCCCCGGACAATGGCAGTTACATAGTTTAAAGACACCCCTTGGGGGAATTTTTCTCATGTAGGTCGACACATATCCTCTCTTATACTCTCTCTCACATTCTCAATCCCTCATGGCACCTCTCCGCACACCGCTGCGGTTTCTTGCCCAAGCACCTCGGCGATCGTACTCCGGCGCGCCTACACCATCGGCGAAGCTGAACTTGCCTATTGACTACAAAACCACTCCTATCTTGCATCATACATCTTCTTCCTTGTCAAATACGCCAGAACTTCCAGCTGCAGCTACCACTAAGCGACTAAATTTCTTTCAAGCCATCAATTCTGCGTTACGAACCGCCTTGTCTACCTCCGACAAAGTACTTCTCTTTGGCGAGGATGTTGCCTTCGGTGGTGTCTTTCGATGCTCCATGGACCTCCAAACAGATTTTGGATCAGATCGTGTTTTCAATACACCCTTGACAGAACAAGGTATTGCGGGCTTTGCCATTGGAGCAGCCGCGGAAGGGATGAAGCCGGTAGCAGAAATCCAATTTGCGGATTATGTCTTCCCAGCATTCGACCAAATTGTCAACGAAGCAGCTAAGTTCAGATATCGTGAAGGTGGAACAGGGATCAATGTTGGTGGACTGGTGATTCGTATGCCATGTGGCGCGGTTGGACACGGTGCCCTGTGAGTTTTATTCATCGCCCAAAGGTTCTCAATGCATGCTAACCTTTGGAAACAATAGGTACCATTCACAATCTCCCGAATCCCTATTTGCACATGTTCCTGGTGTTAGAGTAGTCATGCCACGATCTCCCTCGCAGGCAAAGGGCCTCCTCTTGGCCTCCATCTTCGAACATAACGATCCGGTGATTTTCATGGAGCCTAAGATTCTCTACCGCGCAGCCGTGGAACATGTTCCTAACGAATATTACACCATCCCACTAAGCAAAGCTGAAGTTATAAAACCCGGCAATGATTTGACCATCATATCTTATGGGCAGCCTTTGTACATGTGCTCTTCTGCCATCTCGGCCATCGAGAAGACCATGCCGGGTGTCAGTGTGGAGCTTATTGATTTACGTACCATTTATCCTTGGGATCGTCAAACAGTTTTGAAGAGTGTACGAAAGACTGGAAGATCGATTGTTGTTCATGAAAGCATGATCAATTATGGTGTGGGTGCGGAGGTCGCATCCACCATCCAGGAAGGTGCATTCCTGCGTCTAGAGGCCCCTGTCAAGCGTGTTGCGGGCTGGAGTACGCATACCGGTTTGAGCTACGAGCAATTCATTCTGCCTGATGTTGCAAGTAAGTTCTCTACATGGTCCTGCATTTTATCATCTGCTAATCTTTGAATCCTCGGTATTTAGGAATCTATGACGCTATAAAACAGACTCTTGAATACTGAGCTACGTCTTTTTCTCATAGCATTTAGTTGGTTAGGGTCAGCATGTTGCATTATATCTAGATCTTGACCAATAAATGCGTCACCTTGAATAGAATTGAAATTAGATAATACATGTACACCCTTCTGTGTTCGCCGCATGGTCATGATTTCTTGCGTGAAACTGTCAGTTGCAAATCATCATGTCGTACAATCGGAGTCAAGGTATTGCCCTAATTCATTTAGACCTCTGTAAATGCTTCCTTCACCAGGTCGCTCACTTAAACCAATCTTCTCGGTTCCTTCTCCTTGACTTAAGGGATAGTCAAACTGAAACCAACAACAGGATTTTGATTCCAAAAATGTCTAAACAGGCTATGTACTTTTACGAAGACCCTAGACGCTATGTACATTCTCAGCAGGGGCCTTCTCAATGTTCAACCCAGTCCTAGTCTCAACATGCTCCTTGCTCAACTTAGCCTTCAGAATGAAAGCAGAGCAGAAAACACCAAGGACAGACATGCAGGTATACAAGATCCACATGTTCCGCAGACTCCAAGCAAAGGCCTCTTTAATGGCAAGCAGCTGCACAGGGTCCGTGATATCCTTGATATACTCAATGCTTGCAGCAGCAGCATCTCCAGACATTCTGTCTGCCATCTCTTCGGACATTCCAGAAGCCAACAAGTTCGAGTGCTGCTCGCCCATACTGTTCTGGAAGACGACACCGCCGATAACGATGGAGCAGGCTGTCGCCATGTTACGGATGAAACCGAGCGTGGCTGTAGCGGTGGCGGTGTCTTCTTGGGAGACCATGGCTTGAATAGCGATGATGGGGGTTTGAAAGAGGAAGCCGGCGCCGAAACCGCTGAGGATTTGGTAGCCCACAATCTCGGCGGTTGAGGATGTCGCATTTAGGTTGATGTAAAGTCCGCTTCCGATCGTCAGAAGAACGAGGCCAAGCCAGATGAGCTCGAGGTAGCGACCGGTACGGTGAATGATGGCGCCGCAGAGAATGCCTCCAACGGCCTCGGTGATGACGAGTGGGAGAATGAGGACACCTGATCGCATTGGTGATGCTTGGTGTACCGACTGGAGATAAAGAGGGATGTAGTATTCACCAGCAATGAAGACCTGTATTGGTTAGTTTCGGCCACTGATATTCAAGGGAAAAAAGCACATACGAATCCGTGCGCGAAAGCAACGGCGAGCGTAGCAACGTTTGACAGACGAGAGAAGATATCCAATGGCATCAGAGGATACTTTGCAAGCTTCTTCTCGCTGTATACAAACAGCAAAGAGCACAAAGATCCAAAAACGATCAGGCAAATCACTTGGGGGGATTTCCATGCAAAGGTCTCTCCTCCAAAATCCAGCCCTAATAGGAGCATCAGGGTGAGACCCAAGACTGAGAGACTGCCGAACCAGTCGATCGCCCGGATTCCGTCCATGATCTTTGTTTGAGGATTATGCACATCCAAGAAAAAGAAGAGCAGAACGAAGGTGACACCAGAAACAGGCAGATTGATCCAGAATGTCCATCTCCAGCCTGTGTATTGAGAGAAAGCACCTCCTAGGATAGGACCGATACCTCCAGCAAAAGCCCACATCACTTCCATGAGACCGAGATAAAGGCTGCGGTGTCTATACCACTCGTTAGCATTCAAGCCTCAATCGGAAATCTCATGTTCAGATCTCACCTAACACTAAAAAGATCAGAAATAATGATAGTGACAAGCTGCAGCAGACCACCTCCAGCAACACCCTGCAATGCGCGACCAGCAATCAACATTTCCATATTGACAGCTGTGGCACAGATGATGGAACTAATAAAGAACCACCCGACGGCCAAGAGCAAGATCGGTTTCCGCCCCCAGATATCAGAAAGCTTAGCCCAGATACAGGCCCCAGCGGCATTGGCAAGAAGATAAGCACCACCAATCCAAGTATACCCAGCAGCCGAGTGGAAATGAGCAGCGATAGTGGGAATCGCAGTTGAAACAATAGTTTGATCGAGTGCCGCCACGAACATAGATAGCGCCAGCGCTATCATAACCGTGACGATACGGAGCTTGCTTTGCCCCTGAGTCGGGGGAGCATCTTGGAATTCCATTTTTGTTATCAATTGAAGTGTGCAGTATACTGTATACAATTGGGAGATCTTGGAAAATATTTTTCTGCCGGGCCGCCATCTTTTATCAGTGGGGCTTCGGGCTGAGTTCCGCGCCAAGTCCCGGATACAAGTGAGTCACTGCAATTTATATCGAGTGGCAGAGTGGCAGTGTGGCAGAGTGACTGCATTGTCCTGGATTCTGCCAGTGATAGTCTCTGTTTTGCAAGCTGACTTGCAGTCATAGCCCTACGTGCAGTGTTTGCTGATCGTCTACTTCCACGGGACCATATTCTAGAACGCAGTTGACTCACGAGAGGTTTGTGCTTTGCATGATTTTTAGTCATTGTCTCTCAAAATATCCATTTAGCCTTTATACAATTGTTCTTTTTTCCATCATTCGATATCAAGTCAGGTCTTCTGTCGTTTTGCTGGCCTATCCTCTTCCCCAAACTCCTTTTTCCAAGTGCCATTCTTGACTTTCTCATCATTGCCATAAAGACCAATGCCATATGCATGTTTCATGCCATCGAGGCAAATCTTCCGCCGCTCATCAAAATCGAACATGGGTTTGGGATAGGTATGCTCGGTGCCATTGTCGGTCGACGAAGAAGTGCCATCTCCGGTCACCCGACAGCCAAACTTCTTCTGGTCTGCAATGGGCGCTTTCCACGGCTCATAAATATATTTCTTGTCGAATTGGGCCAGCTCCGGGCAATACCGTCGGACCAAATGCCCCTCGGGGTCCCATTTCTTTCCAAATGATATCGGCGAGTAACACTTGTAGTACTGAGCGTAGAATGCAGTGCAGGAGAGCCACATCCAGTTTCCTACATTACATGCAGTTTCATCTAGGATATTTTAGCAACTAGCAGCAGGTCTGATTCGAGGATAACTCACGGTCAATCAGCATCTCTTCGAAAACCTCCGCGCCACGTTCCCAGCTAACGTAGCATCCGCCTCGCGTCAAAAAGCAAGCAACGCTGTGTCTTCCCAGATGATGAATCCAGCCCTCTTGTTTCAACTGGCGCATGAGGGCATCGATCCATGGGAATCCAGTACGGCCTTCCCTCCAGCGCTGAAACCATTCCTCTGCGTCTTGCGAGTCTACTTCGTAAGATCCCTCGATTGAGCCATCTTGTTTGGCAGGGTTTGTTTTTAAGTGCCAATCGATGAATCGAGCAACTCGGTTTCCGTCGGTACGATCAAATTCGTGACCAAGCGCTGCTTGGGCTGCGAAGTACATATCCCGGAATAAAAGTTGACCTTCCAGGCTGGTTGGAACCGATGAGTTTGGCTTTTTCTCTTTTCTTCTTTTGGCAAGAACGTCTTGGACATCCCACCAGAACTTTCGTACCGATAATGAGCCGAAGTGAAGGTGAGGCGATAATAGCGTTGTTGATTGCGGTTCGAAATCCGCTGGTGAGGTGTTTGGCTTTTCAAACCTTCCGATATAGTCCTCGTTTTTGATACATGCTCCGAGGACTTTCAAGGCTTCTGTCTCGCCTCCTCGGTGAGGAGTCACAGCTTCTGACTTATCCATTCCCATATCTTCAAAAGTTGGAACTCCAAAGTCATTCTTCGGGCCCATCAATTGGGAGTATTGGGCATCTTCCTTGATGCGGTGCTCTGAGTTGAAGTCCGGTTCATGATCAACCCGGTCATGATCCAGACTACTAATATTCATCTTTTTCTCATCCCATGGGTCGGGAATACTCTTGGGAGTTTCGAGTGGTTTGTCCGGGCTGCCCTTGTTGATCTTTTCAGCTGCTTTTTCGAGCTGTGTGATACTCATTGTCGGCTTGCCGCCGTTCTTCTGAACAACCTCATCAGGATCAAACAACGTGCGTCCCATTTGCACAATAACCTCAACACCAGACTTTTCGGCCATCTTGATGACATCAATGTCTCTGTCCTTGGCATATGAATCCGTGTCCTTCTCAAATACAAGGTGTGTGACACCCCAGTGTTTCCAAAGCTTGGGAAGAATAGTCTGCGGCCCTTCGCGAACGATCCACAGCTTTTGCTTTGGATTAAGCTTGGTGTATGCTTTCGAGAGGTCTGCCTGACACTCTAGAAGAAACTGCCATCTGTTCGGGCCTACTCGTGCTCGGTAGACATAGTGAGGATCCCAGGTCCAGACTGGGATGAAGACAGATGGTTTCAGAGCCAAGGCTGCATGCAAAGCTGGAGAATCATGTAGCCGCAGATCGGTCCTGTGCCAGTATAGAACTACTGGATTTGACGCGTTACCTTTCATCTTGTAGCTTAGCAATTGATGCGGGAGTCAATCGTCACAGGAGCTGTCGTCAAGAATCGACAATCTCTCTCGGGGATTTTCAGGGTAAGAAGTAGAAACTGGGTTATGCAAGGGGGTCAGATCGAGATCGAGATCGGGAGTTTTGGATGTGTGACGTCACCACGTTTAAATAGTAGATCACATTTTCAACTCCTGGTGACTGCGTGTACAATAGAAGATATTTCTTGATATAAATTGATGTAAAATTGATACAATATGTATCCATATCCTAACTAATGGTTATCTTTAATTTATTGACAAATCTTTCAGTTGAGCAAAGCACGAATGTCTTCCTCAGACAAAGGCTTCAAACCAAATGCCTTGTTGGACAATTTCTCGGAGTCAAAGTGGCTTCCGAAGTTATCACCAAAGATAGCCCGGAAAAGGAAAAGATGAGCGAAGACCGCTGGGTTAGGAACGGGCTTGCTCAATTCCTCAAAGGCCTCCTTCTCCAAGTCGGTGGTTGCAACTGTCTTGGTCTCGAGACTCTTGCCGGACAGAGCAAGCAGCTGTTTCTGCGAAACAGTGGCCGAGCTGATGTAGACAGTCTTGTTCTCGGTCTCTGAGAGGTTGTTGATGATTCCAGCAAGTCCACGACCAATGTCGGCGCGGGTGGTGGTGCTGAACTTGCGCTCGCCGCCATCATACAGCGTGACAGCAGGGCCGGAGAGGTTGATCAAGAAACCAACATCGATACCCCAGTCGAGGAAGGGGCCAGTAATGAGGAATGTGTAGCTCAGGCCGGATTCCTTGTTGGCCTTCTTAAGATGTTCTTGGACGGCAATCTTGTCGCCAAAGACGGGAAGCTTGGCAGTGTTAGGGTTGGTAGTGTCGCATCCGTATTCTGAGGGAATGAAACGCTTCACGCCAGCAGCGACAGCGGCGTCAACAAGACGGAGGTGAGTGTCTCGTGGCACTGCACCCACACCAAGTGTGCTGACCACGACATCCTGGCCAGACAAGGCATTCTTGAGGGAGTCAAGAGACTCATAGTCGACTTTAACGACCTTGGCTCTCGAGTCGAAAGTCTTGTCACTGTTTTGACGCGACAGAACCGTCACATCGAATCCAGCATCGAGCAATTGGTTCAGAACAGCTGGGCCAAGATTGCCGCTTCCCTATTGAATTTTAGCTGGGCACAAAAAATGAAGGGCAAGTAAGAATACTTACACCAATGAGAGCAACTTTAGCAGGCATTTTGTCAATGTCAAGAATAGAGGTGATCTAACGTAGTAGGGATCGAAGCTTGATTTGATTGAAGGATGAATGGTCTATCTTTCGAAGGGGAGCACCCCTCTTATATACCTGAGAACAGAAGCATGATTTTTCGAAATATTCGTCATTTCTTTTACCTTAAAAATCATCCTGGCAAGCTGTTTGCGTGTTCCATGGTGAAAATTACACCAAATGCCGCGTTGGTCAGCCTGGATATCTCAATTCCGTGCTTACATGTGCAAAGCTTAATAATTGGCGGAAATATTCCGCACTGGTTTGTCAAATTGCCAAGGCTTCGGGGCGGTCCTTGGTTCTTCCGAACGGGCCGTCCTGCATCTTGGAACCCTTCTCGGGAACCACTTCGGTTTGGTATATCGCATTTAGCTTCTTTCGCTTACCAAGTTGACTACGAAAAGGCAAGAATTGTGGCAATAGTCTTCGTCTCTAATGTGCAATAACCTCATTGTAAATCTGTGTCAGTTCTCGAGACATCAACATGCGTTGTGACAATCTCGTGGTTTTCCTTGGGCACACCATAGTAGACTAGAGCTCCAATAAGAAGCCAAAAGGTCCAATATCTATAGTCTTTATGTTGTACTGGGTCAAGTTCCTCCAAGGTTGGACGATGATAGAGGGCAGAATTAGGGAATGGGAGTGGTGGGGCGTATGTATAAATTATATCCGCAAAATCCGCATAAGCCACGAGCTGAGCGTTTAACCACGGAGAAGTATGTTATTGTAACTGAAAATGTGATATATTTACACTGGTCGAACCCTTCTATAAGTTAATCTGATGATCATCCTCATTTATCCAGATACTCAGTACTTTAAGCCTTTTAAAAGATGCATCGATTGGCCTCTTTTTGCAAGCCACCAACCTCGACCGTAGAATTTCACGTTTTGAATTCCGGGTCGAGTGAAGATACACCTATTTACAAGACTCAAGATGAAATCTGCGGTGAAATTTTATTTACTCCGAATCGTCAAATGGAAATCGACGGTATTAGCATCACCTTCGAGGGTAAGCGATCTTCTCCGATTCCCAGTGCAATGTAGTTCTAACTTCTTGCAGGATTTGTAAACTCAAGAGTCGAAAATCTTGTTACAATGGGCCGCAACGGTTGGATTTATGTGAAAAAACGTTTTCTTCGACTCCACATGCCCATTGCCAAGTCGAATATCTTCCAATCCAGTATCGCAGAGCCAGGGAGAACATACCGGTTTCCATTCGTATTTGTTGTCCCGTCAGCAGTACTACCTCAAGCGTGCCATCATCCAATCGCACATACCGATGTACGATCACGGCATTTACAACTACCTCCTAGCTTTGGAAGACACCATTCGGCGAAAAAGCAAAAGTCTTTCATGCATGATTATGCACCGGATTCAACATCGATTAATTACGAAATCAAGTTCCGAGTTGCGAAATCTCAGTCAGGAACGAAAAAGCCCAAATGTCTGGTTGACATGAGCTATCAGGTCCATATCATGCCAATTCTGAGCGAAATGCCGCCGGCCATGGTGCTTCCAAGCAGCCAGTTATATCGGATTACGGACGAGAGACAAATGGCCAAAGGCCTGGATCGGACAAGGACCGGTCGTGTACGTGTAACAGCCAAAGAACCAAGCCCTATAAAGTTGCTTTCAGCTCAACCGATAAAGACTCGGCCGACAACAACGACAGTCAATTTCGAATACTGGCCAGAAGGAAGCAATGACAAACCCCCGAAACTCAAAATTGTTTGCGTCAAGCTGGCCGCCATCACACACTACGGGATTGACCCTTTGCAAGACTCACCTGACCGAGTCGATGTGAGTGTAAATCCTCGTTGTCGTGCATACACAAAGAATATCTCTCGCATGCTTCGTGATATCACATCGGTACAATGGAGTGAGGGTCCGCCGAACTATACGCGGAATGAGAACACAGGGGTATCAGAATTACTGAGTATTTCGTCCAAGGTGAAACCACTCTATTATACAGCATCTCTCCTCTTACCCGTGTCCTTGCCGGATTCCTTCTTCCCTGTCCCGACCTTCTCTTCTTGTCTTGTGTCGAGATCTTATTCTGTGAATATGACTTTCTCTTTTGGATTTCAGGGTGCGATAGCACCTTCATTGGACCTTTCACTGTCAGTCCCTCTCCAGGTATGCTCCGATACTATTTTGGAGTCGTGATTTTATGGGTATGATCAGTGTTGGGATATGAACAAGTTCGTCTAACATCTATGAGTGCATTTTGTTACAGAGTATGCCAATTTCCCACTCCCAAATAATGGGAAGAATGTATATGTACTCGTTTTAACCATCTCTTATTCACCATTTTCCAAACGATGAGACGTCAAGTGGATTATTCAAGTTGTGTCGCATTTAATCGCATACCTAGCAACCTCACGTTCAGGGTTCAAGGGCAATTCTTGCCTCCAACGATGAACTTCAACAGTTTGCAGCATTCAAAGATCATTCTATTCGAGCATTCTTCTCATCACACTTCTACCTAACTCAGACTTTGTAAAGTGAGTCACGTGGTGGCCAAGTAACAACCGGGCGGGACCCGGAATATATATCGTTGCCGACTTCGGGATTCACCTCTTTCTAGAACCCGTCAATTGGGAGTCATACATTTCACGATATCGAGCTTACCTGAGAACTTTTAAGAAGAAGAACCTGCATGACCGCCGGCGGCCATGTCAAATCTATCCAAACGTCAACGACGTTCTCGGGTCGCCTGTGAACCATGCCGGGATCGCAAGAGAAAATGCGATGGTCACCAACCCTGTGAAACTTGCAGGGAATTCGAGTACGAGTGCTACTATGATATTAGCGCACGTAAAAAGAGAAACAAAAATCATTTCTTAAATACGGCATCCACCACGCCAGCACAGGCGCTACAACAAGCTTCACCTTTGCTCGAGACACCACCATCACCACGAGCTGAGACTCCAGATGAGTTTGATACAGCTATACCACCTCAATCTTTGGAGTCAAATTCTGGGGCAGCCTTTGTGAGGGGGTTGGCGTTGAAAATCGACCCTGTCAATGCACCCGAGCCGCAATTCTTTGCTTGGAATCTCGGTGTCCGACAATTACCTGGAACCTTTGGCTCCCTAGATATCATCGATATCATTTCAAAGGATGATTTGGTCATGTTGGCAAGAGTTTACTTTGAAAAAGTAGACACTTACTACGGTTTCATTGACCAGGAAACGTTCTTTGGATATCTTGATTCGAGATGGTCTTCGCAGACTACCGTGACGCCATACGACGCTGTTCTATGCGGAGTCGCTGCTATTGGTTATTTGTTCACTCGTAAGAAACCCGTTGCAGCAGAATTACACTTGGCAGAGTCAGCGCGCACCACTCTTGAGCAGTTTTCCATGTCTGGAATACCTTCCTTGGCACTCATAACTGGTTGGGCCCTGAGACTATTCTATTTACGGTTTACATCGACACCTCATATTGCTTGGATGGCTAGTTGCTCTGTATTACACCTAATTGAAGCTTCCGGTCTTCATGTGGAGTCCCCCTCTAGGCTTCTGCTGGGTGGAAGACCCCGAGTTGTCGATGCAAATATACGCAGAAGGCTAGTTGGGTTTGCACAATACATCAACACATGGGTTTCATTCGACTTGGGTCGCTCAAGGATATCATTGCATGATATGTCCTACGTTGCGCCAAACAGTCGAGAGGGTGATTATACGGTTGAAATGCTGAATCTGCTACCTATTTCAGAGAGCTTGGAATCACACAAACCATTGGACGGTGACCAAATCAGGACAATGCTTCTCAATCAGTTCGAAACTGCCCACACACAGCCTCCATTGGTGCTCTCTCAATGCAATTTAATACTTTGCCTTTTCAGGCGACTACGCGCACTGCATTGTACCTTGAGTGGGGAGCTTAAGGATAAGATTTACACCTTCATCAGGAGATCCCTTTCCTGTGCTAGGGAGTTGGCTCATTCAGGGTGCTCTTGGCCCCATGTTGCAAGCGTCCCCTTTCAGGTTGTCTGCACGTTGCTTGCGATTGACACCACTGAGTCACTATCTCGACTTGCTGAAGCAATGAACACACTTAAATCTGTGATGGATAGCTATGAAACTGAAGTCATGAAAGAGGCGTATCGCATTGCAGGTCTACTGATTTCATTGCAACAAAAACGGAAAGACAATGATGCGAAAATTCTCAATGGCATTGTTGGTGTGCACGTTGACCCTCAGTCTCAACCAAGGAAAGAATCTCTAGCTGAGGGATTCTCCGATATCCAGAATTTGGAATTCCTCAACGGCTTAGAGGGCGAGATGCCCAACTTGGACGAGCTTGATTTCACTCAGTTCTTTATGGCTCATCATTCGGAAAGTATGCTTGGGACAACATCTTATATCTAATTAATACTCGTTAGAGCGCATATATTTGATTATAATAACTTTCTTCTCAAGTTGTGATGCTCCAGACATATTCGGTGGCGAATCAGACCGAGAAGTACAACTTATTAACCCCTCACAACCATCACACTTAGAACCTCAATGGCATGCGGCTGATCAGATTCTATAAGACTACCGGCTCGGTTTACCGGGGGTAAAAGGCTCAGTTCAATCTCTTCGCTTTGCTTCGGTGCGGGTTTGACGGATTTGACGGAAGTTGCGGATCTTCTTCCACAAGTCGCCCCACATAGGTAAAAGTTAAGAGTCCTGAGATTTCAAGGCTTCCTGCTATATGTTTTTATTTAATACTCTCAAGTACACGCTAAACATGGCATCGAAGGAAATACACACTTATAGCTACTTTCGCGCCTCAAAAACCGAGGACCTTCTCGCAGCGGCTCATCAATACAAAAAGCTCCGCCTGGAAGCGCTGCAGCTTTCCCCTTCTTCTTTTGCTTCCAATTACGAAGTCGAGTCTCAATTTACCGACGATTACTGGGTCTCAAGATTGACGCAAGATGGTGCAGTAACTTTCATCTGTACTGCATCTCGAATAGCTGAGAACGATATCTCGAACGACATTGAACCAAAATGGGTGGCGCAAGTCACCTTCCTAGGGCCTCAAGCCGAGCAAGATTTCACCATCCCAATTGACACTCGAAACTTCCCTGTGATCACCAGCACATCTGAAAAGCAAGAACGATGGCAGATGCTTGGTCTTTTCACCCATCCTTCCCATCGAGGCAAAGGCATCGCAAAGACCCTCACACGGAATGCTTTGGATTATCTTACCACACGTCAAGACCGGACGAGGGATATTATAGTTCGTCTCATGGTGAAGCCTGGGATGCATGCTACGATTAAGATGTATCAGCAACTCGGATTCGTCGAAGTGGGCTACTGTTCTCTTGCAAATGCTCTGATTGGGAATGGAGATCGACAGAATTTGCCAGAAGGCTATGAAAATCTGGACAAGTATACTGCTTGTACTAGCCACGTCATGATGCAGCATTTTTCGAGTTGATCAAAATTAGAGGACTGGTTTGCATGACAAGAGGAGTTTCAATTAGTTAGGGGTTTGAAGCATTTGCGGGATTTAAGTTATTGCTGGGTGATTCTTACATAGATCTTGATTCGCTGCATTACTACTATTTAATGTATTCTATTTTAGTTTTCCTGTCGCAGGGTCATTGACCTCAATCATGTACCCTGTCCCCAAAGCTTGTTCATCGAGCTTCGTTGTATAGATCTCAGCCCTGTCGGGGTGGGAATAAGATGAGTCATCAACTTTATTTCCGATATCTCCGGCCAAATCCATTCCGCCGCGCATGGCAGGACATGTCTTCCCGAACAGCTAGCACAACACTTATTCCCCAGCGTATGGCAGCTGCGCTCGACAATCCACACTTACACATCTAAAAAGCGAAAGCGCTATAAACCACCCAAGATGCAAGGCTTCAGTAGGTCCCTTCCCTGCCAAATTTCAACCCAAAATACAAAACGCTAACATGGGCGCGCAACAGATATGGGACGCTACGTCCCCCCGGACCAAGAAGGAGTCCTCTCAGGGAACCAAATAGCCAAGAAACACCCTCTAGGAGCTCGAGCCCGGCACCCAGGCGCATTAGTCGTCCGCTTCGAGATGCCCTTTGCAGTCTGGTGCACGACATGCAAACCACACGAAACGATAATCGGTCAAGGCGTGCGCTTCAACGCTGAGAAACGAAAAGTCGGGAATTACTACTCCACGCCGATCTACAGTTTTCGAATGAAGCATACGGTCTGTGGTGGGACGATCGAGATCAAGACGGATCCCCAACACACGGCTTATGTCGTTACTGAGGGTGGCAAGAAGCGGGATACGGGCGAAGATAAGGAGTTGCAACCTGGCGAAATCGCTATCAAGCCATATGCCTTGGGCCAGGACCCAGCGGAGAAAGATCCTTTTTCAAAACTTGAGGGGAAGGTTGAAGATAAGCGCCGTGCGAAGACGGAGGCTACGCGCATTCTTGAGATTCAGGAGCGTCAGAATCGAGATTGGGAGGATCCATATGAGAAGTCAATGCGGCTAAGGCGCACGTTCCGGCAGGAGCGCAAGGGTCTTGAGAAGGCTGATGCGAGTCGGGAAGCTTTGAAGGATAGGATGAGTCTTGGGATTGATCTCATGGATGAAACTGAGTCGGATCGACAATTAGCTCAGATGATTGACTTTGGTGACGATCAGACTGCTGTTGGGGCAAGTGCTGCTCGGGCGACTCGCATTCGGCCCATGTTTGCGCAGCGTGTTGCGAAATCTACACCAAAGGCAGATTCTCGGAATCAGAAACCTCGACATTCAAAACGGGCCAAAACAGTTGATCATGTTGCTTCTCGGAAGGCAGCTCTTCGCAGTGAATTGAGCGGAAATACACGCGCTACTGTCGATCCTTTTTTAACTGATGATGCGGATGATCCCAGTGGGTGGCAGCCCGGGAAGAAGAGAAAGAGTGTCGCGCCTTCAACTGCAACACCTCGTTCGGATATTGTGAGCGTCAAATCTACGCATATGCAGGATAACCACATTGCTAGCCCTAAGGACACGCCTTCTCTAGCAGTAACACCCCTGTTGGTCGACTATGCTTCTGATTCGGATTGAGGCCGGTCGTCGCTTTTTTTTTCTTTCCTTTTTTAGGACATGATCATGTCCGAGAGAAACATGAATATCAGCTGATTTCAATACCCTCTGCATCTGTCAACGATCTGTGACAGGGATTGCTGTCGCCCCTGGCTATGCCCCAAATAACTTCCGAAGATCCGGCTTCAATCGGCATAAGCAAATAGGCCGCGCAGTTACGCGGCCCGTGACTCCTGTGTCTATGATTGACAAGGGCCCAAAAAGGATTCAGCGCTGGATTCCTGATTGATTCCTGAATAATTTGAGAATTGCTCGGTTAGACGCTATGATCCATCAATTTCACAGTCTATAGAAAGACCATAGAATTCCATATAAGAATGGGAATGGCTCGATGGCAGTCGGTATAGCAGACACGTTCATACCTGGACTGCAACTAAAAAGTCAGCAATGAATTACTGTTTTCAAGTGTCAAATTTCACATCAAATTTATTCCTGACATGGCATCAAGTTTTGGAATTTGAAGGCTTGGGATGAATCATCAATCAAACATCACCAACTTAACTCACTGTCGCACTAAACGGAATGTGCTCTTTACGAACCCTCCTAGATGGCTGCTTCTTATTCACCTCGCTGACATCGCCCCCGATTTCATCTATTGCTGTTGCGGAAATTACGGCGACTGTTTCGCCAATCTATGAACCATCTACGCTCGCGCTTTGACATAGAATTAGGCTAACTTAAATTAGGAAGAAAGAGTGACATTAAACTCAGAAAATAAAATAGCAGCGAAGCCAGAGAAGAGAGATCTAGTTGGCATCTGCCTTGGTATCTACTTCGGCATCATGCGATCCATCCTTCGAGCCATTCTCCGAGTCTTCACTGTCCATGGTTCCATCGTTCAACAGATTCTTGAGGCACAGCAGATGCTTCTCCTGGTGCAAGGAATCTCCGCCGTTTTGATATGCCCTCAAGACTTCAGAGCTTCGTTCCGTGATTCTGCTGACCATGTAATCAATGGCATCCGTGGCGTACTCTTCTAAGAGTCCCTCTTGGGCCTCCTTGGCCTCTTCCTGGATTTCATGGAGTCGCTTGAGCCAGTACATATATCGCCATGGTGAAAACCCCGTGGGTGACCGTTGCCCAAGGTCTGACTCGATGAATTTCTCGCCCCCCTTGCTGATAACACTAGGACAATCATTCCAGTAGACTTCTGAGAGTAAAATCAGACTAGAGCCTGCATGGCGAAGCCAAGCCACAGCAGCCGGCAATAAGTGGAAGATTTCAAGCTGATGTACGCTTCGCTTTAGATCTTCCTCATCTGACTCCTCTCCGCTACGAAGTCCCTGTCTCTCCTCAAACAAATTGCGGAATAAAACGAGGGCAATCTGACATAGTCGATCCTTAGCGACGCGGGTCGATGCTAGTTTAGCCAGGAAAGTCGCAAAATTAAGTCGATGAGCACCCGACATCGTCGGAGAGTCGCTATTCCAGAACTCAGTCATGTCGGTGGCTAAGAAAGGCAGATCATTCCACAACGTGCCGTCGACCGTTCGAGCAATATCAACCCCGTAATTCCCTCGCACCGGTCGAGTCAGTGGTCCTAGTCCTTGAATCCGGACGATGTCGAGGATAAGACCCTCGTGGTCAGGTGTTTCACATGAGATATTCCGTCCGAGCTGGTAGTACGTATACCACATGGAATGGATGTATTCCACAAGGGAATCTACTCCATCTCCAACCTCGCAGTAGCGGGAGGTAGTGATCCAGGTTCGGTTGTGGAAGGCCGCGCCTCGAATTTCCTGGAATTCTCCCCGAGCGATGCACTGCCGCGTATCCTCCTGGTCTATTCGGCGAGCTTGTGATGTGGTGAGACAAGGTGTGCCCCGTGGGGAAGAGCTAAGCAGCGAATCACGTAGATGATGCATTGTGTATGATGAGATATTGGCGGTGTTGGCGCGGTATTGATGTTTGCAATGATGAATGCAAATATGAATGACGAGGAAAGAAAACTCCCAACCTGGTAGATTTCCAGGGATCTTAAATCGCAAAGAGAACCCGGGAAAGTAAAGGGAGAATTTCTATCAGGGGGACTGTTAGGCATCCAGCGACCTGCTAGTTGGACTTGGCTCTGACAGGGTTCTGACCGTCCACCCAGTAGATCTTTATGCATCCTGTATGTGACAGATCTAAAAACATACGAGCATCGTTCCGAGCACAACTGAAGCCCGAGCGGGAATCTGGTTATGAATTAAATTCTACGAGTCAAGTATGATTTCTTGACTCTCTTCTCTAAACGGTCTTGGCTTTGCTATGCTTGCATTGCCACGGAATTGGTAAAAGATGTGCAAGCGCAATGTACAAAGAATAATAAAGATATCCAACAAGGATAACGAGAAGCCCCAACCAATTAAAGACAGGGGTATCCTGCAAGCTATTACATACAGTAGAATCACAGAGAAGAGTGTGTGAAACGGGTCTCAACAAAAGAAAGTCATGCTGCATCACGACTAAGTTCTCCGAAAAGGGGTCATGTCCAGCACGAAAATAGAACCGCACTAACGTGAAGGATGTTCGATGTGGACGCGACTGTTGTTTGATTTGTGGGCCGATGTTGATGCCTCTGGGTGAGGAGTGGAGGAGAGACTGCAAGGTGCAGGGGTTGCGTGTCTGGAGAGCTGGGCAAGTTCCCCGACGAGTCTGGGAGGAATATAAGTTAATTTCATGTGGATTGGAATCCCCTGGGTCAGCATTAGACTCACCTGGCATGCTCATCGTGCCAGTCCTCATTGGCTGTTCGGATATGCTTAAGCTGTTCCTGTATGCTGGCCATCTATTGATATCGAATTAGTGTCTGTATAAATAACTATAGTCTCCAGGGTTCATATGAATGGGTGGAATGCGGGAAGATCTGATGAGAAGGAAGACTTCAAACGGGGCTTTCCCACCGTTCCCTCAATGGATGGGCCGAGGTCCTCACCTTCCGTTGTGGCTGGACCCCCATCTTCAGCGTTTTCACTACCCTCATCGGCTGTTGCCCACCGGCTGGCCCCCAAGCCTGAGGTGCTGCTCCGGTCTCCACCATCAACCTTCAAAAGTTGTAGCTCAGTTTCGAGCTCACGAACACGTCGCCGACTGGCAGAGATAGCCGAGTCAACGTCGCCAAGTTGATTCAGGAGACCCATGTTCTTGTCAATCTGATCGTTCAGATCGCGTTCACCGGCCGCCAGCTTCTCAGAAAGAGTTCTGTTCTGATTTTTGCAATCAAGCAACGAGTCAGAGATAGTAGCATTGTCAGCCTTGAGGGTCAGGAGCTGATCGCGGGATTCCGAGAGCTGCTTCATGAGAGACTCAAGATGAGACTTCTGGCTCTCCGAGTCACTGGCAGACTTCTGAAGGATAGTGAGCTGAGCGACAGTTTGCTGGTACTTTTCTTCGAGGGCAGCGTGGGCTGCCTGGCTCTGGGAGATCTCAGCAGCGTAACGAGCCTCGATGTCCCTGGAAGCAGACGTAGCAGACTCTTGGACCGCAATGTGAGCTTTCTCTGAGTCGGCAAGCTTGCCCTCCAAATCAGCAATAGTAGCCTTCAAACCATCCATGACAGAAGTATCCTGAACGGCAGCCTTGGCCTCGGAGAGCTGAGCGCTGACATCAGCCAGTGCCTCATCGTGCGACTTCTGGAGTTGATCAAGCTTGGTGCTGTTAGAAGCATCAAGCTCTTCCTTGAGACCGGAAAGCTTAGCCTCGTGCATGGTGAGGAGTTGCTCGATGGCCTTGCCATGTTCGGCTTCGGCTTCGGCAGACTTGGACGCCTTGGACGCCTCGATCTCAGCCTGCAACTTAGCTTTGGTCTCCTCAAAGTCCTTCTGCAATTCAGCGACCTGCTTCTCGTGGACCTCGGCATCGGTTTTGCTAGAGCTTTGTAAAGCAGCGATTTCAGTTTGCAACTTAGTTTGGGTTTCCTCGAACTGACTTTGAAGTTCAGCGGCTGCTTTCTCGCGCTGTTCAGTGTGAGCAGCAATTTCACCTGAGTGAACCTCGAGCGCGGACTTCAGCTCAGCCTCGTGAGACTGGACCTTAGTCGAGTACGCAGACTCCAACTCCTTGTTCTTGGCAAAGAGCTCATCATGCTGCGACTGAAGAGCACCAAGGGCAGTCTCGTGGGAACCGGATGACTCCTTCGCTTGGATCAGCTCAGTCGCATGTTGTGCCTTCAACTCTTCGATAGCTGCGATGTGCTGGGCAGCATGCTGAGTCTTCAGGTCTTCCAAAGTTTTGGAGTGTTCGTCAGACACACCAGCGGCCTGCGAGGTGTGTTCCTCAAGAAGACGGATAGCCTCATCGGCTTTCTGCTCTAGAGCCTTGAGCTTGTTGTCCTTTTGGGCAGTCTCCTGCTTATAGTAATCTTCAACATCGCGAAGACTGTGGTGAAGTGCCTCAGCCTCGGCTTGCTTGCTTTGAACCTCCTCGTGGAGCGCGTTGATCTTTCCAGTGCCAGTAGAAAGTTCCAACTCCAGTGACTCACACTTCTGGTGAAGAGCTTCAATCTCTTGAACAGCAACGTCTTGGGCGGTGGCCTGGCCTTCATCCAAAGCGCGACGAGATTCTGCGAGGGAATTCTCCGATGCCTCGAGCTTTTCTCTAAGGGATTTCAGTTCTTCCTCGTGGGCAATCTTCAGCTGGGCAAGTGCATCCTGCTGCACCTCTTGGGCGGAAGCCTCTGAAGCCTCAAGTTGTTCCTGGAGAGACTTCAACTCGGCTTCGTGAGATGTCTTCAGCCCGGCAAGAGCTTCCTGCTGTCCCTCCTGGGCTGAAGCCTCTGAAGCCTCAAGTTGTTCCTGCAAAGATTTCAACTCGGCTCCGTGAGTAGCCTTCAGCTCGACAAGGGCTTCCTGCTGTTTCTCTTGAGCGGAAGCCTCAGAAGCCTCAAGTTGCTCCTGCAGAGACTTCAACTCAGCTTCGTGGGTAGCCTTCAATTCAGCGATGGAAGCTTCCTGTCCATTTTGGGCAGCAGCCTCGGATTCCTGCAGTTTCTCTTGAAGGGCGTTCAATTCGACCTCATGAGCAGTCTTCAGCTCAACAATGGCATCCTCTTGGCTCTGCTGGGCAATAGCCTTGGATGATTCAAGAGCCTCTCGAAGCTCCTGGATTTCCTTGGTGTGATCTGAGCCGCTAGACTCCACAGCAGCCGTGGCTACGGTGAGTTCCTTGGCATGGGAATCCGAAAGGGAAGAAATGGCGGTGTCGTGCTCGGCCTTCAACTTGGCGATGGCAGCTTCATGGGCAATTTCCAGTTCCTTGACATTGGATTCCAACCGGTCGACAGCGTCATCGCGTGCCTCCTGGAGCTCACTTTGCAGATTTTCAAGTGTCTGCTTGAGATCAGTGATTTGTTGGTCTTTCTCAGCGATCGTTTCGGTTGTTTCAGAGCTCTGCTGGGTGGCTGACTCGGTCTCAGCGAGCTTCGCTTCGAGGGTAGTCAGTTGCTCCTTTAGTGCAGACACGCTCTGTTGGGCAGATTCCTCTGCGGCACGAACTTCCTGCTCCTTCAGAGTGTTCAGTCTACTGATTTCGTTGTTTAGGTTCTCCAGAACCTGATCATGGCCCTTGAGCTCTCGGGTGAGCTGAGCATTTTGCTGCTCCAAGGCTTGAAGTGACTGGAGCTCCTTGTTCAGGGTTTCAATCTGGTCTTCAAAGTTGGCAGCTGCGGCCTTCCGCTCTGTCAGCTCGGTTCCAATGCTCTCCAATTGAGCTTGGTGTGCAGCCTTGAGGTCCTCAAGCAATGCTGTCATCCTAACGTCGCCTTGTGCGGAGGCGGCTTCTTTGGCCTCTTCGAGTTGTCTTTGGGACGTTTCTGCCAATTCTTTACGCTGGGCCTCGGCTTCCTCGAGCTGAGTCTGCAATGTCTGAAGTTGCTCAGCATGAGACGATGTCAACTTTTCAAGTTCGGCGGTGTGTTCAGCGCGAAGGGCATCAGTGGCACCCTGATCAGGAGAGGGCTGATCAGCGGACAAGGAGAGCTGGCTCAGCTTTTCGTTTACGGACTCAAGTTCTGTCTTCAAATTGGCAACAGTCTCTTCGCTTTCCGTGAGCTTTGTCTGAAGAGCCTGAAGCTTCTCGGAATCACCCGCGCCACGTGTAGCAGATGTGCCACCGATCGTGCTCAATCGCTTTTTGGGGTCAGTGGCAGATCTCACGGTGCTTGTAGTTGAGGTGGGACGAGTAGTAGTAGAAGTAGTAGCAGCAGGGCGAGTGGTGGAAGTCGAAGTTGCAGTTCGGCTCGCAGGAGTAGCAGAAGTCAAACGACCCATTGGCTTGCTCGTAGAGCTAGCGGCGGTGCGTGCTGTAGTTGTGGTGGCAGGCTTCCTCTCCGCAGTAGGACCAGCAACGCTGGATCGGCGATCAACCGAGGAAGAGGTGGGCCTCAAAGGAGCACGAGTGGACGTAGTGCCAGCCATGGACATGCGCTTAGCGGTACCCAAGATTCCTCTCTTCTCATCTCCAGAGCTGGCCACAGAGCGGGGCTTTTCATCTGCGGAACTGCTCACGGACATGCGAGACCGATGAGACGAAGTAGTCGGGGCAGTCGAGGCACCCAGGGGCTTGCGCGCCGTAGTTGTAGTAGGGCGCGTGGGAGGCTTGTTCAAGGTGCTGCTAGTCGTGCCGCGGGTTGCGGTAGTCATGGGCTTTGTTGCGGATGACGACGTGGGCCGCTTGGTGGCTATTCCCGACGAGACAGGGCGCTTAACAGCTCCGGCCTTTTCGGGGCTGGCCTTGGGGTTTTCCTTAGACACCTCTGGGCTGGATTTGATCACCTCTTCACCTCCCGAGAGGACCGATGACTCGACTGGGGTGGCCGGGGGGCATTCTCGTCAACCTCTGCGGGAGCAGAAGCCACTACAGGTTCAGCATCCGACGACATGGTGACGCTCCGTTCGAATTAGTGTATTAAAGGAGAGCAAGTTCGGGTGAAGGTTCGAGTATGTGCGAGTAAATTTGTTGTACAGGTAAGCTATAAAGCAAAGCTTCGTCAGCACGTGTTGAGAAAGTTGCATCCCATCAATCGCATTGCTTGCAAGCCAATATATGCCTCCAAAGCCAAATCCAAGTTGTAGTTCCCCTTCGTGCAACCCCATCAGCCCATCAGGGGTCATTTTCGCAGCACTCATACACTTCCCTGGACCGGCAATTCCCAATATTGAATCCAATAGGTCGATCACCAGAGTGCAATTGCCTCAAGTAAAATGCGCACATAGCTTAACTTGAGCTTGCAAGGTGTCGAAACAGAAAGAGTAGACAAAGAAAAGAGGTACTCACGCGCCGTGCACACTGTTCCGGCAGCTTCAAGGCCTTCAGTGGAAAGCCGATCTACAGACCAAACGAAGTCTGTCAATCAAACACAGGGGGAAAGAGAATGGCCATTAAAAGAAGATGGGGAAGAGTACGGAGAAAAGGGGAAGCGCAAAAAGAAGAAGGCGGTGTCTTTTGGAGGGGGGGGATCGTCACTCTATACACGCTAACTGGTGCATCTGGGGTATTTTCAACGCCCTTGCAGATTGTGATACGCTCAATTTAATTGCTGGTCTCAATTGTTATCGTGGTTGGGCGTGATCTGCGTTTTGGGCACACTTTGGGATACTTTGGTGGACTTTGGGCGCAATACGAGCTGAGCGCGGTACAGTTTCGTAGTCGCTAGTGTGTATGCAGCTAGAGTCTATACTTCTTTGGGCTGTCTAGTTCCAACCTCACTATATCTAATGGAGTGATCACGTCGGGTAGAAGAGAGCTGCGCAGAAAGTAAACAGTGGAATCCCGACCAAAACAAAGCAATCTTTGGTTCGCGGCTAACCGGAAAGGGAACCGAGGTTATGTTTCCAGCATCAGATATCAAATTCATTCGGGGTATGAGGATGCAACTAAGACGAATTCGATCATTTCAACGATCTATTCCTCTCTCAAATTATGTATTGTCACTTTCAGAGTCCCAGTTGCTGGGCTTTGGTCTGTAAATCCTTGAGAGTACGTCTTTCAAGCGCAGCTCCATATACCATGTTACATTTGAGATCGACAAATGTGTCTATATCTGTGGAGCGGTTAAAATATGGACTGAGAGAAGACCAACAAGTCAATAACTTACCATGGGTGAGTCCATTGATTCCCTCCAGAAGAGCCAGCTTCTCTGCCCGGGTCCATGGGTCACAGGTAATCATGCTTTGAACCTCGGTCAATTCAAAGTGTTTGTACTTGACGGGAATTTGGTAGGCGTTAGAATGTCTTTCAAGCAATCGACCATCATTCAGTGCATCTTTGATAGCTTTGAGACTCTTCATGATATCGCGAGATGTAGCCCATATATACGGACCAAGGAGATCATCAAGGTCTTTCGTTGTACAGATCCGGTGGCATGTGGCCCAGACAAGATCCAAGGCAATGCGAAGGTGAGGTTTTGCGCCATCTCCTGCAGACTTGTAGGTGCGAAAGGCCGCGACAAGGAGCTTGATCAAGTCGGGCACAACATGCGCTTCAAACTGATTCACCAAGTGCCCGCCAAGGTCATCATGTTCGTAGGCCGGAGCTTCCTCAACGATGATTGACTGGCCTTCATTGAGAATGCTGTTGGCAATCAGTCGACAACGGTCTATTGGGTAATGGGTGGAATGGGGTTCTTGGGCCATGGCTTTGTAGAGGTCGCGTAGCCGTTGGATCAGCTTTCCTGTGCCTGTAAATCGCTCCTCCAGGGAGACATCGGCTCGGTGTTTCAAGACGCCCCTTGGTCGGCAAATAAGCTTCCAATGATCCTTGAAACCAGATTCCTTCACGTTATACTCGAGCCAGGAAAAGATGCCGACCCGGACCTCATGATCCTCAACTACATCAAGGGTGCTCCGTCGGTTTGAAGACTTATTTTCTGTAAGTGATGTAGTTGGACAGTCTGCAGCATCCTCCTTTCGACTAGTACGATCTCTTAGGTCTCGACGGGGCTGAGATGGAGTCTCCGGTGTCTGGCTCTGGGATTGATTTTGCACGGGCCGTGATTCAGTTCTGTGCAAAGGATTTCTCGGTGTGGGCTTTCGGAAATCTTTTGTTTGTGCGGAAACCTGCACCTCATCGGCGGATTGCTTGTCAGGGTGTATTGCTGGTATCGGATTGAGACTTTCTGTGGAGGAATACACATCGGGCTCAGCCTCAGGTTCAGGTTCTGCGTCATCCGAGAAGAGGTGTATGGGATAAAAGAGCGGGTTATCGTCCTGCGCATCCGCCACACTGATTTTGTCAATGCCATGGCCTTTTATGATCTCTTCGCTGGTGTCGGATTCATCCGAGTCGATGCGATTTTGCTTCTGATAATCTGACTCCTCATCGTTGCTGTCGATGTCGCTGTGGACTCCATTGGAATGGGCGTCGATGGAAGCAGGTGAACTATTCTCATCTTGCTCGCTCTGCGCTTCGGTTATCTCGGGCGACCTGGCTGGGAACAGGTCGCTAGCACGAGGCCGCGGTCGCGATTTTCCAGAACTAACACGCCGTGGGTCGTTGATGGATACAAAACCACTGGATTCGGGCTGGTATCCATCTTCCATGGGTACGAAGAGATCATTGATGCTTGAATGAACAGATGCGTGTGGAGGAGGCTGTCTCTCACCACCGTCGCTTGCCTCATTCTCGCGAATTATTTCCACATCGACTCGAGTTTGTTGTGATTCTGTAGCTTGATCTATACTTTCTGGTTCGGAGGATTGGTTGTTGTCAGACTCGGCTTGCGCGTCGTTGGATGACTGTTGTTCCTCGTTTGAAGAGCTGCGAGGAGTTGCCTTTGACTGCACTGCAATTTGACGATTTCTTAAAGCTCTGAATCGCGTCGCTGGTTCGCTGGTAGGGACGCGTCCAGCCGTTCGCGTCTCATGAGGCCGTGCTGGTGAGGTAGGTAAATCGTAAATACCGAGCCTAGGTTCGTCGTGAATCGTGCGCCGTCTCTTGGATTTTGCATTCACAGTGTTGAGATAATCCAGAGAAACCTCCGTGGACCGAGGCTTGGTTCTCTTCGGCATGTTGCGCGTGGAAGGAGAAATGGTAGGGAAGCTCATGTGGAGTCAAGTCCCTAACATCATCCCGCATGTGGAGTGCCCCTCCTAACTTCCTGTCTTCACATCTCCCCGCCATCATGGCCACGATTGGACCTTCTATCCGTGTGCTGTCCTTTTTGGACGCCTCTGCGCCTCATGTCTTCACTGCCCCAGGCAAGAAAATCCACGAGTCCCAGGATGTAGCGACCTTCCTTACCTCAAAGGCCTACGCTGATATCATGACTTGGCTGTTACAACTCAACCGATCGATGTTTCCCTTAAAATCAGACGATGGCACTACACAACCTTGGGTTATCAACAGCGATGCGATTCAATTCTCCGCTCCTATCCGACAATTGCAATTACTTCTCTCCAGCCTCGAAGATATCATCCAGGAAGTCCCACCTGATACTGGTCCACGGAGGTTTGGAAATATTAGCTTTCGAAGATGGTGTGAGGTGGTTGAGAGTCGCGCGACAGCCCTGTTACAAGAATGTTTGCCGGCGGAGCTCCTACAGAGAGTGTCACCAAATGGGGATGGTGTGACCGCAGGCGAAGAATTGAAAGCATACCTCGTGGGCAGCTGGGGTAGCGGACAGCGTCTAGACTACGGCACCGGCCATGAACTTAGCTTCCTTGCTTTTCTAGGCGGGTTGTGGAAGTTGAATGCATTCCCCAATGCCGAGCCTGGGGTCGAAGAAAGAGCTATTGTTATCGGGGTCATCCAGCCGTGCGTGTACCTCTGGATCAACAGCATATCGAGTTCTCTGCCGTGCTAACAACTGTCTAGATATTTGGAACTGGTCAGGAAACTCATTAAAACATACACCCTCGAGCCCGCCGGTTCCCACGGTGTCTGGGGGCTTGATGATCACTCTTTTGTCCCTTACATATTTGGCTCTGCTCAGTATTCACCTGCAATCACCGACTCTGATTTAACGCCGGAAGAGGGCTCGCTGCCGAATTCTCCTGATCCGAGTGGCGTTGTCAAAGGTAATATTGTTGAAAAGGAACGACAGTCTAACTTGTACTTCTCCGCAATCGGTTTCATATACGATGTGAAGAAGGGCCCCTTCTGGGAACACAGTCGTATTCTTTATGATATATCAGGTATTCAAACTGGCTGGGGTAAGATTAATAAGGTATGTGTTCCTCGAGGTACATTGAAACCATTGGCCTAACAAGAAGTCTTTAGGGGATGGTGAAAATGTACAACGCGGAAGTTCTTTCAAAGTTCCCCGTGGTTCAGCATTTTCCCTTTGGGAGTCTATTTAGCTGGGACAAGGATCCCAATGCCATCCCACCTCCCTCCACAGCCCATGCAACGTCTGGGCCTCAGGCCAGGCCCGTCGCCCCAGATCTCGGTCATGCTTCCATTGCCACTCCTCGTCCGGCACCTGAATCTGGCACCCAAGCACCTTGGGCCAATTCAGCAGCGGGCGCGCGAACCATGCTTCCAATGAGTGGAACCGCGGCTCCATGGACTACCACGAGAAGAGAAGGTATTCCGGGTGGTGCAACAAGGATCCCTTCTTCTCTCCCGGATAATTCAAGGCTACCCTCGGGGCTTATGGCGCAGACTACAGCTCCTCGGACATCCTCACAACTTCCACCCACACAGAGTGGTGATGCTGAAGTGCATACCAAGGCCCCCTGGGCTAAATAATAATGAACGGATACCACGAATGAAAATCACGATCTTTCATTGCCTCATTACTTCAATGGCCCACGCTTTGATAATCATCTACCATATGCAACAACAAAAAATCTAAATAGGCGAAAATCGGCTCGATGACCATGCGAGCGAATCACGAGGACATTTGAGGTCCGCTGCCAAGAAGTCGGGCCGGAGTCCACCAAATGCCAAGCCCACCAAATCGATGTTGCCTTATGAACTATTCTTATATTGTAGCGCACAGATACTGTAATCCTCTCCCTTGTAAACCCATTGTCAGATTCTCTGGATAAACACCAACGCTAAACAACTTGGCATCATGAATTGCCCCTCCCGGACCGACGATACTCTCCTGCATGATGAGTGGAACCAAAATCCGCCGCGGTTCGCTCCTGACCTGACGACACGCGAAGATCTTATTGGTATTTCAAACGCCCGCGAGCTTAAAGATGGGGAAAATAGTCTAGCCATTATTCAAAGTCATCCCAGTTTAGCTTATACTCATCCGCTTGAGAGGTCAGATCCGGGGATACGCCTCTATTGGGGGCCGGGGGCGTCCACCGGTATCAAGATCTCATTAATATCGTCATAATTTCATTTCTGACCCATGAATAGGACCCCTCGTTCCCCAAAAGACCAATGTGAGCATTGGTCACAAAGAACTATATCTAAACAAGACTACTTGGTCTTATCAAAAATTCAAGGACTGGGTACTTTGGCTGCTCTCAGTTCTCTGTGTTTCTGCATTGATTTCCAACGACAGCCTCAGAAAGTACTTCAACCCACCGCTTGTTCCCAACCCAGCTTTTCCTGTTGCTCAACAAGACCCAGAGCCAGCTAAACGATCAAGCTGTGCCACAAGCGGTGTCCGCGGCGCTGCATATGATCTTCCTCTACATATTGCAGCGTTGTTCATCATCCTCGGAACGTCCACAATTGCATGTGCATTCCCAATTCTCGCGACTCGGTTCCCGCGACTTCATATCCCGACCTCATTTCTGTTTTTCGTCAGCCATTTTGGAACGGGTGTTTTGATCGCTACTGCATTCGTACATCTACTTCCTACTGCATTCCAATCATTGAATGATCCATGTCTATCCGGTTTCTGGACGAGTGACTACCCAGCCATACCGGGTGCTATTGCACTAGCTGGTGTGTTCTTTATCACGATCATCGAGATGGTATTTAGCCCGGCCCAGAGTATCTGCCGTGGCGGCAATCATGGCTCCTCGCAGCCAGCCCTGCCACGTCCCGACAGAGATATTTCAACACAAAATCCTGATTTGAGCCCATTCGGGCCTCGAGCGCCGAGCTCTCACTCCGCCACGCCGGATCTACGAACTCATGTGCGTGGCATGGGTCCCCTGGTCGGACGATCTTCCAGTATAAGCCGAGCTATCAATCGTATGGGCGATGAAAACGACTCAATCATCCGAGTCTCCTCAGCGCCTGAGGTTCAAACACATCACGAGAAAGAAAATGGAACTATCCAATCCGATGTAGAGCGGCATGAGGACGTTCATATTCTCTCCCCGGAGCAAAAGCACAAGAAAGAGACTATGCAGGTTTATCTTCTTGAGATGGGCATTCTGTTTCACAGTGTTTTTATTGGAATGTCGCTCAGTGTATCTATTGGGAATGAATTTGTCATCCTGTTGATCGCCATTGTATTCCATCGTGAGTTTTGCCTGTTTTCACCTCCTTATGGATGGCCTGCTAATAACCCACAGAAACTTTTGAGGGGCTAGCACTGGGTTCCCGAATTGCATCGCTTCCCTGGTCAGAAGGGCAACTTCAACCTTGGTTCATGTCTCTTGCGTATGGCTGCACGTACGTTTCCTGGGCTCACAAACAACTCTGCGAGATCTGAATACTGACAGAAGAATTAGGACACCTATTGGACAAGCCATTGGCCTTGCAACTCACACACTCTACAGCCCAGACTCGGAAGTCGGCTTGCTGGTTGTTGGTGTTATGAACGCCATCTCTGCTGGACTTTTGATATTCGCCTCTCTCGTAGAGTTGATGTCAGAAGACTTCCTCAGTGACGAGAGTTGGCGCGTCCTTCGTGGAAGAAGACGTGTCTATGCCTGTCTTTTGGTCTTCATGGGCGCATTCTGCATGTCTATTGTTGGTGCTTGGGCTTAGGTCATACTGGGTGTTACTGGTCTGTCGTTTTTTATGGCGTTCTGCGGCTAACTGGCGACTTCTGGCATGCTTTCTGGTGCGAATTTGGCCATCAAATGGGGTTATTCATCAATCTTCGGTAGACCTTTTTGTTTGCACTCGATATTCACTGAAAATAGGAAGCTCTTATGCGATATCGACAAGGATAAATTGAGATATCTTTACGTCTCTGCCAATCAGAGGCCTTTTCTTTGGAAATATATCATGAGAATTTTCACTATTCCTTACATTATCTCATTTTTGGGCGTTTACCTGCTTTCTTTTGATGTGTTTCTTCCGTCCGCCAAAATCTCCCCGAGTGGTTTCAAATATGCTCCCCCTCACCACTTACTTACATCCACAAGATGCACCCACAGTTTCACCATCCTTGATGCACCCACAGGTATTTGACCCCGGGGCTAGCATTCCATGGCATCCAGAAAGACAACAACGATAATATCCATCTTGGCACCTGGGACAATCTTTGTAGCTGTCACATTTAGTCACGGCTGTAGGTCCTGGGCTTGCAGTAGTCGTGGTAGTCGTCACTGACCGGGCTCCAAGACAGAAATTTCTCAATCCTTTGGCCCATGCTGCCGCGAAGCTACAGCTACCGTCGCTTGATCTGAGTATAGGGTTCAACTCCATAAGCTTGGTAACCGTAACATCAAAGTTTTCCACAAACTCGTTGCAAGTCTCTGGGTCGTTAGGGAAGTTGCTTTTTATGTGGTTGCAGCCGGTCATCATATCGGCAGGTGCATCTGTCGTTGAGGTCGGAGTCTGGGTTGTGGTTGTTGAGGGGACATCTGTGGTGACAGGCAATGTCTCAGTAGTAACCGAAGATGTCTCTGTGGATGATGAAATAGGGCTTGGTGTGGAGGAAGGTTGAGTGGTTGAAGGCTCAACTGTGCTGGTAATTGGATCACCATTCTCATCTGCCTGGGGTAAGTCTGTGGGATCTGGTGATACCGTGGTATATGTATACCCGGGATATGACCAAATTGCGATTCCTCCGCCAGTGGGCCAGACTAGTGGACAGGAGTGTTGCTCAAATGAAGTTGATGTTGATACTTGTGCGCCGCACCGAGTCTCAACGCTGCAGGTTGTCGAGAAACAGGATGTCGTCGAAACATTTTCTGATATAGTACTTGTTGCGCAAAACACCTCGCAATTTGTAACAGGAGCTCCAGTACTGCAAGAAGCTGATGTGGTGCTAGGCTGAGGATTGGAGGTGGCGCTCGAGTTCTCACTCGCTTCTGCCTCTTTGGCGTCATCGACTAATTCGCTTGCAATGACAGAAATCTCAGTCAAAGGTCCAGTCAAGGATCCAAGACTGGCTGTGCCATCTAGAATTGCTGAGAGAGTGTTTCCAATTGAGTCAAGAATAAACCCAGCACTGCTGACATGATTACAGAATATCAAGCAAAGACCAGGAAGCGAAAACTCTAACCCATGGCCAAAGCCACTTGTTCCTACATTTTATTGTTAGTTAATACACTGTAATGAGATCAGGGAAACACTTACCTGACTGGGCATCTTTGATCACGGCGGCCGCGGAGCTGGCTTTAGAAGAATCCGCAGTGCTAGAAGAAAACGCAATGACAGCGTCAGAAACACTGCTTAACTCCGATGCCAATGATATAGCAGAACTGATAGCAGCAGCTGCTGATAGTGTAGTAATAGGCACCACAACCCCACTGGAATCTGTGGTACCTGTGATTGTTGTGGCCACTGGGCCGTCCGGACTATCAGATGTGACAACCGTAGTGACTATTGGCGGGAGAGTGAATTGAGAAGACGGAAACATATCGTCTGAAGTCAGTGTGCTTGTTTGGGTTGGAAGTGCGCTCGAGCTCCGAGGCACAGGTGGAATAGTAGGCTCCGGAATTGGAGGGAATCCCGTTATGCGTGTGCTGGCAGTGACAGACTTCCAGACAAGTCCTCCAGGTCCAACCACAATTGACGTAGGTAAACCATCAATATTCGTGGTCACTGTGGTAGTGCCAGTAATTGTGGTGAGTTGACTGATAGTAGTAGGAGTATAAGTGATTTCCACTGTACTCAACCCATCCAACGCCGTGAGGGTCAATACTGTGCTTGTAGCAGCTGGCAAAGAAGGAAACGATGTTGGATTGCTTGTTGAGCTGGGCAAGACCGATGTTGGAGTTGGTCCTGGAGTAGGCCCAGTTGTCACAGATTGGCCAGTTGACCTCGGGCTCGAGCTAGTACGAGATGATGCTGAAGAAGTTGGGCCAGGAAGGAAGGTTATAGTGATCCCATCTGTGGTGAGAGCAACCGGCTCAGTCTGAGACGATGGAAAGGCGACCGTGTATGTTCCAATAATGAGCCCATTGGGTCCAAAAATGATAGTGTGTTCATCTTGCACAATGGTGGTTGTCTGAGTGCCGATTGTATATGTTGTCCCGCTGAATATGATCTCTGCATGACTCCCTGGTACACCGCTTGGATTATCACCGGGGCTTGTTGTGATTGTGGTAATTGAGGTGCTTTGTGTACTGCTAGCAGAAGAGCCAGTGCTACCAGCTGATTGTTCGGGATTGTTGTGAGATATTTGGACCAATTTCGATTCATTGCAGCTTTTTCCAGTCAGTACATTATGCCACGAATGGAATAGTCCATATTTTACCTGTACTCCGATGGAAGATAACAGTCATCTCCACACGGAAGTGTGGGATTTCCATTCACAACAGGACAAAGTTTGCGTTCATCGTAGCATGTATACAAAGACTCAAGATAGCATTGAGCCGCACATCGCAATGTTCGAATGCCATCTAGAATAGGACATAGTAAGTCACTGTAGCAGGTATACTACTCAGAGTTGTCAGTCACTCATCCCATGGCACAGAGGGAATAGCACCTTACCTGAACTCTGCTATAGGACTGCCCTGCGCACGAGAGTTGTGTGGTATATTGCGACTCTGATTCAGATAGGGATCTCTCTTCGGGAGCCCAAAAGTGATTCAGCGCACGATGCTCCTCAAAATAGAGTCGTACACCTCTTCTTCCTGGTCTGGCCTGGGGATCGTATTGGAAAAGTGCTTTCCCTCTTCTTGTGTCGAAGGCTTCATCTGCATCAGGAGCAGCCGCGTTCAGGGCCTGGTACTGATGTACAGTGACTGGAATACCTGGAATCAAGGCTTGAATCTTCTGGATCAACAGTATAATGGCCCAGTCATACATTAGCCCGTCAATGTAATAGACGCTAGTATCAGCGCTAGTATCCCCGTCTACAGCAGCATCTCGCTCTTTCTGGGGGGTCACAATGAACGCAGAAGTGAGCTCATCTTCGACGGGGAAAAAGTCCCGGACTCCTCTTAAGCTCTGGAATTGGACGCCGAATATTGCGTCAATTCCAGTGTCCAAGAAGTTGAGAGCCGTTAGTTGAAACATTGTCTGGGGACTGCGGCCACGAGCGTAGTCTTCGTGTGGATCGAAAGAGTTGTCCTCACTGATTATCGAGTCAGTAAGCTGTAATCGCAGTATAACCAGAAATTGAAATCACGTACAATATATGAGCAAACCAGACAGCCTCTTTGGACACGATGACGATAATAGAGCAGCCGCAGAGACCCTCTAGTCCCATTTCAAACGGTAAGTTAACACCATCGATTTCGAACTTTCGAAACTCTGCCGAGTTTCCTATTGTTTCCGGTGTTAATACTCGAATCATGTTCCGATTATTGTTGAACCTGTTCCTCAGGTACGTGTCCATTCTATCAGGTGTTGGATCGATATGCGCAAATTGTCTCTTTGTGAGACTTTGGGGATCTTTAAGTCCTGTTTTCGGGCCAGCAAACTCATCGTGGAGATCTCGATCAAACGATCTTTTGCGTAGAACACTAAGATGATCTGTGGCCTTCTTACTGCATCTTCCACGGCACGAGCTCGTAATTGCACGCCGAACGAGCTCGTTTTGAGGTCTACAAAATGGTCAGCCATGTATCTGTATGCCATAGTCATATTTTAGAGGTTCTGACCTGTCAGTGTACGATGATTCGTTGAGACCAATTGTTTTGATGTTGTCAACAAACGTAAATCTAAATTAGAAGGTCAACATCTTTGCCACATTATTCGAAACTGTGCCGTGGGCGACGATGGGTTACCAACCTGCCTTGCTTGTTGATGAGTGGCTGCCGAGATAAAACTAGGTTCAAGAGACCTAGGACTAGGAATGTCAACAAGTATCTTGAGGATAACATCATAAACAGGAAGCAAAAGTCCCAATGCTTAATCTTGTTCCTGGTTGTTGGACGATGCTTGTAGCTATTTCTCTAAAAGGTTGACCAAGAACTTGCTTTTTATAATACCACGAGCTGAGTATCAACAACAGAGAGAACCCCGAAAGCCCGCCAACTCGCATGATTTAAGCCTCTTCATGATGTGTACAATATGCATCAAAGCCCTCTAAGAGATAATAACCATGTATCTTCTGGCTAGAGCTTACATGCTATTTCGGCGATACCGATGTACCTGCGTTGTTTAGGGCTATTGAAAAGCCTGATGTCAGCCTCAAGAAAACAGACCAAACATGTGCAGTGGCCCGGGTTCTTCTAATATAAAATACTTGGCAGCTGAGATTGAGGCCTATAGATATTATCGTCCCAATTATGATCATCGTGTGAAATGACTGAATTGGCTAAGAGGAATTCTGGGCTGAATCTTCCATGAAAGTCGCGGAAAATTTGGCCGACCAGGTGAGGCTCTTGGATTAACACTTTTGCAGGGCAGTGCCCTAACTTTTAGTTTATTTCAGACCACGCCGACAGGCCCTAACGCCATCATGCGTTAGTTTCTACTTAGAGAAATGCCCGGATCCTTCCATTTGTTCCAGGTCTAGTGCTGATCGGCTGCATAAAGGACTTAATCTTGGCCTTGCTTGGCGTTGAAGTGAAAAACAGGCCTATCTGTTTGCGACGTTGCTTTTCACTTTTCATCGATCCTTAGAAAGCCCTGTTGGGAGCTTTAAGGTAAGAGTTGATTCTTGTTATCTAACACGCTCATGCCCAATTTGCGATGACATGCTAAACCAAGTCAAAGCGTTGAATAGACCAAATAAAGGTTGTAAGTTATACCTAGCTGACTCTCGCCCGCTTCTCGTATTTTACAATGCACGCACTTCTCTCACATACTACCGTGTGATCTTGAGTTTCTATTGAAATAATCTCAGCTAGGTAGCCGGCAGCCGGCAGCCGACGACATACAACTTGCACATTGGCTGTATAATAATACGTAATATAACTTAATGGACAATATTTGAAGATTTTCCCATTGAGATAATTTGTACGAGAAAGCTCTTTGTATTTGAATTCCATTGATGATATTGCACTGTTTTAAGCTATTTCTCTCATTGAAATCGGTTATATTAAATCGAACCATATGAGCTTTTCTACATTTGGCCATTAGCTTTGTAGGCTTGGCTTTCCCTGATCCGCTGGGAGTCAAGTATCCAGTAGATCTGGCGTAATGTGCGCATTCAATATTTTTCATTGAATATATGCCTTACTGGCTAGCAAGCAATAACTGCAAATTCAGCATAGGACTCAAATTAGACGGAAATTGAGCACTTGCGCCACATATTCTCAATGAAGAAATATTATATCCCAATTATGTGGTCTAAGATATAGTCTTTAGATCCTTCGCTGTTACCGTTTTCTATCCTCCTCAGCATTTAACCCACTCTCATGGGAGGGGGGAAATTTCTTTTTTGTGATTTTTGTGTATGAGCATTGGGGTCATAGAGAGACATTTTGAGTCGTAGCTCTAGAACAATTTCGCAGCTCTCTCATGGAAATTCAACATCATGTCTATTTAAAGTAATGTGCTAGGGCATTATACGTATGTCAGCTTATGATTCATGAGTTGGCTATCTCTGGTCCTGAATGGAGGGAGATAAATGAATAAATAGTTGACCAAACTTTTTTCGGGTCATGAGCACTTGAACTATAATTTGCTATTTTTGCCATATATTCTCTAAGCTCTACGTAAGGGAATAAATAGGCCGTGCAATGGCGCCGCCGGTAAGCCTTGTCTCATATAACCACCCAGGGGCTTGACCAAGGCTAAGGCAGTGATAAATCCGAACTTAATATATGTAACACAAGGAACACGGAGAGTATTCTAGTCCGATAAAGGCTGGGGTTTTCATGTTTAGTCAAAAGCGCTTCACTCCGCTCCATCCGCCCAGATGCCAAGATTTTGGCGCCAAGGATTCCAACCCTTCCAGCGGAATGTCGCCACTCCCTACCACATATACAGACTGAGCGTCCAATTTGAAAGCCTTGGAATAAAGATATCTTTCCAGGCTCTATTGGTACGCCGCATATATGCTGGCATAACTGAGATAGATAACCCCTGCCGATCCTTCGAGTAAAGACCAAGATTCTCGAATAAGTGTCTAGCCTTGGTGGGCTCTCGACGAATTTGCCTAGGCGTGGCATTCCGTGACCAAGCCCACACTATTTATTTGGTACATATTCATAAATTTCATTGTTACTTTATGGCTCATGTATTTAATCCGAGCATTGGAAGGTGGAAGTCGTCAGGAAAGGGAAGGTTGTCGCCGGAATGGCAGTGATTGGGCCTAGGGATGCATTCAATCCCAACTCAACCCACGTCTATACCTTGGCGACTCATAATCACGGTCCTCTTCGATCCACACATGTGCGCACATGTGCGCACACCTATCCAAGCAGCTTGCTATCTCGTCCAACATCTCGTAATGCCAGGTCGGGCCCTGTTTGGTATGACTTGGCCAAGACTTCGCCACACATTTTACTGGTCACTGTGTTTTGAATTATTTATAAAGCCCTCCTAAATTCCCCAGGTTTCCAGCTTTCGAGCAGTGAATCTATTCATCATCATGAGTGAAAAGGTTGCTTCTCGCCCTTCCGGGCCTGAGATCAATGAAACGCTCTCCAAGCCAGCCCATTCTCTTCCTTACAAAATCGTTTTACAAGAGCTGGGCAGTCAGATCGATGAAGGTCTCGGCAATGATGAAGCAGCACGTCGCTTGCAGCAATACGGCCCCAATAAGCTGGAAGATGGCAAGGGTATTTCGGTTCTTAAAATTCTCGTTGGACAGGTCGCCAATGCGATGATGCTAGTTAAGCCTACCACCTCCCAGGAACTACAAAGGAACACACGTATCTGATCTTATTCTTTGACATAGGTCCTCATCCTGGCAATGGCCGTCAGTTTCGGCATTCAGTCATGGATTGAGGGCGGATTTATCTGTGCTGTGATCGTGCTCAATATTGTTGTTGGTTTCTTCCAGGAATATGCTGCGGAGAAGACTATGGAGTCTCTCCATTCTCTGAGTTCTCCAACTGGCGTCGTGTCCCGCAATGGTCAGACATTTTCGGTGCCTTCATTGGAGATCGTGCCTGGCGACATGGTAGAGCTGAAGACTGGCGATACCGTCCCTGCAGACCTGAGGTGAGCAAATATTTTCTCGGCCATGCGTTGGCCATAATTGTAGCTTCCATGTCTCGAAGCTAATCAATTTTTAGACTGGTTGAAGCAGTCAACTTTGAAACCGATGAGGCCCTTCTCACCGGTGAATCTCTGCCGGTTCAAAAGGAGGTCGACTCTATCTTCAAGGAGGATACTGGTCCCGGAGACCGCCTCAATATCGCATACAGCTCCAGCACAGTCACCCGTGGTCGCGCTCGCGGCATAGTTTTTCGCACCGGTATGGGCACTGAAATTGGCTCAATCGCTGCAGCTCTTCGCGAAAGTAATTCGAACGTTCGTCAGGTCAAACGCGGCCCCGATGGCGAGACTAAGAAGCGCTGGTATCTACAGGCATGGACACTCACTGGCACTGACGCCGTTGGAAGATTCCTAGGCGTGAACGTCGGGACTTCATTGCAACGCAAGCTGTCTAAGCTGGCTATTATTCTCTTCGGCGTCGCAGTTCTGTTTGCTATCATTGTGATGAGTGCCAACCTTTGGAGTTCCCAGAGTGAGGTCATTCTCTATGCTGTTGGAACCGGGCTGAGTATGATTCCCGCCTGTCTGGTTGTCGTGTTGACTATTACCATGGCTGTTGGAAGCAAGCGTATGGCTGAGAGACATGTTATTGTTCGCAAGCTTGACTCTCTCGAGGCCCTTGGCTCTGTGACCAACATTTGCTCTGACAAAACCGGCACATTGACTCAGGGAAAGATGGTCGTACGCAAGTCGTGGGTGCCTGCTCTTGGAACATACTCTGTTGAATCTTCCGACGAGCCTTTCAATCCAACCTTGGGAAATATGACATTCAGCTCTGCGGCTCCTGAAAACCACGATACGGAAAAGGATGAAGGCTCTTTCGCTTGTCTTGATCTCTTGTGTCCTGAGCTTGAAGATTTCCTCAACGTCGCTTCAATGGCGAACTTGGCACACGTTTATCTGTCAGAAGAAAACGAATGGCATGCCCGCGGTGAACCCACCGAGATTGCGATCGAGGTCTTCGCTTCGCGCTTTAACTGGAACCGTGATCGCTGGACTAAGGGCTCCAATATTACCTGGCACCAAAAGGCCGAGTTTCCTTTTGATTCCACCGTCAAGAAGATGTCTGTCCTCTATAGTACTCTTACAAATGATGAAGAGAAAACCATGGTTTTCAGCAAAGGGGCCGTTGAACGTATCCTTGATGCTTCAACTACCATCGTTTGGGATAAGGGCTCAACTCCGATTACTTTGACAGATGACCACCGTCAGACTATTCTTCGCAATATGGACGAATTAGCTTGCCTGGGTCTTCGAGTCCTTGCCTTTGCTCAGAGATCATTCGATCCATCCACTCGTGTGTTGGAAGGCATGGATTACCAACGGGATGAAGTAGAGAAGAACCTCCAGTTCCTCGGGTTGGTAGGAATCTACGACCCCCCTCGAACTGAAACGGCTGGTGCTGTTGCTGCTTGCTATCGTGCTGGCATTTCGGTGCACATGGTCACTGGAGATCACCCTGCAACAGCAAAAGCCATTGCCAAGCTGGTTGGTATAATTCCGTCCAACTTGAGCGAGGTCTCAGTCGAAGTTGAGAAAGCCATGGTACTCACCGCAAGCGAATTTGATAAAATGACTGATGAAGAGGTTGATGCATTGCCTATCCTCCCCCGGGTCATCGCGCGCTGTGCTCCACAGACTAAGGTCCGTATGATTGATGCGCTTCATAGAAGAGGTGCTTCGGTTGCCATGACCGGCGATGGAGTGAACGATTCTCCTTCTCTGAAACACTCAGATGTTGGAATTGCTATGGGAAAGGCAGGCTCCGATGTGGCTAAGGACGTCTCTGATATTATCCTCACAGATGATAATTTTGCTTCAATTCTGAATGCTGTTGAAGAAGGTCGCCGAATCTTTGATAACATTCAAAAGTTTGTACTTCACTTGCTGTCAGAGAATATCGCCCAGGCTTGTACCCTTTTGATCGGACTTGCCTTCAAAGATCTTGATGGCCAGTCAGTTTTCCCTTTGTCACCAGTTGAAATCATCTGGGTCATTATGATTACTTCCGGCATGCCTGATATGGGACTTGGTATGGAAGTGGCGGCTCCTGATATCATGGATCGTCCGCCTCAATCGGTGAGAACCCAAGAAACCTAAAGACTAGAATGCTAAATGCTAACAGTTGAGCAGAAACAAGGCATCTTCACATCGGAAATCGTGATCGATATTCTCGTGTATGGTCTATGGACCTCCGCGCTATGTCTTTCGTCCTTCTCTCTAGTGATGTGGGGATTCGGCGACGGCAACCTCGGACGGGGTTGTAATCGCGAGTATTCCGATGAGTGTGAGCTGGTCTTCAAGGCACGCGCTACTACATTTGTTTGCTTGACTTGGTTCGCTCTATTCTTGGCCTGGGAAATGGTCAACATGCGCCGATCCTTTTTCCGCATGCAGCCCAGGTCCAAAAAGTATTTCACGCAGTGGGCATATGACGTCTGGCGCAATCAGTTCCTCTTCTGGTCGATTCTCGCAGGCTTTATTACTGTGGTTCCTATCCTTTATATTCCGGTCATTAACCATGTGGTGTTCAAGCATACAGGAATCACATGGGAGTGGACCATCGTTGTTGTTGAGACCCTTCTGTTTTTTGTCGGTGTTGAAACCTGGAAATGGGGAAAGCGTGTCTTTTTCCGTCGTATGGGTCGGCGGCAGCACAGAAATGCCTTCCAACAGCAGGCAGGCTCGCAAGCCTGACATGAAAATAGATCACGGGTGCAACTCTGGGAGAGAAGAGGGTGCACTCGTGAGTGGAGCGAAGATGTGTTGGTCAAATTGTCATGGGCCTGTTTTGATTTCCGAAGGACGAGCTGTAGAGAGACTTTGGGGGCCAGTTTCGAGATAGGTATATTAAGATTGGGGGGGTTTCGATATATAGGGATAAAGGTGAGTGAAAATAGACAAAATTTTGGTCTTTTGATCTGCAGAAGTAGGCTGCGAGTAATAACAGACCGACTGTTGCTATCTCGGTGCCGAAGACGTCAACTGCTGTAATTTGAGACAGAAACCCTAACTAATATGTAAACTTAACTATGTAGTAAAAGATATTTCCATTGGCCTGGAATGAACAGTGCTTGTTTGATACTTGCAGCTTCAGATCTACTCAAAGTCCACAGGAGGTACTCCTCTCTCTTCTAAGGCACCTTGAACGCTGTTTTGCATCGTCAAGATAGCCTGGTCCCAGGTGACAGTTCCTTCAGGTCGGGACCCGTGCGGCTCTTCTAGTCTCTGCTCTCGCGAGTGCTCAACGACTAGCCACATTAGCCAGCGAACCACTGAGACAGCTTTGTTCAGGTCTTTCTCTTTCAGAGTCACGCTGCTGAGATATGTACATAATGATGTGACGTCTTCGTTGTATGGGCCACTTGTTGCGAATGCCTCATGCCATGAGCCGACGGCATCTCTGAGATCTGGCAATTTCGAGAGGCGCTGCGATGTAAATACAGGTCGTCTGGGGAGCGGAGGGAGGGAGAGGCGTTTCTCTACTGGGACTTGTGCAGCAGAGGCAATTTGTCCTTGGCCCTGGGATGGGGGTCTTTGTAGAGGTGTAAGCGGTCGTGGGCGTTGTAACATGCGGGTACGTTTTTGTTCCGCTATCACTTCTTGTCGAATATCCTCAGGTAAAGCCGCAAGAAACTCAGCAGAAGCCTCTATTGGTTCTTCGGCACTAAGTGGTGCCTGTCTTGATGAACTATCTTCCTCGATCTCAGCAGATACAGCTGCTGGTGGGAGGGCAAAGCTCGACTGAGTGAGAGGCTTAGCCTTGTTTCCAAGTGATGCGCTCTTTGGTGGACGGCCACGTCTCTTCTTGGGTGGTGAAAATGGTCTTTTCAGCTTAAGAGAGGGAGCGGGCGGTGGCTGTTGGACAGGGGCTGCAGGGGCTGCCGCTGGTGTTGGAGGGTCGCCGGCACCCGATGAGTTGTTGTAGTATCCCAAGACTTCGTTACGAACATCATCGGGCAATGCTGCTAGGGTATCAGGGTCAAGTTGAGACTGGGGAGGAAGTTTTGTCGGCACAAATTGTCGGATTCCACGTGGGGGCGGACAAGGAGACCCAGAGCGGGTGTCTTGTCGAGGTTTTGCTTGGGCAACAAGCCTTGACCTGATATCCGCTGGCAGCTCCGAGACGACTTTGGGGTCTGCTTGAGTTGGCATGATGAACTGAGACCCCGAAACATTGAGAGGCTTGTGGGCACTATCGCTGAGTACTGGGTCTGCTTGAATGCGAACAGAATCCTCTTTACTTGGACTTTCAAGTTCATCGGGATCTATGTCTGCCATAATCTTCTTTCGCGGTGGTGATTTGAAAAAGTTGAGCTGTCGTTGGCTACTGTCCAGGCCGGAGGAGCCTGTCTTGACCGGTTCAAGTCTGGTCATTTGTACCCCAAGCCCTCTCAAATCTCCAGGTGAGAACTTGAAGCTTCTCAGCATTGAGATGGCTTCCTTGCCAATGATGTCTGGTGCATTTGTCGCAACGCCAAGGGTAACGCTTTTGTTAAAGGTATCACACTTCCCGTGTCCTAAATGCTTGACTGGCTCCAGCGGTGCATCCATCGCTCGTCGCATAACCTTGAGTGTGAGCTGCTTGCCCTTTACAAGGTTTTCCATCAGTCTGCGATTCAATTCCTCGCACAAAGATTTCACGAAGTCATCTGCCTGTTCCTGGTTGATAAATCGGATGCCCCAGTTGACCTCAGCCGAGACCGATTTCCTTACAACTTGGTCGCCAACTTCTGCTCGATCAATTCCACGGGAGTATTCCCACAATTTGATGCCAATTTTGGGACCCAATCCAGAGATCAATTTCTCTTTGGTGAGATCCCTGATGTCTTTCACATATTTTACTCCAAGTCCTTCCATCTTGGTTCCCATGTTATATCCAAATCCTGGGAGGTCTTGGACTGTGAGGTTTCCAATAAAGTCCAGGACAGCTTCAGGCTTCAATTGGAATTGGCCGGCAGGCTTGGCCTTTCTGAGTGCGACTTTTGCAAGCAGAATATTGCTACCAATGCCAACTGAGACTGCACATCCGGTCTTCTCTTTTATGGAATCCCGTAGATCTCGAGCTAGTTCCTCTGCTTTGGCCTGTTCACGATCAACGGACCCCTCTGAAATAGCATTGCCATCTGAACCACCGGCGTCTATACATGATTTGCTGACATCGATCAATGCCTCATCAATGCTGACACTTTGCACGATCCCATCAATAGCAAGTATTGAGCTGTAGAACTTGCGGCTGGCATCTTCGTAGGCAGGAAAATCGTAAGGGAGGACTTTCAGATCGGGACACGCTTGTAAAGCACCCTTCATCCACGTTCCATTTCTAACGCCTTTCGCACGTGCAGGGTAGTTGCAACTGGCAATCTCAGAGCCAGATCCAGAGCCATGAGCAATGGCAACCGGCTTATCTTGCAGTTCAGGGTGCTTGAGAAGGGATACAGCTGCGAAAAAAGAGTCGAAGTCAACATGCAAGATGTATCTCCGTGCACCTGGTGGTGACTTATTTTTTGATGTTTGAGACAGCGACTTTTCTTTCGTTGCTGCTTGGAGCTGAGTCTTCAATTCTGCTTTCCAGGTCGAAAGATGATGTAGACGGGACTCTCTGTAATACTGCTGCAGAAAATCGGGATTGCTGACACTGGACTTTTGCATTCGTGGGTCAGAAAGAAGCTGGGCATTGTATTCTTCAGATGTGAGGTCGGGTTTGTTAGGACTTGGCTGAAAAAGTGAGGGTTCCTCTATGACAACAGATGATGGCTCTGGTGCAGTGTCCTCCTTTAAACTTGGGGCTTGCCTCGGAGTTTGTACAAGTCGGTCACTGACGGGTGTATGATGTTGAGGTTGAGTGAGTGTCTGTTCTCCTGCTTCGCCTTCCGTGGTGAAGCTAGGGAAGTCGCCGTAGTCTGATTGGGATGGCTGGCTGGGCAAGGTTGGTGTTGGTTTTTGTGCTGATTGTGGTGCTGCAGATGGTGTCGCCGGTTTCGATGATGATCCAAGGTCCTCTTGGCCACCTAAGCTCCCGGCTCTCAGTTGGGAGTTATACCAACTGGTCCTTGTTTGCTCCTTGTAGCCAGTTCGGGGGCTATTTGTCTGGCTTATGAACCGGCCATCGCCAAATTTGAGCACCTTTTGTGCTTGGCCTTCATCTACAACTCTATATTCGTCCCATGGAAGGAGGCGTCCTGTCTTTATACTGTCGGTCACCCATGCTGGTTTCACTATGCGATATCGACGGAACTCTTCACATTTCTTGGGCGTGAGAGCACTGGCAATGACATGTGTTGCCACAGTCTTGCCATCCAGATATTGGAGAAAGCCACCCCCGTGGCTCACAATCAGGCGATGAAGATCTTGAAGTGAAGGCTGGGTATATCCATTCACATGGGCAACCACGCCACGGAATATCGGAGGGCAGTCACCAGCTGAGGCTCTGATTTCAGCGTCGAGGTTCTGCAGCTTCATTTTTTTCCGCCGCATGTAGTCCCCAAACCCGCCAAAGCTGGAGGCTTCATACTCTTCTCCTGCCTCATTGCTGAAGTCATCTAGAGGCGGTCAGACAAGCATATATGAAATTTTGAGACCAAGACGTACGATTTTCAATCCTTTTGCGCACAGCGCTTGAATTTGTCTCATGTCGGGAGCCCATGTTGGGCTACGACAACCACCATGGCCAGTATACCAAAAATAAGACTCCACGAATGGCGTCAAACGCGAGACGGCAATCACGCGTCACGGCAGAAGTCACGTGTACTGAGGCGGTGCAGCTGGCGGCAAAATGGGGCAGTTAATGGGCGGTGGACTTTCGCTGCTGTCATTGGCTGTTAAGGCGGTCGAGGCAAAGAAATTGGAGAAAAAAAATGTATAGCTATCTGCCGATCTTGCTCTCTTCCCTTCCTCCTTCATCCACACCTTATTGTCCTCGTGGTTCATTTCTTTTTTCGTTTGATCTTTTCATTCATTCTAAATAATCTTTATTATTTTCACTCTTCACAAAATGTCTGCCGTTCAGCCCGTCGCAGTCTATGCGCTCCGGGTTCCTCCCGGTGCCATGGTTGCTGCAGTTCCCAATGCTGCTGCTTCGGTGAGTTCAGATGATGTCTTTAGATGCAATGGTCTGTATTAATGTTATTCCAGTTCCGCATCAGTATGGCTGCCATTGATCCCGATGAGGAGCCTGAGTACGAGGATGACGCCGACTCGAGCAAGCCTGCCCGTGCTACCCTGAAGATTGTTCGCGCTCCTCCCGGTCTTGACCTCGATGAGGACTCCGACGATGAGGACTACAGCGACGAGGAGGAGGAAGACTCCGATGAAGAGGAGGAGGCCAACGGTGGCCCCAGCGACAAGGAGAAGGCCCGCAAGCTCAAGGCAGCTGCCGCCATGAAGGACCTCGAGGATGCTATGGAGGAGGATTCTGATGAGGGTGACGATGAGGACTTCGACCTGAAGGCCGCTATCTCCAAGCTGATCAAGGGCAAGGGTCCTGCCCTTGACGATGAGGACGATGAGTCCGAGGAGGGTCTTGAGCTCGACGAGAACGTTATCTGTACCCTCAGCCCCACCCAGGTAAGTTTTGCTGTTTCAATTTTTTTCCGTCTGAATACCGATAACTAACTTCCTTAACAGAACTGCCAACAGACTCTTGACATCACTGTCTGCGAGGGTGAGCCCGTCTTCTTCAAGGTTACTGGTAACCACACTGTCTTCCTGACCGGTAACTATGTCATTGGTCTCGATGAGGGTCACGACCACGACCACGACCATGACCACGATGATGAGGATGATGAGGACGACTATGACCTGTCCCCCGATGAAGATGAGCTCGATATCGACGAGATCATGGCCATGCAGGATGATGACGAGAGCGACGACCTTGATGCGATGGACGACCCCCGCGTCACCGAGGTCGACAGCGAGGAGGAGGCTGAGGCCCCCAAGCTTGTCCAGGCCAAGAAGGGCAAGAACAAGCGCGCCGCTGAGGAGGAGGCCAGCCTCGATGACCTGATGGCCAAGGCCACCAAGGCCAAGTCCACCAAGGCTGAGGAGCCCGTCCTTACCAAGGCCCAGCAGAAGAAGCTCAAGAAGAACAACGGTGACGCCGCCGCTGTTGAGCCCGAGGCCAAGAAGGAGACCAAGGCCGACAAGAAGGAGGCCAAGACCGACAAGAAGGTCCAGTTCGCCAAGAACCTCGAGCAGGGTCCTACCCCCTCCGGTGACAAGCCCACTGGCTCCCTCGGTCTGAAGGAGGTCCGTGGTGTCAAGATGGACGACAAGAAGCTCGGAAAGGGTGTTGCTGCCAAGAGCGGCAATGTTGTCGCCATGCGTTACATTGGAAAGCTCGAGAACGGCAAGGTCTTCGACTCCAACAAGAAGGGTAAGCCTTTCACCTTCAAGCTCGGCAAGGGTGAGGTTATCAAGGGTTGGGACATCGGTGTCGCCGGCATGGCTGTCGGTGGTGAGCGTCGCATCTCTATCCCTCCTGCCCTCGCCTACGGCAAGAAGGCTCTCCCCGGCATCCCCGCCAACTCCAAGCTCATCTTCGATGTGAAGCTCCTCGAGATCAAGTAAACATCTCGACATGACCCATTCATTTTTCTCGCCGGGGTGTTTGAGGATACCGGTTGAATTGCATGATTCCGTGATATCCATTGCTGTCTTTTTTTCCGCTCACTCTCCCACTCAACTAGTGGGGCTTAGACCGCGAGGAATGTGTCTCCCTGCATGGAAAAAGTGACTATCTTTTGTTGTCTTATGTGTATTTTTTACTTGTTTATGTCTGAATCAATCATATGATCTGTGAATTATTGATGGTATAGTAAAGACGGTGGTTCATGGGGTAGTCGCCAGGCTTGTAATATCCCAGACGGTGATTGATGTGCTGTCTGTAAAACATTGACATTTTCCTTTGGAATCGGTACTAGGAGAACCAGTATTATCAGAGAAGGTTTGCTATATATATATCTTGGCGGTTGATTCTTTTTTTGACATAGCGGTAGGATACGGGATAATCAATTGACGTGGTTTTAATTTTTAATTTTTGAAAATAATCGAAGCTTATCGTATGTGTCGAACGATGCTTAACGTTATATGAAGTGTCTTTGGTACTAAGTGTTGGGTGCTGAGCACAGTAATGAAAAGAGACAGTTGGAGTGTTAAAATGCACAAGATTAAATTTACTTTATGTAGCGTAACATCGAGCACTTCTCCATCAAGTTGGGCTTGTGGTTTAGTGGTATAATACTCCCTTAGCATGGGAGTGGTCCGGGGTTCGATTCCCCGCGAGTCCATTCTTTTTTTTTGTTTTTTTGTTTCTGATATGTTTTAAATATCATTTTTTGAGTTTATTTCGCTCTGATATTGCCCAAACTTTGGTTTATCTGAAAATTTAGCTTACGACTTCGAGCATACTCTTACCAAAGATCGAACCTTTTCATACGTGGACGGCTGAGCAACTTTTATCCTCCATCGAGATTTCATCAATGTGTAACTCCATTGATCGGGAGTCTGTCGTATGCTCCTTGAGTACTTGATGCATCAGACGGGACATATTCATTGAGATTTGACCCGAGCAACCGCAATAAGCTCCCCCGACACGTGGATCATGATTTGTGTCATCAGAGTTGTACCAGCTGCAGCTGAAAAAGAACCCCCAGAGAACCCAAGGCCACCTCCTATCGAGCAGAGCTTCTAAGCGGAAGGTATACGGACACATACCATGTTACTAGATGCACCAATCTGAACATCGAAATGACATCGGACCTTCGTACTCGCATAGAAGTCGGGCGTTGAACCAAAAAAAGCTAGATGAGTTAATCCCTTCACTATTTTCCAAGGTTGATATGTTGAAGATTGCCTCCCTCATCACAAAACAACTCACCAAAGATACTCCTGTGTCAGCGTCATGGCATTTCCCAATTACACTTCATATTTCTTTCGCGATGTTTTGAAACATATATGTGGACAGAAAGTCAAAGTATTTCCTTCGATGGGTTATCACTGACGCGATTTATGCCGAAATCGCTCTACGTGAATTGAGACAGCGCGAGGAAAGGTTACAAGCCAAAGTAAGTTTCTTAGAGAGACCGCAGCTCTCGAGTGCGAGAGTACACAACTCAGCTACGCAAGGCTCGAGATTGCAAAGCAAGAACTGTAAGAGATTCGTGTGAAGTATCTCGAGAAAGACTGCGACCTCTACCGAGCCGAGACTGAAATTGCTACGCCACTTAAGAAAAAATACAAAATTTTGAGACGTGATGCCAATGGTGTATGCGTGAAAGATTGGTCCAAGATTGCGCGGAGCATGGTGGATGCCGTAGTCGGAAATGCGGATGCTGTGAACGGAGGCATCTATCGGAGAAGAATAAAGGCATAGGCCACTACACGAAGGAATGTTTGTGCTTTGTTGAATTTCGTGGCTTCGAGAATTCAGAGGACGCAAAGAAACGACGTGCACAAGATCTAGAAACCCGACTTGAGACCAGAGAAGCTAGATATTGGCGAGACCGGTGGATCTGGCTTTTTCGGCTTCCAGATTCCTGGTGAAAACGCACCTTCCTTAAAAGAAATTGAATGAAAATGCAAGACAAGAAACTCTCGCTTATATGTTGCTCAAAAATATTTGACTCAATTGCTGGAATCCCACGGGCCTTCGACGACTTTATTGACGGCGAAGAGGTTTGATATTGTCCTGCCCTTCTTTGTATATGATGTGTTTTTGGCGGCGCAGCCTTTCTCTGACTGCTTGCTATATAGGATGGCCTTAGTGGCACCAAGGCAGAGTGCGTATGTCCTTAGGTACAGACCGTCTTAGAAAGAAGATCAAATAATTTAAATAAACAATATCTTTTGATTCGTCGGCCTCCACGATGCTATTAAAACCGCGGCTGTCAATACCCGCGAGGCCTTACTTTTCTATTGAGCCATCCTCCAGTGACTATCTCTCAGACAACGAATACCGGACTAACAACCGGCGTGGGGTGTGTGACCTAAACCATCTTTTTGTAGCGATAGAGTTCGTTGTGAACGTTGTTGATCACCTCGTTTCGGGGCTGTTCTTTTATATCTTCATTTTAGGCAAGACAAGTCAATCAACCGGTCAGCAATGATAATCGAATGCACTGACTCTTCTAATGCTAGAGCAAGCAAGTACTGAGTGAACTAGGTACCAACACACCTCGGGATATAAGTTAAGTTGCCGGCGCAGCCAAATGCATCAGATCAAAACATCGGAATGGAGGATGCCAAAAAAGGGCGGAAGAACTAGGTTCTTCTTTTTCCACCTATCCTTTCTCTTTAATGTTTCCTTATTTGCCTTTTGAGTACTTCACCCAACCCTCGCGAACCGGTTAAGACCAAGCCGGGTGTGGAATCCGCCCATTCCCCTTCTCTAACGCAGCCGTCGCCCTACGGTCGACCAGTAATCCCCTGAGCACTTTTGTTCATCGAAGCCTCGTTTTTAGTTTCCATGCTGATATGTATATTGGCTCTTGTAAACTGTAGATACAGGTATCATTCGTAGCTGCGGATATCTAAGAGAGCTCGATACTCTTCCCATCAGCCTGTTTAATATTGAGTGTGCTCACATCAACTCCCTTTAAAGTCCGCGCCTAATCCATAATAAGTAAATAAATCTTCATACCATGCCCACAAAAAGAACTCACATTGACCGCAATAATATCACTATACTTTCCACCATCGGCACGAGCATACATACTCACTCCGCAATTGGAGCAAAAGCCATGTGGGAAGTTCATGGTGCCGAATCGGTACTCCTATAACATATTAGACCGGAGAAATAAAATGGATGGACAAGACTGCTTAGCATACCTTGCGAGCGTTAGGTTCATTTTCTTGGAAAGTCACATCGTCCCGCGCAGCGTAAAGTAAAACATAGCCCTTGAGATCACAGATTGAACCTAAGTAGAATATTTGATTTAGTGTGTCGAAATGATTTTTGTCTTTTCGTTCCTCTCCCCAAGAAGGAAGGATGTACAATTGCAAGATTTCAAGGTTTGGTCTTCTATGGGTGGCGAGACCTTCACAGTGAATGCGACCTGTCCGCAGTGGCAACTGCCCTCATACGAGGTCTGTGAGGCATCAAATTCCGACATGGTGGGAGGAGGCAATCTCAAGCTTTCAAAGATAAGTTATCTTGCAGAATTTAAACGTAGTCAGATCTGGAAAAGGTAGGCTACTGCGGCTCATTTTATAGCGCATCTGGCCCGGGTCAGAGTGCCTGTACGCTAATAACCCGAAAGCTCCACGTCTCCTTTTCACCAAGACATGACCTTTTGCTGATATGGGCCAAGCTTATTGGAGAATATTACGGGTTCGATTTGTCTTACCCAAAGGCACTTAGGGCTACGAACTCGTATCTCGAAATGGAGATGGTTGCCTAGTACAATACACCTTATCATATCTTGCATAATACGATAACTGCTGCATAGCATCCCACTAAAAAGGAGAGCCGTCTCGTAAAGGCTCGCGATTAGCGAACATGGCGTTCAAAGAGAAAAGGAAATCATGGCCAGATGTAATCGCTCATGCGGGGTCTTTAATATATCCAAGGACGAATAATAACAGGCTGACAGAGTCTGACAGGGAAAAAGCAAAGATAAAGATCGAAAAAGATACAGTCCAGGAGCAAATATTGATTTTTTGATTAAGATAATCTAGATTTAAAATACAACCGGCCAAGTCAAACAGCCCAACGGGCTTCAACCTGCACTCGCTATTCGACAACATCATATCTCCGTCCCCACGAGGGTGGACTAGTCAGAAACCAAGACCGAAAGGGCGCTAGGAGTCTCGATCGCCGAGCTTCTTTGCGCTCCCGCTCGGTTCGTTGCATGTCCATCCAGACGGTTGGGGTGATAATTCGCGGTGGTGGGTGTGGATAGTTGGAGGTGCGGGATCCGTATCTGTTGTAGTCATGCTCGACTTTGGATGGGGAGATTTCTGGCCATCGGAGAGGTGGCTCTCTGGTGGTTGCTGATTGGGGCGGTTGCATGTATATGTCCTGATGCATGGATGTGCATGATATTGGATAGGCGACCGAGTGCGGTCTCGGTCTGGGTTGTGACCCTGTATTGTCCATTATATGACCCGAAAGGTCAGGTGGTGAGTTTGATTCGGATTTCTCGTTGCCATGAATTGAATTTGCTCGCGATTGGTGGTTTGTTTCTGGAGAATATTCCATCTCCATGCTCAAGTCGAATTTTCGGTTCATTGTTGTCTTCCCTGACATTGTAAAGTCGCGACAGAAAGCAGCATAGGATTCTTGCAGACGCATTTCTCTGACTGCTTCCACATCTACGCTATGGATCTCCTCCTCGATGTCTTCATGGATAGGCTCATAGATCATTGGCTCGTGGGATGGATCTGGGAGGTATGAGCCAGGCGAACCCGGCGCGTCCATCTGGGTTGCATCGTTGAGATCCTTAAGGTTCTTTTCGCTCAGTCGATGCTCTTGTACTCCAGATCCAAGGATTGTCTGAGATATCCTCTTAGAGACGCGCCTCGTCAGTTGCGTTACTGTATTTCTGCGACGCAGCGGACGTGGCGGTTGTTGCTCTGAGTCTGCAGTGGAGAAGGTCGTACTCGAGGTAAATGAAGCATTGTCATTGACAATTATAATGTCTGGCATGTTGTCATATGTATAGTCCGATTACCAGTGTTAAGATCGCTGGAGAGGAAGACCTAGGGTTGTTGAGGGACTAAATAATAGCCCCGACAACCAAGAACGCAACTCGGTTCAAGATGAAAGAATTGAAGATGAAACAACTGCAATCTACACAGACAATGAGCAAATGTTAGCGGTGAATACCCTGGTACTCTGCGCCGTCCTTTAGGATATACAGGATGGCACGTACCTCTAACAAGCAGATAAGAGTCTAGATGATCAAACCCCAGGCAGACTCTTTGTTCAACTGACAGGCTTCTGCGGAATTTCAAACTCAAGGATCTGCAGGGTCGGTCTGATCTACAATTTGTATAAAGAAAGAAATCTCCGGGGGAGCTCGGAGTCCCATATATTGAGCCAGAAAAAGAGCATGTGCCCTGCCTAGGCTAACAGTTATCGCAGGAACGTTCGCGCCTTGCCCTTTGCATAATCGGGGGGTACCGTGGGTACCACTACAGCAAGCCACCATATGCGAGGCGCTCCTCAAAGTACGTCAGAGGTCCTGGGGGTCTTGGAGGTCCAGTGCGGTCTCGCGATAGGCTTGGGTGGATTCCGGAGGGAGTCAGGCGGGCGTTGAAAGCCTCCCACAGGTTATGGAACTGACTGGTAGCTTTTGCCTCGAAACTCTCCTAGACAGTAGCACCGTACTGCTACAGTATTTGTGGTTAAACTCCTGAAACGAGGACAAAGGGGGCAGTGAGACATTCTAGTCACTACTACCCCATCGTTCACCGTGGCGCTGCTTAATAGTGCACTAGTCTCAGACATTACATGGAATGCACAGCGGAGATCACTGGCCTCGCTGGATTGGTCTCTATTGGCTGATTGTAAACAAAAAATCTTGGTCCGTAATGTGTGGTAAAATCCCTGCGAGTGGACCATTTCGGCCTCCATAACCATTCGGCCACGGTGAGTCCGGTTCAAGCCACCGGAGTTTAATTAGGAGGTCACAAGAGATCACAAGAGGTCACGAATCAGATCAAGATTCGATGTTTTGTTTACACTGTACGGTATAGATCTGAGTTTATTGAATAGTAGTACAATATCCCCGGGTCACATTACATGCCCTCGCGTCCAAGACCCCAGCGGCCAACCTCACGCATGGCTTCATCGCCGCCTTCAGCCAGGCGGCCGTTCGCATTGGAGGGGTTGCCGTTGCCCAGAACGCCAGCCACACACTGCCAGCCATTGCGACCACCTCCCCAGCGAAGGACTTCGTTCTTGTATCGCTCGCCGGCAGCACGATCAACAGCTGCCTGGCCAGATTGGAAGACATCTTGCCAGAGCTTGTTGGCGATCGCACGGTCAAAGATGTAGCTGTAGTAGGTAGCCCCGTAGCCGTACAAATGGCCGAAGAAGCCCTGCCACGAGGTGCGTGGCCGAATATTATCCGGATCGGGGAGACTGGAGTGCTGAGCGAAGACGTGGTGATAGATCTCGGTGGAGTCAATGCCAGCTGAACTAATCTCGGCAGGAATTGAATGATATGCTTGGTCAACAAGCGCCATAAGGATCTGCGCCTCGTTCTCCACAGCGCCGTAGATGGACCCGTGCGCAGTGCGGTCTAGTTCCATGCTCTGCATCATACTTTCAGATAGAGGTTCATCGGTCTTCCAATGGCGCGCATACAGAGAAAGAACCTCTGGCGCGGTCGCGAAACTTTCCATCAATACAGAAGGAAGTTCGGCGAAGTCCGTGGCGCATCGAGTTCCCGAGATGGATTGCAGAGGCGTCTGACCAAGGATGGAATGAACCGCGTGGCCCATCTCGTGGAACAACGTACGAACACTCTGCTCGCTCAGCAGGGTTGGATGACCCGAGCCATTGGCTTGAGGCTCCTGGAAATCGCATACGAGAGCAATGGTTGGTAATTGGCGCAGAGTCTTTGTCTCTGGGTCGACGCCCGTGGCCATCCCGTCATTCGGGTGAGCCGACTGGTTCATCGAGGCACATTCGGCAACCTCTTCAGCTGAGATCTCACGCGAACAGCGAAGAGTGAAATGTGCCGGATTTGGGTGCTTGCTGGGCCGGGTGAACAGGTCACAGTAAACGACTGCGATGTGCTTGTCCGATTCGTCCACGACATCGAGACGACGGACATCTGGATGCCAGGTCTCGCCAGGAGATGTTTCATGTGGAACAAGACGCACACCATAGAGACGCTCAAAAAGCCGAGAGAGACCTTGCATCACCGTTCCCAGTGAGAAGAATTCATTAATGGAACCCAGGTGACGAGAGCGACGGGAATGGGTATACTCCAAGACTCGCTTGTGAACGTAGAAGGCATGGTCCCACGGCTGCAATGAAGAACCTTTCAGTTCCTGCAGCTTGGATAATTCTTCACGAACTGGGCCACGGTTGCTTGAGGCAAGCGAGGTCAAGAAGTTCGATACTGCTTCAGGCGTCTTTGCCATCTTGTCACCAAGGGTCATGTGTGCAAAGCTGCTGTGGCCTGTAAGTTGGGCAAGTTCCGCTCTTTTAACCAAAAGCTCTTCAAGTCTTTGTAGTTGGCGTGTACTGGATGTGCGAGTGGCGAGATATATCTCTTTGCGAACTCCCTCATCACGCACCGAGCGCAGAGCAAGTCGAGGAACAACACCCATGGTTGGCACCGGGGCCTTCTTGTTCCATTTTTTAATTTTCTGAACAACGACAGGATCCAAACCCTGGAGTGCACTCGCAGGGAAGACCACCTGGGACTTCGCAGGCTCCGCACCGTTCATAAAATCGGATCCCAACTGGCTCACATCGTTTGAAAGATTCACGAATCGCTGCCGTACCTCTGGCGGCATATGAATAGCAGAGTTTGAGAAATCCTTGTTCAAGATCTGAGCGACAATCCTCTCGCTCTCGGTCCAGTGTGATGTAACCTCGGGGTTGTTCAAGGCTTTATTAAGCTGCTCGTGAAGGCCAGTGGTGGTATTCAAAACATTCATATACTCAAACATTAGAGCCCACGCCTGCGTGGCTGCTTCTTGTATCCGCGGATCAGGGTGTATGGTTCGAATGAAGTCCGACAGATCGATGACACGACATAGGAGATCACTGAGCCGGTCGAGGTCGCGTGCCAGTGCTCTGTATTCTTCCACGGTCGAGGCGGCAAGAACCTTGGTCACGATAGCCTGGCATCGTTGCAACGAGACATTTGCGAATGTCCTGAAGCCTTCGGGGCTTGTGAGGTATTGGTTCTGGACTAACCCAGCTCGTCTAGGGATCGTAGTGGTGCGTTGCTGGGAGTATTCATTCCAAAACGGCTGGGAATCAAACATACGGCGTAGGGTCTGGTCATCAGTCTTCTTCCCTGGCGCACTGTTATCTGCTGGGACATGTTCAAATGGCGTTGGCGAGGCTGATGCGGCGCTCTCGAAAGCTCGGGACTGGGACTGCAGGTGCAGGCATTTGCGGCATGTCCACGATCGTCGCGCAGTGCGAAGCATTGTAGCGACAGTATTAAGACCAGAACAAAGACATAGGAAAGAAACCCAAATCAGAATCCCAAGAATCCAAAGAGTCCAGTTGAAGGAGAACGGGCAATGACGGAGTTTTCTGGAGGTTCCGCCGAGCCGAAGAATTCCCGTCTGGATCCAACACGACTTTGCTTCCACCTTCAAACCTCAGCTCCCCTACTCCTCCTCCCCCACACCCCCCAGGATGTCGTTCCGGCCGATGTTGCAACAGGTATGCTGAAGCTCTTTTGCTCTTGACTTACCCGATGCAATTGATTCCTCTATGTCGTGCCCTGCTGACTTGTGCCTAGCGGGCTGTGGCTCCGATCGCAGCCACTCTCCTCGCGGGAGGCATTGCTTTGTACCCCAAGCAGACAGCGTTTGCAGAAGAGCCTCGAGACAACGTATGATGATCTTTCTCCTGATATCACTGAAAACCCCCAGCTCCTGGCTGGCCCTGACACGACCACTTGCCCAATATAGCGCAAACCGATCTACGATGACTTCCCAGCCGACATCCCCGAACCCTCCAAACCCGCACAACCTGCCCAGCCCGCGGCTACTCAGCTGTTCTCTGCACCGGCTGTGCAACAAGCCCCCTCCTCGCCCACCCCGACAGATATCCTGACCGCCCAGGTCCGACAAGCCCGTCTTTTCCTTTACTCCAACTCCCTTGCCGCCGAGAACGGCTTCAACAACTTCCTGTCTCGGGCCCTCAACATCGAAAACTGCTTCACCAACACCGTTGCCTCGCTCGCACCTTCGCCCGAGTCTGGTGAGCGCCTGCTCCCCGGCGGTGTCTATGCTGTCGTGGCTGCCATGGCCGGTTCGATCGTTTCCCGTAACCGTGGTATCTTCCTCCGCACTGCGTCGCCAATTGCTTTTGGTACCGCTGCTGCCTACACCCTTCTTCCAGTTACTATGCGCAATGTCGGAGACCTTGTGTGGGAGTATGAGAAGAAGGTTCCTGCCGTTGCGGAGCAGCACATCGCTATCCGTGAGCGAGCGGAGCACATCTGGTTCACTGGTGTTGCGCACAGCGGGATGGCGCGCCAGATGATGGAGGAGAAGATTGGTGACACTCGCAAGAAGCTGGAGGCACTTGTGAGCAAGGGCCACTAAATTTGAACCCCGGATGGAAGCTATAGAGAGGATTTGTTTGTTGCATATGTACGCCTAGAACTCCTAGATCCGAACACATAACCGGATTGGTTCCTTTTGTTTCTCAAATGTTTGCTCTTTTAGTATCTCATTGTAGTCGGCTATGTAGCCCACTTAAAAGGAGGAGTCTTTTGAATTTCGTGATGGTACTCTACATTAAAAGGGTCGCAGATATCTCGCTCATTCTTCCTCTGTCGGTCCTGGTGCACCCTCCGGCGCCTCGTATGCAGTTGTAGGACTTTCCGAATGAGATTGCGAGAGTCCGACCTTGGGAGGGGGAGGGAGAGGAGTTCCATGCCTCGAAGGCGCAAAGTCTTGCTCCCGACTCTTCTGTTCACCTTCAGCAAAGTAATCATCGAAGGCCCTGTTGGGCGAGGCCGAAGGTCGGTGTCTTCCTGCACGACGGCTTGCTGGAGACCTATTATCTGATGGCGAAGCAGTTCTTTGCGAAGCCAAGGGCGGTGGTGCTGTCATGTTCGCAGGAACCAAGAACTGGCCAGAGGCAGGCATAATTTCTGGCCCAGTACCTGCAGGGCCACCTACTGGGGCGGCAGCACTGTCATCGCGTGTCTCGAAAACGACCTCTCCGGGTGCCTCCACTTCTTCGCCGAGTCCAATGGGCAGTCGGTGCAGGGCTCCGAATCCTAGCTCAGCACCGAGGGCCCCCGCACCACCCCAACCTCTTGTTGGCACCAGCTCAACCTCACGAACCACATCGAATTCACTGTTGTAAACCCATAGAACTAATGTGCGGTCTAGGTGGTCTTCAACCAGCTCTCCAAGTGCGGACTCCCCTCTTAATGTCCCACTTGGGGTTCCAATGATGTAGTCTGAATAGGGCAGCAAACCAGCACGGTATGCTGGGCTGAGAGGTGATGGGATGGCTATGACATGCCAGATATTTTGTGTGGAGGAAAGGGGAGCCAGCTGGAGTGCGAGACCGAGAGATGGGTTCGTTGGAGGGACAGCATGCGTGATAGTGTGAGTTCGTTGGCCCTAGTAAGTCCAAAACTTAGCTATGTCTCGATTCCAGTGAGAAATTTGACTTCTTACCTTTGCGCTCCATACTTCCAGAGTCAAGCTTGCTCCAGCGCAATTTCGCACTTCTGTCGCAAAGAGGTTGGGGTCCGGATCTTCCTGTTGGTTGGTGTAAGCGATGCTATAATGCCGAGTCGTGCTCTAGCTCCGTAGACAAACAATTGTATGACCATTAATTCCAACAATAAAGTCAAACCATGGCTCCAGAGGCAGCTCCGGGTCCTTGTTGCGGAGCACCTGGAAGCCGAACGCGTTGTCGTTTGGTCCGTTTCGAGGCTGTTGGCCGGGCTCTCCGTCCAGTCGGCCAATAAATCGGTTCAAAGCACCAAACATTGTCGGTAAGTGCACAAAGGGATGTGTGATCAAGTGAGGGCCAAATGTACCTGTGTTGTTACGGCCTGAGAGCTGGCCGGACGAAGAGACAAACAGTGCAAACACCCGCATCTTTATCGGTTATCGAGCATCGATCGTCTTGCTTTATCAAACATCATGGCGGACGAAGAAGAAGCTCCTCCGGAGGTGCATCACTACAGTAGTCTCCAGGAGGTCCCCTGGGACATTCAGAAGTAAGTTATCCAATGGTTCAAATTGACCAATGCTAAGTCTATGTCAAGTTATTGGGCTCAACGCTACCGGATCTTCTCCAAGTACGATGAAGGTGTATGGCTGACCGATGATGCTTGGTTTGGCGTTACGCCTGAACCAGTGGCCAAGTTAGTAATCCAAAACCGCTCTTACTGTCTTGTTACTGACGGCATTTAGTCGAATTGCCACGCAAATTGCCGAGTCCGCGCCTGCTGGACGTAGCATTCTGGTCGATTGCTTTGCTGGCGCAGGTGGAAACACAATCGCATTTGCATTGACCGGGAAATGGAAGCGCGTGTACGGAATTGAGAAGAATCCCGCTGTCTTGAAATGCGCAAAGCACAACGCAAAAATCTACGGCGTCGAGAACAAGATCACTTGGTTCGAAGGTGATTGCTTTGAGATCCTCAAAAATCAACTTAGAGAACTGGGTCCATACAGTGTTGTATTTGCAAGTCCCCCGTGGGGAGGTAAGCACATAATCACACTTGATTCTACGACTGAAACTAATCGTATCAGGCCCCGGATATCGTTCAGATCAGGTATTCAACCTGAAGACGATGGAACCATACTCACTACAAAGGTTGTACGATGAGTACTCTGTGTTCAGCAAGCATATGGTTCTATACATTCCAAGGACATCTGATTTGAAACAGATGGCAAAATTAGTTCCTGACGGCCACAAGGCTACGGTGATGCACTATTGTATGGAGGGTGCGAGCAAGGCGTTGTGTATTTTCTACGGGGATTTCAATGTTTCATGACTGACGTTGCCTACGCTTGATAAAACCACATTTCACTATACCAATTTTTCTTCCTCTTATTGAATCTCTAACCCAGCTATATCTGAATGATATTTTGAGCGCGTATTGTCTCGAAGCCTATTGATCTATCACGAGCTGATTGCCATTTCGGGTTAGCGTAAAACCCGCGCATCTTGGAACCCGCGGCCGTTTTCCATCTTGACTTCTTCTCTCACTCAGACCTTACCTTTCTTGCTTCGCACTCTCTCACTTTCTGGCTGCAATAGCTAGAAAAGACGCATTATTTCTTTTGCATACACCGATTCCAACCAGATGCCCGTCGTTTGAATCGCGAGCCGCCCGTCTGGCTAGCGCCTACGTTTACGACCTCAGCTTTCTCTTACTTCTCTCTTGAATCTGAACCGACCTTGTCTTCTTACCCTGTCGACCATCCTATTGCCTCAAAGCCATCATTACCGCAATCATGCCTCACGCGACACAGAAGAAAGTCCCGGAGGACGAGGACGATGACTTCAACAATGTGATGCAGCAGCTCAACAGCTACGAGAACAACGGACCATCTCTAGATTTTCTTTCGCGCGATTTAGATGTTGGCGAGAAGGCCGACGATGCGATCGATTATGAAGATTTCGACGACGACGAGCTTCCAGAAGAAGAGGTACACGCTGCCCCAGCTCTGCCCGCGGTGGACGACAATGACGAAGACCCTTTCGCGAACCTGGGCTCCGACGATGCCGCTCTTTTCGGGAACGGCGATGATATTTTTGGTGACCAGGCTACGGGGGCTCAGGCACAAGAAGATAACCTTGATGATCTATTTGGCGAAGGGTCTTTCTCTCCACCTCCTCCTGCTGGGCAGGAGGACCTTACCAGTGGTCTTTTTGAAGATGAACAGATGCCCTTGACCAATGAGCCAGTTGAGCTCCCACCCATTCCTCCTGCCCCCGCCCCCGAGGCAGAACAGATGCCCATGGATGAAGATATTCCGGACGATTCCAGCATCATGTCAGACGACATGGACCCCGCTACACTTCGCGCTTGGAAGCTCCAGCAAGCACTCTTCGCTATGTCCGGGCCCGAAAATCCACCTGCTCCTCCAGAAAACCGTGAAGAACTTCTGCATTCATTATTTCCTTCGTTTAATCGCAATGAACTTCCACGATGGTTGGAACTTATTCCACACAAGAAAGCTATCTTCATCGGAAAACAGCCCACCAAGCCTCCTAAACCTGTTCTACCCACAAAAGTGAATATCGAGCTTGCGGCGGACCAGGAGCGCACATTTCGAACAGGACAGCCCCTCAAGCGTGGTCTTGAAAACGATTCTCTGGGCATTGTGATGATCACTCAAACGACACCAGAAGAAGAGGAAGAAGAAAAAGAAGACCTTGAGATGGGCGATGCAGATGGCGATGATCCGCTGCCAGGTGGCATTACGATGCAAGATCTTCGGACTATTTGCGCGGACTGGGATATGGTGGATGATATCCTCATTGCGGAGCCGGAAGAAGATCCTAAAGATACTGTTTTCGAAGATGACGAGCCGGATTGGCTTATGGACGATGATGTGCCGAAGAAGAAGCGAAAGACTGGCCCAAGCCCAATGGACGTTATCGCAATGTCTCATATTGATATTCCGCTGTTGGATGACCCTGAACAAGCCACGATGAAGATTGCGAAAAAGGTCACCATTGATTTGAACGATCCAAACATTCTCGTCGACGAGACCAGCGCAGATGCTATTGCAAACAAGCCGAAGCACGCTCCCCGATCCAGAGATGAGGTGGACTTGAATTTGACTCGTCGTCTTACTTCTCGTTACAATATCTCAAATGACCAAGCGTACGACATGCTCAAGCAGAACCATCAGAACAAGATCCGCAGTACTCTTGGCAATGTGACTCTTGAACACGCCCTGCCCGCTCTCCGCTTGCAGTGGCCTTACTACAAGACCGAATTGGCCAAGGCTGAAGCCCGATCTTTCCACCGGCCCTCCATGGCCTTCCGACCCGGACAAACATCTTGGTTCAAAAATCCTGTCCACATCAAACGCAAGCAGCAACGTGGACGAGACGCAAAGAGTGTTTACGATACAACAAAGGCATTATCTATGGCAGACAACTCTAATGTGCTTCTTGTGGAATACTCCGAAGAGGTTCCTATGATGCTCGCCAATTTCGGAATGTGCAACCGATTCATCAACTACTACCGACGGAAGAACATTGACGACCCAACGCGTCCTAGAGCAGAGATTGGTGAGACAGCCGTGCTGTTGCCACAAGACAAGAGTCCGTTCTCAATTTTTGGTCACGTTGACCCTGGTGAAATCGCCCCTGCGATCTCGAACTCCATGTACCGAGCACCGCTTTTCCCCCACCAGCCAAAGACTACGGACTTCCTGATTGTCCGCAGCAGTACTGGCGAGGCCGGTAGTAGCTACTATCTGCGCAACATTGAAAACTTCTTTGTCGCAGGACAACAGTTCCCCTCCGTGGACATTCCTGGTCCGCATTCGCGTAAGGTGACCACCGTTGCCAAGAACCGCATGAAAATGCTAGTCTATCGTTTGTTGAAGAAAAGCCCAGACGAGCGACTCGCAATCAGTGATGTTACTGCTCATATCCCCAATACGACTGATATGCAGAACCGGCAGAAGGTCAAGGATTTCCTCCAACACGACAAGGACACCAAATACTGGAAGCCATTGGATCCGGTTCTTCCAGACCAAGACACCATTCGCGCTTGGGTGCAGCCCGAAGATGTTTGTCTTCTGGAATCCATGCAGATTGGTCAGCAACATCTCCACGATACCGGTTATGGCAATGATGCGGAAAACAACAACGAAAATGAAGAAGACGAAGAGCTGGAAAGCTTTGAGCAGCAAATGGCTCCCTGGAAAGCGACTCGCAATTTCCTGCTTGCCTCTCAGGGCAAGGCTATGCTGAAGCTCCATGGCGAGGGTGATCCCACTGGTCGTGGCGAGGGTTACAACTTCATCAAGACTAGCATGAAGGGTGGGTTCAAGGCGATCGGTGAAAGTGTTGAGGACAAGCTCGATGCTCAGCGACTCAAGGAGCTTGGTGGCCACAGCTACAATGTTGCTCGTCAACAAAAATCATATGAAACATCCATTCGTCGTATTTGGGACGCTCAAAAGGCCAGCTTGTCCTCTACTGTCGAACATTCCGACCAGGAGAGTGATGTTGACCACGAAGAGGAAGAAGACCAATACCATAAGCCCACACCTCGATCCGAAGCACCCACACCTGTACCATACCGTCGCGATGATGAGACAACCAGCCAGTTTAGCAAAATGAGTTTCGGAGATTCTCGCGGCAAGGTCATGCGTATCATCCGCCAGGTCAAAGAAGCCAACGGCGAGATTGTCGAAAGAGAACAGCTTGTCTGGGATCAACGTGTTATCAGACACTACATGCAGCACCGCCATCGCAGCGCAGCACTGCACACCAAGCTAGAATCCATCCAACCAACCGGCGACCCCGAAGTCGATGCCCGCAACCGCAAGCTGATCGAAGCCGAGCTCGGCCGTCTGAACCGCAACAAGGAGCGCCGCTTTGCTCGCGAGAAGCAGAAGGGTATCCCTCGTGCCGGCGATCCGGACGGCAAGCCCGCTGGTACTCAGCGCAAGTGTGCCAACTGTGGTCAGGTCGGACATATCAAGACCAACAAAAAGCTTTGCCCCTTGCTCAATGGTACCATGAAGCCCGAAGACCGCGTGACTGACTCGGCTTTCTCCATGAGCGCGCCGGTGCTTTAATGATTCTTCACCTTTTTTTTTATCATACCTCATTTGTCATATCGCTCCATCATCTCCGTTCTCAATCTTCAATCTTGATACCCAACAGGCGGAGAAGCCTATTCTAAGTTTATGCTTCGATACCCTGCGTTTCTTCTACAGATTATGGCCACTTAGCCCGGGGCCATTAGTGCCATCCTACTGCCTGTCTTCATTCACTGGCGTTGTGATTTTGCCCTTATTTGTTGTGTGTTATCATGGGATTTTCGGGTATCGGTTTATTCTTAACAGATTTTAAGCAATTCCATAGCCAAAATATCACTTTCCTGCTTGCTAGATTCCAGTTATAGTTCGTACTGTCCTTCATTGTAGATCGGTATATAAGTTAAGGAATGTAGAAGCTAGAATGATAGACAGAAGACAATACCCTGCGAGGCTATATGTTCATTGCTAATGATAAACCAAAGGGAGGGCAGTGGGAAGTTCATCCCAAGGGCTATGAGCGAGCATCGGTTAGAAGCCTATCTTTATACCTAGGTGTCCGATAAAAATGTGTATATGGATAGGTTACTGAAAGGATGGTGGCTTGTTGCGGTGGCGGGAATGCACTAACGGTCGACTGTTCACGTTTGAAGCTAGAGGACGTTGAAAACCCTTCCACGACCAATTTGGTAGAATCATGATGCATACAGATCAGATAATTGACCCCTGGCAAGCGGTTGTCGCCCTCGCTCTGTATTGAATGCCAAAGCCATCTCGCTGGGCCGCCGATACGTATACCCCAGGAAAGCGCCTTTCTTGCGGATCTCCATAACGTTTTTGCTCATCTGTTGATCACGGAGAATTTTGTCGCGAGGCCGCTTCTTTTCCTTCTTCTTTGCATTGTCCTTGATCTGCTCGGATACTGCGTCTGGCGTAGCAGCGACGCTTCGTGGCTCAATGGAAACATTTTCATCGGGGCCCTGAGCAGGAGTAATGGCGTCTGGGTCTGACCTAAGAGTGTCTCCATTGTCTTCCGATTGACGGGCCTCAGCCTTACCTGGGGCATTGGCGGCTAGCTTTGAGTCGTCAAAATACCGAGTATCTTCCCAGTTTCTGACCCTGGGGATGATTGGTGGCTGGCACAAGTGAAGATCCTGCCATCGGATGCCTCTGAAGAATGGGTGGACTTTGATGTCCGCTGCATCGTTGGGATATACGTAGTAGCTGGCGATGTTTCGATAGCGCGAGTCCATAGAGTACAGCATCTGATTTGAAACGGGCCGAGAGGTTAGAAAGTCATTGGCCTGGTATTTCTGGGAGCATAGACGGTATTGACGCTCTTGAAGAATACGAGTAATAAGATCCAGGGCATCTTGAGAAACCATTCTGTCAGATGCCCTGTCTATCGGAAACTGCAGAGTTCGAGCGTGTTGCTTCAAGAAGGTCAGACTGGGAATGGCACAGAGTTGAGAGGGATATACTTTACCAGAATTTTGATCTTGGTGTCATGCCGGCTCTCGCATGCAAATGGGGTGCAGCCATATAGACACTAAGAAACCTGTTAGTCTCGATTTGCACGAAAAGAAGCCAACTGCCTTACTTCGTACAGAATGATACCCAAGCTCCACCAGTCACATCGCCCATCATACATTTCGCCCCGAATAACCTCGGGTGCCATATACTGACTGGTCCCAACAACACTCTTGGCGAATCTGCGTCTTCCTTTGTTGTCACGCCAATCCAAGAGACCGGAAGAGGGAGTCTGCTGAACTGAGTAATCATCCAAGGCGTACAATTGCACGTCAGCCGGAAGATCATTCGCCTCGAGAGACTCCTTCTGATCCTCGGCATCACCCTTAACCTCGATACCGAGCTTCTCCAATAGGGAATATCGTTGGCTGTTGTAGTAAGCTTGATCATGCGACCAATGCCCATTGAAAGCCAACCCAAAGTCGGAGATTTTCAGATGGCCCGAGGCAGAAATAAGAAAGTTGTCGGGCTTCACATCACGGTGAATCCAACAAAGCTTATGCGCCTCCTCAATGCACAGGATCATTTCAGCAACATAAAATCGTGTCCAGTCTTCGCGAAGTGTGTCTCTGCGAATCAGAAGTCCCAAGAAATCTCCACCAACCATGTAATCCATCACCAGATAGAGATTGTTGGCATCCTGAAAGCTGGTGATCAGAGGAACAACCCAACGAGAGCTCTCAGATGCCACAAGAAAATCCCGCTCGGCTCTAATGTGTCCTTCTTGACAGTTCTGGATCATCTCCGTTTTTTTGATAACTTTCATGGCGTATACCTCTTTCTTCTCTCCAGTCATGTATCTCCGTCGACCTTTCTTGGCCCCCTCCATAGCAGATTTCAATACTCCAAAAGGAGTTTGTTTTGCAGGAGAATTGCTGTCAGCAGGGTTCAAAGGATATTCGTCGCCAGAACCGTTTAAATCAGGATGATCTGGCCGCACCAAGCGCACAACGCCAAAACTCCCTTTCCCAAGCACCTTGATAGACCTGTATCCAGCAATAGAGATTGCATTTTGAGTACAGTATCGATTGGACTTGAGCACTCGGCACTGTCGCAAATAAACATTTTCGCGTAACACCCAATTATGGCGTGTCACCATTCGCTCCTCTGCCGTGAGGTCATAGGTGTAGATATAATGTTCTAACTCGAGTTGTCGCTCCTGACGAAGATCTTTGTTCTGGAAAATTGAATTGAAATAGAGTTCCAGATACACCTTTGCTATCGAGGTAGCTTCCACTGTCTTGACTGAGGGTATGATGCTGATTGTTTTTTCAGGAGTAATTGCGGTCTCATTTATATCAAAGACAGAAGGCCAATGTGATACCGCCGTCTCGTGCTGATCATATATTTTGGATCGATTTGACAAAGGAGATGGCACCCCTGATGTCGGGGGAGTGGACTGTTCACCACGGGGGGAAGAATTGCTACCTAGGGTAGAAGAAGGATCTGAGCTATCGTTAGCTCCGTCGACCTGGTTGCTCAACTCATCTGGAGCGGGTGACACTGAGCGAAGAATATTGGGTCTCGCGCAAGGATTCGTACGGCGAATAACAGTGGGCTGGCCGAATGCCAGAGAGATTCTGTGCGAAAGACGATCTGCAAATTTAGGAATCGGTTGGCCTTCTTGCTCAATGAGAGTCGTTGTCAAAGGATCTTTCCCATTTGGACCGTGCAGGTCATCTCTAATGGGCTGTTCACCATGGGTTTCAAATAAAGACTGAAGATCGGGAAGAGGCTCAGAAAGATAAACCGTGCCCTCGATCGATGGACCAAGAGAGGGAGTCATAGGAAGTGGTTCACTCTGTGATGATTCGACCAGAGTCCTATATGCACCTGATGAGAAGGGGTCCCAACATTCATCGCCAGTCCGCATGGAAATGCAACAGTCTGTCTCGATACTTGGCTCTTTGATACCTGCAGAAGATCTTCAGAGGAGCCCTGGAAAATACATGACGTTGCTTACTCTTGGAAGAAGTTCGCAATCCCAGTAACAATAGAATCTTCGAACCACTTCGGGTCAGGCATGCTCTTAAGCGCTCTTTGCTTTCAGGAATGATTGGTTCTGAAGTTGGACTCTCCGAAGTGCCTGACTCGATGGGTGATGTATCTTTCGTAGATACGACGACTTTGGCAGGAATCCGGAGACCGAAAAGGCTTCTTTGGGTGGTGTCTTTCTTGAAGACAATCATCTCGATAAAATGAACGGTGGATGATCAAACCAATTAATGATAGAATGATGCACAATCCAAAGGAGCAGAGCCGTGAAGTTGCATGATGGAACAGGAAATCACGACCAGGGCAAGCACAACCCCGTGACTCTCCCAAGTTAATCTCTCCCCCGTTGTATACGAGGCTACCACATAAACCAACCACTTACAGTGCGCCACAAACAAATAATAAGCAAACAACCAGTAGCTGCATATGACTGCAGGAATCCACTGGTTGGTTCACTGGCGCCTCAAAGCTGACACGCAGTTAGTTGTCATGACAATCCCCCATTTCCCCACCACTTAAATGCTCGTTTCACCACCTACTGTAGTCTGCCTTTTTCTTTCTTGACAACAACTTTTCAAAATGATCACCCCAGATTCAACACCGTGGGAGATGCTCGATCCCATCTCTGCTCCCTCAGGCAGTGAGCTCTACAAAAACAACACTATCTCCGAAGACATGTCAGTGGAAGTGGGATTAGAAGGCCAGCCACAGCCTCCTTACAGTCATGAGTACACTAGGTCCTACCCTATCCACCCCAAAGCATCAAGCGAGAATAAAAGCGACAGTGGTTACTTGAGACCGCAGACGCAGGAGCGAAACCACATGCTGGTAGCTCGACAGCCAAGACGTCAGCTGGCGCCGCACAGAGAACGTATCGATTCAGAACAAACACAGCAAGAAACCTCCATTCAACCTCCATATGAACAACAGGGACTTCCTTATCAGCCCCCATACAGAACTATGCCAGAGTTGTCTATCTCGCCCGAGCCAGTGAACCTCCCTTGGCCTTACAGTCCATCCCAGATGCCTGTAGCTGCTCCACCGCGCGATAGGCAAAGACAGCATAGTTCGATGAACCAGGGGAACTCTCACATGGTAAGGCCTAATCAAGGCACTATTTACCCAAGATATCAGTCCTCATCCGGGAGATCAAGTCCGACAATCTGGCCACAGGATCGCAATGCACCTTCCAGCCAAAGAACTATATCTCTATCCGAGGCTAAAAGTCTAAGAGCCCAGATATCATACCTCCAGGAGAAAGTGATCAAGTTAGAAGGCAAGCCCATTGATATAGAGGCGTCAAAGTATCAAATTCTCTACCGAATCGAGAATGATAACATATCTCGAGGCATGTACCTAAGGATGGATAGCGATGAGGACTTCAAAACTCCGTGGATGGGAACATTCACAGATCCCCCCGAAGTCATCCACAGCGCTATGGGCTCCCCCGTCTACGTTGTAATGACCGATTGGCCAATTTTGAGCTCTACCTGGCTTTGAACAAAGACATATCATTCGTGGTATTTCGAAATTTTAAGAGGACAGTCGAGCGGCACTCGTTAAGAGCGAAGTATGGGAAGCCAGAGCCATTCAGCGAGAACATTCTTCCTGTTTCAGAGTATCTCAAAGAGATATTCGAAGAGATGCTGAGTGGTCGAGAGTTCAAGTCTATGTATAGTGGTTACCAGGCTTCCCGAGAGGTCAAGAAACCCTATCTCTTCGTCTACCACAACCGATCCAAAGTGGCTGATATGAGGGAAGGGCTGAGCTCAGCAGCTCAGCAGCAATTGGATCTCTTCATGGATTATGTCCAAGCAACATGTGGCGAGGAGTATGCTGTCGCGGACAGTCTGCTCAACAAGGGCCGCATTCGCCCGGAGTATGTCCCATACTTGTTCAAGCCCAACGATGTCTTGATTTCCAAAGACAACAATGAGTACACGGGATACCTCGCGCTAGACTGGCCGTTTCAAGACGAAAGATATTTTGGATCTGAAAAGTCTTCCCTGTGGAGAGTCAGGGGCCAGACATGGGAGTTTGACGGCAAGTTTTGTAGAAGATGGGACATACTGGAATTTCAAACGTCAGAGACACAGCTTGCCGCAAACAAGTCACAAAATCGACGCGAGAATCCCATTGATGATCCAATGCTTAACTCATACAGCCAGAAAGCAGCTGGCGACTCACCCTCAGCTGAGAGCAATTCGAACAAAGAGTGTGCTATTACTGACCTTGCTGTGTTCCCGATCAAGCACGCATCAAGTGAAATTTTCCAAATGCTTCAGAGGCGTGGAGAGACCTTCTGGAAACTACGTGGACATCGATATGTGTCTTACCATGCCACAGAAGAAGAAAACTTCCAGACCATGGTATGTAATCGAGTGGCATTCAAGGTGTTATAGTTGGAAAATATAGACTGACCAATTCATTTAGGCCGATGACCGATACATCATAGACATGAAAACGTACAAACGATTGCATCCACCCTCGAATGTTCAAATTGAATACAAAAGCTTGCTTGATGACCGAGCCATGGCCAGGGAGTCACCCCCAGATGAAACATTCCAATTTTTGATGCCCCCCAGAATTGTCGGGTTCAACCTTCGCCGAAAGAAGTGGTTCAAGCTCTGCACCGACCGCATCTCCGATGTAGTTTGGAACAAAGAAGCATTCAAGAGCCTGGCCCTCGAGTCCAAATCTCGGGACTTGATCCAAGCACTGGTCACTAACCACATTGAAGCTGAGTACTCGGCAGATTTAATCGCAGGAAAGGGCAACGGTCTCATCCTGCTCTTACACGGTGGACCAGGAACAGGTAAGACACTGACTGCAGAGAGTGTCGCTGAAATTGCAGAGCGACCTCTCTATCGTGTCACCTGCGGCGATGTGGGCACCAAGCCTGAAGAGGTCGAAAAGTATCTCGAGTCTGTTCTTCACCTGGGCAAGATATGGAACTGCGTCGTGCTACTTGATGAAGCCGACGTATTCCTTGAGCAGCGGGGGATGGAAGACCTGAATCGGAATGCGCTCGTATCATCATTCTTGCGAGTGGTAGAATATTTCGAGGGAATTCTCATTCTGACCACAAACCGGGTAGGTACATTTGATGAGGCGTTCAAATCGCGAATTCAACTGGCACTGCACTACCCAAGCCTCGACGAGGACCAGCGACGTCTCATTTGGGAGGCTTTCATGGAGCGGTTGTGGAAGTCTGAACCTAATTCTGTCAATATTCATGATCTGCGCATGAATTTGGATGTGCTCAAGAAGGAGAGTTTGAATGGTCGACAAATCCGGAATTGTATCACCACTGCTCGTCAATATGCTAAGTGGCAGAAAACATTCCTCACATATGAACAAGTCAAGGATGTAATTCAGGTGTCAGCGCGGTTTGATGCTTATCTGGAAAATCTTCATCGTCCATCTACGCAGACTTGAAATCCACAGAAAACTGGAGCTGAGAATGAACATGGGGATACGACTTGGGTTAGGAAATACCAGAATGTGACAGAAGAATATTGATCTTGGAATACAAGTTGCTAGAACTCGCATACCGTAGTATTTCTTGTCTTAGAAGTTATATGTAGAAGGATCATTAGGGAAATTTGACAAGGCCTAAGAACAATAATCAGTGAAGAATACAAGTAGAGACAATGTAAACAAAAACATACCCACGAATCAAGCTGAGCCCACCACATCGATCCCTCAAGGCTTTCAAGAAACCCTGCATCCTCCCCTGCAGTCATCTCCAGATCGGTGGGCTGCATCATCCCTGATATGGAGGCCATGTCCACCGTCTGAGTATCAAAGGGCCCAGCCCCGTGATAACTGCCATCTGAAGATGCATCAAAAGCATCATACCTACTGTGGCAGGGAGTTTTAAAGCCAGCAGCGAGCTCATTCGACCCAATCTGTCGATGAACCTCCTGGCGAAGCTCTTCAAGAATAATTCCATACCGGCGACTCGGACAATTCTTCCGCGTAGCCTCAGCAAGATGTTGCTGACAATTCTCTGCGAGAGAAAATAGCTGCCGCGACTTATCCGGGTTACCAGGACTTCCAGCAGAAGAAATCGAAGCTCCGGCTGCTGACCCTGGCCTCCCTCCTAGTGATCCTCGATGCTGTTGAATAGTATGAATATAGACTACCAAGATCGCACAGAAGCAGACGTAGTGCGTGAACCAAAAAGATTGAATCAGGACGCCTTGTTGCGCGAGACTATCAACTATCGTCATGATATCTTCGGCGGCTTGTATGCATTTCTGCACATGGGAGCTCACCATTGGGTGTGGAACTTTGGGTCGGCGGCTTAGGTCTGTGAAGTCTGTTAGGAGGAATGAGCGAGTGACGTGAATCATCGCGTGTGAGTAGGCGAGTTGCAGGACTTGGCTTTGTCGGCAGAGGGGTGGAATCAAACTTGATGGACGAACACTGTTGAATAATGGTGGGACGGTTTCTTTCCATTTCTCAAGTTCGGAGGTTAGCCTGATGGCGGTTTCTAGAGGCGAGTCGCGTGTTGGGGTGTTTATGCTGTATAGTTGTCGTGATATATCGCCTAGGATGCGGCCAAGTCTGTTTGGTTTAGACGTATATCTCTGAGTGGGAGTATACAAGACTCACCGGTAATGAAGCACCGAGGCAATCATCATACTATCAGTAGATCCTGTGCGTTTTGTTGGGTCTTCTTCCATTAGGTCATCGTCGTTCATCTCATCTGGTAATTCTTGATCGATATCCTCATCATGTAACAATCGAGGTCGTCCAAACATAATGCTGAGATATTTGTCTAGAATGTAGACACTCCAGAATATGCGCTTGCGCAGCTCCAGTTCCAAATAGGAGTATGCTTTATTTGATACTTTGGCGGGCATTTTTCTATGCAACCCGAGAGCTGTCACAGCCTGCATTGTGGTTCCAAAAGAGTACCAGCATTCGTTGGCCCGCGAAGATGACAGTAGGTAAAGACATTGGCCCAGTCGAGCTTGAATAGTTTCCAGCCGCGGTGGTCCAGACTCGAGAGAGGTCATGTATTTCGAAGCGGCATACCAGCGCTCACTGCCAAATATCAGCACTGTCCAGTCAATCTAGTTTCCACCCAGAGTATCTGCACCTTTCACTACGCCCATTGGGCACCCCATCTGGCCGAAGCTCTGCGTACAAAGTACTCACGGCAAAGATGATGAGAACCACGGCAGTGCGAGCAACCATATTTCCAACTGGAAGGTTAGAGAGCGAGATATTACTCCGATAAAGCTGTCTAGTCCAATCCTCAACATTGCCTCTATGAACAAAGCGATAAGTCACCATGGAGAAATCGAAGTAGATACCGACCAATTCCATGGCCCTCTTGAAAGACGGCAATGAAAAGTCCACTTCTGGAGAATTACAATATGGCTTATCACCAAACATAAAGACAGCCGTATTCCGTGAGGACTCATTTTGAAGTTCATCGGGATAATGCGTGGTCTCATCCTGGTGCAGACGACTCCATACACGATTGATGAACGACACACCGGACGCAGGGCCGAGATAATTGCCCTCGCAGTCCGTCGATCCTGGTTCAGGCGAGGTCCGCAATGACAAAGCACGGTGTTGGCTCGGGATAGGAAGTGATTTGCTGCTGGTCACGGCCGAGTCTCTTGTACTTGCCCGCGTATGGGGGCTGCCGGACGCGCGGGCAGCCTCCGACGTATGCCGGCCCGTTGGGGTCGAGAGCGGGCTGGGTGATGCAGGTAGAGGATCCGGCGGTAGACCGCGCGAATAAGCGGCATTGTACTTGCATGGTAGCGAGAGACGTGTACATCGCGTGCAGGGAAGCGTACCTGTACAGCGGGTCTTCTTTACTTTGCATGAGTCACAGGCTCTTGTAATTTTCTGGCGGGACGCAGCTGTGCTCTCTTTAACCAAAGATAGCTCGGAAGCCTTTCTCTTCCGACTGGAAGGAGATATCAAGTTTGTTGGCGCAGTCACATTCGTTCCATCTTGGACCCCGGGTGGAGGAGTATCGTCCGAGATCACGCTAGCCATTGCCAATACCAGCGCGCCAATCGCGAGACGATGGGTACCAAATTCTATATAGCGTCTTGCGGGAAAAAGAGGTGGAAAAGGGAACGGGGAAGTATGCGAGGGGAAGAAAGATCTCGGCGAGACTCCGGTCGGGGCACGGATAGCTTCCGGGGCCGAAGACCCCCGAGCATCTACAGCTGGAGATCACGTTTATGAAGGGCATACGCACTTTAGGCCTTGGTGCTGGATATTTCTGGGAGAGACATACCGGGGTTGACAAAGTATATAGTGATCAGGAGAAATAGCCGGCCTCGAGGGCTCTATGTTCGCGGCTCCGAGCAGCATCTATAGGATTTAAGATCACATAGGCCTATAACGACGATATTTGATAGCATTTCATGTTCTATGTGAATAATTTGGAGACATCTCAGCAGCATCAAACCCTGTCATCGTGTTGATTGGGGTTGTCCAAGTAAAGAAAAGACTAAATAACACCGTGAAAGCGTATCACTCAAGATTTTGCGAGTTTCTTCATGCGCCTGTAGTCAAAGTAACTTGATCGGATAGCTGTGAGAAGGTGCCATAGGCATATCAAGCTGATTGAAAACCTGCCATGAACTTGTGATCATCAACGATTGGCGCATCAAACTATTTCGCGCGAGGAAGACGTGGCAAGGGCGAGAATAGGAGCGCAAACGCATATCAGGCATCGACGAATGATGCTGGTCAGTTGATGGCTTGCTGTAGGCTTGTTGAAACAATAGACGGGAGCCATTCGTATACATCACTGAGAGTAGACTGGAGGGACCCTTGATTCAGCTCAGATCATGCAGTGCACCATCCTTGGTGGTTTCAAATACTTGTTTTTCTTTGGGGGTATAAGGTGGCGAAATGATCCAATGTCCCAAGCCTCTGTATGTATATCAAATGGTATTTTTGATCGCGAGCTCACCGAGACATATGATCGAATGACGGGGGTGAATAAGGATATGAGCTTCATCCTTGCCGATCGATTCTTGGAATCTCGAGGTCTAGAATTCGCTTTGGGCTGGTTTGTATAAAGAAAGGTACAAGGCTAGGGCTGGCAAAAAAGAAAAGCAACTTGGTTTACGCTGAATCTCAGTATGCAAGATACGGCCATGCAAGCAAAGATACACTCAAGAATCAGGCGCGGCTCTGTTTTCCAAGTGACTTGCTTCGGCCCTAATCAGAATGAACGCAACGCATATGACTATAAGGGCATCACTTGAAGATGACCAATCACTTTAGTCCAATTTGCCGAGAAAGCAATTATCTCAATATCCAAATCGTTGACTTGTCGACTTGCCCAGAGGGCTCGAAGGGGAGCGGGTCAGAGGGAGGATGTATGGGAGAATATGGCGCTGGAGCATGAGTTTCAAGAAATTCATGCGATATTACCCGAGAACCGGGAGAATCCCAGTCAGCGAGGTTGGTTGGGGTTATAGTAAGACATGTTCGGATTGGAACCCTGGTAATCGGTCTCTTCCCCGTTTTGAGACTCATTTTGATGAACCTGCAGGATGCTGTTAAGCAGATCTCGCAGGTGTTCATGGTTGGCTCCAGATCGGATGGAGTCGGTAATCAGTTGGACTGCCGCAAGATCTTCACTCCCGATGGTGTTGATGAGATCGTCGGTGAGAGTGCGGAAGTAATCCAACTGATCCTGCGTTTTCTTCGCCGAGGCCTTGCGACGTCTGTCGTTGGCTTCATCGAAAATGCACTCGCGATTATGAGTTCTGCATTCATCGCATAGAGGATGACCGCTGCACTAATCAGAAGATGTCTGTCAAATTTCCTTCGGGTAACGAGTCAGGGCAGATGGGAAAGTGATGTACCCTCGTGCGACGTTTTTGACACTCCGTGCAGGCCGTTGATACTCGTTTCATGCGTCTGTCTTTGTCGTCACCTCCTCCTGGACTTTCTCCTCCTGCACCGCCCCCGCCGCTACCTCCCATGGAAGTCCGCGGTGCGAGAGGCCGAAGGCCTCGAGATACATCGGCCATCAGGTCTGTGCGGAGTGACAGAACGGCTAGAAGAAACGGGGCAAAATAATCAGATCAAAAAGGAAATACTCTATCTGGGCCATCCACCATTTGACAGCATGATAATAAGCACAAGCAAGGAAATTCCGTCGACGATGGATGGACCACGAATTAGTGCAAATAATAGGGAAAGAGGGGGCCTTGGGGCCACGCTAGTGATATGCAGGAAAGAACCTCTGCCTAGAGACAGCGTGGAGGAGAAAACATAGGACTAGCGAAGGGGGGTTAGGGGAAATAAGGAATGGGGAGACACGAGGGATGTTGGCGTGTGTGGCGGGTGTGGGCCTCCAGACGCTGACATTCCCAAATAAAGGCAAGTCTACCTAGGTAAGGACCGAGCAGTTTTCAGGAACCGAAAATGCAATTTGGTCCATCTAGTGTAGGCAGTCCAATAGCCACAGGGGAACTTGGGAAAGAGCCACCTGCGGCTTTCACAAACCAATGATTGATTCCCAGATAAACCAATCATATAGGGAGAGAGAGCTATTGACGATCTTCTTATAAAGCCTGGATTTCGCAGGATCATAATGCCGTGGAGGCTTGGGCTGGTTGAACCTATCATATAGAGTGGAAACAAACTCCGGAGCACTCGTCATAACACGATCCTGTCTTGAACCCCCGACTTTCCTCCCAAATCCGAGATAGAACAGGACCCGATCAAGTCAGGGACCCAATGTGGAGGGATGCTGGCTGCTCGGGCCTGGACATCAAAGTGGTTTAGAGGGCACGGTCGAACCCGTGACTCGCACAGGATCGCTCTGCAGAAACCAAGCACACTAAGCTAAGAATGGAGTCGAAATCCACTATTTTTCCATTTTCCTCTTTCAGAATGGGAATTCGAAGATCTCTTGTGTTGAAGAAACCATCTGCATAACTCGGTACGCAAGGTCCCGGAGAATTCATCTGGCTCCAATCCCCCACGCTCATCAATCTTCCAGTTTGGCCCTTCTACTTGTACCGCAACCCCCCTTGAAACATCGCCACCTCGAGTTTATCCACCGAGTCAGACCCCACTGGAGCGTGCCGGGCCCACTGTGGCTGCTTGCCACTCTGCACCGAGCACTTGTGACAACTTCACCCTCGAGCTGCATGAGCTGGCTTAGATCCCCTGCTACAGTGATCTATCTATACTGACTGGACCATCCGACCAGAGGTAAGCCGATGCAATCCATGCTCATCCACGCAGCACACGGATTTTCTTTTTGAAATGCTGTGAGCCACTCCCGAACTTAAGCGTCGAATGATAGCTAACGGCCATAAGAGGGGGGCTGGGGGAGATTCGCCACCACCGGCGCAATGATAGCCAAAAAAAGGGGGGCTTTGGTACCCTTTCCGGCTCGTGCTGTCAAACCTACTGTACAATCTGAACATGGATTGACGTGTGGCTTGTGAAATGTCGAAGTCGACTGGGTTAGATTGCGTGCGTGCATTTTAATCCAGGTCTCATGTTAAGATCGACTGTACTCCGTATGCCGGGTCTCACCTCTCATGGATCGAAGCCTAAACGCTTATAACCACGACAGTACAGTACTTTGAGTATCTGCGATCCACGAGAAGCGCGTGGCTAGCGTTTAGCATGCAGATTAAGTTGCAAGTGACACTTGCTCAGGAACACCCGTGGATCGCACTAAGACGAAGCGGGAAAGAATAGGGCCAACTTTAGGCCCTATGTCCAAGTACACATTTCGTTCATGCTACTCCATTGCACTGGGAGTCTAGGAGCCAAAACATACCTTGACAAACCCCTGACTGGAGGTTATGTGAGCCACATCTTTCAAATAAGGAAATGCTCGAGGCAATCCATTGTTCATGCACTCACCGCATCCCACAATGCATGGATACACGATGGACAAGGGCTAATTGCAAATGAAGGGCCCAAGAGCCGACGCGACTTCTACTAAACGCTATAACCTCACCGCTAGCAGTGTCAAATATCGGTGCGGCTGTCACCCTAACGTCCGAGGATCTCGGGGAGAATACTTCCGCGCCATTCACGACGATTCGTTTCTTATTACCGCACAAACCCTAGCATTGGTGAGTGCAACCTGACCAATGACACGGCCCAAGCTACCCAGACTCCAGTAGACTACACAGACCTTTGTCTACAGAAGGAATGGGTGCAGTTCTCGGTCTCTCCACTGCCTCCACCAGATCCTTATCGACCATTGCAGTGATGATGCGCCTCGGCACTCTACAGTACGTACGTGGCTGCCAGCCCAAGTACCCAAAGTACAGAATAGTAATCTCAAACGCAAGAGAGAGGGTCTCCATGTCTCCGAACAGAGCCGGCATCCAGTACTCCCACCAAGGCCACCTGGCCCCAGCGGGGGCCTGTACATACTGTATCTCCCGCTCTCGCTCTCGCAAAAAAAAAAAAAAAAATTATATTCTACACCCTGATCGACTCCCCTCCAATCGCTTGTAGGCTGCGAGGTGTCTCTTGGACGATCACCAAGAAGCGGTCAAAATGCAATTCGCCACAAAAATACTTCTGTCAAGGCCTAGACAGCTACAGTACTTCCACCGAGTGTGGTGCTCGGTGATGCTCACCAAACTCCCTTCCCCGCAAGCCTTTTAACCGGTCTAATATGGTCAATGAGCTCTGCAGGTCTCTGTTTCGCACGGTACTGCCTCTGAGGTGCATTTCTTTCATTGGCGCGGGCTATATCTCTCGCCCGGTATTCAGAGCGAGCCTCGCCCGCAGCCACTTTTCTCGAACCACACAGGCGGGGCATAATTTTTAGTCTTTTGGATCTGTACTGTAAAGTATGCCCTACGATACATTGGACACGCTCCAAAAATTACAACCCCCCGATGCCACATCGATATGCTCATAGAAGTTTCTACCGTCAATAGCCATATTACTCATGTGTGTTGGTCTATGGATTAACCCTAGATCTTGATTCATGGCTAATCTATAATATAAGTCCACCTCAGAAGGGAAAACAGGAAATTTGGACGAAATAGGAAAAGAATGGGAGAAATAGGAGAGATACGAAGCTCTCACTAGCGTTGCTCATGGAGACTGCATTTGCTAGAATCGTTGGCGGCATGTATATGGGGCTAATATGGAGCCAATAAGTAATTGTTCAGACTTTTGCTGCTTGACTGTATAACAGTTGTGTTATTGCAGAGCTTACTCTAGGACGGAGCACACAACCATACTTCCTAAATTTCACCCTCCCGATTGGAAGCTCATATCTTCACCTGTCTTACCCCCAGTACACTGTAGCTTCCTTCGCTTCCGTCGAATCACGACTATCTGTAAGATCTGAACCCAAATAAAGAACACTGCTGTAAAGCCACGACAAAACTGCTCCACATTATCGTACACGCTACCGTATATGTACTACTGCGCAGTATACCACACTAACCGTATAGAGCAGCTCTAAAATGCATTAATTGCAGACTGATATTGATACGGGGATGAATCTATTCATCCCCTGTAACGGCGATCTCGGAAACCAACCGGGGTTCCCTAAACAGGCGACAGCGAAGCCCCTGTCTGATTTGAGTTTTTGGGGGTGTTTTTTTGGGTTTCAGATCAAATCCAAACTGCAATCCGAATACCCACTCGAATACGAGTGTCTACGTTGCTTTTTCTTTGAAAGGGCTAACACTGGTTCCTGCTGTACATGAAATTTGTGTCGTGGCTCGACTGCACATGGGTCACGAGGGGCTATTATTTCTTTGTTTTATATACCCATGTAGGTGCTGTACTTCCAAATACTAGTAGACTAGTGGAGCACTGTAGATTCAGGGAGGAGTCTGTGTTGTCGTTGTAGGGTTCGGTCAGCAGTGCAGCTGCAGAGGATCGAGATTTGATATTGATGCAGTTCCCGTATACTCCGCACAGAGGACAATATGGCCAGTTACTGTAGACAATTTGGAATACGTATCGTCTATTTTCATGGAATGAGTCACGCTAATGGTTCTGTTGGCTTTGTGTGCTTTGCCAGATAAAGCGTTACATGCATGCTGGCGCTATGATGCAGGGCCCCCTTGGCGCTAGTCACCGAACAGACAAAGGAGTGCGAATCGGCTGTACATCTTGCAAAAATATAGACTCGTCGAGACTAACAGGGTACAGCATAGTAAGGTCCATAAAGCGAATTTGAGCAAATAGGATTAAAGCAGTCAGGGACTTGAAATTGGTATGCACAGGAAGAAATATGTACTGTGAAAATAGAGGTTATGCCACCACACTAAGACGAGTAAAACTCAAAATAAAAAGCCATGTTCGCATAAAACATAGAATAACGGGACTGGGATATCAGAAAGAAAAAAAAAACAGCCCGGCTGCGTGCAAAGGTGCCCAAGGTCCTTCAGAGTTTGGGTGATCAGTAGATCGGACGACCCTCGTCCCAACGACGGGATTCTCTCGGACTCGAAACGGGCTCCGCTTTGATTTCGCCCGATGGGGTATGAGGGTTCACGGCAGTATTATCAGACGGCGAACCAAGGGAAAAGCGTGTACTCTCTGGGCGGGAAGTCGGCTCCGGAGAACTGACGGTGTTGATCCCACCGATCCACTCCCAGGATCGGGAAACATCGCCGCTACGTCCTTCACGGACGGCAGCGCGGACATTGGCGTTGCCTTCAACAAAACTTTGGACACGACGCCATAGCTCCTCGCGGCGCTTGCCTCGAAGCTCAAAGCGAAGGACATCGTCTCGAAGTTGGCCAATCGCAATGTAGGGCTCTTTGGCGTTGCCGTGGGCATAAAGTGCAGCTTGGGTGGAAAGACGGTCGAGCGTCGTAGCGACCAGCTCTGGTACACGGGCAATATCAGAGCGGCGGGCTAAGACACGCGCGCGTGCATAGCCGATGAGACCGATGACCAAAATTAGAAGTGAAATAGGGAGTCGATACGCGACGAGAGCGAGTCGGAAGTGACGGCGGATAGCACATGTGATGGGGAGGCGTGCGATGGAGGTAGAGGAGAGGACGAGGTCACCGGAAGGTCTGTAATTGCGAAGGCACCTCTGTTAGTTCCGGGACACAATGTCAGAACCAGATCTTTGTAAGGAACGCCGTGGAGTTCGGATATCCACAGCGATAAGCATAGCTAAGGAGATATGAAATGTCCTCCTGGTTTGAGAAACTTACTGCTTGGTCTTGCTGACAACTTCATCTTTGTCCAGGACTTCTCCAATTGCGCCCTTCCAGAGCTCATCGAACTCGTTGTCACTCAAGCCCTTGCGGCGCTTCTTAGCAATTTCTTCTTTGAGGTCGGTCTCGCTGATGTCAGGAGAACGAGCATCCTTGCCATCTTCCTTCAGCTGACCACATTCCCACTTGGCACGGCGCTCGCGGAGCTCCTCAACGACTTTATCAGCGACGGCCTTCACACGGCGCGCCTTTTCGCTGTCGGGTTCACATGTTGGTGGCAGGGGAACAAGGCCTCCCAAGGATAGAGGATGGGGCTTGAGGAGGAAATCATTCTCACAGCGGACCTCAAAGTCTGGGTAGCAGAAGGCATGGCTCGGGCACGGCTCGCATCGAGGTTCCAACACATTAGCCCACTCGGGAACTTTGGTCTCGGCTAGTGACCAGGTGGGCTTTCCAAGGCCGCAGTACCCAATCTCAAGCTTCTCACGGCGCCACCAGGCCCCGAAACTGCCGGCCAGCAAGAGAATTACAAGCCAAGGAGCTATCCGGGCCACGGCTCCCTGCTTCTGGGGGCGCCGTCTGACTTGGATCTGCGGCGCATACTGTTCATTCTCCATGGCGAGCTGCTCTTCAGGTGTGAATTCTTCGCCGGCGCTCATGTCACTATCTTCCTCGTCCTCTTCCTCTTCAGAATCTTCTCCGCTTTCCTCCTGCGGGGGCTGCAATTTAGAAATAAAATCAAATGATTCCCGCTTAGGAGCATGGTACCCATCCTCCTGCTTCAAGCTAGAAGGAGTAGCAGACTTCCGAGACCGAAGCCCACGACCCCGAGCCGGGCTTTCAGTAGATAAGCGCGAAGCACTCTTCCGTCTACCATCATAGCTCGCCCGAGTGCTCCTAGGAGTTTCAGAAGGGCTGCCACTTTGGAAAGGATTGTCATTCGTGAACCCAGTTTCATCGTGAGGTTCCGATTTGATACCAGGAATGTAGTCGTCGGCCTCAGTAGAAGGCAGAACTTCACTACGTCGGACCTTCCGCGCCGTAGATTTCCGAGGCGAGCCACGACCAGCAGCAACCGGGGTAGCCAGCATGTCGTCGTTGGTTTCCGTGTCGGAGGCGCGAGCATGCTTGCCCACTGATCGAGCAACACTTGTCCGCTTCGAGCTCTTAGCGGCGACAGGAGTAGCCGGGGCAGTTCCATCGTCGAAGTCAGCCGTCGAATGCCGGGTGCTGCGTCGCGATGTGCCCCGCTGTCCACGACTTGTAGATGCGACCGACGACGGTGTCGCTGGTGGAGGCATGGAGTCCCTGTCGTTCGCGTCGCTAGCCACGGAGTTCTCGCGGCTGCTCATATCTGTGATTCCAGCACTTGTACGTCGGACCCGTTCGCGGTCGCGAAGGATCTTGCGCGCTTGGGGGAGGACCTCATCTTGGAGGATGCCGATCAGTTGGGCCTTCTTCGCTGAGGCAGGGTAGGCGATGTCGTGGTTGACGAGGATGGATCGGAGACGGGGGACGGTAAGTGTCGTTAGATCAAAGTCTGGATAGAGGTAATCCAATTCGTCGGCCATTTTTGGCAAAGCCCGACCACGGACTGGATTAGCGACGTAGATATTTTGTGACGAGCGGTATTGAGCGTGTAGCGCGGTAGATGGCTAGGTGAGATTTCAATATTCGAGTGAAATGCCACCGATCGCTCCTGTTTCAAAGTTTGACTGGGGTAACAGGGATTTTCTGTTGTTTTGGCCGAGGTGTAATAACGCTTGTCTGGCTCGTAATGTTGGTAGCCAGGGCAACAGGCGGGGCGGGAAAATGGCCCAAAGCGTTTCAGGTTCAAAACTAGCGATGACTTCTCAAAGAATATCAGGAAGAAGAAGGTAATTCTAGAGGATGCCTGTGGTTGAATTCATCTAGAAGTTGAGTGTCAATATGAGAAAGAACAAGTTGCCAATGACGCAGCAAAAACAATACTCACGTGACCGGTCTGTTTTGAGTATACTCCAGCGACATTTAGATATTATATAGCAAATAAGGCTTCTAGATAGCTTCATTGAGAGCGGGAGAGAACAAAAATGTAGGATCAAATTCTATCTCAATTAAATAAAGAGTACTTCAGGCAAAATGTTCATGATTATCATATAGACTGTAACATATATTCACTGTCCAAGCCAAATACAACCCCCAAAAGCCAGCAAGTGAGGAGCAAATAAAAAAACCGAAACTATCACCGTGGCTCCATGCCATAATGCTGTATAAAACAAATTTGCAGACTCCCATCCGCCAGTGAGACGCCGCCCACGTAAAAACAAAGGTACAAGGAAGAGGAGCGCATATAAGAAAGTCAGAAAAAAAATCAAAAACGGATAGTAAATACCAAAGAATTAAAACAGGAGAATAAGTTATATTTGACCGTGATCAGGGTTACCACGGGTCGGGTCAGAGGAAGTTTGAGCAGTATCACCAGGGAGGTGGAGGTAAGATGAAGAGGCGGAGATGATATCGCTATTCATGTTTTGGGGAGGGCTCAAAGAGAGGTTGTTGTAATGGAGCTTTGAGCCTCTGGTGATGCCTGGAGGACCACCAGCCAGCGACTCCTTCAGAGCTTGGAACTCGGCGAGCTGGGTTTGTAGTTGCTGGAGGACTTCGCCGATGGGAACGGCATGGTCCTTGAGGCTGTCGCCCGGTTTAATCGGGCGCATCATGTGTCGCAGTGAGAGTGTGTTGACGCACACCTCGATACGAGTGACTTGTTGATCGACTAGACTGAGAACAGTGGAGTCGTTCAGTTCACCACCATTTCTCTTGACCATGTTGAACAAGGCGACATTAGGCTCTCCGAGACCCGGTGCTTCAGGGTTCTCAAGAGCGCTGCAGAGTCGCTCGAGACGGAGAGTAACCTCCCAGACACGCCAAATGACATTTGTCTGGATATCCAACTGATTGTTGGGGTTCATGGTTGTACCAGGACCGTCGCGTTCCTGTGTATCATCCGAAGTGATCATACGACCAGAAAGAACCGAGGGATAGACAAGGTAGAGGGGCTCTGGGTTCTCCAGACCCTTCAATTTGCGTTCACCTTGATCCTTGATGACGAAACCTTGGCTATTCAGCTGGGTCAGCTCCCGGCGAATATTGTGTCCAAGACTGTCGCCACGAGGGTGACTATCAGTCGAACTGGTGGATGCAGAACGTTCAGCATCAGCGAAGATCTCCAAGTTGCGATGAATATCGCTCATAAAGTCAGACGAGACAAAGATTTGACCTCCGTCCGCGACGGCAGAGATTCGCGAGGCACGGTTCACCATAGGACCGAAATAGTCCATTCGGTTGGTGACTGGGTCTTTCTCGCAGACGGGTTCACCCCAGTGACCTCCCATGCGAACGGAGAGACCACGGAATATGACGTTGTTGTCCATGTCAACAATAATTCGACATTGTGGCTGATCAAGAATCTCAGTGGGCCATTCTGCTTCGAGCAACTGGTTTTGACAGTTGAAGCACCAGAGCAGGGCTGCGGTTGTCGTCGAGAATGCTACCATGAAGGCATCACCTTCTGTCTTGACCTCGTAACCACCAAAGATACCAAGCTGTCGACGTAGAATATCATTGTGGATTTGAATCGCAGAGCGCATTGCATCTGGACAGACCTCCCACAGACTTGTGGACTTCTTGATATCAGTGAACATGATAGCCAATTCACCGACTGGAGCATCCACGAAGTCAAAGCGAGCCAGCCGTGAATCACCAGGACCATCACGCTTCTTGGGACGCTTGGCAGTTGAAATGATTTGTTCCTCGGCAAAGGTAGATGACCCAGTGTTGAGCGAGGGGCGAGGCTTCGGTCGTCGCTTTTGTAGTTCACCAACGCCCAGAATCATGACCATAAGCTTGTTGGTGGCACCGAAGGAGATAGCCAAATCACGCAGTTTTTGAGCAGCGAACATCAAATCTGGCTGTTCTCTCCTCGTGATATCGACTACAACCTCAGGCGTGACATAATCCCAGAGTTCCTTTGACGCCAAGACGATCATCTCGTCTTGTTCCGTCAAAGTGCAATGCATTGTAGAGGGAGCCGCGATGACAGCGGGCATCATGGTAAAGTGTCCGAAGCATCTTGACACAGGAAGCACATCATTCAATTTGCCGTTACGCGAGACGAAGCCTCCTGCAGCACGAATGCGTGCGCGCTCATTTGGTTCCGCGGGGTCATGGTTCTGTGTCAGATAACGCATCGAGCCATCCGACTTGATCAGGATAGCTTGAGCATCACCAACATTGGCCGCATACAAGTCCATGTGGTTCAGGTACAAGACAGTGGCAACACCGCCCGATTGGATGTCGGCCTGGTTGAGCATCTTGGCTGCAGTAGAGCCTCTGTGATACTGACGGACTTCACGGTCATCAATGGATCGATAGGCAGATCCTGCCATGTTCTTGTTCAGGGCGAGGAACGCCCGTCGTAGCGCATCTAGCGGAGTCTCATCCTGGTCCCGTTGGAGCTTCTTAAGTTCAAACGAGAAAGTGGGAGTGAAGTTCTCATGCAAGTACTTCGCTACCCGAGAACCACCACTAGACAGCGTCTGACCGTCGAACATGCCCACCAGTGTTTCCACATGGTCCTGCTTCAACCGGGGAACAATCATATCGATAATGGTCAGATGCTCGGTCCGACCGAGAGAATCCGCCATACCATAGGCGAGAGTACCAGCCAATGAGGCAGAAGTTCGCACACGTCGATCTTCTGTCTCCTCCGGGATTGTAGGAATAGTCAGGGTGACATCCATTAACCCCAGGACCCGAAGATGGGTCAGAGAGTTGAAATCAGTTAGGTCAGCACCATTAGTAGCCGAGGGACCAAGAGATGCAATGTTTGGCTTGATCTCCAGGCGCTTGTTACCCGAAAAGTTCAGGTATTTGAGGTTGCGATTCCAGTTCCAGTTCCAATCATAGGGCCAATTGGACACATTGTACTTCAACGCGTTGCTTCCAACGTCAAGGATCGACAGCTTGCTGACCTTGCAAAGCTCTGCTGGCAAGACCTGGAATCTGTTCGCATTGATATGGAGAACCTTGAGGTTACTCCCTTCTTCCAGGTCGTCAGACGGCAGACAAGTCAGCTCGTTACCGGAGAGATAGAGCTCAGAGATCATGGGCCATCTTTTAAGGATTCCCTGAGGCAGTTCCGTCAAGTCGTTATAGGAAAGATTGACAATGCGAAGCTCAGGGAGCAAAGACAATTCACGGAAAACATCATCTTCGAGTCTGTTATCGGCAAGGGAGAGTGTTCGGAGAGATGCAGCAAATGTCATAGCCATCTGCTGCGAGAAGTTTGAATCTTTCCGAGAGACGCCATTTTGATCCGTGAATGAACGCGACGCAGTGGAGACCTTTCGACCACCACCTTGCTGCGAAACAGATGTTGCAGTTGAAGGATTCCGATTTGATCCATTTGGTGAAATGGAGTTCATCACACCATTGACGGTGGATGTTTGACTAGGTCGGCGCAGACCTGATTCGTCCAATGGGCCAATATCCTCATAGTTGAGGTTTCCTGGAGTACTTGGTGCGTGAGTGGGTTCCCCAGGCACTAGTGGCGGCGAAGCACCATACTTGGGGAATGTGGACAGGATGTTAGAGGAGATATTGAGCACTTCCAGCTTCGCGCAATGCCAGATCTCTGAAGGGAGAGATGTTAAATTGCATTCTCTCAGATTCAGGTGCTTGAGTTCCACAAGACAACCAATGGTTGCAGGTAAAGATGAAAGAGGGTTTTTGATCATGCTAAAATGCTCCAATCGGCGCAATTTGCCAACCTGGGGCGAGACGGAAGAAAGATGGTTTTTGTCAAGAACGAGCTTGGTTACATTAGGGCAGTTCTCGAAGATGGTGTCCCGGAATTGGGCGAGCTTGCCAGACGCAAGGTTGAGAGATGTCAATGTTGGCATAGGAGCGTCAACATCAAAGTGTGTCAAAGGACAGTGGTCCAGATGCAAGCTGCGCAATTTTGGGAACGAGCACTTAAAGCGCGATATTAAGTTGTGACCGAAAGAGACCTGCTCCAGCCGTGGAAGAGATGATAGATTGTCGATATTGGTGATAGCATTGAAGCGAGCGTCGAGTTCTTTGAGGTTCACCAACTCCTTGAAGGACTCATCTAGAGACCCGCTGAGGTTGTTGTTTGTGATCCACAGGCGTTCGAGAGTCACCAAGCGGCCAATATTGGGTAATTCTTCGATACCATTGAAGCTAATATCGAGATCGACCAGACTCTTCAAGTTGCAAATGAACTCAGGGAAGACCTTGAATCCGTTTGATGACATCGTCAAGCTCCTCAGGGCATGGAAATTCGCAAAGTAGCTGGGCAGCTCGGTCAATCGGTTGTTGGCCATCTTAATGCTAACAAGACCAGTCAGCCGATCGAGACATGCGTGACTCAGTTCTTCCAGACAGTTGTTGGAAACATCCAGGTATGTCAGCCGGCCAGCCAGACTGAAACTCTGCGGGAGCTGTGATGCTTCGTTTCCAATGAACTTGATCTCCCGCAAATTGATGCAGCTTTGAATGAAATCTTTGGGAACATCTAATGACAAGTTCCTAGACAGATTGAGCGAAATAATCTCCGAGGATTTGGCATATAGTGTAATCGGAATGGTGACAAGGCTGCGGCCCTGGAGGTCAACATGGCTGAACTTTTGCACTTTATTGAATCCAGGGTCACTCTCAAGACTGCTATAGCCGCTAAGTTTAGTTGGGAGGAAGATGAACCGACAGAGATAACTGTGGTCTTCACGACCGATATCTTCAATCCGGTCTTTATCAGTATAACCAACTTCTTCGAGTAGTTTTTTCTGCATCTGGATTGGCCGTTCATTGTGATCGAGCTGGCGTGACAAATCGTTCTTTCGCAGGACAATCTCGTAATTATTGAGGTGATCCTGCAAGAAGGATTTCCGTCCAAGCATCAAGAGAATCTCAGATACAGTTGCATTCACACTAGCTGAAAGTGTAGCAAAGGTTGAATCAATTCGGAAAATTCGAATAAAGAAGGAGACTTCACGCTCACGAGGTCCGAAATAGCCTTGGTCCACGGTAAGGTCAGGCGGTCCCCTGACATGCCAGCTGTCTGGGGCGTTCCATGGCTTTTCATTTCCATTTTCATCGTGAGGTGTAGTCATCCCATCGACACCACGCTTCATAGTATTCGGCGAAGCTGAACGAACGATTCCCTTCAAATCGCCCATGTCTATGTCAAGCGGGAAGAAATGTTTGTTCTCCTCTTGATTTCTGTCATCCTTGTTGGTGCCGTGAGAATCGCCGCCTTGATTAGTGAAGACACGGCGAGGACCGAGCTTTCGTCCTGTGATAAGGCCCTTCCCGGACTCTTTCTTTCGATCCGAGTCTGCCGATTCTAGATGGCGAGAAGGCGTGCTCCCTTCAACGCTGCCCTGTCTACCTCTTTTGGGCGCGGGAGGAGAAGAGGCTCTCGACTTGTCGTGAGGTTTAGATCCATGGCCGAAAACCCGTTTGATGAAACCTCCAATCCTGGGGTGTCCTGAGTTTCCATCGTGGTCACGATCACGATATGCACTCCGGACGCTGGAAGTTGGACTTGTAGATCGGCCTCCGAGAGTAGTCTGTGACGTCAAGTAGTTATCGTTGAACGGGCGTAAGGCAATATCATCTGTGCCTGTAGCCGGTCGATTTTGATAGCCTGCCAGATCACCAGCAAGAGTCGGCTTCTCATCTTTGCTTCGCGAAGGACGATGTCTGCCGTGTCCTCGGCGGCCATGGTTACTCCCCGAGGCACCATTATCTGGGGAATCGAGTCGCTCCCCATTGGGTCCGATTGGAACATGTCGCACAGGTGCTTCTCCATACTGTGAAACATCGTTGATACTCTGGTAGTCCCATGGAGTGATGTCGCTGGAAGGCAATGGTGTAGCAGCTCGTGGCTTTTGGGAACGGTGTGATCCAGAGCCATCGGGTGCCCGAGAACCATCCGAGTTTGCTCGCTCTCGCGCCTTCAGCTGATCGACAAGCCCCCCACGCCAGCTGGGCGCGTTTTGGGAACCATCGTCGGTAGCTTCGCGCTCTCCAGGCGAAGGGTAGTCGTCTCCTAATAAACCCTTCAGATGCTTCTTCCGGAGCTTCTGACTAATGCTAGATCTCGAACCCTGGCTGCTCACCGTGGTCGCGCTCGCAGCAGATGGCCGCCGGGGTTCTCCGTGGTATTCAAATTCGGCGGGTTCGCTAGCGAACGTCCGCCCAGTCATGGGACGGAATGAGAATGATGCGGGGGAAGCTTCGTGTTCAGAGTACTCATTGTAAAACGTGCCGGGAGCATCGGATGGACCAGTGCCAGGAGCTGAGCTCCACGGGGCGATCGACTCAAATTCATCGGAACCAAGGCGAGACGCGTGTAGAGGTGGAGGTCGGGGACTCGTGGAGGTGGATTGGGAGGGACTGTCTTGATTGCTGGGGGGAACTAAAGCCTCGCGATGGTCACTGAAGCCAGACGCCTTGCGCTGCTCGGTAGGGGAGATGTCGGGAGAGTTCCATGACCATAAATTCGTCCCCCAGTTGATCTGTGGGGGCCTCGAAGGGTCCGATCTAGTCAAAAACCAATGAGTATCGTCTTTCAGAGCTTGAAGATAAGTCCCCGGTATGCTGGAAAAAGCCCGCGGGGTATATCAAGGGTGAAGGAGCTTACCTGGTGTCCATCGTTAAAGATCCCGGGAAACATTCCGCATTGCGATTACTAGCAGCCGGTTTGTTTGGGTCGCGAGGTTGGTTCTCGGGGTGCCGCACAGTCTCTTGTGATATCCAACTGTTGCCAGAGCTCTCCGAACCCTGACGATTTTCGGGATGGGGGCGTTCCCGCACCGGCATGGCGGCTCTGTGACTCCGCCGAATCCCACCGCGGCCCTGCTCAAGTTGCAGCCAGCTGTATCTTGGGGGGAATGAGTATCCCGGAGCAGTTCAGCATGAATGACGCCGACGATGCCCGGGAGGAATGGAGGATCGGAGCTGCAACGTGTATTGATTCAGTTGTCTCGGGTACAGGCGCCGTGTGGAGGTCGCTCCGGCGATGTGGTAATGGGGATTAGAAGCTGGAAGAGAGCGTTGAGGGCATTCGATGGGGGGGGGGGTGGTGATCGTGGAGTTGTAGAGATCGACGGGGGGTGACAGCGTGGGATCGGAGTTTAGGCGGGGAGGCGCAAGGAGACGGGCCTTCTCAGCCGTGAGCACAGATCAACAGAGATGAGATGATATACGTAAAATGGGGGAGGGTGAATCAAGGGTAACCCGCATGCAGGAAAGGATCTCGAGGTTCAAGATTGAGTGGGGATGACAAAGGCGGGAGCCATCCTGGTCCCGACATGAAAGAGGTGTCTGAAACCTCCTCTTTTCTTTCCTGGTCGTGACTGGGTTGGACTGCTTTTTTTACAGCTTGTTTGTTCTGATGGAAGTTCTTACCTCTCTGACATTTCTCATCTTTTCCATCTTTCTCTTTCCTATCCTTTCAATTCATTTTATACTCTAGAGTTGGTCCGTGAGGCTGTCCGTGCCCCGAAGTTGACCTGTGGAGCTTATGAAGTATGATATATGACACTGAGCATTCTGACCATGGCCCTTCTGGATCGATTGGTTGCCTTGAATGTCAATGCCTGCAGCTATTGACTAGTCTAGCTAAGGGTGAATCACCCCGATCTTAGGTGTAACAGGGTGATAATCTGCTCTTGAAACCCAACATGACGGATCATATCATACAAAGAATCTGCATTTCTTTCATGGCCGATGACTCCCTTGTGGCGGTCAAAAGGTCGTCTGATATGGTTTGCGCCTCGATCTGAGCTCCGTAGCCTATTTCGACTCAGCCAATATGCAAGGATACTGAAAGAGAAGGTTCATTTGGATAAAGTAGGCATTGGTTTCCCACACGCGGCATATTGCCACAACGATACATGGTGAAAACTAGTCATCCAGTCAACTTCTTTTTTTCTACAATTTCCATTAGTCTGGTTCCATCACTCCCATTCTCCCCTTTCCATCATAAGGTGATTTCGCAGGAGACGTTCGATTCCAAGCCGAGAGTCGGCACAAAGCAGATCTATGACCACCTCTCTCCACAGCCGCCGTCGGAAATCGCGACCAACTTCTCGATCCAGGAATGGCGCACCCCTGTCTCCGGTTAGTTTTAGGATCTCGGGATAAGGAAGAGATCCGCATACCGACCCATCACACCCTTCTGAAGAAACAAACCATGGCTCTCCTGACCAACAGCCACAGCAGCCTTGACAATGAGCCGTGCCCCCTCAAGCAAAGGGCGTTTGTACCTCTTGGTATACACCCACATGAAAGGTTTGGCCCACAAGGGCATGTTCTGATTAATACTGGTCTCAATGACACCAGGGCAAACATTGTTGAGGATGACCTCATTTGGAAGCAACATACTAGCCATTTGCTGTACAAAAGCATTGATAACAAACTTGCTATCCTGATAGCGTCTGAAACGGCGAAAGTTGCTCTTGTCATCGTAGTAGTCCAAGATTCTCTGGTTGGCGGCAATTGGGATCTCCTCGAAAGTGTGCTGTTCATGGGAGAAGGAGCCAACGAGGGTGATGTGGCCGGGGGTGTTGATCCTCTTGGATGACTTGCGCATCAGTACCGAGAGGTGGATAACGAGAAGGAAGTGGGTGTAGCAGTTGACTGGGTAGTTGTTAGGTCTGATTGTCGTGTAGGGCGTCGTGATCAGAAGGTTGACCTACCTTGCATGACCTTCTCATGACCGCTGATGCTGGTTTGATACTCGAAGATGTTCACTCCGGCGTTCAGCACCAAGAAATCGAGCTCAAGGACGTTCTCTGTGACCTTTTGGATAAACAGAAGACCGGACTTGTAGTCCTCGATCTCCAACAGGTAATATTCGATATTGAGGCTGTTGTCTTCCTGGGCCCAGGCTGCGACTACTTCTGGATCGCTGCTGAGGGCTGCCACTGCGGCTCTACCCTTGGCCTCATCGCGTGTGGTGATGATCAACCGCGATACTTTAAGCAGTAGAAACTGCCTGGCAACTTCAAAACCAAGGCCTTTGTTGCCCCCAGTGATAATGGCTGTTTTGCCGGCCAGGCTGGTGTTCTTGAGCGTCCGACGAATCCTCCCAGGCATCGTGGTAAGATGAGAATGATTATTACGACAACAACCGGCGGGTTGAGACAAAATCCTCCGAATTCCGAACAGGGATGTCCAGGACAGGGAAGAAGGTAAGCAATTGTGTTTCAGGGATAAAGAAAAAGAATCGGTTGTCTCGTGGGTGAACGTGGGTAAACGTGGGATTTGGTGGTTTCAAGTCGTGGATTTTCAGCCCTATGCCTCAATGAACCTTCCCAAGTTGGCGCTGAGCATGACTCTGCTAGTCCTTCCTAAAGCAAACAATACGATAGCTGTTCATTCACATACACTTGTTGTTCTGCGCTTCTGATCTCTCGTAAGCCTCTTTTTCAAGAACAAAGATTGAAATGATCTGAACAACGGTCCCCATAGATCCCTGCATATCACAGCCATTATCACTCCTCCCTTGTGATAGCCCCCACCTTATTCATTCAACCCAATCTAAGTGTCCACAAGTCTGGAGAGTAACTGAGAGCTTGCAGTACGCTATCATTGATAGAAGATAATTAGATGAGCCCCGCCAACGGCGCAAACAAGACGCACGCCCCAGGAAAGTGGGCGTGCTGGTCCCCTACTTGCTGCCCAGGTGTATAAGGATATCGTTTTTTAATCCATTATCAGGCCACTGGGGGATTTTCACTTGAACGCTTGAGCCGTCGGATTCACTGGTGAATCCTGGCATCTGCAACGTACTGGTGACATCCTCGTTCTTTCTACGCCGAACTTTGGCATTCAGTGCCTCCCATGACAAAATGAGGCCTACTGTACGGCTACAGCAGTAAAATAGCAGTCTCTTAATTTATTACCAAAGTGCTCGTCACTTAGGCATCATATATATGGAATAGGTTCTTGTCATTCTTTGAGCTACACCCGTTCAGTTTCCCACGAGATCAACGATTTCATGAATCTCGACCGAAGCCAAGGTTAGCTGGGTACTGTTTCTCTTCAAAGCTGGAGTTGACCATGTATCAGGGTACACACCTCAGCCCAGTTCATGCCTGTCAATGTGATTTTGTGATGCCTCCGAAGGTAACCCTTGTCGCGAGCGAAGAGGCTATAGATATCATGTGGGTCTGTGGCCCAATGTGGCTTAGTGGCCCATCGGTCGAGTTTACCCAGTCCAAAGTATAGAGCGAAATCATGAGTCGGATTTTAAGACAGACACGTAAAGTACATGTACCTACGTTTATACAGGCCAAAAATAACCGGCCAGGAACCCATTTGAAAAAAAAGAAAGGCCCAGAAAAGGGATACTGTGAAAATTGGCCCAAAAGTGGGTCGGTGGTTGGTGGAGTGACGAAGTTGTGTACGAGCCATGTCCGTACATGCATTAATAACAGTGGAAATTGACCCCAACTGACGCAAAGATTGGAGATTTGAGAGAGGTCCAAGTAGTGATTAGATCCATAGTAGACTTGGTACCTAAAGAGAAACGAGTCCAGGATGATTCAGCGTCTGGATGTCACACGTGAGACCTCTGTTATGATCAGGTGACACAGAAGATCCCATGTATGAGATACAGTGCTGATTTCATCCGATGATGTATTCAAGTATATTCCAATCCAATCAAAGCAAGGAAGATCCAAGAAAAGAATCCAAAAGGCGGCAAAGCCCAAAACATTACAGCAAAGTTGGGCGTTTCTCCACCCCCAGCCACTTCCATTTGGGATATAATTAGTGCCTTCCTTGCTCACCTTCCGATAGGTTGCTCTTGACTGTCTCTTCTCTCCTTTTCACTCTTCCTTTCTTCAACTGTTACGAATATCTCACTGGCCTGATTGTCCTTTTCCCACTCCCCCCTATACTGTTATAGACGGTTCCTTTTGCGCCTGCTCACATACTCTTCCTTCACCATGCGGTTTGCTCTTGCGGCTCTGAGTCTGCTGTCCTCCACGGTGTTGGTAACAGCCCAGACATATACAGACTGCAATCCGACCCAGAAAAGTAAGTGCAGCTCAAGATCAACCCGTGGACTAGAGTAAGAGATTAACCGTCAGCAGCGTGCCCCGCTGATCCCGCATTTGGGCAAGTGGACAAGACGTTCGACTTTACAAGTGGTGCCTCGGATGCCTTCAAGTCCACAGGAGCCGTCACATATGACGATGAGAACGGGGCAACTTTCACCATCTCCAAACAGGGGGATGGCCCACTGATCCAGTCTGGCTGGTATATCATGTTCGGCCGTGTGGAGTTCACTATCAAGGTCGCCCCAGGAACCGGTATCGTGAGCAGCGCAGTTCTGCAGTCCGATGATTTGGATGAACTGGACTGGGAATGGCTCGGCGGCAAGAGCACTGAGGTGCAGTCCAACTACTTTGGGAAAGGAGATACCAGCACCTACAATCGTGGCGCTTTCCACTCCAACCCAGGCAACCAAGACAGTTTCCACACCTACTCGATCGACTGGACCAGCAGCCAGATTGTCTGGGCGATTGATGGCACAACCGTTCGGGCCCTCACTCCCGAATCGGCAGACACAGGCCAGTACCCGCAGACTCCCATGATGGTCAAGGTTGGCGTGTGGGCTGGTGGTGACTCGAATAACGCCCAGGGTACCATTGGTAAGTTCCCTGTAATTCCCAGTTCGAAGTTTGCTTGCTTACAGTTGTGCCTTTCCAGACTGGGCTGGTGGCGTGACGGACTATAGCCAGGGACCCTTCAAAATGTACCTGAAGAAGATGACGGTGACTGACTACTCCACTGGAAGCTCGTACAAGTATGGTGATACCAGTGGTACATGGGAGTCTATTGAGTCTGAAGGAGGTGAGATCAATGGCAACAGTGGTTCGGAGCCTTCCTCCACTCAGTCTGCACCCAGCATCACTGCTACTGCCGATGGTGCCCCGGTTCCTTGGAGTGGAACACACAAAGAGACTTCTAGCTGGGTTACCCCCAATGTTTGGCCTTGGGTGGCCAGTGACTCTCCGACTGCTTCGTCGACAGGCTACCAGTATGACTGGGAGTCACGCTCCAGTCGCATCCAGACGCCAGGCGGCGCCACTCGTGAGAATTCCTACACACCTGTTTTGCATTCGACCACTAAGATCGAACCTTTCTATCCACAGTCTACCTTCCGCTTTACATTTGCACTATCGCATTCTTCTTCGGTTGCCTTTTCCCATTCTGGCATTGAGACTATGCAGAGAAACTCCACTCGAATGGCCACGAAAGCCCGCACTTCGACTGTCACGACCACGACTGCCACTCATCAACCAACTACCAAACAGGCTGGTAATTCCCAAACCTCGGCCTCAGCCACGATCTCTGGCCCTCGTGCTACTGCAACGGCGAGTAAAGCGAATGTCCGACTCGTGGTTCCAGCTTTTGCAGGTGTCTTTTGTGCCCTGTTCATTGGAACACTTTCCTTGCTTTAAGACATCCACACTTGTATTATTACTCATGATTAAACGGACCCGGCGTTGACTCTTTTCTATTGAACATGACACATGAGCGATGATCTCAGGCGGCTTTGGTAGAGCCGCAGCATACGGACGCGTATAGGCAAATTGCCTTTTTTTTGTTTATGCATTATTGTTATGACGCGCATCTTCACCATTGGAAAACCGATTGGAGGCAGATGTGACTTGCACACATTATGATTCTTTCATGTATTGATACCTTTCTGGACTACCACTTATATACCAATCGCTGGTCCCAAGCCAACCATTCTCATGAAACGACTATATGACAAATCGATCTCGCTAGCCTGATTCCTGAGATGTAGAGAGCTGTAGAAAGTTGATTCGCTGGTCGACAAATACGAAAAAGACCACAGGATTCATCAATTTCCTACCAACCTAAGTATTTGACTCCAGTCTGCGACAAGTCCCAACCATCACAGGCAAACATTACAGCATGACACGAGAGAATTATTGTCCAATACACAAACATGACCCGCTCCCTCAGTAGGCCCCGTCATAAGCAACAGCGCGATTCTCCCGAGCCCAACGCTTCTCCTCCTCACTCTTCCACGGTGGCGGCACCATGCCATTGATCTTCCAAAGTCTCCGCTCAGTCTCATCCACATGATATTCCCAGTCATACCCCAGGTCCGCAATATTGGGCTTCAAGATCTGGTCAATCCGAGCTGTAGATCTCTTGTATACTGCATCTTCGTTCGGCATGTTGATTGCAATGTGTGTGATCACGACTCGGATGAAGGGTTTGTCGATTGGTTTGCCGCCCACGAAGATGTCGTCCTTGGGGAGGGGGATGAAGTTGGTGACGACGTAGAAGGCTGGCAGTCCCATTTCCGTGTACATCTTGGTTATGTCTGCGGCGAAGCTTGTTTTGGAGGCCTGGTCGGTGTAGGTTCCGGGTGGGTGGTAGATTTGCCAGAGAGGCATTTTGGTTGAATGGTGAAGGTTGTTGCTTTGGAGAGGAATTGAATGGTTTGAGATGATGGGTTTATTGAAGATATCGTCTCTTGCTTTTATGTACTGAAAGTTCTTGTGTTGCACAGTGTATTTTGGAGATGCGATTTTGCCTTTTCTGATGACCCGAACTATGATGATTCAACCATTTGGAGTCCCTTTTTCTGTTGACAAAACCATCTCCACGCGGGATAACGTTAAAATTAACCTTTCTTTTGTACTAGAAACTTCGGTCAGATAAAGTTGAACATATCACCTTGGTATAGCGGTATACCGGGCAGGTCTACTTTCTTGTCAGTCATGACTTACGTTGGGAAATGAGGATATGAATTGTCTACGGTGACCTAGAAAAGACCACACCTGCTGTTTGCTCAAACCGAATGTCGACATTCTAAGTATTTCCCATATGTTCTCCATGTTCTTTATGCTCAGCCAAATTCTTTATGTTCCCCGGCTTTAAGGGTTTCAGGGCTCAAATAAGCTACTCCGATCAGCCAATCATCATTGGCCAAATGGGGCACGGTCGGATTACTCATCACGCCGACCTGCTCGGCCTGATGAATAAACAGAAAATGCGCCCATTTGTAATCTGACTTTCTCTCTCCAGTGACTTCATTATCCCATAAGCCGTGATATTCGGAGCACTAGCATGAATTCCACAGAGACAACCCAAATAATGACAGAAAACAAACCAAACCCAAGCGTCGGTCGCAAACGCGGTCGGCCTCGAACTGTAACGGACGAGCACGAAGTGCCGGAGGTGGGTCAGATCGCAAGCTTCCCCATGTGCACGAACTCACAGTTCACAGAGGCGTCGCAAACAATTACGGCTAGCCCAACAGGCCTATCGCAAGCGAAAAGAGACCACGATCGATAATTTACAGAACCGCGTACTCGAACTAGAGCAGGGCATCGAGAGTCTCGGCCAATCCTTCCTCTCGTTTAGTAGTCTTCTGCTAGAGGAGCAGCTACTTTCACAATACCCACAGATCGCCTCTGCCCTGCAGAGTATAACCCAGCAATGTGTGTCTCTTGCAAAGGCCGGAAGCGACGAACCCGATGAGAGTGCTGTGGCCCGAATGGCCGATGCAAAGGATGTACCAGTGAAGACTGCCACCACACCAGATGATGATCCACGTCAGCTGTCGATTCTTGATATACCTACTTCCGACTCCTCGACAGGCGTGGAGGAAATTATGCGGTCGGCAACCAAAATTTGGCCTGGACCTCCGACCCCACCATATCAAGATCAATCTGTCTTACCCTTCGGCATCGTCATGTCACCGGCTGACCCATTCTATTCACCACCACTCTCCATAACCCCATCCTCCGATGGCCCAGGAACAAATGCAATAATACTCGACCACCAATGGACAATCGCCCAGCGTCTAGTCCGGACGTGCTGTCATCAAGGATATCGCCTCCTCATCGATCAACCAAATCATCCACGAGTCCCAGAGGTATTCGGCTCGGTTCTCAGTGTACCGGAGCGTAATCGTCTTCTTTCTGGATTCTATGCTGTTACGCAGGATAAGACTGGCACTATGACCGATGTGAAAGCCAATGTGCTAAGCTTTTTGAAGGCTAGTATGGACAACTTCCCCGAGGATCAGATGCAGCTGTCTTCTCGAGTCTGGCAGATTGCACTTGAATCACAGACTGGCGCTTGGATGGATGCTGAGGGGGTCCAAAAGCTTTTGCGTGAGAGGCGGTATCTTACGGATGACTTCACCGGCGCTTCGGGTCGTCTTGGTTATACTGTCTCACCGTCATTGGATGAAGCTGCCTTTATTAGGGGTGAGTGTCTACTTTTGAACTGTGATGGGCGTCTGCTAACACATTACAGCTCTTGCACTTGATCCAATATGTGTTGGGTATGGGCCGGTATTCAGACGACAGAGTGTGGAAAAGGCACTGCGCGTAGCCACTGTCAATGTTACCTGGGGATTCGACGAGATCTGTGATATTCGATGACATTGCACTCTATAATATCAATAACATATAATGAAATATACTAATGACCATTTTACCACCATTACAACAATTACTTTTGGCAGCTAGATCACCAACATTCTAGTGGACCAACGAAAATGTAAGCTGATTGTCCAAGTCCTCGCACGCCCTTTGACATGTGGAGCTTCGGATAGAAGCTTAGGAACTATTGGCTGTGAGTCATCTATCAGACCCCCTCAATATCTTCATCTACGTTATTATCGTCTGATAAGTTAACCCTTGAAACACCAGGCCTGAGTCACTGCGTTCCACGATTGGAATATAAATTGCGCGTATCCGGACCATTCGTGAATATCCAATTCCACCCGATCTTCACCTCCAACATCATGACCTCAACAAGTCAATTAACGCCTTTCGGCAAGCCAATGCTCAAGCACTGGCTCTTCGACCCATCCTACAAGAACCTCAATCATGGCTCATTCGGCGCCCATCCAGTGCCAGTAAAAGAAGCTCAGCGCGCCTTCATGGACATGGCCGACCAAAAGCCCGATCCATACATCCGCCGCTACCACGCAGAACACCTCGACAAAGCGCGAGATGCCGTGGCAAAGGTCCTCAATGCCCCGCGAGACGAGTGCGTCTTTGTCAAGAATGCCACTACCGGCATTGCGACTGTGCTCTACAACCTGGCGTTCCAGCCCGATGAAGCACTGCTCTACTTCGAACCTGTTTACGGCGCAGTGGAGAAGGGCGTCGTTTCTTTGAAGGAGCATTGCGCCTTTCAGCCCAGGAAGGTCTCGTTCCAGTATCCTATTTCGGAGGAGGAATTGGAGCAGCGGTTCCGTGAGGTTGTGCGGAAGACTCGTGCGGAGGGCTTGAAGGTTCGAGCTGCTGTCTTTGACTGTATTGTGAGCAATCCTGGTGTCCGGTTTCCATTCGAGCGCTTTACTGCTGTTTGTCGCGAAGAGGGAATCCTGAGCATCATCGATGCTGCCCATGGCATTGGCCATATCCATCTTGATATGGGCCAATTACAGCCTGATTTCCTCACTTCGAATTGTCACAAGTATGACCACCCATCTCCCCGTCAATATCTTACAATCCATCCGAGGATATAAACTGACAATCGGGATAGATGGCTCTTCACGCCCCGCGGCTGCGCAGTCCTCTACGTTCCAAAGCGCAACCAACACGTCATGCGCACAACACTCCCAACATCGTGGGGTTTCATCCCAGCCCCAGATTCCGCGGAGACAATCGCCTCAGTCCTCCAGGACCCAAACAGCCCTGCCATCAAATCGGCCTTTGAGCAACTGTTCGAATTCGTCGCAACAAGTGATGATTCCGCTTACATCTGTCTGCCTGCGGCCCTGAAATTCCGCGCCGAGGTCTGTGGCGGTGAAGATGCTATTATCTCGTACTGTCAGAAGGTGGCTAATGAAGGCGCCGATGCTATCGCCGAGATCCTCGGCACGGATGTTCTTCAGGAACCCGGCCTTCAGCCTGGCCAGGAGAGTCGCATGCGGCAATGTGCTCTGACAACGGTCCGGTTGCCGATTGCTGTTTCTGATGATGCTGGGGAGGCCCTTGGAAATGGCAGTGCTCTTGGGGTTTTGTCGGAAGATGAGGCGAGGAGCGCGTTCTCTTGGATGCAGAATAAGTTGGTTGATGAGTATGGCACTTTCTTGCCTGTTTTCCGGCATGGGCCTTGGCTCTGGACTCGTTTGAGTGGGCAAATCTACCTTGATACTAGTGACTTCGAGGAAGTTGGAAAGTCTCTGAAGGAGCTGTGTGAGCGGGTTGCGAGGAAGGAGTTCCAGGCTTGATTTCTTACCCTCGATCTCATCCGTAGATCCTATCATGAATCCCTATACTCATTGGCCCCAATCTCACGCCATTCAGACCACCGAAAGCCAAAAATCACATCAGAAGCGGGGTGTGAGTCCTACGTAAAGGTCGAAGATATAAATTTATGAACCCCCAAGGTCCTCTAGCCCAATCGATCCCATCAACCTCCATTTCAAACATGTCAGTCGCAAAAGAATTCGAAGCAGCCAACGTCCCGTATGCCGCATCCTTCACCAAGGGTGATCTTCAGCTTTCCCCACAACGGTAAGACCAAACTATACTATCCGTTACAGCCCCAAGCAACCAAGTCTCTCATTTCAGATCCAAATCTTAGAAAAGTAGCGGTGATAGCATGCATGGATGCCCGTCTCGGTACCTCACCTCCCTCCCACCTCTCCCCAGCAACGCAATTGCCGAACCCCCTAACATAACAGCAGACCCAGCTCAAGCCCTGGGCCTGAAAGAAGGCGATGCCCACGTCATCCGCAACGCGGGTGGTAGAGCATCAGATGCACTGCGCAGTGTCATCATCTCGCAGCAGCTTCTTGGGACTCGGGAGATCGTCCTTGTGCACCATGTACGTCTATGCACCTTCACCTGCACTGCGCAGGTGGCTTGTATATATATCCCTTGCGTTCCGTTGTCCACTCTGTACTCCGTGGCAGAGGTTGGGTTCTATTTATAGTCTGGCTGGTGCTGATCCTTCTGTAGACGGATTGTGGGATGCTTACGTTCACGGACACGGCGATTCGGGGCAAGATTCGGGAGGAGTTGGGGTCGAATGGGGATCATATTGCGTTTTTGCCTTTTGATGATTTGAGACAGAGTGTGTTGGATGATGTGAAGGTTTTGAGGGATAGTCCGTTGGTCTTGGATGTCCCTATTACGGGTTATTTGTATGAGGTTGAGACGGGGAGGATTGTTCGGATTGGAGATGATTCGTGATTTACTGGGCATGGCTAGGAATACACTGCTGTGACATTGTATGATGAACTCATGGGATGTATGTACGTGGTATGTAGAGACCCAGCCTCAGAAGAACGAGGGTTGCTGAGAATCAGCCATAACACGCCTCATTGCATTGAGTGAAAGACATTCGGTAAAGGGGGTATTGGTGAGAAAATAAAAAGAAACAACATGAAAAAAGGCATCGAGTCTCGCCGCTAAAACAAATCCCAAATCGCACCAAGAAACATGTCCCTAGAAAGCGCCAAAAGACACACGGCGTACAGATCGTATGGCGTATCTGATATTAAGCACTGCTGCTTCCAAATCGATTCATGACCCAGCTGGTAAACCCACCGTTGCTGCCCTCGCTCCGGCTGGCGCGACGGGGGGCATGAGTTGATTCCTGTCCTTCGGGGGTAGGAGAGCGACGGGGTGAAAGCCGAGGGGAAAGCCGATTTGGCAAAGAGGATAAAGATGAGCGCCCACTGCGATTAGTTCGAGCTGAGCTGAGACGTCGACGAGATCGCGGCTGCTCAGGACTGTCCGGGATGATGACCGGATTATCACTGGTTCCATCATTATGTCTAGGGTTGTCGGTCAGAGTTTGAATACCGATCATGCTGTGTTGTGAAACTCACATTGGAATTTGATTAATGCTTCGCCGGCAATGTGGGCAGGTGTCATGCTGGGTCAGCCATGCCTCGATGCAGTTGAAATGGAACCAGTGGTCGCATGGTAACACCGTCACTTCCGTACCCAGTTCCACAGAATCCATACAAATCGAACACTCCGCGTTGTTCTCCAGGCCCATCATCTCCCTGTCAACCTTCTTCTTGGGTAAAGACCGGATGGCATTTCCAGATGCTGGCGGCGGGGCAGTGCCGGACCCGTTGTGCTCGATCAGGGATGTGATGACACGGTCTAGTTCCTCTTGTGAGTATACCGCATCCCCGTTTGTATTCATATTTAGTAAAGCCGATAGAATAGCCAGAGGATTCGGTGTTTGGCGATTCTGACGGGTCGCCCGTGTAGTAGGGGTCCCTAGATCAGCACGGATGGCTTCAATAAGGCTGCAAAGGAATGGGTTAGTGGACCAGTCAACCAATCTCAAAGAAACGCACATACTCGGGTAAGTTTATTGCCTGCTGGGCTCGTGGTTGCGGCCCATCCGCATTGCGAGGGGATAGACCAGACGATGGCATTGGAGCTGGGCTTGAGGGATGGTCTCCCACACGCTCGTAATCGGGCCAGCCAAAAGGGCTCGGATGAAAGTGATCATCGATTCCCAGTCCTCTTGCTGGCTGAGTGGATGGTTCCACTAGTTCTCGAAATAGCGAGTCGAAGTTCTGCATCATCATCGGGATCCCAGTGCTGGGTCCGTATGCGCGCGGGCTCGACGAGAGACCACCTCCAACCGTGGTACTGCTGAAAGTAAAACGTCCGTCGGGCGACCTGTATGTACGGTGGAATCCAGTCGGGAACTCTCTTGATGTTGTTGCAAAGTCTTCGTCTATTGACCATGGGTTGTGGTCTGCCCACGGGTTGCGAGGTTGCGACATGGGCGAGGCGCGCTCCTGGGGATTATCGGTGGGTATATCGGGGGGAATCTCAACCTAAATAAGGAGACAGACCAGTCAGAAGCGTAGAACTGAGAGAAGGAAGATATGAGGCTCACGATTTCCGTGAACTCGGATTCGCAATACGGGCATGCTAAGCCATGCGCCGGGTCCTTCAGCCATACTGCCTCGCAGGAATTACAAAACATGCGATCACCGTCGCCTTCCATTATCAAGAGATCAAGCGATCACAGCGAAGATCGGTAAGGTGGAAGCTGGTCAAGTTGATAAGCGCCGGAGTTGTCACCGTGCCTTATCTGCGGGGGGGGGGGGGGGGGGGCTCTAACGGATGTTGGTGGCTTAGAGGAAAGTCATTGTTGGTAGGGAACTGAAAGCAGGGATCTCTCCAGGATCATGGGGGAGAGAAGTTTGTTGACCTGAGAGAGTCAAAAAACAAGAGAGAGAGATGGAGGAAGATAGAGAAGAGAAGTGTAAAGTCGAGGTGGAGGCAATGACGTTGATCGACAATCGCCTTCAATCGCCTTAAAAAGGCCAAACACCAACGTTTCGACACTTCAGGCAGCCTTCTTGCACTTAATTTTGACCTAAAGATTTTTTTAAATGCGAGCATAACAAAGAATATCTCAGTAGAACCTTCCAGACATGACTTTGATACCCTTCATCTGAAATTCGGCTCATATTTTGGACTATCACCCTCCCGTATGTATAGCGTTATCAGAAGAGAGTGTACAATGAAAATAAAATAAAATAACGCCTGAGATGCGAAAAAAAAAAAAACAAAAACAGCAAGAACAAAGAACAAGGCCCATCATACAGTTAGTTGGTTATACTCCAGACGCAAGGACACCCCTACTGTGCCACAGCCCTTGCAGATTCCCATTTACCGTCTTCTGGCTCCCTTCAGAACCAGACTACCAACCACTCCCGCTGCAACCGCTAAGCCACCCACGATGGCAATGCCCATGAGGCCTTCCTTGGCCACCTTGTCGTCAATCAGGGAGCCGAGGCTGGCAGCCTGCAGGTTTGCAGGCTCTTTCTCGAGGAGCAGATCGTTGTATCGACGGGCCTCGCCGTAGTTCCCAAGCTTGAAGTTGCCAAGTGCGAGGTAGTAAAGGCATTCGCGTCGGCGTTCTGGGGCTCCGCGGAAGATCTCGGACAGAAGGCGAACACCTTCTTGTTGCTCAGACCGAGCGTTGGATTTGATCAGACCCTGTAAGAAACATCCCCGCAAGGCGGAGAAAAATAATTAGCGCGAACACTCTGAAATGAGGCTGAAGGGTCCATACCCATGCGTAGTTGAACTTGGTCTGGATACCGACGTAGTCGCCCTCTTTCTCGTATTGCGCCCGGAGGACCTGTAGTTCAGCGGGCTTCAGGGGACTGTTGGTCACCCAGCAGGTTAGCTTGTGTCGCCGGGCGCTTGGATCGAAATTCCATGGCACACACACCTTTCCGCATCTGCGGCATCTGTGAGAGCGAGTCAGCCGTTAAGCGCCAGGCATCAGTGGGGAAGGGGAGCCGCCTACATGGGAGGTTGGACATGATGAATAGGGGAACTCGTTAATGAGATAGAGGCAGACAAAGAAAGCTCTGGAAAATTGGAGAGTCAAAGAAAGAGTTGGAGAAGGCAGAAATCCCAAGCACAACGTCACTTTGCGGAGGAGCAACACATGTGGCGGTGCTGTGGCTGTTGCTGCCGCAACAATCCCAAAACAAGTCTGCGGTTACTCTTCGTTGCTTTCCATCAGACACAATGTTGCTCGACGAGGAGCCAGGAACGGTATTTGCTCTCTAGATTACCTGAAACTTGACTAGACAATTGACTGACTGATTCCAGCTCATCCACCACACGATCGGAAACTTCAACATCCAACCGGATAAACAAGCCGTCACCCGCATCAATGACTCGCTCTCAACCCTACAGCAGTCACGCGACTTGCGCATTCGCGAGGCTGAGTCGGCCATGCGCAAGCTCTCGCGAAATCTGAACTCTTTATCTACTCAACATGAGGAGGCCGTGGCAGTGCACGACTCTGGCAAACACGCAGCGGAGATCGTGGAGTTGGACACCAAAAAGTTCCGCATTGCCAAAGCTGCCTCGGAGCTGGAAATTGAAAGTGAGCGCCTAGAGAGCGAGCTCGACATGCTGAAGGAGCGACTGGCCGACCTCGAGTCACAGGGCCTGGAGGGTGACGAACCCACGCGACGCGAGCGCGAGGCTGATGATGCGACTATGTGCGTGACTGTGTATTCTGTTCGGCTTGATATAGCTGCTAACTTATTCCCAGCCTGCGACTCAAAATCTTCCGTTCTCTGGGGGTTGATATTGAACCCGATGACGCCGGTAATTTCAATCGCGCTGTGATTCGCAACAGCCGCAAGGGCGATGTCCATGTGGTGAATATAGACCCGAAGTTCTCCCGCTTCTTTTATGCAAACTACTTTTGGTCGACGATGCAAGGGTGAAGGTTACGATGGCTAATGTGGGAGTATATGCTTTGGCGTTTCTTGGAGGCGAAGCCATGCTTTTTCGAGTTTCTTGGTTGTTGGTGTTTCTATACCCTTGAATTATTTTGTCATGAATCGTACACTATGTTTACAAAAATCGTCAAATGACTGGTTGTAGTTGCTACCTCTCCCAATAGCGCGCTCATGCCGGTATCGATAGATCAGTATGCCGCTGATGTAAAGCCTGTAAGACTTTCATCCGATCTTCATCCGATATTGTTCCATCCAACGACAATCCGGACTGACCATGCGGCAGCACCCTCTCAGCAATATCGAGCAGCTCAGTCTTCTCAACCTTCGGCAAGTCCGCACCCCAAGATGCGACCCATTGGTCCTCAAACCGAGCAAGATCAAGCTCCACGCAACCCATGTCAGGGATATCACATCCATCCCAGGTCAAAGTTACCTCCTTGGTAACCGAGCCGGACTCACCTCCCGCCCCATATCGCGTTTCCACACCTAGAGGCCCAAGCCCGAGTTCCTCGGCACGAGCGTTCCAAAGAGCCTGCTTCAAAGTCCCGTCCCGTTCAATCATCATCCAGAATAGGGGGTAACTGCTCCGTGCAAGCGCATCGCGAACTCCTTTGGTTGCCTCGCGCGGTCCGACCAGCACGCCGACTGTTTGGCCCGTGCGCCAGCCAACAGGAGCCTGGCGGAATGTTCCTTCCAGTTCACGCACGAGATTCGGACCGAGCTTGGTTTTGAGGGCTTTGCATTGGACTAGGACGCGGAGCGCACGTGAACGTTCGCGTTCGGGGAGGTGCCAGGTTCCGACGAGGTCGATGCCGGCGTCGTCGCGGCCGCCGATGCGCTGTAGAGCTAGGGCGTATTGGCGGAGTGTTTGAAGAACTGTGTATTCATAGTGTGTGCCGACATAAACTGTGCTTGCCTCTGGGAGCGATATATGGTTGGCGTACGAGAGGAATGTGGTCAGGTCATTGTGGTGTTGTGAAGGCGGAGACGGTGCGGAGGGTAGTTTGAATAATCGGCGCGAGAAAGGTGTCAGGTCATGATGGGGATGTGTGCTGGAAAAGCAGCGTCGAGAACTGCATCTCACTGTCAAGTATGACTTTTCGGCAGCAAGGCCATGGTGTAGTCGCAACAGGCGCATTGAGGGTTGTGAAGGAAGAAAACCCTCACCGCATTGGAGCTTCTCTCCGCATTTGCTCCGCGCTTTCACTCTCGACCAGACAACTTCGCTATTTATCGTCCTCGGGTCTGCTTCTCAGCATCAGCTTTTGCGCCTAAAGCTCCAGTCGCCACCATGGCCGACATCCTCACCCAGCTCCAGACCTGCCTTGACCAGGTTCGACCCCTCCAAACTCCAAACCCTATGTGCAAAGCCGAGATCCAAACCCCTGCTAACAATCGAACAACCCAGCTCGCCACCCAATTCTACGCAACACTAGGCTATCTCACAACATATCACGACAATGCCCCTACAACACCGCCGCCAAACATTCCAGATGCCGTACCAGCCTTGGCAAAAATCACTAAGAACTCTTCATCACCACCAGTTCCAGCAGCAATCGCAAACACAGCAGCTGGCGCCGCAGCCGCACAGGGATCTGGGTCTCCTCCCCTCGCGCGTCCCCAACAACCTGGCGCTGCGCCGGAAGCACCCGTAGATGGAGAAGACCCTAATCTCCCCCCGGCGCCAGACTCACCACGCACATTTGCGAGCCGACAGCGAGAACTTGCGCGTGACCTTATTATCAAGGAACAGCAGATCGAATACCTAATCTCTGTACTGCCGGGGATCGGAGCCTCGGAAGGGGAACAGGAGAGCAGGATTCGTGAATTGGAGGGTGAGCTGAGGGTTGTCGAGACGGAAAGGGCTGCTAAAGTACAAGAGTTGAAGAAGCTCAGGACTCGTCTGGAGAATGTGTTACAAGCTGTTTCTGTTGGTATCTATGGAGACAGTCAGTATCAAAAGTGATTTTGGGGGGAAACGGATATGCGAATGAGGGATATCTCTGTTTATTCCTTGGCGTTATGGGTAAATGGTCATTACAAAGTTCACAGGCGCATGGATAGATATAAGTCAACGAATGCAACGTCAATTCACGTCTTTTTAACTGACTACAAGGCCCATGACGGTGTATATCTACGCTACACGTGGTATGATTATCTCCAGGAAGTTTCTGCGGCAGAGATCATGTTATATTTCTGTCCTATCCCTTCTCAAGTCGTGTTCCGGTCGAAAATTAATGAGCCCTAAGATGGCCACTCTCAACATCCAGCTCTCTCCTCTCTCTGCGGTGGAAAGCTGCTGCACTTCGGATATGCCAGCAGCAACCAGGCTATCCAACAAGCCTCACGAGCACGATGGTACAGGGGAGGGAGATGGCAAAGGCGACGGTGATGGTGTCAGCTTAGGTGTGCACGCCGGGATGGACGGCGATGGTCCAAATGGCGAAGCTCGTGGAGGAGCTCCTGGCCATGTTTGACACCACAGTCGCTTATATCCAGTGACACAACCCATTCCAAAGCTTCGACAACAGCTCCCCGTCCAAGCCAATTTTTCTTGCGCGCACAATTGAGCGCCCACATTGTCTCCTTTGGACGTGGCCATCAGAAAGCCCAGCTCGGGGAGATGACTGAAGAGGCCATGTTCAATGCCATCGTGTGAATCGTTTTGAGAGCCGCCACATGTTGGACCATCTCCGTGCCAAGTGCAGTGTCCGGCGACGTCGAAGAAGTTGCAAGCCAAAGTGTTTCCAACGATGACTAGGGCCACGGTCAAAGTGTGAAGATGCATGTTGCAATTGGAGGATCGGGGGACTAGACAGGACTGACAAGAGGTTAAGAATGTCCTGAGTAATGAGAGGAAGATCTTGAAGAAAGAGATCTCGTTCCTCTCGTTCGATCTGCTTCCATTTATCGGTAAATCTGCTCTTGGTGAGAAGCACATGAGATTTGAATAGACTTCGTTGATATGCTCCGTTGCAACCACCTCTCCAGATTCCTCGTTATATCGTAGCGAAAATGGGGATTCACACAAGAAGCGGTCAAGCGCGATCCAAGGAATCTCCAGAGCTGAATTAGCCCGTATGAACCTAACTAGAGTCGGAATGCATTGGATTACACGCCTCGAACTGTATGTGGATTTCCTGCCCATTCGGACTTGTAGGAGTGTAGTGCTCCATTCGAAGATCGGCTCCGTTTATACTGGTCAAAGTTTGCTTGGCTCGAGAGAATAGACTCAGTTGCCGCTTCATGACCTGCTTGATTTGATCCCATTGGGTCTGAATAAAGTCTGTAGTCGAAGCTTCCATACCATGCCGATTATAGTGGCACGAGCTATAAAAATCGGCTCGGCCCTTGCTCCGTGACTGGGGAAGCTTTGAGGAAGTAAAGGCCGTCAAAACATCACAGCTCGATCTTCCGTGGCTATATTTACCGGTCTATCAGCAGAAAAAAGGACGCCACCTTTTATGGAACCGATTCGAGTCTCTCGGCTACACGGGCTCACTGTCAGTCACTTACTCACAGAGCCAGAGTATAATCTTCGTTTGTGTATCTAGAGATCAATGTTTAGGGCCCAAAGACCGACTGTAGGCTTGGGGTGGGTTAAACAGAAAGGACTCAAAATGGTCATATTGACAGTAAGACTTGCACATAGGGTTCCCAAATCCCATGATATATCATTCCAAGTACGATCCAAACGCCTCAAGAATATGTCACCACTCATTAGCACGTTCACATCAAACAAACATGATGTTGCACATTTCTGTGCCCGATCTAACCGGTGGAAGTGTATTGACTAACTCATTTTTGCCCTGCCAGGACTGAGCTCGCAGTTTCACGCAAAGGCTGGTGTTATATGATCCATTTTATGGTAATTTCACCTAGCTTAGAGCTATAACAGCGTCGACAAAAAGCGCAGCGAGATGACAACAAATCAAGAATGATAAAAATATATATCACAGCACGATCTATCAGGAAATCAAGCGGTCATATATAGTGCTCGCATACAATAGGCTTTAAGCAGAAATAAGTAAGAAAGATCAGAAACCCTCAGTATGCTCAAGAAGGATCCATGAATTAAAGAGGTTTGCTGAGAAAAATAGATAAATATGAACGCCTCTCCTTTTCCGGGTATCATGTAAACGAAACCATCATGCCGCCAGGATCTAGGCCGAAGAAATCAAATGAGATAGGAAACAGCTGAAGAACCAGATGGTGTGTCATAGGAAAAACAAAAGAATGAGAAAAGGAAAAAAAGGCAAACAGAAACAAAGAAAAGAATTTAAAAGAGAGTGCCATGGCAATCACTTGAAGAGAGAACGATACTCGCGCATGCGAGCTTCCTGAACCTCCCGCTTATCCAGTTTGCCGCGGTTCATGCTCATATCTGCGAGCTGCTGCTTCTTCTTGGCGAGTTCTTGGATCTTCTCCTCAATACTGCCCTTCATGATAAACTGGTATGTCTCCACAGGTCTAGTTTGTCCGAGACGGTGGACCCGGTCAACAGCTTGAGCAACGGCAGCGGGATTGTATTGTGGTTCCATAATGAAGACACGCGACGCGGAGGTCAGATTGAGACCGACACCACCTGCACCGATGGTAGCCAAGAGAATGGTGATTGAATCATCTTTTGCGAAAAGCTCGAGAGTTTTCATTCGTGCAGCGAGAGTCATTGTGCCATCCAGTCTGACAAAGCCGTTCAGTCCGTTATTTCGCAGGGCAATCTCGATGAGGTCCAGGTGGGAGGTCCAGCCGGAGAAGACAACGCTCTTGATGGGTGATTCACCCTTGAGTTTCTTGCTATCCTCGACGCTTTCCTTCAGATAATTGACCAATGCGATGGTCTTGGTGTGCGGGCCCTCATATTCACCGAAAACCTTGCCGATTTTCCCAGTTTGGCGGTCACGGCGTTCTTGATCCTGCTGGGCCTGGTATTGACCGAGACCATTAGGCGTGATCACTGAGTAGGCCATAGCAGTCCAACCCTTGCAGCCGGGGCATTCCATGGGAGTCTCAGAGACTGAGTCGAACACTTCTTTCCAACCAGAGAAACAGTTTGGACAGAAGACACAGCCACAGGGTAGGTAGATTGCCATTGGGGCATCGGGGTCTACTTCTCCGTTCGCAGCGAGGATTGGCTCGAGGTTTTTGTTGCAGGTTTCGGTTGCACACAGATCCTCTGCCATGTCCTGTCTCATGGAGAACATGCCATACGCCTTTTTGTCCAGGGCTGCAGGTGTCTCAGCCGGTTCACCTTCCTCCAGATCGATTGCATCGTGCACAGACAATCCCTTGATCCGCTCGCGGTCCTCGATGTCCAGAAGCTCTTTTCCATGGGCACTGACTTGGCGAAGAATCATCATGGCCTTCAGAACATGATGGTACATCCGGCCGCCCATCTTGCTCTTCGTCTCTCCAGCAATGACACGCATCATAACATTGGACTCATTGCGGAAGAACTCATGCAATTGCTTCTCCTGTTCGGTGAAATCCATTGTGACCATGTTATCATTGCGGGGTGGCAGATTGATCTTGTCCTTAACACGGCGCAAAGTGAAAGAGTCCACCATAACTCGCAAGCTAGCGAGAACATTAGGATCACCACTTTTGAAAGGACTCAAAATATGCTGCACAAAATTGCTTCGTTCATTGTAAGGGTAAATGTGAAGAAATTTGGTCACGGACAAGAGGTCTTCCAGGCGATTCTGAATTGGAGTTCCAGTCACAGACCATTTGCGCTCAGCGTTAAGATCCAATATAGCCTTTGTTTGTCTGGCATTCTGTTCTCTGATGGTGTGTGCCTCATCAAGAACAATGCGGAACATGTTCATCAACCTCAAAGGGCTTTGTCCACGCTTGGAACCTCGCCCATTCATTTCACTGAGAATCGTGCTGTAGGTGGTGATGAGAACATCAAATTTGGATAGTTCGTCCAAATCAGTGATGCGATTTGGGCCATGGAATGTATGACACTTGATGCTGTCTGGCGCAAGATGCTCATCGATCTGTGCAATCCAGTTGCTGACGGCGCTCAAAGGAACAACCAGAAGCGTAGTGCGTGTGTTGCGAATACCTGGAATCGCACGTACAAGGCGGGGGTGGGGTGCCGACATTTTCCATTGAAGAGCCGAGTCAAGAGAGGAAGTTATCAAAGACAGAATGCTCAGGGTCTTGCCCAAGCCCATCATATCAGCCAACAGTCCCCCAAGGGACTCATCGGGTTTGCTATCAAGAACAAGTCCTGTGATGATCTCGCGGTATCGAGTTTTCCCATCAGCACTGCGGACCTCTCGCCACAATGAGTTGTTGTCTTCTTCTTTGGGGCCAAACTTGCGTGGCTGCTCCTTCTCTGTCATGAACCAAAGCGCTTGCTTCTGATGGGGCAACAGGGGTGTCAGGATGTGGGAAGTTGGCTCCTTAGTTGGGATGTCCTTAGTGATGAGCTGATCAAACATCTTCATAACGGCATCATTCACCTCCTCGGCAGTTCGAACCTCATATCGAGGGACTGAGCGTGCAGTAGCATTATTGTTTGCGATTGCTGCTGCGTTCATCTGACGGCGCACGTTCACGTGGGGGTTGTAAACCGTAGTTCCTTGGGCCACGGCTGACGGAGTGCCTAGCCATATATTTTTCTGACCCAGGAATTTCCCAATTGCATTGGCGTGTTGTCTCTGGCCATAGAGATTGATGGATGCACGGTATATACCAGATGTCGATTCATTGGCCACTTCTCCTGCAAGCTTCTTCCGGGTGTCAAGCCGCGCAGTGAATTCCACGGGCTGTGCAGTGGAGTCAAGCAATGGGCAAAGTCCCATGGCAGTCTTTGCATCAACCATGCCAAAAATGGTCCCAAAAGGATCAATAGCATCGATTTGAAAATCACTCGCAGCATGGCGTCGAAGGTCAAGCCTCATCGAAGGCCAGCCAGACAAAAAGTCGTCAAAGGCAGGGTTTGGTGGAGGACGAGGTACAGTATGGGCATTAATGAAAGCATTTTCAATCCTCCCAAAGCAGACCTTTTGGGTGCTAAGGTCTGCGGAACCTGTGCATTGCACGTCGTCATCGTCATCGTTGGACGGATTGGCGGTATCTGAGACAGAGTTAGTCAAGAGTGAATAAATTTAAAGATGAGAAATACTTTACCGGCGGTCAAATCAACAACAGTAGAAGAAGTTGCGGCTGTGAACTGTTTTCCTTCCCCTTCCTTCATGAAATTGCCCAATCCAGTATCCCCAGATATTGTGATCGGCGTGTTGGCCATTTTGGGCTGTTCGTCTGTGTTGTCGGTTTTGACCTTCTTTGTCGGTGGGTTCTTGCGTTGTTCTACACCATAGATGTCTTCGATAAAATTGGGCCGACGAATATCTTCCTCGTCACTCATTTCGTAGTGACTTCGTTTCGAGTCACTTTCATTGGCTTCATCAAGACTCGTGGTGAACTGGATGGTCAGATTGGACTCTGATTTCGGGGCTGGGCTGGAGACTCTGCTCGTCGATGGCTTTGGAGACCCCATCCCCGGGGAAGAACCACGAAAGCTTGGGGTGGCAGTACCGGGTGGTGCCATCGGATGGGATGAGGAAGTATCTGTCTTCTTGCGTCTTCCTGTAGATTCGAGAAGTTAGCCGATATTCAATGTTGATTCCACAGGCATGGGATGTGGCACGCCAACGAAAATAAAGGAGTCATGGAAAGGTGAAGTGAGATTAGAGTAATAAGGTGAAGTAGGACAATGAGTCTCATCTGAGGCGGCAGGGGCATCGTCAAATGTCATAATTGTGTTCATGTTGCGTAACGGGTAGGGAAGGGCAAGAGGAAGAAGGGCCTCAAGTGAAGCAGCAGAACCTTCGCTAGTGGTGGAGGTGCTATCCACCTGGTACAAAAGTGAATCAAAGATGAGAGGAACAACTGTATCAACTGAGGTGAATCGCGCGCCTCCAGTAGTCATAGACATATTACCTGGATGGGACATAGAGGGTTCATGTGACGGAAGCGGAAAAGAAAGAGGCGATACAAAAGCTAGAGACGAACTTGAAAACGAACTTGAAAATCCAGGAGAGTCTCGTGAAAACTCATAGGGCATATTGGGAGATTTTGTTTCCAGATGATCACATGTCGGGGAAAGTGAAGATGGAGCGGGATGATTACCATTGTTTTGGGTCTGTTTCTTATAGCCCTTGGGGTCCATGAGCATGTATGGATGGGATGCCATCTTCGTTATCGGCTCTCGAAGATTCGAGATGACGATTTGTTCAAATAATGGTACCAAAGTCAGGGCACGTAAGTGCTTGAGTAAATGTACGTATAATCTGTTGTGGAGTGATACCCGTCCTGCCGTGAAAATGCACAAGTTCTGAACTGATGATTTTTGAGTGTTGGATCGAGTGTACTAGAGTGAATGTACGTAGGTACTGACTGGCGTATGCAACTGTCAGTGGCTTCACAGAAAATGTTTGGCTGGCGAAAAAGCGTAAAGTTCAAGGGCTTGTATCACTCACTAGAAACTATGAGCGGGCTAATCTGCACCGAGTCACTATCAGTGAAAGTTTGACGGCTTCTAATGACTGTGAACAATGTTCACAGAAGTCAGGTGGTTTGTGGTTGTATTGTAGACTCGACGGCGATTCGCGAGATATCCCCCGGCGAGCGATATGTAGCTTATGCGCGTGACCAGATATTGTGGCTGACAGCGGCAAAAATCTAACTCTCGAGAGAATGTAGTACCGTTTAATGCTCGAACGCGATGGCGGCGCAAATTGTTTGCTAAACGAAGGGAGCGCCTTCCAGACGCGAGAGTCGCAGGATCTCGCTCGGCATTGAAATTTAACAATAATGGACACTAAGCACTGGCTGAGATCGTGCCTCTTCTGTTTGTAGTGCTGGGTTATATTTATCGCGCTGGTTAAGGCATCGATTCGTTGGTCGCGATCGTCTCGGTGCCTTGGCGTTTGCCTCTTTTTGGAGGGGTTCGATGATAACAGGATCGAAGGGGGCACTTGAAGATTCACAAGGTATTTGCTGGGTTCGAGTCACTGATTCGGATGGCCGCGTAACTGTTCTCTCGGGTCGTTTGTAGAGGCAGAGTTGAAGCAAATGACCTCAGTCTCGGATAATCGCCCGATAAGGATCTTATCAGTGCCGCGTTTGGAGCCGCTGCGGCGCATTCAGTAACGCTAAAGCGGGGGTATAGGGAGGAGACATAAGTTGTAGGGAAGAAAAGAAGCAACGCGTCGAGAAGATAAAAAAGAAGAAAAAGAAGAAAAGGGTTGATGAGGGTGACATGCGTACGTCCCCGCGCTTGGTCTCCCAGGCGAGATTCTGTAGATTAGAAGATCTAAATGGCCACTTAGAGACCTTGCAACGTTTCCCTCAATATTGTAGATAGGCTTTAACGTTATGTGCCTGAAGAACATAGCTGCTATCAGCCCTACTAGAGTCTAGCCCAGGTGTGTTTGTGATGTCCATGATGTTATCGCGTCTCATCGCTCATAGTGGAGACTGGCATGATCTATATTAGCCGGACTCTGCATATCAAAGATCATATCTCCTGAGGGGACAGACGTACCTATTCTCAGTGGTGGCAATTGCAAAGTTGACTATTACTCTAGAAAATTAAATGGTCAGCCGTGTCCTGACCATAATTACCCCAACAGGCAGGCAAGCGATCGCACGCCGACCAAAGAATCACCAAATCTACAAAATACCAACTCCTCTAAGAATAGCCTAAAATCTTACACTGAAGGGACGATGAAGGTATCATAGAATTAAGTCTCGTCATATATGCTACATGAGGCAGTTCGCTCAATCAATGCGCCACAACCCAAGGCAACCAGAACAGCCAAAGAAGATCTATATACAACACGGGAATCTCCCCAAATCATGAGCATGTCCCGTAGAGGACGTGTGTGTGAGGTGACAGAAACAGAAGCGCAGTGAATATGTCTTGGACGGGAAATCGAGGGCTGGCACGTGGATAATTGGATGCCTGTTTCCCGCCCAAGGCACTGCTGCAGAAGATGAGGCATATTAAAGAGGAAAGCAATGCAAAAACGTGAAAAGGGTAGAAACAGAAGAGGACGCAGGGACCACATAATTTTAGCACCAAGTGAAGACGGGGTTTTTGCTTTTGACAGCCTCAAGGCGCTCCACGATCACCTTGCGTTGATTGCCTTCCATACCCTCAGCAACGGCATAGCCGAGATCTCCTTCTAGGTCATCGCTGCCAAATGTGTTGACATGGGGAACACGATAGGAAATTGATCCGCCTTGTTTGCGGTGCTTTTGAGAAGGACGTGGGGGAAGTGAAGGCCACCCGTCGAGAGAACCACCAGCTGTACTGTCGGGATTACGAGGGACGTCTTGCTCATTGATAGTAGCTGGACTACCGATCGAACCGCCAATGTCTCCGTCGGCACGACCACGAGAGAGCTCGAAGCGGTTTGGATTAGGGAGGTCGCTGGGCGATGAGTTCAATCCTAACAAGTCGTGCTCCCCTGCTGGGGTTGGTTGGGAAGAGGCGGATGCACCGATGTCCATCTCTTCTTCATAAGGGTCGTAATTCATAGATCGGTTCCTTTGCCTGTCGGTCGAAGGCGCGCGCATTGGTATGGCGACGGGGACATCAACTAGATCATCCCAGACACAAACACGGGTCCGACGAGTAAGTTCGAGCGGACCGTGATCTAGGTGTTTCAATGTCTCCACCACGTTCCAGGCCTGACCTTTCATAACGGCAATTTGGCGGGCAAACATGCTCTCCTTGAAATCGTCATCTTGCGCGAAGACGCCGCGCAAAGCCATTTGTGTTCCGCTCCACCAATCTGTCGATGTAAGGAGAGGGAGGAAGTGGTCTCGGGTTCTTTGCGAGAAGGGCTGCCCGATCAAGGATACTGGCAGGAAGAGCCAACCAAAGGGGAAACTGCGCCACTGCCTATTGTTAGTGTTGCCCACGTTGGTCAGATGAAGCGAACTTACTGCGTCAGGATGTTTCCATGGCCAAGACAGACTGTTGTCAATGGCACCAAGTTGAACAGAAGCTGATTGTTCAGACGAAGCTAGCGGGGTTCCTGTGCGACTGATTGCCATCATGTTTTGATGTCGTTTATAAGGGGCACTCGGGCTTCGCGCGCCGTTTGAGTTCACAGAAACTGGACGAGGCGGAGGCAAAAGTTCATCCTCATCATGTCTAGGCTGTGGCTCGTTGTTCTTGGGAGGGTCTGCCACAATAGAGACCGATTCTGTCCCCCAGTCAATCTTGACCATCCAATTATCAAGGCCTCGATCGGTATTTCGCATGATGTAGTCCAAGATTACAAGTTTCTCCAGTTCTTCACGGAACGATTGCTTGAGGTTCTCCGTCCAGTAGAATTGGCGCTCAGCGCTTGGATCGCGCGATGGGGGGGGCGAGGGGACGTAGCCAGGATCTTCGTCATCCTCATCATCTGATTGTGTCCCTGATGGACGACACGCTTCGTTCCATGGCCGCTTCTTGCGCTTCGGGGCATCTTCAGCGCGGAATCCGGTGTTGGTTTGATCAGGCCACGGATGTTCTCTTAGGAAGATGTTGGCATCCTTGAAACCCTTCAGGAAAACCTGGAAGCTTCCTGCCTTGGGAGGCAATGATTTTTTGCCCTTCCATGCCTTTCGTCGATCCCAGAAATCATAGAAGAAGGATTTGGAGGACAACCGCACAATACCAGTATAAGGAACGAGATTCGTGCGCAGGCGAGAATCGAGGACGTATGCCGCAGCTTCTGAGACGTAGGACAAGTTGGGAATGAGACAGGCCCGGCCAAAGAAGCAGGGGAACAAGTTGCGGTGAATCCATTTGGTCCACTTCGGGTTTCGTGAGGCGTAGGGTTCTTCGTCCTTCGGTTTAAACACACCCACTACCTTGCCCTCTGGGTTTCGAGCAAAGTAGCTGCCTGAACTTCCCTGTGAGATCATTCGCGGGTGTACGTCAAGTTCAATGGCCAGGCGAACACTTTCAACGATCTCCTCGTACTCGGCTCGGGCTCGCCGTTGCTCGCCTTCAAATTCATCCGATTCAAGAGTTTCAGCGCTCACCGGGCGTATACCTGGAGGAGCCTGGAATACCGAATGATAAATCTCTAGCTTCTCCTCCTCATAGCTCTTGCCCTTGACTCTGTTGATCTTGAACTTGGAGGCAATCTCATCCGCCCATTTCTCGAGACGCGCATTGATAGCCTTGATATCCACACCAGAGTTTCGGCGGCCCCGGGGGTATTGATATCCGCTATGTCGTCGTCGATGACCGTTGGGCGAATGGAGACCGGATGCCTGCATCTGGGCTCGAGAGGAGATGGGGGCATATCGAGGCGCGGAAGTGGATGCTACCGACAGAGCACCCTGCTCTTCTTCTGAATCATCATGAAGATAGCCTCGTTCCTCTTCCTCCTGGGCGAGTCGGGCGTATCCCGATGTGGCAGGGCGGTTTTTCGGCATTGTGATGGATCTATGGAAGGGGGCAATGGACAGAGCCAGCGAAAGAACGACGGCAAACAAGCAACAAAAGGAGATTTAATCCATTACAAAGAAGAGAAGAGA